CCCCCCCCCCCCCCCCGCCCCCTCTGGCAACCAAGGACGTTGGCCGTGGTTGAATTGACAAGCATCCAGCACCATAGGTCATACAAATATATCAATATACGTTCTATGTATGCGTGTGTACGTATTTTCTCCGTGTCAACAAACAAGGCCAATTCCCCAATAATGGCAAAAGTGGCCGACTGAGGCGGTTTGCCATACTCCTTACTCCTGGACATGTAGATGGACGTCTCCCACACATACTCTCTCTGCTCTTGAAGCACCTCCAATGACCCGTCATCATGTCATGACTTTCATTTTCATGTGTTTATGCAAAAACTGCTGGCTTAGCCCTCTCTCCAGAAATGCCCAGTCAGGCTTAAGGCTTCGATAATATGCTGTTGCTAACGCCACATGGCGGAGTTATCGGTGGTTTGATGTCGCGGGACCAAAAACTCCTTTCCGTTCCCAAACACTCGGCTCGATACCGCACACTTCATTCTATCATCCACTCATCTCAATATCCCTAATTGGGTCGGGGTGGCTGTGGTTGCGTGAGTGGTGGCCGCTGGACGAAGGATGGTGCACGTCAACCCCGTTCACTGGTGTGCTGCCGTTCACCACCCCGTTAACAATGCCGTTTTGCTGCTGCTGATGATATCCGTTCTTCATCATAGTCTGGATCAAGAGGGTGCTGCTTTCGCCGCCGACGGCATTGACCCCATTCACCGGCCCCGTCTCTGCGGCCTTAGCAGCGGCCTCACGCGCCTTTTCCTCCTTGAATTGACGGTACGTCTTGGTCTTGGGGACCGTGTCAGATAGGAATTCTAGGTTATCTACCCTAGACACAGCCGTGGCTGTTTTTGTGAACAACAGTTTGTCAGTAAGACGTGATACAAAGAGCGTGCTGCTCTCGACCAAGTCCGAGTCCCTGAGGCTTCGATCTCTTTCTTACCTATGTCTTTGTAGGCAATGTTCCTCCTGGGTTTCCGTTCTGATTTGACCACATTGTGTGCTTGTTCCGTTAGATAGCGGATAAATATTTCCTAGTAGATGGCCATCAGTCCACCTCCCTTGAGAGTTTCGACTTTGGGGGAACCCTGGATAACGTACTGTTGCCACTGATATCGCAAAAGCCGCTGGATTGGAGCACTGTGTAATGTCCTCATCCTGAGCAATGACCTTCTTGACCCGTGCCACTTGTTCGCGATGGTCAGCAGTGATCGTCGCATCAATGAAGAAATCCGGGTGATGACTAACGGGGAAGAGCGGTTGAGCCCGTTATGTCTTCTGGGGGTTCAATCGGGGCATTATTGTAAGGCATGGTTGTGAGGGACCGATGTCGGGTCTTTATATTTCTTTTGAGATGTCTGTCTGGCGGAGATAAGGGACTTCCTTCAAGCCGGGGTTTGCTCAGATCCTCCTACAACTTCCGCAGGCGTAAAGACTTTTGGTCGGATGGCCTGGATTGCAACTTTTTCTCAGGAGTAATGGATACAAGACGCGTCCCAGGGAGCAGTAGACTGTCTTCTAGACGCTGTATGAAAGAGCAGTGGATGAGCGCGACATATCCAAGACTAGAAAAGCGTGATCTCCTTCGTTGAGACTGGCAGACAAGTTGATACTGAGTGTTTGAAGAAACAGCAAGTCGCGTCGACACATTCATATCGAAATGTCACTTTCTGGGCGCGTCCCAAAGAGGAAAGGCGGACGACGTTTCGGGCGCCACGGCGCAAGGCGCATGTGCTGCATTGGGAGCCCAGGAGCCTCAATTCTTGCTTCTAAGATACAACCAGCCTCAGCTCGGAATGTTCCTCTGGCCATGCTAATCGATCCGATGTTATGACCTCGCGCGTCTTCTCTCCCTCATCCGCCTCCGCCTCCGGCTCTACTCGTCGCCCGTCCATCTCAGCCCGGCGACTTACCAGGCGACTCTCGTCCCTGTCAGGCCTCGAAAATGGCGAGGCTCCTCCCCTAGTTGCACCCGTGGCGCAGGCTATCACAGAAGAGATTGCAGAGATAAAAAGATATGAAGATTTCACCACCATTGACTGGGTCCAAGATGCCGCCCAAGAACAACTGCGGCGTCGCACCCGGCGGAGAGAGACAAAGTTCTTTGAACGGGACGGTGTCTTGGGTTGGCGGCGCAAGCTGTGGGAGTCCTATGATGCTGCGCAGGCATGGATCGTCATTACGCTGGTTGGCATTGTCATTGGCCTCAATGCCGCCGCGCTGAACATCATCACTGAGTGGTTGTCCGATATCAAAATGGGCTATTGCACGACCGCCTGGTATCTCAATGAAGGCTTCTGCTGTTACGGCTCCGAGGAGGGCTGTGACGAGTGGCACAGATGGACTTCGGTCACCATTGTCAATTACTTCATCTATGCCATTTTCGCCGTGCTGCTGGCCTTCGTTTCTGCCTACTTGGTCAAGTCCTACGCTCCTTATGCTGCCGGTTCCGGCATCTCCGAGATCAAGTGCATCATTGCAGGCTTCGTCATGAAGGGCTTTCTAGGGTTCTGGACCTTTTTCATCAAGTCCATCTGCCTCCCTCTGGCTATCGCTTCTGGCCTCTCGGTGGGCAAAGAGGGCCCGAGTGTACATTACGCTGTCTGCGTGGGAAATGTCATTTCTCGATTCTTCGGCAAGTACAAACGAAGCGCCTCCAAGACCCGCGAGATCTTGACAGCAACCGCCGGAGCTGGAGTGGCCGTCGCGTTCGGCAGTCCGATTGGTGGTGTGCTGTTCTCCCTCGAGGAGATGGCATCTTATTTCCCGCTCAAGACCTTGTGGAGGAGCTATTTCTGCGCCCTTGTTGCGACTGCCGTGTTGAGTGCAATGAATCCCTTCCGCACTGGTCAGCTGGTCATGTTCTCCGTCAAGTACGACAGAGACTGGCACTTTTTCGAGGTCTTCTTCTACATCATCCTGGGCATCTTCGGTGGGCTTTACGGAGCCTTCGTGATAAAGTGGAACCTCAAAGCTCAAGCATTCCGAAAGAAATACTTGTCCAAGTACGCCATCCCAGAAGCTGTGATTCTGGCTGGTGCCACGGCGCTTCTTTGCTACCCCAACATGTTCCTCAGAATAGACATGACCGAGATGATGGAGATGTTGTTCCGCGAATGCGAGGGTGACTACGACTATAACGGACTCTGCGAGGCAAAGAATCGACTCTCCCTTATTGGTTCTTTGCTGGTTGCAACTCTCTTGCGCATATTCCTTGTTATCATTTCCTATGGGTGCAAAGTGCCCGCGGGTATATTCGTGCCGTCTATGGCGATTGGAGCCTCCTTTGGCCGCATGTTGGGCATGATGGTACAATGGCTGTATGAGACTTTTCCGGATTCAAAGTTCTTCTCCGCCTGCCAGCCCGACGTGCCATGCATCACCCCGGGCACATACGCCTTTTTAGGGGCGGGTGCAGCACTGAGTGGGATTATGCATCTGACAATTTCGGTCACTGTCATCATGTTTGAGCTTACCGGGGCGTTGACATATATACTTCCGACCATGATTGTGGTCGGTGTCACTAAGGCCGTGGGGGACCGATTCAGTAAGTCGGGTATCGCAGACCGGATGATCTCTTTCAGCGGCTTTCCGTTCCTCGACAACAAAGAAGAGCATTCCTTTGGGGTGTCAGTGTCCCAGGTCATGACCAGTAATATTACGATACTTCCTGCGACCGGAATGGAGGTCAAGGCTGTGGCGAAACTACTCGATGACACATCCTACTCGGGATTTCCAATCGTGGAAGACAAGGATTCGAAAATCCTCGTGGGCTATATCGGGAGGACTGAGCTCCAATTCGCCATCGATCGCGCAAAAAGACAGGACGCGTTAGCCTCAGATGCCAAATGTATCTTTGCGACTGAGCGAGAGGATGGTACTGAAACACCAACCCCGCTCAGTCCGACTGTCACTCTGGACTCGGCGACGGTACGCAGCGTGGACTTTAGCCCGTTTGTCGATGCGACTCCTATAACCGTCCATCCGCGCTTACCGCTTGAGACAGTGCTGGAGATTTTCAAGAAGATGGGTCCACGGGTGATCCTCGTCGATCATCATGGTCGTCTCGAAGGGTTGGTTACTGTCAAAGACTGCCTGAAGTACCAAGTCAAGGTCGAGGCACAAGAGCATTCGGCGGCTGCGAGGGACGAGTCAGCAATACAGCAGGAGAGATTCGTCGATGTCCTCGGGAGGATTGGTGAGTACATTGCGGATAAGATCAACGATCTTTCACGTGGTCGACTGAAACTCAGTCCGCGGACTGTCAGTGGATGGACGAGAGTGGTCGGAGACGATAGACGTGGCAATTTTGCAGATGATTACAGCCATGAAAACGACATATTGGATGGGACTGAAGATGTGCCTGAACATGGTCAGGAAGGCGTCGAACTAGATACGAGATAAAGATGGTGGGAACTTATGTATATTTCACAAGACGAACGAAAGTCGAGATGTCCTCCAGCACCGCCGATCTCTATTCTGCCTTTCATCATTCACTAACAGTCGGTTCTGTGCAGCCTGCCAGTGAATTCGCGAACATCTCACAGAGTTTGAAAACGACTTTGACGCCAGCTCCTATTGCCAGAGGTGACGCGTCTTGTTCGGCATTGCAGATCTTTGACTTGGATATCCCATCAGCAACAGAGAATCCCCCGAAGCCTTTCTTCTACGACAATAACTCCCCAAGAAAGGACTGCTCGATCTGAAAAAATCCGTCTCACACCTCTGCTTGACCACCCCTTCACGACAGATGGACACCTCCACAGCCTCAGTCAACAATTCACCTGAAACCGATCAAGGCTATGCTCTTGACCTGTATGACGAACTTTCCGAGATAGACGGTCTCTCACTCGAAGAAGAGCTGGCCGCCTTATCCGACGACGCATCAAGCGATGGCAACGAGCCGGCCATGACAAGTGACAACCACCAGAAAAAGTCCACCGAGACCCCATCGTCCTTTACTCGACTCACCGTAGACTTCCTCGACGACTGGTCCGACGACCTCGCGGCGCTCGCGTCGTTGCCGAGCACAGAGGCGAACAAAACCGATCTCATCCGTCACGCAAAGACGTTATCCTCGTGGGTGAGGCACAATGTCCTCCCCCGCGCCTCCGCACTCGAAGCGACATGCGGACAGGTCAAAGCGGCCAGGCAGGAGCTGCAGGCAGATTACGAGGCGCTGCTCTCCCAGGCCGAGGAGATGCTTGGCCGGTATGAGGTGCTCTACGAGGCTTACTCGAAGGAATACGACGTGAGTCGGGACAAGACGGAGAAGTTGTGGGAGGTTTGCCTCCTGGTGGAACAGACAGGGGAGTTTGCACAGATGAGCAGCGAATCTTTGGGCGAGGAAATCTGATGGAGACTACGGGAGGAGACTGATGAAACGAGCGACTGAGAAAAGGGAGCTAGTTGGTGTCATATCTCCCTAGGTACTTAGGTAGCTGTGGCGTAGAAGGGTGTTGGATGAGGCGCCTGGTGACCTTATATACCTCCTACTCGGGCTCACGCCCCCCGACGTTACTACTCGAAAGGCGAGGGACGTGCAATACAAGTACATTACACTCCCACCGACCGAGTACCTACAAGTATCCGACAAGTATCCGGCAAGGTGTCCGGACAGCCGAAAACCTCTTTATCAAAACCATAATGCCATCCTTACGAGGGATGTAGCGGCTCTCGTCGAGTCTGCCGATACTCTCCATATTTGAAATGAATGCTGTATTGTCTGTCGAATATCCCTCTTCGTATGCCTATACCCATGCCCATGCCCTGGTTCTCTGATTGTGTTCGGCTTAGGTAATCGTACTAATCGAGTGTGAGGAGTTGAGAAATGTCGTCACTTGATATGATGCTGCATCATGCCACTATGAGGCTTGGAGGGACAGGGATAGAGTTGTAGGTGGGAACGCGTATATTAGATGCTGCTTTACACAAGACGCGCGTTGGACCACCAATAGGGTACCGGAGTTTGACTTGATTTGCTCAGGCGGCAACAAATATGGCCGAAGCTAGAACTTTAAAGCCTGGTTGCTGAGGCAGCCGGTTCGAACGTCATTCATTCGCATTGATATTATCAAACTCCCCTCTTCTTCTCTTTTGACGACCAACTCTCACAATTGCCAAGGATTGACTACCAACTTCATTTCCTAAAGCACACTCCGAATCACTCTAACCCACCACAGTCTTAGAATCCACTGCCTCACTTCTTCCCACGGAGCTCGCTCACACACAAGATCTTCCCCTTCTCAACTGGAGCGCACCAATATGCCTCGAACCCGCAAATCCGCCAATCGGCCTAGCCAATCTCTCCAGTCGACTCTGTCCTTCAACAACAAGTCCGCGCGGGTGACGAAGCCGAGCGCCAATGCGCAGAGAGACGAGCACAGCGCTTCGGCGAAGAAGTTAGTCGAGGTCGCGGACAGAGACAGGTTGAAGACGGAGCCGGAGGTGGCGGAGGTCAAGAATGAATTGACAACTGAGGAGACGGAGGAGGACTTCCAAGATATCAAGGCGGAGCTAGCGGTACAAAGTCGGGATGTAGAGTCGGAGGAGGCAGAACAGGAAGAGGTAGAACAGGAAGAGGAGGTAGAAGAGGAGATTGAGGTCGAGGTCAAGACGAGGTCCAGAAGGAAGCAAAAGGCCCAAGCTACCGGGGCCAAGGACCAGCGTGAACTCGCAGCCGAGAAGGTCACGGATTCGCAACTGAAGAAATACTGGCAGGCAGAGGAGGACAGTCGGCTTGCTCCTAGAGGTATGTTTCCGCCCACCCACACAGCATGCATGTTTTCCACGGATGTCAAACACCATTGAACACACTCGTTTTCCCTATGCTTCTACACAGCGTCTGCCTAACTGTCCCGAATCTCCAACCTCCATCTCACCTATCTCTTCCCTTGCGGGAAAAGATTCTCCCACGATGCGTCGACCTTACGTGCAACTGCCCTGCCCATACTAACCCATACCCCACCACAGTGCACCAATCCGACCTGTCCCTCCACGAAAAGATCCTGCGCCACTTCGACCTCTCGTCTCAATACGGTCCGTGCATCGGCATCCCGCGTCTCCAGCGCTGGCGGCGCGCAAACACCCTCGGTCTCGAGCCGCCCATCGAAGTCCTCGCGGTCCTGCTAAGAGAACAAGACGGCGCCAAAACCCAAGGGTGCGGCAAGATGGCCTACATTGACGAGTTGAGCGGTGGTCGCGTCGTTTTGGTCGAGTAAAAAGACAAACTGGCGTCGGGGTTGTGTGGGTGGCTGGCTGACAGTTGTGATTGATTGCTCAAATCGGCGCAAAAAAGGAGTGCAACGACTCTGGTGGACTGTGGAATAAATACTGCACTTGTGGGCTTATTATTCATTAGGGTGGAATTCAATCCGGGAATCTGTACTTGTGGACATGCAATCCCTCTATACAAAAATGACCTCACGTTAGTCACTGTGCGGCATGAGAGAAATACAGTGGTCGTGCTACCAATTTGCTTGAAGCAGAATAAATGTCATTACCGCCTCGGGTCTAATGTTCGTTCATTTACACAAAAAGTCGCTTGCTTGGCCCTTTCTACTCGAGTCGCCCATGACCCTACTCTTCTGCTAGCATGACGTGAAAACGACCGCTGAACTCATGTCTGATGTCTGATGTCGTACACGGCACCCATGCGCACCATAATGCTTCCTCTTCAACAACAGAGTCGCCAAGTTGAACTCCCGGTAAAGAAACATACCTAGCCTGCAACCACTCTTTTCCCATCGCCCGCCCCCCATTGCCAAACCATCGTCAAAAGGGTCGTAGTGATATCTCGGTATGCTCTAGATCAAAAGACATGGAACCATCAAAAAATCATGTTCTTATCTTAAGCACCAAATTCGGGCACCGTCGACGTCTTGCCGAGAAGAGCCAAGGGTACGATACCTGAGACGTGCATCTCTGGGCCGTACACATGCATGTCCAACTTCAACTCCTCACCAACGGACTTGATGTTCTTGAGACCCTCCTGGTAGTTAGGGCCAGCGCGACGAACCCAGATCTGAACCTTGTGCTCATTGAGGGACGGGGCCACCTCCCTGAGTGCGCGGATGACACCTTTGAACGTTGAGGCGACGTTTGTAAAGTTGGCAATACCGCCACCAATGAAGAGCACCTTGCCATCAGGGTGCATGGGTGCGCGGAGCATCAGGTCGAGAACAGTTCTCGCATAGTTGTACGTCTGGGTCTCAGTTGGGGCCCCGGAGTATTCACCGTAATTGGCCAGCTCGCTGACAAACCCGGCGGAGGCAATAGCGTCGGCGTAGACCACCGAAGCACCACCACCAGCGACCAAAGTCCAGATTCGGCCCTTGGCATTGAGAACGGTCAACTTGAGCGAAGCACCAGTCTTTGCATCCATGTCCGCAATGTACTTCTCCTCTTTGCTGAGCTCACGGCCGAAAGGTGCAGGGAACTCCATCGGCGGCCCAACGTCAATGGTGACTTTTCCATCGGCTTTAACTCCGGGGAGGCCAAGAGCTGCAGGGCTTCGGGCAATGGCCCATTTGACACCGCACTCAAAATCGGCCGTTTGATCGAGTTTGGCAGCAAGGTCAAGGAAGTGGACTTCGGCGGAGGTGCCTGCGGCGTTGGGGATAACGACCAGGGGGTTGATTTCAAGGTAGGTGAATTGGCAGTCCACGTAGACGGAGTACAATCGAACAATGAAGTCGATCAGCACATTGTGGACACCCTTGGGCACATCTGGCAACAGAGTCGCAGCCAGCTCTTGATTTGAAGGGAACCTCTTCAGATCGACTGGGACCAGGATCTTCTTGGCCTTTGCATCAACATCACCGACATCCACACCACCTTCGTGGGTGAAGAGGATCCAATCACCCTAAAGATCGCTGTTAACCTGTGAACTGCGGCAAATGAGGGCACATGGTGGCTGGAACTCACATCTCGCACAGAGTTGATATTAATGTAGTATTCGGTGTCTTGAGGATGAGGCACAAAGGGTTCAACGAGGAATTGGGAGAGTATGCCTGTGACATGCTCGACCTTGACCTCCTTGCGGGCTCTCTCCTCGATCCATTTCCTGGCCTCTGACCAGGGCTTATTCAAGGCCAAAAGGCCGCTCTTTCCTCTTCTCTTGATCAGTTGATCTGGCTTTGCAACGAATTTCGAGCCTGGCTGAAGGAGCCACGGATAGGTGGCTTCAGCCTGGTCCAAAACAGTTGACACTGCTTGATCTTCGGGGAAGAAGATGGATGCCAATTTGGGAGGAGGGTTATGGACTCCAGAAGCCTTTAGCGGAGTAGGCTTGATAACAGGAGCACGAGTGAGGTGGTAGTTGAGAATGGCCTTGCCATCGGCCTCGAGAATGGACTTTGCTGACATTGTTGCGGCGGTGAGGTGAGGGGTAACAGTACGAAGGGTTCAGGGACAGTCAATTGGGAATATTTGTCCAGGCTTTTTGAGATAGAAAACACTTAGGAAGACAGAAGACAGCAAGGACAATAGACAAGGAGATCAAGTCTGAATTGCCGACTCGAAAGTGCGAATGTGAGTTGTAAGGAGGAACAGTACGAACACAGCTGGGGGCCAGATTTCACTGTTTGGCTCAGTTTACAGTTGGACTTCGGAGGGAAACAATAATTGCTTGCCCTCGACTTTTTTCGGGTGGATCCCCTCCCTTCCCCTAGAGCCCTGACGTGTGGGTTGTTGGGGGCAGGGGTAGTGCCTTCGGGCGTGAGCTAGGCGTGCTAAACTTATCGAGGGGCATTCTCAGCATGTGTTTTAGGTGTGGAGACAGGGCTACTAGCCCGCGCCAACGCCAGGGACAAACCGCCCGCCATCTCCATCGTCCATCGTTATCGTCTCCATGGTGTTTGACCGACAATCCCCAACTGTCGGTCACCGCCAAAAAAAAAAAATATTGGCCCTGTGACGTTAAGACTGAAGATTGTAATGCCGAATTACCAGTCATCCATTGGGAATCCAACCACCTCTTTCACTCATTAAGTTACACAAAGGCCGTAACATGATGACTATCACCACCAAATTTCCAGTTGGCTCGGTTTCGAGCACCGATTGAGCGTTTTATTGTACGAGTAGCTTCGGTGAATCTAGACAGATACGAGGAATAGTTGCCCTGGAGGAGGCGGGTATAGGCTGCATAATGCGTGGTAGTTCCACCGGGCTACGAGATACGACGTGCACTTGTTACGGGGGCCGGACTCCGAATAGTCGGGCACGCGAGAACGATCTTTTCCTCCCAATCGATAGGTGACTCAATAGTCCTTCAGGCCCGCTCCTCGCAGACTCAGCGGATATGGTTCCAGGGGTCTTCAGCCTCTCCCAGTTCCGGGGCCCTCAATAAGGTATAGTGGCAGCTGATAGTGCCCCTGGGCTGAAAGGCTTGAGTGGCGAGTGGGCTGTCCATATCCAAAGTCCCCCACCCCAATTCTCACCGCCCGGAGAGTCTGCTGGTCCATGGCGGGATGTGCTAGAGCCTAGAGGTGGTGGGCTTGTTGATGGTTGCCCTCAACACAATATTGGGGGCCGCCAATTCCTATTTTCGGGCATTCGCCCAGGAGCTTCTCACGGTTGGGTCGCGCAGCTAACTAACCGGACCTGCCTCAACAGACGATCCCTAATCCAGTCGGCGCACCCTGTGTGGTCCCTCAGGTCCCTCAGCATCATCTGCGCTCTCCACAACTGCGCACTGGCGGGCGACCCTTTGTTGTACCCTTGGGGGAGAGAAAGTGAACACCATCTCATCCACCACCAACACCGGGCTCAATTCCTCTGGCCACATCTTTTTCTTCTCCTCGTCGGCGATTTTGATCTCTGCTCATTTCCACGCAGTTTGCTTCAATCTCTTTCTGTTGCCCTCCAAAACTCAACAACCAACCCCCCTCCCTAATGTAAGTCCCATTGAAAGTATCTATTGCTTCACCGAGATCTGCGTTGAACATTTTGTCCCCTTAACACACCCCTCCCTCCTATTATACTCTCCTGGCCAGACGACTGAAGGCTAGAGTTTCTCTCTTGTCTTTTCATCACTTGTACTGTTGTCTTCTCATTACCAAGTACTGTCCTCCGCTTCAGCTGGCTAACACAATGGGCATTCCAGTCCGTCAAAACTCCCCTGAGAACGCCGCTTCCGCCATGCCTTCTGCTACATCTGGCGCCGCCAGCAATGGTGTGCCCACGATTGACATTCCCAATGGCGACAACATAGACTCCGAGACTCCTTTCTCTGCCAACGATAACATTCGTCGATTTGCTCCTCCCTCGAGGGGGCTGAGCCCATCCCAAAATGCCCTCTTCCACAACAAGACCAGATGCTTTGTCTAGTAAGTAATTCCTTGGACAAGAGGGCGCACGAGATCTGACAGTTCCGACAGTGGTATGCAGCCCAAAGCCGTCCAGGGCATGCTGGACTTCGACTTCATCTGCAAGAGATCGACCCCGTCCGTGGCCGGTATTATTTACACTTTTGGCGGTCAATTCGTCAGCAAGATGTACTGGGGTACCAGCGAGACTCTCCTCCCTGTCTACCAGTCCGTAGAGAAGGCCTTCGAGAAACACCCTGACGTGGACACGATTGTCAACTTCGCCTCTTCACGTTCCGTCTATAGCTCCACTATGGAGCTGATGGAGATTCCTCAGGTTCGCAGCATTGCCATCATTGCCGAAGGTGTGCCTGAACGACGTGCCCGTGAGATCATGGTCAAGTCAAAGGAGAAGGGAATCACAATCATTGGCCCCGCCACCGTTGGTGGCATCAAGCCCGGTGCGTTCAAGATCGGCAATACTGGCGGTATGATGGACAACATTGTTGCGTCCAAGCTCTACCGCAAAGGTTCCGTGGGCTACGTCTCCAAATCCGGTGGTATGTCCAACGAGCTCAACAACATCATCTCACAAAATACCGATGGCGTCTACGAGGGTATTGCCATTGGTGGTGACAGATATCCCGGAACTTCCTTCATTGACCACCTCCTCAGATACCAACAAGAGCCAGAATGCAAGATTCTCTTGCTTCTCGGTGAGGTTGGTGGTGTTGAGGAATATCGAGTGATCGAGGCTGTGAAGAAGGGCCAAATCACCAAGCCAATTGTCGCCTGGGCTATCGGAACTTGCGCCAGCATGTTCAAGACCGAAGTTCAATTCGGCCACGCTGGTGCTTCTGCCAACTCTCAGCTCGAAACTGCTGTTGTGAAGAACCAGAAGATGAAAGAGGCTGGCTTCTTTGTCCCTGATACCTTCGAGGACATGCCCAATGTTCTCTCCGAACTCTACCAGAAACTGGTCAAGCAAGGCACTATCAAGCCTGCTCCTGAGCCAGCTGTCCCCAAGATCCCCATGGACTACGCATGGGCGCAGGAGCTCGGTCTTATTCGAAAGCCCGCCTCCTTCATCTCTACCATCTCCGACGACAGAGGTCAGGAACTGCTCTATGCGGGTATGCCCATTTCGGACGTCTTCAAGGAGGAAATTGGTATTGGCGGTGTGATGTCGCTGCTGTGGTTCCGTCGCCGCCTGCCTTCCTACGCAAGCAGGTTCTTGGAAATGGTGCTCATGTTGACTGCTGATCACGGTCCGGCCGTGTCTGGTGCCATGAACACCATCATCACTGCTCGTGCGGGCAAAGATCTCATTTCCTCTCTGGTCGCTGGTCTGTTGACCATTGGCTCTCGATTTGGTGGTGCTCTTGATGGTGCTGCTGAAGAGTTCACCAAGGCCTTTGACAAGGGCTGGTCTCCGAGAGAGTTTGTTGACACGATGAGAAAGGAGAACAAGCTGAGTACGGCGAAGCCATAACCCACTGCCAGATCATTTGCTAACTTTTGCAGTTCCTGGAATCGGTCACCGAATCAAGTCTCGCAACAACCCCGATTTGCGTGTCGAGCTTGTCAAGGACTTTGTCCTGAAGCACTTCCCCTCGCACAAGCTTTTGGATTATGCTATTGCCGTTGAGACCGTGACCACCTCCAAGAAGGACAACCTGATCCTGAACGTCGACGGTTGCATTGCCGTCTGCTTCGTCGATTTGCTCCGAGACGGAGGTTCCTTCTCCGCCGAAGAAGCTGAGCAATATCTCGGCATTGGTGTTCTGAACGGTCTTTTCGTCTTGGGTCGTTCCATCGGTCTCATTGCCCATTACTTGGATCAAAAGAGAGTAAGTTCTCCACTGTTGCCTCGGTGTGCACCAGTTACTAACGTTCTTTTCAGCTCCGCACTGGACTGTACAGACATCCTTGGGACGATATCACCTACCTTGTAAGTCTAATGCGCTCTACTGTCCCTAGAATTTGCCACTAACTTTGACCAGCTGCCCACTATTGGAAAGACTCCCGGAAACGAAGGTCGTGTGGAGGTCAGCGGGGAGTCATTGTAATTTTTCGTGCCAGCGTTGGATTGCAAAGCGTATCGAGGCCACTTCGCGCGTCGGGGTGCGTGACTTTGTTGGGTTCTGCAGGATGCAACATCTGTGGTATTGGGGTTTCAAGACAGGCCCGGGAGTTTATTATCACTTACGAAAGACCATGATGAGGGTACAAAAAGCCTCGGAAGACTGGCGGGAGAAATGGTGGGCTCGGTTCGTGTACAGCAGAATGGTCTTGTAGACGTCAACTGCGCTATGCGTCTTGTTGTCACCATTGCACCGCGCAAATGCCCGCATACAACGTTTCCTTTACCTACATACATATCTTCCACTTCTGTGCTTGTTGGATTTACTTGATTTGCGGACCCGATGGTCGTGTAATTCGTAGCTATGCTCATGACGCTGCCACTGATGCTACCACTGCCACGATCTTCTTTCTAAAAACAGTACCTCTTGTCGAAAGGAATAGATACACAAACAGGTCACAAAACGAATGATAGAAGAAAGATACCTGCAAAGCCAATTCCCATGAGGCCGAGAGTGAGTCAGGGAGAATATGCAGGATAGACACAAAAGGTTGGTGTCGTGACTCTTGACACGGCGTGCGAGCGAGCGTGCTCTCTTTCTTTATTCGGGTGGTGAGCATGAAGCCAGCCACGAAAGAACACGCTTCATGGCAAGCATCCGGTCTGCAGAGCGAGCTCTCTAAGCATTCTTCAGACAGTTGTCGATGACCTCGCACATTTCGAGGATCTTCTCTTCCTCGAGTCGCCTGCCGACAATCTGTAAGGCTACGGGCGCTCCGTGGTAGAATTCGGCGTCGTAGTCTTGTTGGATCCTGCCGTCGATGTCGCTCAGTGGCTTGAAGGTGCTCATGTCTCTGGCCTTGTCGAGCTCCTTGTCCGCAAAGGTGACGGGAAAGGTGCAGGCGCCAAAGTCTAGTTGTTTGACAGTGATTAGTATAGGTAAGGCTGTAATGGAAGGGAACAAAGAACCATGCTTACCCAAAAAGTTGACGAAGCCCGTGTAGCCAACGTACAAACTCTGCCTCTGTGTCTGACCCAGCCGAGGGGCTGCCCATGGCGATGTGGCGCAGATGATGCCGTCTAGTCGTGGTTTCTCGTCGGTGGCAGTCGCATTCCAGCGGTCAAGATAGGCTTTCTGCAGTTCATTGCGCCGGAGGTTCATCATCCGCATCTTGGTCGGCCCAAGCTCACCCTCACCAGCAGCAGCCGCCAGTGCATATCCTTCCATGCTAGGGAAAACCGGCTCTCCCCAAGGCTTAATGAGGTCCATGATGGCAGCGCCACCAAGATCGAAGAAAGCTGCTTGGAGATTCTGGGGCGGTCAGGAAACAACTTGAACGGTGCTAAGAACGTGGCAACACATACCTTAACGATCGCTTCATGATCCTCGGTGGACCAAGGGATAACTTCGTGGCCTTGCTTTTCCAGCGCGGCTTGGGTCATTTTCAAAGCCCGCTCCACGGGTGGATGAACGTGAACAAGGCTGTCATGGACGCCAATCAGGCCAAAGCGGAGCTTCCGTCCTGGTGGCTGGATGACATTGCGTTTCCATGGCAGCGGAACAACCTTGTGGTCATATTCCCAAGGTTTCACGTCTTCAGACAAGAGGGCTTCAGAATACAGCTGGAGCGTTTGCAAAGATCTCGCCATCGGCCCGTTGACTGACAAGATATATTCCTGTCCCGCTATACCTGGCTTGGCCCCATAATGCGGATAGCGACCAAAGCTGGGTTTCAGACCATACAGATTGCACCATGCTGCAGGAATGCGGATACTGCCACCGACATCTGTCCCAATACCTAGCGGCGAGGCTTTGAAGGCTATCAAAGCTCCTTCACCACCACTAGATCCTCCCGGTGAGAGGAATTTGTGCAAAGGGTTCCGCGTTTCACCCCAGACATTGTTGTTTGTTTCAGCCATCATCATGGCAACAGGGACATTTGTCTTGACATAGAAGACTGCGCCCAAATTTCGCAGAATAGTGACGAGCAACGAATCCTTTTCGAGAGGCTCATTGGCAAAAATCGCCATCCCGTTGCTAGAAGGATGTGGTGCTGTTATGAAACAGTCCTTGAGTGAGATAGGCAGTCCATGGAGAGGGCCGATAGTTTTCCCCGTACGTTCCAGGTACTCATCAAGGAACTTTGCCCTTTCGATTGCCTCCGGATAAAGCACTTCGGTCAAGCAGTTGGTCAATTCTTGGGCTAAAGCAGACGCCTTCGAGAAGGCTTTGGCGACTTCAAGTGCCGTCCACTGCTTTGTTCTGATCTTTTCGAGGATCACATCGGCTTCCGATTGAATGATTTGACGCTCATCGTCGGTATAGTAGTCAGATTTGAGCGCATACTCGGTCAGGTTGTTGGGCAAGTCGGCTTCATTCCATCCTGGAGTCTTGTAGAAGGCAGCAATATTGGCAGCCCTTCTCTTACGAGCTATTGCCGAGGCCTCTTTGTAGTCACGCGTCGCCATCTTCGTCAAAACTTGGATCAGCAGGACGGACAGGTCAGCAGGAAGGTTGAACTGGATGAACAATACGACCGAGCAGCATTTCGACCAAGTCTCGAGCGCGGATTAGGGCGTCGACTGCGATCTCGGAGTTAGCACAATCAATGGACGGGAGTCTATCTTGTGCCAGATGAGCATTGGTGGGCAACAAGCACGGAAGAATTGGGTACATACTTTAGTGCCGAGGTGTTACATTTGACCGTTGATGTCCGAGAAGGGGTGGAAGGGGTCCTTTTGGTCCTTTCGTCGTCTATCGCCGTCAGTGAAGATACAGACTGCGCCACATCAGCGTGCGGGGTGTCCGTACAAGTCTGCGCATGACGCCATAGCACGTGATGTCACCGCCACAAACTTGGGCTCGGAAGGGATGGGGCTGGCCAAGCCGGAGAAATCGATGAGTGATCGGCCGAAATATCTGGTGTGCTGGGTAAACGAAGTGGCTGGGTGATGTGCGTAATAGGCATCAGTCTCGACCTTAGGGGCCCATGTGGACACCGCCAACCACCTGAAAGGACAGCCGGGTGACCACTCAGAGGGCACGAGGCACCCGGAATTGGGCGAGTTCTCTTCAAAGGAGGGGTCCTTCTATTGCCTTTGCCGCGGGGCTGGCTCAGCTGCGCATTGCCAGTTTCAAGGCCCCGTCTGATGAGTGAATAAGTGCTGAGTCCGGATTCACCATCTTCCATCCTCAACCGCAACTCATCCTCCCGAAGCTGCGCAAGCTCTTCCCACATTAATCCCAGCTCGCTATAAATCATCTTAAAATCTTCTCTTCCTCCTTCGACCTATCCTTCTCTTTCGCTATTCGGATATCAAACCACACCCACCTCAGATTTCAAGTCTATCCTGTACCTCCTGTCTACTCCTGTCATCCTCACGCCATCCACAATGTCCGGGCCTTACGATTCCTACGGAGGCGGTCAGAACTACGGTAGCCAATATCCCCAGCAAGGGTATGGTAGCGGTCAAGGCTACCCCCCTCAGCAGTCATACGGCCAACAGTATCCTTCTCAACAAGGCTACCAACAATACCCTCCTCAAGACCAGGGCTTCGGCCCACCTCGCCGACAAGATTCCTTCGGGCCCCCTCAGTCTGGTGGCTTCCAGCATGGACAAGCTGGCTACCAATACGGAGCTTACGATGCCAGCAACCCCCAAGGCCATTCAGGATACTATGGCAGTAACCAACCTCAGCAGCAGCAATATGGCGGCAACGATGCCTATGCTCAGAACCAAGCCTACCAGGCACAAATGGGACAGGGTCAGCATGGTGGCCAACAACAAGCCCAGGGTACAAGTCTGCCACCGGAAGTGGCCAACCATCAGTTTTCCCCTCAATCGACTGACCCCAATGCGCCCAACTACGACCCCAACGCTCCCCCAATGACCGAGAGTGATCGTGGCCTCCTCGGCGCTGTCGGGGGCGGCTTTGGTGGTCATTTCTTGGGCAAACAGGCCGGTCATGGCTTCCTAGGAACCATTGGCGGTGCCATCCTCGGCAGCGTGGCTGAAGACTTTTTGAAGGATAAGAAGAAGCAGCACCATAGCAGCAGCAACAGCAGCTGGGGTGGTGGCAGCAGATACTAAGTTGATGGATACATCAACAAGACCTTTTTTTGCGGCGACTGCTGCTTGGTGGGAGGTCCTTTCAACACCATGGATGGGTTCTTTTTTTTTTCTTTGTTTCCTTTTTCGAGATGAGCTGATACAGACGGGAACACTTGGTCACGACTCATGACAAACATTGTACTTGGTTTAGCTGAACTGCCTTTCCAGCATGCATCAGAGGATGCTTATGCTTTTTCATAAGTTCAATGGCTGCGCGAAGGACAGGGAAGGGCTTTAGGCATCCATGAAAGGAATTGACGATATCACTTCCCCCGATTCATCTCGTCATTCATAATCTCAACGTGTCTAGATTTGCTTCGTGTGTCTAACTGCATAAATAACACCCAGCCTGACCCAGCAACCGCGTTACCGTGTTACCGCGTTACAGGTGTGCCGACAAGGCTTCTCCAGTTGTACCCACGTCGGTCGCATTCTTCCCCAAGTCCTTGAACCCAATATAACCATTGTCAATGACCCTCTGGATATGGCCGTAGAACAGCTTCAAGCCGCCAAAGTAGAAGCGCATGGCGTATTTCTTGCCCGGGATGTTTCGCCCAAAGATCCAGCTGGCCGTTTCCTTGAACAGGCTGCCCTCGGCGACGCGCTCGCATTCGAGACCCCATTCTTTCTCTGCTTCGGGCGTCGCCTCGATGAGCGGCACCGGGGCCGATTCCGGGTTGGACTTACGCAAGGTCTCGGCGCGCTCGACCAGGCGCGAGATGAGCTCGACGTGGGCTTCGAGCGCGGGCGGCAGGTTCGTAAAAGGGCCCTGGGGGCCCGTGATCATCAGGAGATTGGGGAAGTTGGGCACCGAGACGCCCAAGTAGCTCGTCGGACCGGTCGGGTCCCAGTATTCCTTGAGGCTGATGTCGTCGCGGCCGCGGATGCGGATGCGGTTATAATTGCCCTCGACGGCGTCAAAGCCCGTGGCGAAGACGAGCACGTCGAGCTCGTAAAGCTTGCCATCGCTGGTCTCCACGCCCTGCTCGGTGATGCGCGTAATGGGCGTCTCTTGTAAGGCCACAACGTCCACGTTGTCGCGGTTGAACTGCTCAAAGTACCCGCCGTCACAGAGCGGTCGGCGTGCGTAGTAGTCGTGAGGTTGTAGCTTACGCGCCTTCTCTGGGTCTTTAACGATCTGCCGGATCTTCTTGCGGATAAATTCGCAAGCGGCTTCGTTGGCTTCCCTATCTGTGGCGATGTCGCAGAAGCCGCCGAACATGAAGCGGAAGCCGTTGCCCGCCTTCCAAAGGGTTTCAAAGATATGTTCGCGCTCTTCCGGGGACGTCACGGATTTAAATGGAATAGTGGACTCAACGAAGCCAAAGCCCACGATTGAGTTTCTGACTTGGTCGAAGATGGCGTCGTAGTTCTCATTCACCCATGCACGGTAAGCAGGATCGACGGGTCGATCACCGCTGGGGACGCTATATTGAGGATGTCTCTGGAAGCAGGTCAAAGACTTGACCCGCGGAGCAATGTCGGTGATAACTTGGACTCCCGTCGAGCCGCAGCCGATAATACCAACGCGCTTGCCAGTTACATCCAGGCCTTGGGGCCAGTTTGCCGTGTGAACCTTCTGGCCCTTGAAACTGTCGATACCAGGAATATCGGGGTAGTTGGGCTTCGAGAGTAGGCCCAATGCGGTGATGAGATATCGCACTTTAAGGCTCTCCCCAGTGCTTAGTTCCACTTGCCAGTATCTGGAGGTATCGTTCCAAACTGCGGAGAGGAGTTCAGTGTTGAATTGCATATCCTTGCGCAGATCATGTCGCTCGGCCACATGCTTCAGATATGCCTGAACTTCAGGCTGCTTGACATAGTGGTGACTCCACGGCCAAGTTTGCAAGTCCTCTTTATCCCATGAAAATCGATAGACAAAACTCTCTGTGTCACTCATGGCGCCCGGGTAGCGATTCCAATACCAGGTACCACCAATATCACTGGCCATCTCGATCACCCTGGCAGACAGGCCCATCTGTCTCAGCCGATGCAGCTGGTAGATGCCGCCGAAGCCTGCACCGACGAGAAGGGCGTCAAGATCGATCTCTGCACGGGCCATGTTGGTTTTTAGAATGAATCAGCTCTCGGGGTAAAAAGTGGTTGATTCTAGTCGAGCAAGACAAGGACATATATCGAAGGAAGAAGAGAGCAGACGGTCTTCAAACCCCGGCCAGATGGGCACAATGGATACTGTAGACCGGGGGAGGGGGGTTTTCTGGGGTGACGGGGATGGTCTGGAGGTCGGATATCAGATGGGGCCCTCTGCTAGACTGGTGCGTTAGCGATGCGTTCCCTGTATCAGTGATAGGCTCTCGCCCACGGATGGACCGTTAGCTCTCCGGGTTTCATATCCCGTGGAATGGGGAAAATTCTGGACGGTGGAGAAAGAGGGGATTAATTTCGGTCCCTGGTCCTTGGATCAGATTCAGTAGTTTATCTGGGGGGTTCTTCCGTGGCTTTATGCATTGGTCTCGCATCAGGACTAGCCAGGACGCCTGCAGGCGATTGAGTACGCGTAGGGATGAAGGGAGGGTAGCAGCGGTATGCATGATTGACGAGAAAGTGTTGCGGGGAGTGTTGAAGCAGGATGCTGGATGGGGGTTTTTTTTTGTGGTCGCAGTTAGAAAGCTGGCTGCAAGTTTGAGGTGGCAAGGAAGACGAGCCAGTTCATTCGCCAAGAGTTCTGCACCGTGGGCTTGGAATTTGATCTTCCTCGGCCCAAATCCCACGCTGTTCATGTTCCCCGCATCCCTCAAAGGCCGCAGTCGACTGCTACATTGTTACCAAGTCCCCGTGCACATGATCACCTCCACGGAATCGCAAGTGGGAGGGCCAGCGAAAATGCCAGACCATGTCGCGGTGTACACCGTCGTGCCCGTCTTAAATGCAAGGTAAGGTGCTCGATTTATCTGACAACTCGATCTTGTCGATTTCTTATTCTGCATTCACCTTTTAGTACTAGACCAAAGTAGTCAACATGACACAACGCGTGGCATTCATCACTGGAGGAAGTGGTGGCATTGGACAAGCCACCGCTCACAAACTTGCAAGCCGTGGCATATGGGTTGTGATAACTGATATGGACGAAAAAGAAGGCACCAAGGTGGCGGACGAGGTGGCCAAGAAGTGGAATGTCAAGACCAAGTTCATCAAGCTCGATGTCACTCAGGAACAACAGGTCAAAGACGCCATAGCCTCGGCGTTGGAGTGGACTGGTCGTCTTGACTATGCGGCCAACTGTGCAGGAATATGCGAATCCATCTGGGCTGAAGAGGAAAGCATCAGTGTCGAGCTTTTTGATAGGTACGTGCAAGACTGATGCTCATGTGCGAAACTTCTGACCCTTTTTAGAACGCACGCCATCAACACCAAGGGCCTGTGGTTGTGCCAAAAACACCAGGCGTTACAAATGAGGTCTCAGGAGCCTCGTCCCATCTCATTTGAACCATCACCCCAACACACTATCCCCGGACAACGTGGTGCCATTGTCAATGTCGTCTCCATTTCCGGGCTCCAGGCTGCTGGTTTGGCTGCATACACGCCCTCGAAATATGCAGCTATCGGAGTGACGAAAAATGGAGCGAAATTCTACGGACCAGATGGAATCCGAGTCAATGCCGTGTGTCCCGGCTGGACTTTGACCAAGATGATCGAGAAGTCGATGGGCGCCGAAGGGACTATTGGGGCAAAGGAGAACGAAGAGTCACCAGTCAGTAAAGCCATTGCCTTGCGAAGAATGGCATTTGCTCAGGAGCAAGCAAATGTCGTGAGCTTTCTGTTGAGTGACGAGAGCAGCTATATGAATGGATCGCTGGTAGTGAATGACGGAGGCTTCCACGACATCCGGTGAAGGACAGCCAGTTTTTGTGTGAGATGATCCAATATAGACTTACTTCTGTACACCTTGTTTTTGTATAGACATCGCCATGGTTATGTAGACTGGACCTCTCTCGCAAGATTGAATGAGTGGAAGGGTAGATTAGACAGACTCAACGGAGCATTTGCGCTTTGCCTTGTTCAACTTGGTGCCAACTCTCTTTCCCCTGACCTCGTATACAAGTACAACCAAGACTGTGGTTGAGCAATGGCTATACCCAGCTATACAGACTCGGCACATCGGTCCGGCTGTAGCCCGGGACTAGTACAAGACAAGGGAATATACAACATCCCAAGACTGACAATGATCAACCTCGCTCAACGCCGCTCAACGCTTTCTCTCGGGGATGCAGCGGGTTTTACATGCTCTATTTCTGCTTTTCTTACTGATTATGACTCTTAGAATTTCGAGTCAGTTGTTCAACGTCTGTCACGGGACTTGAATTTATTGCCTCCCCAGACGATGCTTTCCACACACTCCACAATGTTGGATAAAGCATCCACAATTCCCCCCACAGACACGGCATTCCTGCTTACTGCGCTGTTCGATACTGAAGAACTTTCTCCAGCACGCGGTACCCACAAGTGGAGAGAATATGGTCCCCCATCCCACGGAATTGTCTCCATGGGAAGGCGAGTTCTGTCTGTCACCGATCTGATCACCTGTTTATATCCCAGCGGGTACCCTGTCGTCGTCGCTATGATTTCTCAGGATTCCTATACAGATTCCTGTACACACGCAATCTCCATCATCACTTGAATAACTCCCTAGCAACATGTCGAACTTCAATCGAGGTTACGCTGGAAAGCTCCAAGGATTCTGGCTTCAAGCAGCCATCACCTTGTGCGCAGCCTGGGCCTTCACTCTTTTCGGTACCGTTGATCCCGGTCACAATTCCAATTCCAATAGGAGGCCATGAACTCGCTGCTAACAGTCGTCGTCTTAGGATACGACCAAGGTGTCCTCGGCGGTCTCATTGCCCTGCCTAATTTCCTGTCGGCAAACAACATCGGTCCCCATGATGCGGATCTCCAAGGCACAGTCGTGGCCATCTACGATATCGGTTGTCTGAGTGGATGCATCATCTGTGGCTTCGTTGGCCAGATGCTCGGTCGCCGCATGTTTATCGTCATCGGGGGACTTCTGATCTGTCTCGGAGCTGGGCTGCAGGCTGGGGCGCAGGGTACCTCGTATCTGATTTCTGGGCGTGTCGTTGGAGGTCTTGGAATGGGCATCATCACCGTCATGGTACCCGTCTGGGTCGCTGAGACGGCCAAAGCAGCGACTCGAGGCGCCCTGATCGCCACTCAGCTGTCCATTGTCATCCTGGGCCTTACCATCGCCTACTGGTTTGACTACGGCATGATCCGCAACCATCCCGATACCGAGGCTGTGTGGCGCTTGCCCATCGCTTTCCAAGTGGTCTTCATCCTGTTGACCTTTGCCATGATCTTTTTCCTCCCGGAGTCGCCCCGTTACCTATACGCCAAAGGCCAGACCGCCGACGCTGATGATGTCATGTCTCGCATCTACTCGGTCCCGGTTGACAGCGAGGAAGTATCCAAGCACCGTTCCGATGTGTTTGCGGCCCTGGAAGCCGAGAAGGAGTACAACTTCAATTTCAAGAACCTCTTCTACGACGATTCGCCGGTGAACACGACCTGGCGGCTGTGGCTTGGTGTCTTGGTTCAGGTGAGAGAATACTGCCACTCTTGACTGAGAAGAGAGTGGTCAAGCTAACGTCTGGTAGTTCTTTCAACAAATGGATGGGTGAGTAGAATTAGGGCTGCTGCTAAATACCAACTAACCGATGTAAAGGAACAACATCGTCTCTTACTATGCGACCTTTCTCTTCATCAATTCCCTCGGCATGTCGCAAAACCAGGCTGCCATCACGAGCGGTGGTGTCACATTACTCTTCCTCGGTGGGACTGCGACTACCATATACACAATGGAGAGGTTCGGCCGACGATCAGTCATGCTATGGGGAGCCGTCTTCTGCTCTTTGTTCATGATCCTGTTCACCATCGGACTCGCTGTCAACAACGACTCTTCCAACAAGCTTGCTGTTGTCAGCATCTTCCTGTTTGAGTTTGTGTTTGGTGCCTCGTGGTGCGGTGCGCCATGGATCGTAAGTTACTCACCAGAGTCTGAAGAGAGACATTGCTAACTGTTGGTCTGTTTAGTACGTACCCGAGATTGCACCTCTTCATGTGTAAGTGAACCTTCACCAGAATGCCACCAGCTGCCATGATCATCATCATGGTCGAAGACTTCTGGAACCAAGCTAATCATTTGTTTACAGTCGTCACATTGGTACATCGATGGCTGTCTTCACGCAGTGGATCATCACGTTCATCGTGGTCAAGTTTGGACCGATGGGAATCCAGGCTTCAGGGTGGAAATTCTACCTCCTCTTCTGCGTCTTCAACGTTCTGGCCGTGCCGTTTGTCTACTTCTTCGTCAAGGAGACCAAGGGTCTGAGCTTGGAGGAGATCGACGTGCTCTTTGCGAAGAAGGAGTACAAGCACGTGTTGGAGGCAAGACTTCGGGGCGACGCAGAGGCGGGAGAAAAGGGTGCGGTCGAGAAGCATGAGATTACCCATGAGACATTCGAGATGAAGTAGATGTACAGTGCGCACGGCGGCGGTGTTGCTAGAGGCATCGCACTCGAAGGAGAGGAGGAGGTTGAAGGACGACAACGATATATTGCTAGAGGCTTAGAGTCTGAGTGGCATAAACACGGAGCGAGCCACAGCTGCCAAAGACAAGACAGGACAAGTTAAGACTAGACTAACAGAGACGCTTCCTATAGATCAAGAAGGATAGCATAGCATCTAATCGTCCATGGATAGGAAAAGTTGCTCTTCCAAACTTTTCTTTCGATCATGACTTTCATCACCTTCATCTCGGAGTCAACTGCGTCCGACTGCGCCCATGTCCTACCACCACCACCTCCTCCACCTCCACTACCGCCACCAAAATCCGAACTGTCCGTGCCTCGAAGCATCTACATAATCCACTCTGTGCATTTCGCTTTTCTCTACCAAGCTACCCAGCTTTCATCGCTTCACTGATCGGATCGGATGCGGACAATGATGGCCCCTTGGCAGCGAAAGAGAAGTCAAAACTGCTTCGAGCTCACGTGCGCTCACCAGGTTTTCCTTCCTCCTTCCTCCTTCCTCCTTCCCCTCGACTCCGAACCTCTTGCAACCTATGTTAATTACAAGTCTGCACCTGCCATCTGCCATTTGCCATTCTAATGCAGTTTTTACGTCCTAGGCTTCCATCATGGCGTCCTCGCCCTCGTCCCCGAAGACGTTTACCTCTCCTCCATCCGAAACCGAAACCTCTTCGCCTCAAAATACCATGCCTACACGCGATCGCTCAGCAGGGCGAAATGTCCACATCTACGACTTGAATAATCCTACCACCGTAATTGGCGGCCTACTCCTCCTACCCGGTGTCACAAATGCCAACTTCTATACAATGATAGAGATTATTATTATATTCGAGGGCCCTTTCTTTCTACAAAATGAGAACGAAACGACGATCGAGAGAGACGACCATCCACTTCAACCTGGAAAGTATTACATTGTTACTACTAGTTCTTTTCAGCTCAACAATGAGCCATGGCTCGTACGGACAATCAGTCTAGCTACCGGAAGTCGTGTTGCTACCTTCACCGAGGCTATTCGTTCACGAGATCGTCAATGTATCATATCCGGAGATCCTGTACCTACCTTTAATGGAATGTCCTTCTGGGAGAAATTCGAAGCTGCGCATATTTTCCCACTCGCCTACGAAGGTCACTGGGGGAAACATGACTATAGTCGATGGATTACAATTCAACCGGAAAAAGGAGGATCTATCAACTCAGTACAGAATGGATTATTACTACGACGCGATATCCATAGTCTATTCGATGCATATCTCATCGCAATCAACCCGGATGTATGAACATCTCATGTCGATATGAAGGATTAAGGCTAATATTTAATATAGGATAACTATAAGGTTGTAGCCTTTGGGCCTACTGGGGAAAATATCGAAGGCAAGCATCTTGATCGGGAGTCATTTACTCGCCCTGATGCGCCTATTGATCCGCTTCTACGATGGCACTTTAGACAAGCTGTCCTAGCGAATATGAGGGGTGCTGGAGAGCCGCGCTTCGAACATGACCTCCCGCCTGGTTCTGATATTGTTGGTGAGATACTTCGGGGTCCGAAGTCAGGTGAAAGAATGGAATTTGAGCTGTTTAGTCGTCTCGGTGCTCAAATGGAGTTATATCCGTCGGCAGTGAGCTTGAGAGGGGGGAAGGGGGAGGAGACTAACCAATGAATACAGGGCGGCATCATCGTCGTCCTAACGGGGGTGAGCTCGCGGCAGTTTTTACTTATCTTGGCTAGTCGCTACTTAATTCGACCACCGCGAGCCGAGGAGCATGGGCTGTCGTCTGTAGTCTGTGGGCTGTGGGCTGTGAGCTGTGGGCTGTGGGCAACAAATTGAGTCATTGTCATGAATCCTTCGAGGACACTACGTGTGATGAACACATCACATATTGCATGGGATGGTATGCATACAATGGAGGGATGATATATCACGCTCGCCAGAGTCGTGTTTCTCCTCCTCCACCTCCACCATCATTGGGCAAGCATTAAAGCAAATCGCCACATCACTATTGATATCAACTCAAAATCTTACCATGCTGATCCATAATAGCTCCTTGGCCGACGAGATCTACGCCCTCAACGCCATCTACGGTGAGGGTCAGTTTGCCGCAACCTATTCCGATGCGCACCACACGACCGTGTCAATGCGACTTCCTGGGCTCAGCTATTCATTCCTGCTCCATGTTCTGGACGACTATCCTCAATCGCCCCCGAAGGTACTCGGAGTCGACAACCTCGTGGAGAGCTTGAAGCAGGAAGTCCAACAAAACGCCGTCTACTTGGGAGCGTGTGTCCAGGCCGTCCACTCCTCCGAATCTGTGTGTCTATACGATGCCATCGAGGAGTTCCAGAATGTTTACACTGTCCTGCAAGCGCATACTCGTCAATCTCGAGACCCGAGAGAGGACGCGCAACTGAATTCGGCTAAAAGAGCCATCATACTGAAAGATTTGGCGGCCCGAACCAGGGCGAAGGCATCTGCAGGAGGCCACGAAAGCATCACCACAGATTCACGGTTCGATGTAGTCGACTGTGTTGTTTGTATGGACGCTTTCTTCAGGGTTGATGTCGTGAGCTTGGAGTGCCGTCATTTGTTCTGTCGGGCTTGTCTTCACGGCACGTTTAGGCCACCACCTTTGGATTTCGGAGTCTGGACTAACTGAGTACAGATGGTGCCCGGAACATGTTCAAGACGAGAAGCGAGATCAAGTGCTGTGGGCAGAGTGTACCACTCAAAGTGATTCGCGAGCACGGCGGCCTCGACGCAGAGGCTGTTGACGTCCTCGCCCACTGGCTTGAGGAAGTCCACGCCCCGAACCCGGTATATTGCCCGTGGGAAGACTGCCTGGCGCACATTCCGAGTTTTTGGGTCAAGGGAGACTACGTCAAATGCCCTTTCTGTAAGAAGAGGATGTGTATGGGCTGCAGGGGAAAGGAACACAGCGGGTTATGCATGCGAGATAAGAAGCTAGAGAGGCTCATCAAGAGACAGAAATGGAAGTTCTGCCCCGACTGTGGGCATCTCGTCGAAAGGAAGGAAGGATGCAACCATATGACCTGCGTTTGCTCCTCCGAGTTCTGCTATCGATGTGGAAAGACTTGGGAGAGGAGCGGACCGACCTGCGACTGTGGATTCTTTCGACCACTTGATTGAAAGGGACAACTGACCCAGGACGCCCTCATGTATTACCAGTTCGAGATATGGAGTCTTGGTTTGGGCTCTGCCTTGAATGGTCGTCGTCCACCAACATGTCACAAGGCAGCCTCGTTTTACCAAGTACGACTCTCTCGCACCTCACAGACTATGGACGACCGCCAACTCGTCGACACAGTCTAGGCACGACTCTCGTATTCATTCCAGAAATTATCCATGGCTTCCGAGAATGATTTGGTCGGCAGATCCAACAGCGGATTTCCAAACTCGGGCCTCCCTTCATACTGATTGCCTTGTGCGAAGGTGCCAAAGGTCAATTTTGGCAGCGCGCTGTTGTCGCCACTCCTGACCTCCTGCTTCCCTTGCTCTAGCCACGGTCCGTGCTGGACGTTTTCCACCTGCCACCCAGGCATCTTCTGCTGCACGGCATCCAACATTTCCTTTTGGTTGGTCCTGAAATCCTGGACCAGCAAAATCCGGTTTTTGGAGACGTCGGGCTTCTCGATCGCCTTGACCACGGCCAAAGCGACGGTATCCATGGTCGTGGCGACGAATCTGGGCTCGCCGCCGTCTATCAAAACGGCTTTCTTCTGGTCAAAGTGCAGCTGGAAAAACCCAGAGATGAGGCCCATCTCAAAGAAGGCATTGCAGCAAACACTGGTCCACTCGAGGCCCGTGTCTTGCTTGGAGATCAAGTAGTCGCGCACGTCGTGCTTGATCTTGAACATCTCCCGCAACTGGAGCAGCCAGTCCGGCAAGTCGTCCAGGCCGAACTCGGTGGGGAAATATCGCTTCACTTTTGCGGCGATGCAGGCGTCGATGAAACTGTACTGCTGGTGCATGCCCATCATGGAGATGGCGGAGATGACGACGTCGACATCCTTGAAGGCGTCTGTGAGCTCGGCGATCGGATAATCGTCAGCGACGCGGGTGACGGTGACGGCATCGGGGAATTTTGCGGGGGAAGAATGGCGTGTCAGGACTGTGACCTGGAAGTTTTGTGAAGAGGCCAACAGGTGTTTGAGGATCAGAGTACCTAGATTACCGGAGCCGCCGATGAGACAAATTCGTCGAAAGGCCATGATTGTGGAATGAGTCGCGGGAGCGGGCCGTTTGAGATGCACGAGCTTGATGTGACTGACTATGATATTGACATTCGCCAGTCGTAGAGAAAAGGATGTAACTACTTGTATATATCGTACTTTCGTAGGGGTCCTTACCTACAGTAGATAGATCCGTTTGAGGGCACGGGGGTTACCTGAAAGAGAGAGCTTTGACGTCGGTTTTTCCTCTTTCCTCTTGTTCGTGCTGTGCTACTCCACCCCGTCGATGGCAATTCTTCTCAGCTTCTTCGGCAGATTGAATCTTGGGACAATTTCCGGATGTGGAACGTGGAGCGTGGGGCAAGTTTTCGAGAAAAGAATGAGGGTCTGACAGAAAGAGTTTTCTGCGGGGAAAAGCATTGTGGATGTCTCCAGCAACCACCAGGCACGTTGGGATGTCACGTTGGCACGTGGGAGTTGAATAATAGACAGTGTCAGACAATAAATAATTAGCCTTATCACCATATCTACCTTTCTTCATCTTCACCTTCACCTTGACCTTGACCTTGGCCATCCCCTTTGCTCTCGCGATTATACCTCGTACCTGATCCCCGAACAGTACCTAGGATGCTAGGTAGGGTGGTACAAAATGAAGTCCTTGCAATGAGATGACATGACTAGGTTGCCAGGTATACGAGGTACAGATTAGGTAGGTAGACTTACAAGCACGGTCATTCATTGTATTGATTGCTGTGTCATATCTCTGCATTCTGTGGCGTTACATTTCCACCTTGGGCTGATCGGGCTGCATCTGCACTTTCAAGGCTTCGTCGCCACCTTCGTCGTCGCCTCTGGCAAACTCGACGCCAGCGCTCTTCATCAACACTCTCTGCTCCGCCAGCGCATTGATCCACTGCCCGAGCCGCCACCCGGCTTTGGCAACCTGTTCCTCCACAATGGGCACCGCGCCCTTGTAGTACACGTCCGACAGGTCGTCGGGCCCCCGCCACTCCCAATTGCAGCACGTCTCACAGGGGTCTGGGCCGAGATTGATCCCGACGTCCTTGAGCACGTAGGTGCAGATGAAGGCGTTGGCCTCGGACGCCCAAGCCAACGCGCACTCCTGCGCCGTCGTGATGTCGGTGCACTCGTCCGACACGTCTACGCCGCCTCTCCCAACGTCGAGCCGCTTCTTGAGATCCGCCGCCCACTTCGCTGAGAGCTGCTTGTCGTATTCGTTGTCCGGGTCCGCGTCGCGCGGCTTCTTGTACCCGCGCAGCTTCTGGATGATCAGCTTGTCCCACACCTGGTGCAGATCCTCTTTCCTCGAGTCCGCCGCGCCCCATTGAACCATCAGCTTCGTGCCCCCGCGGCATTTTTGCTCCGTGTGCAACGGCTGTGTGATGTCGCCGAGGAAATGCAACAGGAACTTGAGGGCGTTGCTCTGATCTCCTGGTTTCAGACGTGGATTGTTGACTTGTTTGGTCTTTTGACAACCCGTCCCCATGGGCCATGGAGCGTCAGCATACACACCATAGTTTTTGAGGATAATATCAATGTAAGGTATGGGCAACTCGCTCACCATGTTTGCAATGGCCGTCACGATACATTTCTTGTCAGGATCGCAGTCGGCGTTGAAGTTGACCTTGCATTTCTTGGGCGGGTTGTCCTTTGCGTCGATATAGTGCCACGGCTTGGACCAGGGCATCCTGGTCTGCGTCGCCCAGTCATCGGCCCAGACCGCCCCGTCGGAGATGTCAAATGACTCGGTCGGGTGCACGAGCTCGTCAAACAGGTTCTCTGCTTCCGAGGTGAAGTACATCTGCGCGAGGTATCCGACGGTGCGGTGTCCGAGTTCGCCCCATGAGAAGGCCTTGCTCGCCAGACAAAGGAGGATGAGAAGGTGAGTCTTCATCGTGAGGTTCGCGACGTCAGTACAAGTGCTGTTTCTGTGTCTTGAGCGCAATGATTCGCAAATACCCAACTACCAGAAGTCAGGGTAGAAGCAGTGCCGGAGAACAAGAACTGGCTTCTACACCGGAATAAATAGCGAATGGGCCAGGAACGAGCATGGGCCACTGGATCTCAGAGCTGAAACCTTCTGTCTCTTGCACTCTCATCCACCACATCCACATGCTGAGAGTCCGTGCTAGAGGAGCTGCTGTGCATTGGTTGTAGAGATTCGAGTTACACAAAGGATGGGGTAGGAGGAGGGAATACGAGCAGTGAGCGTCAGGAACACGAACACAGACGCGGGTGAGTACAGTTCAGCTCCTCCGAGATACATGTAGCCAGCCAGCTCCCACCTTTGAAGAGCGGAAGGGCATCCAGACCATGGTCGTTTCCAGAGTTCCTCGAGGGCACAAGCTCGATGCTCTCTGGCGTGGTTGTTCATGATCAATCCGTCACCTACCTGTCTGCGAGAAGCAATGCTTTTTAAATGTGCCAGTGAGCTGGATCTGTAGCATTCCAATGCTGTCATGGAAATTTTTGTGTGCTTTGTTTGTGTCTGGATGCAGAGCTGAACCACCTTGACGAACACGAATACGAACGCAGAGGTGGGACGGGGCTCGGCATGGATTCTGAGCATTCAGAGCGCGACATTCAAATGGAGTCTCCTTTCAGGCACCGCTTCTTGATCTAAACTCACCAATCTATGTGACGGAGCAGCACCGAGGTCGCTTGTTATTGAGATGGGCTATGCCATCAGCTGGCAGATTGATCTGGTGACAAAAGGGGTACAGCCTTGTGCGGAGTCTAGGGGGCACAAGGCTGAAGGGATGGATAGCATGAAGAGTGTTTGAGCAGCGCGGTTGACTTGGACCCGATGCAAAATGCCTCGTAGATTCCGTCAATGATAGACAGTTACAATTGCAGTGAGGTGTCGGAGACACGTCTTAAGGCCTGCGCTTAACTGAAAATCTAATAACTACCTGAAGCATGCCCGCTACAATGTTTTGGCACATTTCGGGTTTCAGATTGCCACGCATCCGTGCCCACCAGAGCAACATTGCCATTTGGGGTATAGGGACAACTTCCTCTTGACTGTGAGGAGTTGTATCTCACGTCAGAGCAGGTATCTATTTTCTCAATGTTTGTGCAATGTATCGTTGTCACTGGGGCCTCCACCAAAGTTGTGGCTCCGTCGAGACAAGGCTGCGGGTTCCGTGAGAGGCTTTGGTGGTAACTTTGTGCTTGGGGAAGTAGTCTCTGAGGAACAAGTTCACACAGTCACAATTAACAGCGGGAAACATGTCTAAGTAATAGAGTAGACCACAGCGCGACGCAGTCTCTCATTGACCTATTCGGGCAGGATGCTCACGTGCCAGTCACGTGCCGTTTCGGCCCCCATGCCCCTTTCGCCACAATCCCGTACGGCATGGCACAGCCATGGCAGGCCAACCGATATGCTGCGCAACGCCGCGTGCTTCGTACTCCCTCCATACTTTGCTTTCGTGCTCCATGTCGCATGTCGCTCACTTGTATTCCCAAAAGTCTTGTCTTCTCACCTGTCCGCTCGCTTTCAGTCATGTTCATTCTGACATGACTACGACATTCTCTTGTCCCCCCCTACACTCCATTCAAGGCGACAATACCAGTATTTTGACTTGCAGCCATGAGTGAGGATCCTTCCTTTGTCACTCTGACGCTCCAGCAGCGTATCGCCGCCTTGAATGCCGCCCATATTGGCCGAATACCTGGGGAGCCACCCCGACCCTCGCCGCGCCCCCCTCCTCCTGTCCCTTACAGACGTCCCCCTCTGGTCAAACAGAACACCATCAACAACCCGCCTGAACACCTCAATGGTTCAGTTACCGACTCGAGACCAGGTAATCAGCCTGCTCCTCCACCTGCGGCGAGAAAACAGCCTCCGCCCCTCCCTTGTCGAAATCCCCCGCTTGAAGAACAGAGGCGAGGTTCGGTGACATCGATCAACTCTAGTGGTACGAGTGACACCGCCTCTTCAAGGGCCACAACCACTCGTACCAAGTCTACAGACTCAACCAGCCGGATTAAAGCACCGGCATGGGGCGAGTGCGAACTTCCTTCTCTACCTCCTCGGAGTGGTAATACACCTGTGGTCTCTCGAAAGCACTCGGAGGATCTTCCCAAATATGTCAGTCGAGTTCCATCAAGCACAACACTCGTCACTTCAGCCACCACTGCGGAAGCAAAACCTGCACCCCCTCCGCGCCCATCTCTTCCGCCGAGACGCCCTTCCCGGAAACATGAGGCTGAACATCGGGAGCATGTGGCCGAGACTCTAAGGAAGATGCCTCCCGTACCCTCGGTTGAATCAATAGAAAAGGCAAAAAAGGCGGCGTTCTTCTATAACACCCCCAAAGAACAACCATACCACCAGGAATCTGTCCCGGTCATGGAACCAATTCAACTGCCGCTGAAAGAACCTGTGTCACTACCTCTGCGAGAACAACCAGGCCCATTGTTAGCCAGGGGGCACGTCCCTGTCTCATTGGGAGAGACCATAAATGGTTACTTGAAAGATGTCCAATCGGCGCCACCACCCGTCCCAAAGTTCTCTCGACCAGATCTTTCTGCCATACAGGCGACTAAACCCAAATTTGCCCCGAGCACTACTCCAGTGCAGGGCAGTCTTCCGGCTGCGTCCAGTGTCTGTCTTGTCTGCCGAGACTTCTCTGGCCCCGATACCCAAGCCACTCTGTTCCCTAGGGCTCAGGTCACCTCGTTACAGGTCTTAGCCCACCAGCTAACCTCTCCATTTCCATCTCCTACCGACAAGGCACGAGCAATTTTCACCTGGCTACACCACAACATTGCCTATGATGTTGTTAGCTTCTTTAATAACAACGTACGAGGATCAACGCCACAATCAACCCTACAAAGTGGCCTGGCAGTTTGTGAAGGCTATGCTGCGCTTTTTACAAATCTTGCGACCTATGCTGGCCTCGAATCTGTCGTTATCTCAGGTCATGGCAAAGGCTATGGTTTCAATGCCCTCCCGCCTGGGGCTCCTCTTCCCCCTTACAATGCAGGTCATGCATGGAACGCTGTTAAGATTGACGATGGAGAATGGAAACTTATCGACACGTGCTGGGGTGCAGGCTATGTCCAAGGTGCAGGTCGCCCCTACGTGGCTAAATTTAACCCGGATTTCTTCACCATGTCGAATGAAGAATTTGCGATCAAGCATTTCCCGGGCAATAAAGATCAGTTTTTCCTTCCTGGGGGACGACGCATGAGTTGGGAAGAGTATATCGTGATAGACCCTGCCTGCTGGCCAGACATGGTTGAAGGACCGACGATTTTTACAAATGCAAAAGAAGACTACTCGATTGGCGAGAAGTCGGTGTTTCCGCGAGCGAGGAAAATCAGCGTACGTCAGCCCGATAGTGTCCGATTTCAGTTCGGTCTCAGATGTGCGCACTGGACATTGGAACGACATACGCAAAAAGGACCACCCCCGGTATTCATTGTCTCGATTAATGGTGTTGATGGGCGAGACAAGGATCTTGTTCCCATGGACTACTATCCCGGCCCCACGGGACAGGGTGGTGATATATGGGCGGTCGATATCCCAGCCCGCCAGCTGGGTGCACCTGGCCAGACCATCACGCTGTTTGCAGTCACGACCTTTGGCAACAGGCAGGATGCTCGAGGTCTCACAGTGGTGGAGTTTCGCGAGGGCAAAGGCAGAGTTGGGATGGGATTTACTGGCGTCGCAGCCTGGGACTTGGTTTGACATGCCACTCTTTTTGGTTGCAAGATACTATGGTTGGTCCACATTATCGGCATGGCGCTTGGAAAGTTGGCACCGGCTGGAGAGAGACGCTGAGAAACCGTGCCTGCAAACCGTGTACGGTTTGGTTTCGCATTTGGATTCACGAATGGAAGGCAAGTCCTGGATCACATTGGAAAATCCCCCCTGCATCGGGATTAATAGGGTTGATCTCGTGGGTTCGATACCAAGCAGGGACGAAGAAAAGAAGAAACGTCCAAATCTTCAATCCAATCGTGAAATGTGTGGTGAGTGAGAGTGAGAGAGAAACAGGATACAGGCACGAAAAGGACGATGGTGCCAATATTAATGATAATGAAACCCCGGCCAACATAAAGATACCCAATGTAGGTGTGTGTGTGAGTGTGTGAAAAAGGAAGATTTTTGAACCGTAAAGGACTCATTTTTCTTCTTCTTTTTTTTTATGACTGATCGAAAAAGAACAATCGCTTTTAATACAATATACCATGTGCTGTGTGTGTGTACGTATACTCCCAGTGTGTGGTACCCATGTACGTATGTATATTTGTAGAACTAACTCCCCGAAAGAACACCACTGCCGTCGCCAGTCAATGCAGACTACTACGTGAGTAGGTAGGAAGGAACTCCCGAGTCACTCTCGAGTCAAAATGCGTGTCCGATGCGCGCTTTCGCTTGCTGAAGAATAAAAAAAAAGCCCAGGCTCTGCCGTGCAGATCGACGCAATGTGGTTTCCATACCACAACAAAAAACCACTGTCCATAAAAGTGAGGCGTAGTTCCGGACTCAGCGTAGACGTATGTGAATGTCGTAGGGCTGTCTCGATACAAGGGTGCCATCTTTAGCGTCGCCCTCATTCCGTCCCGCTTCCTCTTGAGCTTCAATACCTGCGCGTTGTTTCCCCTTGACACGCCGAGCACGCTGTCTGATCCTCTCCGAATACACCGTGACGGAGACATGCACATCAATCTTCACCTTGCCTTGTGGAACGTCAAGTCTAGATCCTGCCGCATGCTACACGACCACGTTTCGGCTTTTCCAAACCCTCCAAGCCACGCACCAGCAGCAGATCGCTAAACTCACACTCGCTGCGCATCCCCACGCCCACGCCGCGAAGCACAGGTAGCCTCGGCATTCTCCATCCTCGAGATCCGGTGAATGCGCACTCCCTGCTGAATAGCCAGCAGAGTAAACGAGGCTCCACACAGCAGCTCCCCCAGCAGGCATCATGGCCACAACACCCCAGTTCGTCGCAAAATTTTCCACTCCCCATACCACGGAGATAATAATGGGCACGAGGCTGAAACATGCTCCGTAGCCTAATCCCACCAGCGAAGACGAGAGTGGGAACAGACCAGGGTGCTGAAGCGTAAGCGCAGGAAGAGCGAGATTCAGAAATGCGAGGAGTAGGAGGAATGCTGAAGGGATGAGCAGAACAAGGCGAGAGAATTGGAATCGGTTGGTGGGTGGGGAATCGGGGTTCGAGGGAGGAGCGAAGAGGTCGGATAGTGACCCGGTGAAGAGTCGCGCAAAGGTGGATGCGAGAGCGACGATAGAGACGTGTGTGCTTGCGTGGCCCGCTGGAGGGTTTTTATTACCGTCACCATCGACATAGTTGTAATCTCTCGGCGTCAAAGTCGGTATGATGGTGCCGAGGTTGTTGATATATGCCTCTCCAGGTCCTGTGAGCAGGAAAAACCCTGCGGCAAGAAGCCACATGGTTCGATCTGTCAGGAATGTATGAGTCGCATGGTTGAGAAGCCAGTATTTCTTTTTGCGGAGGCGGCGGTCTTGGTCGCGCTTCTTGACGAGCTGGGATTCGGAGAGGTTTCGTTCGGCTTCCGAGTCCATGTCGTCGTCCGAATATGTGCCAGAGCCCTCGCCAGACACCTCATCGTCTCCAATGGTACCATAGTTGATGGGGGTGGGAGCACGAGAAGTGTCGTGGTAGAATTCACTCTCGGCCAAGAGACCACTCCGTTCAAGGTTCTCCACGCCGTGATCAATGAGTTCTTCCTCATCGACAATCTGCAGCCCCAACGTCCCAAGAAGACCGACACCAATCAATGTCCCGGCCAGGAAGATGAAGTACTTGAACACATCCACCTCTCCCTTGTGGCCATTGGGCAGCTTTTCATATAACAAATGTGCGCCAACCTGAGACTCCCACATGCCACTCAAGCCGAACGCCGCAATAGGAACGGCCAGCATGAAACCTCGGTATTTGGCGTTTGCAAAATTCTTTGCGCAAGTCGCCACGGCAGAGAGGTACATGCAGCTGGTCCCTGCCCCAATCCCGACAAAGGCCAAAATCATGACTCCGAAAGGCCAACCGTGGCCTGGTTTGGTTGCGTCAGCGGGAGGGCCTGACTTGTATGTATAGGCAGCGAGGAGATACCCTGCGCCAAAGAGGACCGAGGAGAGAAGAGACAGAGGAGGTGGTGAGTAGCGGTCGCATAGATATCCGAAGAGCGGGACTGGGAGGTACATTGCCAATTCAGCAGTAATGGAGACAGCATTGACTCGAAGTTGTGTGTAGTGCAAATCCTGAAGAAAACGAGCGCCGTAGAGGGAGAAGGAGGTGATTGACCCGGCACAAAGACTGTAGGTTAATCGTGAGCACTTGCATCATCCACAAGATCGGGTGTAAATATGTCATACCAACTGAGCACAGCGCACACAAAGCTCAGTACTCGAATCACCTCTCTCCGCATTGCTATACGATCTCTCTCAATGATCTCCTGGGCGACCTGGCCCATAAAATCAAAATCATCATCGTCAATTCGGGGACGCGAGCCTGACGTCCGCCGTCCACGTTTGGGATTGGCGTCGAAGTCGAGCGCAGCGATGCGAGGATCGGAGGGTGGCATCTTCTGGGCGGACGAGGGGGTGTCGAGGCAACAGTGAGCCTCGTGTCCGCAAGGCTTAACAATACAAGATAGAAATGAAGTGCGCAGTCATGATGCTGGGAGGCCCTCGAATCACCATCGCAACGCCATCGTCGACACGTGGTGCGGTGCCAGCTCAACAAGACAAGGGGATGCAGGACAAAACGGGGGGGATTGAACGAAGCCTGAGAACAAGCGGTTCGGGACTTGGGATGAGCCAATGACCGATGACGCCATTCAAACACGCGACTCGAAGCTGCAAGCGCAAAGCGGAAGACGGAGAAACATTAGTCCATACAGGCCCGTATCAAGCAAAGCAGCCTTGGAATGGGTGTTCGAGATGGCCCAACGATGACACACACTTTGTCTTCCTCCTGGTGTTTGTCCTCTTGCCCTGAGATTATCTATGGTACAGAAATACTCTTCTGGATCCATCCAGGACCTTTCCCTCCGACTACGCCCAGGCCAATGGGTTGGATGCATGGATATCGAAGTCACAGCCTGCCCTCTATTTTGTGGACTCCCATTCCGGATTCTACACAATGTCAGTGAAAAGAACATGTCGATGCTTGGGGTATTACTGACCTTGCGCAAGATAACCAGCCCTTCCAACGTGCTGCTCAGGCATATGTATTCTTCATCTTCCAGTTCTGCCCGCTCACCGTAAGCCAACAAAACCGGCGTACTCTGAGTCTGCCACCCTGTAATGGTGCGTGGTCGTCCAGCTTGCCCCACAACATCCACTGCTTGACCGACACGCACGTTGACCGTAAGTGGCTTCAGCTCTTCGTCCAAAGTCACCAAGAATCTGGGGTACATTGCTGTGACCAAGAAGTACAGAAGGTAGTGTGCATCGGCAAGGATGAATTGCTTGGAATCGACGAGGGAGACAAGGACAGTGAGAAGACCCGCCGCAGCGACTCTTGACAGAACTTGTCGATCGGTGTGGAAGGGATTGAGCGACATAGTGCCCTTGCCCATGTGGAGCAAACCCTGCGCGATTCGAACCATGAAGAGCGAATTCTGGTCGCGATGATAGTAACTGGCTAGCTGCCTCAGCAGCTGTGCAAGACGTGCATTGTTTGTTCCTGCTCCGACCAAGCCCATCGCGAAGATAGCATTAACCGCAACGTCGTTGTCGTTATCGTGGCTGTATCTCGATAGGGTATCATAGATCTTCATCTGAGGGTTACTGGGACTAATCAGGCCCATGGCGAGTGGCACTGCCTTCCGAATGTTGGCCTCACCGTAGTGCATCAAATGACCAAACTGGCGTAGGACCATCTCCTGTCCGACATCTTCGCCCATGGCGATCAACGACAGACCGAGAACAGCATAGGATTGCACAAGCTGCTCGCCTGTAGTCTCGTCCTTGTCTTCGATGTGATCGTTGCAGATATGGAGGAGCTCCTGTAGCTTAAGCACGGCTCCAGTTCCAGCCCATGCACATACAGACGCCAGGGTAGCCGTTGGCATGGCCATGGGATGCTCAACTGCTTTGAGAATGTCCAGAATAACATCCACTTCCTCTTGCCGGCCGAAGTAGAGTAGCGCTAGTCCTAGAGCCATGAACCTCGCCCATTTATCCCTGAGCTGCTTTTGCCGGTCGTCGTCCATCATCTGGGTTGCTATTGCTTCGGCCACTTGGTGGTTGGACGAACCCACGAAGATCATTCCAAGGGACACGGCAGCCATGGCAGACAATTGTATCTCCGAGTTGCTGTCCTCGACAATAGGCAACAGGAAGTCCAGTAGATCTTCTCGATTCGATCCGGCATACGACAGTCCCAGACCCATAATGGCGGCCATTCGCGTCGAGGGTTTCGGGCTCTGGAGAACATCGTCGTCGCTCAAGAGCGAAATGACTGGGTCGCCCTCCATTCGCACCCCGGAATTGACAATACCGTACGCGAGAAGTGCACCGGCCTTGATTGGGTCTTCGGATGACTGTTGGAATCTGTCGATGATGTCTAAGCTCCCTTCCACGTCCCATTGCATGAGCATGCCCAGTGATGCGGTGGTGGAGAGCATGCCATCGTCCTTGGTTTTCCATACCCACGGCCGCTGTTCCCCTTCTACAAGCATCAGCCTGTCCGTACCAAACCCAGCATTGACAAAAGCGTTAACGAATGCGCTCGCTAGATTGTGTTTAGCTGAATCCGCAGCTGCGGAGCTCCCCCGGCCACTTTCTAGATGTGTCTTGTAGATATCTTCTGGCACCTTAGGCTCCAGGATGTTCAATTCTTTGGCGAGAGTCTTGAAGTGGTTCGGCAGTTGGGTGTTTCCGAGGCACTCGGCGATCTCTTGCTCGTCCTTGGTCTCAGACGGCACGTCTATCGATATTCTCTGCCGGGCAATCAGGAAGGCCAACTGTTTTTTCAGTGCAACATCATCTGTCGATTCCAGGTCTTGTCGTATGAGCTCGTGGTCGTTCAGTCTAATTGCCAACACCATCGCTTGAGCAAGCTTGTTGTATTTGACATAGATATCGTGTGCGGTTTTGAGGAAAGCGACATCGTCGGGGTATGTAAGGAGATTGACCATGCTGACCATATACAGACACACTCGCGCAAAGGTATTCTCGTCCAAAAATCGGGGGATCTCTTCAATCATTTCGAGTTCGCTCAGTAAATCCACAGCGTCCGCTTCTGCGTTGTGACTCAGGAAATACGGCACCAAGGAGAGGGCAAGCTCCGTCAAGTCACCGACCTCTCGTTCGTCCGTCAGGCGATTCTGGTATTCTTGACCAATCTCCAGGGCGAGATGTCTAATGTATTCATGACCCCACGACCCCAGATCGTCCGATTTATTTGACAATAGCCGATATTTCAATGTTTCCAATTTGTCCTCTTCTCCGTAAGTCATGCCCAGCACCGATAGCATATCGGCAAGAGAGTCTCTGTCAGGACTAGCCGGCCATTTGTCGTAAACAGCGGCGATCTCGTCATAATGAGGGCGCAGGAACTTGAGAGGTTTGGGGACGGCCGTCATGGAGGAGGTTGACGTTTTGATGAAGTTTTTGATGGCGTCAATCGAGGGCTTGTAGAGAGAAGAATCGTCTTCTTTTAATCTTTCAACCAGCATCTCGAGATCGCTCTTGAGTTGTTGATCCTCTTCGCTCAGCTCTTCGACCACAAGCTCGTCATGCTTGCCATCTGCTTTCTTCTTGTCTCCTTGTTCTGCAGCATGTTCGCCGTTTGACACTGGTGCATCCTCCGCCTTGCCCTTGCCCTTCTCTGCGGCGGTGGGCTTCTTCTCGTCCTGCGCCATCTTGCACCTGGGCCTTTAGTGGCCAATAAGAGTTGAATGAAAACTGAGGTGCGCTGTCGGTGAGGCTGCAGGCTGCGCGACGTGAGGAGATAGATGAGAGTCGTCTGAGTATTTCGAGGAGTAGAATCACGTTTGTTGCAGATACGAGCTGGAGAGGGTTGAGGCAGGGTAGTTCCAGGCGTCAAGGAGCTTACGGAATAGGTTGAAGGGTGAATTGGTGATCCACCAAAATAATGTTCGGCAGCGCGCCTCCGGGGCATCGATCTGGTGGACGAGGCTCAGTATCTCGGCGCACCTTCCCCGTCTACAGAATGCCTTCAGCTCGTCTCAAAAGTTCGTCGACAGATTACCTCCATTGACAGCGAAGTTTAGTGTCTCATCTCTCACCAGAGTCGCTTCTTGCGATCTTGAACTTGCACGATGCCTCGTGCTACAGCACCTCGGGCGAAGATCCACGTCAAGCGAACTCCTCCGGTCCTTCTAACACACCGAGTTCGTCCTCAAGATGGCAATGGACCACGACTATGGAACGCAAAGCGACGCATCAAGACCAGCAGAGGTCTGCCCTTTCTCCGAGCTCATGCCCTGGTCAGCAAAGAAAAACTCCAGGAGTGGCAAAGGACTTCGTGGAACAAGCTCAATACAGAAGAGCAGAAAGCATTCGCTCCCATCTTCCGCGAAGACGGTTTAAACACAGAGTGGTGGAAGCTGGACAGAAAGAATCTCGAGAGGTTCATGGAAACCCACCCAAGCCTCCGTGAGGTCTCTAGCGATGTCAAGTCCTTCATTGCAGCTGGTTCAATAAACTTCGAGAAATCGACAATTCTTCGCATATTGATGGATCCTGCGCGATATTTTGCCCTTCCCCATAATGTTCCTCTCAGCATGCGGCGGCAGGTTTACTTGTAAGTCTGTTTAACCATCCCCAAGGGCTTCTCTAACAGCCTGCTGCAGCCCCGATCCCAAAGACGCCGTGGTCCTCATGCGTACGCCGCATCTGGGTCCCCGTTACGCCGCGTTTGACGTACCGCTCCACTTCAATAAAATCGATCTCAGAGCCTACCTGAAAGATGTCTATGGCGTGGATGTTCTCCACATTCGCAGCGTAGTGCTCCAACAGAAAGTCGAAAGAAAAGATGGCAGAAGCAAATATTCGCAAGGGAAATTGTTTCGTCCACCTAGCAAGAAGAAAATGACTTGTCTCCTGGCGAAACCGTTTGTGTATCCTGCAGAGCCAGAGGACCTGGAACCGTAAGCTAGCCCCTTCCCCATCGCTGGTGGATATTGCCCTTGACCCGTGTCCATCTACTAACACCATTCTGCCACACAGCTGGGAGCACGACCGGTACTGGGAATCAATGAAAGCCATCGTGGAAAAGAACCGAGAAGAATCCGAGTGGGGTATGATGAACCCCGATCTCAAACACAGAAAGGCAATGGCCCTGCAAGCTCAGCAGCTACTGAAGGGAAAGATGAGATGGGCTCCGACGTGGCAGAATTTTGCCGACGACTGGCGTGCCATGCGAGGATTGGGGGCCAATGCCAGCAATCAACAGCCGTCTCAACCTGCGAACCCGTCTTCGTAACATTACTTACTACAGGAATGGACGGACCCGAAGATTTGTACATTAACACGACACATTATGCGTTGTATAGCTACCAAGAACTGCTAAGGTTGTGAACATACTACACTAACTTTGGGAGTTACGCGAACCGGTGTGAGAAGGGGGCAAGGGATGATACACCATACAGTACATCTGACCAGGTTTGAAAAGTTTTATAGGAAAGAGTGTTTGGCGCTTGCTGAACGAATCAGTCCCCAAATTAACCCACTCCACGCTTTGAGCAATGCGCATTGAACGGTTACAACCTGCTCTCGACCTCGGCGAAATATCGATCTGAGGCCCAGTGTGAATCGGGCCAGATATATCGAAGGGCTTCATAGACGTGCCTGCAGAAACGGATTGTTAGCAAACACCGCACTTTGCTTCCGCAGGAGAATGGGACCGGAATGGGTCTGCGGCAGACAGCGTAGGGACAGGCATGACTTACTTGACATGTATAATCTTCAAGTCCTTCTTGACCTCCTCCGGAACGTCCTTCACATCCTTCTTGTTCCCGTTCGGTAGCAAGACAGTCTTGACGCCCGCGCGGTGGGCGCCGATTAGTTTCTCTTTAATGCCCCCAACAGGCATCACTCGTCCTCTCAGACTCACTTCGCCCGTCATGGCGATTGTCGGTGGGACAGTCTTTCCGGAGAATAGTGAAATGAGAGCGACAGTATGCGCCAATCCGGCACTTGGTCCATCCTTCGGCACCGCACCAGCGGGACAGTGGACATGGATGGCACGTTTCTCCATGATGTCTTCGTCCCGATCGTGTGTCAAGCCCAGGTCGTAGCTATGAGCTTTCACCCAGCTAAGTGCGACCTCGACGGATTCTTTGAGCACATCGCCCAGCTTTCCTGTGAGTTGCACACGGCCCTTCCCAGGCATATCGGCCACTTCTATGAAAAGAATGCTTCCTTGCCCACCAGACGAATAAGCAACTAATCCCGTGACAACACCCGGTCGAGATTGTTTCTCGGCGATTTCTTCTTCGAAGCGTTCGATACCGAGGATGTCTTCAAGTTCTTCGACGCGTACGACGGGATTATATTTCGAGGTATCATTTGCGTCACGGGCATCGGCGTACTGCACTGCCTTGTAGCGACACACACTCCCAATCTCACGCTCGAGGTTGCGGACCCCAGATTCGCGGGTGTAAGCTGTGATGATGGTGTCAACGACATCGTCAGGAATTATAACTTGTCCTTCAGCGAGACCATTGGTGCGAATTTGTTTGGGTATGAGATGTTGTTTGGCGATGTGTCGTTTCTCAACTGTTGTGTAGCCAGCCAGACGGATTGTTTCCATTCGGTCGAGAAGCGGCGGCGGAATGGTATCTAAAGAGTTGGCTGTGGCGATGAAGAGGACTTTGCTTAGGTCGATAGGGATGTTGATGTAGTGATCATTGAAACTGTGATTCTGCTCTGGGTCAAGAACCTCAAGCATCGCAGCTGAAGGGTCACCATGGAAATTGTTCGAGCTCACTTTATCAATTTCGTCAAGCAGGAAGACTGGGTTGGCTACGCCGACCTTCTTTAGGCCACTGACAATCAGACCTGGCATAGCAGCAACGTATGTCCGCCGATGACCCCTAATTTCTGCTTCGTCTCTGACACCACCCAAAGAGATGCGGTGGAACTTTCGGCCAAGCGAGAGTGCAATGGATTTTGCGAGAGAGGTCTTGCCCGTGCCGGGTGGTCCAACTAACAAGAGAATTGGAGACTTGTCCACCATCCGCTTCGACTTGAGAACATGGAGCTTAGCAGTGGCTGCATCTCTCTCGTTGTCAGTGATTTGCTCGACCTCCTTACCCTCCCCTTCTTGACTCGGGGCAAGCTGCTTCGTGAGACGGGCGATTTGTTGATCGACATCGGCATTAACGGACTGTTTCAATTTCAACACTGCGAGGTATTCGAGCAACCTCTTTTTGATCTTCTCCAGTCCATAATGATCGTCATCAAGTTGTTTGCGTGCCCGTTTCAAAGTATCGGCGCCAAGCTGATCATCAGTGACCTTGGTCCATGGGATCTCGACCAAATTTTCGACATATGTACGGATCACACCATACTCAGCGTTGGCCGGGTTCATCTTCTTCAGTCGTCTGAGCTCGCGCTCCGCAACCTTTTGAGCCTCGGGTGACAGACCGGCTTCTGCCACCTTCTTCTTGAGCTCTTCGACTTCGTTAACTTCGTTGTCTTCGTCGTCATCACCACCCCTATTGACGCCAGGCATCCCGGGTGGTGTCATGCCATTCAGACCAGACATTGCTCGCCTCGCTAGAGCTTCGCGTTGCTTTTGGTTCAAGTCGGAGATGTCAACGCCGATATTAGGTGGCAGGGTTGTTGAGGTTATTGTGGTGACTTTAATGTTTCCGTTGATACCCGAGATCTGCTTGTTAAGCAAGGCAAGGACGCGCTCGAGTCTTTCATGTAAATCTAGTGTGCTCAGGATCCGAAGCTTCTCCTCGAAACTCGCTTCGACAATATCCGTCATGAAATCGGCCAATTGGCCAGCTTGAGTGAGGTCTTTCTTCGCAATGAACAACTCGAAGCGACGGACAATTAAAGGCGACAGCGCCATGGATGCGGGTCGGAAGAGAGATGACAGCCGTAGCAGCGTCAGAAGCTCACGAGACCGTTGCTTCAGTCGAGTGAAGCTGGCCCGGAGGTCACCGTCATTAAGGTCGGGGACTTCATCCTCGTAAAATGTGACATCGGCTTCAAAATATGGTCTTTCATGCTTAATCTTGTCGATCTTGAATCTCTGGATTCCTTCCACAAGCAGATACGGATCTGCATTCGGGCTCCCCTGGACGCTGACAATCTTCGCCAGCGTGCCGTATCCATATAAATCCTTCTTTCGAGCCTTGCCCGGATCTATGTCGGCATAGTCATGATCCCGGCTACTCTCTTTGGCAGCGCTGTCGAGCAGTTCCTTGCCGTCGGGGCTCAGGAAGGGCGAGTTCACGGGAACGCACCCGACGGGCAGTTGGGCCGAACCGGATCTCGACTTCGTGGCACGTTGAAAGGCCGATGACAGGAGCAGGGGAATGTCGGCACGGTTGGATACTGAGATGCGGAGAGTGACGCCGGGCAGAAGGACCGAATCCTTTGCTAACGGAATAAGAGGAATCGTCGCTTTGGCTGTGTAGCCCATGTTGAAGGAGTAATGGGGTTGGAGGTGGTAAAGGGAGGGAAAGCGGCAGAGGGAGGGAAAGATGAAGTTGTTATTGATATGCCGAAGGGGGGCAGATGTACTTGGTGTTGCCGCATGGAAGATGCTCGATGCACATCGGAAGTCCAAGCACGGCTTGTGGCCTGTGGTGCCAGGTACCAACGAGCCCATGGCATGTCATATTCAGCCGGATCATCATTTCCTTTGCCGAGGCACGGGACACGAGAGCGTATAGTCGCACGTGATGAGCTCGGCGGAAATAAGACACGTGATCTTTTTCGGCGCGGCAAGGCTCCGCGCCAACTGGACCCAATGTTCCATCCCCAAGCCACGAAGATTTCACTCATCGGTTCTGCCGCCAACTTGAGGAAATACACTTGCTACCCGGCCAAGCATGACAACCCTCGCGGTTGTGTCAGGCGAACATGCCGCGGCCAACCCGGATGAGTCGGACTCCAAGACCACATTCAATGTCGGAACGAGAAAATCCAAACTCGCTCTGATACAGACAGATTTGGTCGTCCAGGCATTGGCAGAGGCCTGTCCTGAGTATGTCTACGCCATCAAGGCGCGAGATACCGCAGCGGGCGACATTGACAAAGTTACTCCTTTCAAGGACATGCCCGTGAAGAACATATGGACCCACGAGTTGGAGACTCTCATGCTCGAGGGGCAACTGGATTTTCTGGTTCATTCGCTCAAAGGTTTGCATGAAAGCACGGAGCTGGCATTTGCTATACTAATTCAGCCCGACAGACGTCCCCACTCTGTTACCTCCAGGTTGCGAAGTAGGCGCGGTGCTGGAGCGGGAAGACCCAAGAGACGCTTTCGTCATAAAGGCAGGAAGAGATGCTTGCAACATAGAGGATCTCCCTGCTGGATCAACCGTAGGAACTTCCTCCATACGACGAACTGCACAAATTGCACTCAAGTATCCACATTTGCGAGTGCTCGATGTCAGAGGCAACGTAGGCACTCGCCTAGCTAAGCTTGATGCTGAGGATGGGCCTTTTGATGCTTTGATACTCGCCGCCGCCGGACTACTTCGCCTCGGGCTTGGTGATCGGATCACTCAATACCTCGACTCAAAAAGTGGCGGCATGCTTCATGCCGTTGGACAGGGAGCTATTGGCATTGAGAACAGGTCGTCCGACGATCGAGTGCAGGATATGTTGAGTCAGATTGACCATCGACAGACTCACCTTGCTACGGCATGTGAGCGCAGTCTCTTGAGGACGCTGGAAGGAGGATGCAGTGCTCCGCTAGGGGTGGAGACTGCTTGGGTTAAGAAGGAAGACGGTGGCTCGCTTCTTCGGCTGAAAGCGCTCGTGGTCAGCACGGACGGCAAAGAGAAGGCCGAAATCGACATGAGAGATGATGTCCAGAGTCGGGACGATGCCGAAAAGTTTGGAACCAATGCTGCAGATGAACTGCTACGCAAGGGTGCGGACAAAATTCTCACAGAGATTAAAGCGAAGCGTCCTACCACCGTCACAGACCTTCAGGAGACGTGAAAGGAGGCACTTAGGAAGAGATTAGGGTCCGTTTGATTTGCAACGGAATTTCTGCTTTGCGTGCAGTCTCACTACCCCCGGTTCAACGTGTTTCCAGCTCCTTTCGGGTTAGCCTCTACAAACTCATCCCACTCTCGTGCCTTCATCGTGGCAGCGTCGACTTGCTCCATATTATCCTCATCGGGCTCGGCCTGAGGGGCATTGGCGTTTCCTCCACCGTCAATAATGCCACCCCTTCGGCGCTCTTCTTCCAGATACTCGTCGATGCTCATGGTAGGGAGGTTGTGTCCTGGCCTGAATACGCCCTGTCGCAATTGGGTCCGCTTGTCTGTGAGGGTGAAGGGCTGAAGAGGTTTTCCGCTAGAACTGAGTAAGGGGCCTCCTCTCTTTCCAAGGCCTGCCATTGTAGCAGGCCGGTCTAAACGCTCCGAATAAGCATCAGACCTCGCGGGAGCTCTCTGATCTGGCGGTGATAGCCCGGGCCTAGCTGGCTCGGTATCCCGCATCTGAGATAATATTTCCAACTCCTGATTTATCATTTCCAGAGACGAGAACGCCTTGTTGACTAGGAGAGCAATTTCGGCCAGATAAAGACTCCGAATGGTCTCGTCGTCAACATTGGATTTCGTGGATTCGTCTCTCAGATACTGTTTTGTCAGTGAATTTGTGATGCACAGCGTGAGACGAACACAAACCTGCAACTTTTGCTTCAAAGATTTTTCTTGTTGAAAGCGAGAAATCTTGATCCTTCGTTTCTCCTCGGGGCTATTCGAGGAGACTATTCGAAATGAACCGCGCTGTTCGAGGTAGCGTTCGTAAAGTTGGCGATCCGAGGCATCTAGCAGACCATATTGATCTAGTCGGGTCAAAAACTGTTCGAATAGTTCTGCGGCGTCCCGCAACGATGATAGTCTGTTTTCGCCATATCCTCTGATCTTGACTTCGGCCAGTAGACAGTCCACCGTCAGGTATCTAAGACAATGTCAGACGAATACTCGAGAGGCGCAGCCATGCCAATTCTCTCTACATACTGCAGGTCTTGCGTAGATATGTCTTCAACCTCTTCATTCGTACTGAACAAAGAGAGGTCTTGAATCAATTTGCGACACTGTTCGAGGTTGTCGATGATGGATTGAAGGGTGTGCTTGAAGTTTGCGCTCCGGGGGTCGAGGCCATCCAAATCTTCTTGCTGTTTCTTTGCTTGGTTGAACAGCACCTTCAGGGATGGTTCAGGAGTGTCCATGATAGCCTAGCCTTGTCCGGTTTCAGTTACTGGTAAAAGTGAGGTTATTGCGTGGTTGGGCTTCTTCTTTGGCAGGATGAAGGGTTCGATGAGGAGAATCTCGACGAAATGATCGCTTCGTTAGACAATTAGAGCGTTCGACCCGTAGTTCAACCACCTCTTGCTGTACTCGACGCTCATAGGTCTACCGTAAAGAATTGCTGAGCAGAAGATTAGAAATAAAGGCACTTGGAGGCAAACATGATCGGTCGGAAGGCAATTCACTCGCACCAATCACAAATACATGCAGTGCCAAGGCCGAATATCGCAACCGACTTTCATCTTTTTCCCCAAGTGACGATTCATGACATTCAGTGACTCACGCATACTTCATCTTCACTCTCCATTGACCTCTGTTGTCTCTCTTGTCTCCTTGCCATGTTGCAAAGGGGCCAACGGAGATCATCATGGCCTCCTCCGCGACTCCCCAGGAAGGAAACGCCAACGATGAAATCCCCATGGAAAAAAATGCTGGCCTTGTGATGGGCGTATGTCACTCCCTGTAATGTTTGGTTTGCTCGCACTAACAAAGGTATGGCCACAGACCAATAACAGCAGTATTGTATCCAAAAGGAGTGTCGAGAAGCTATACCTTCCTCAACCGCACTTTTATCGCTACTTTGTCAAGAAGCCGATCCGTCGCTCTCCCACCATTAACCGTGGATACTGGCTCCGCATGAGAGCAGTCGATTGGGTGGTCAGGCAGTTTCTGGAAAAACCCTCTGACTTACAGAAGGTCGTCATCAATTTGGGCTGTGGCTAGTGAGTAAGGATGTCGACAACCTATGCAGTGCGATCAAACGCGACTTACCCTCGTAGTGACCCGCTCCCGTTCCAATGGATGGCTCAACATCCCGACTTGTGTGGCAACACCAAGTTCATCGATATCGATTTCGAAGAGCTCATGATCAGTAAGCGAGAGATTATCTTGAACACCCCCAAAATGAGAGATATGCTCTCGAGGACGGCGGACACGACGGACTCGGCAAAGGGAGTCGTGCTGGATTCGGATGTGTACGTCGCCATTGGATGCGATTTACGAAACCCTCGGAGGTTGGAGCGACTTCTAAGATCCGTTATCGACCTCGACCAATGCCTTGTATTCTGTCTCGCCGAAGTCAGCATCACCTATATGGCTACGAAGGACGCAGATGATCTGATCGCCTGGACCTCCACCCTGTCTCCAGGTATGCTGATCTCTTCCCAGCTGTGGATAAAGTGACTGATGGGGCTCAGATGTGACTTTTTGTCTCCTGGAACAACAATCGCCGGATCGTCCGGACAATCCATTCACGGCGGCCATGTTAAAACATTTTGCTAAACTAGGCACACCCCTTCGATCCGTGCTCACTTATCCCGGTTGTCACACCCAGACATTACGTTTTCAGGACGCCGGATTCCCGCATGTCGAAATACAAAACCTTTGGGAGCTTTGGGCCGACCCCAGGTTTCTATCCCCATCTCAAAGAATTTCTCTGGATGAAGTTGAGCCATTTGACGAGTGGTGAGTTAATGTCAGATCATCCCAGTTTCCTTATGTACTGAGAACTTGGGTATAGGGAGGAGTTTGCTTTATTCGCATCTCATTACTGTCTAGTGATTGCACAAACAGGCCCCGAACCTCTCGTGCCAGAGCAGCAGAGATCGAGGAGGGCATCAGTTGATAGTTTGGTATCAGACCTTTCAGCAAGGACCGTCTCTCCCCACAGAGATAACACCCAATGGTTTGCATACAAATACTCCGCGAATCCAGAGAAAGAAGGCAGGGCCCATCATGGTTCTGCTTTTATAGTCCCAGGTCAAGACGCTATAGCCCTCCACGGGGGCATTGGTACTGGAGGTCGCTTATCAACTACTTCGGTCTACACATCTGCAGACTCGACACTTCCGTATCCCTCCGTTCCACCGGATGAAGTGGGCGCCCGGTGTTGCCATACCATCACCACACTTCATAATGGGCAGAATCTTCTCGTTGGTGGTCGAGGCTCACCATCGTCGCCCCTGAAAGATTGCTGGCTTCAAACAGACTCGAAATGGGAAAGAGTCCACGATCTTCCAGAGCCTCGATTTCGACACCGAGCAGCGGCCGTGGTATTACCATATGACCAGGATGGCGTTGTAGTGTTTGGTGGGAAAACCTCAGCAACCAGTGTTGCGATTGACTGCCTGCTGTGGGACAGGGAAAACGGCTGGCAAGTTCTCCGCAGTCTCAAGTTTGACCCTATGCCACGCTTTGGGGCGTCTTTTGTCCGCCTGGGCTTCAATCACGGTCTCCTCCTCGGCGGAATGCGACAGGACGGAGTCATTTGTCAGGGCCTGTGGAAATGGAGACTGATCATCCGGGATAACAAAGTCATGGGAATCAATTTTAGGGTATCCACGGCGTTGGACGCCTCTGCGGGCATCTGGCCATGGCTAAATCGTCTAGGGGCTTCTTACAGCGTCATCAGAGATGAGATTCTGCTCATTGGTGGAGTAGCAAAGCACGGCTGCATACCTAAGGATTACGAGATCCTCTCCATTGTCGGTAGCTTTTCTGCCTTCAGCGACTACGAGAAGGAAATGGAGTTCAGAGTGGCTTGTGTTTTGCCCAAGAGGGATCCGAATGTACCGCGCCCTTTCCTCATCGGTCACTCAACACATTACACCGCTCGACAAACCACTCTGATCGTTGGTGGCGGGGCGACTTGTTTCAGCTTCGGCGCATATTGGAATCCAGGTTGTTGGCTTCTATATGATCGAGAAGCAGGATTGAGCTCACACTGGACGATGGTGAAGCCAGAATCCAGGAAATCTGCGGCTCAATCGACGACGCATGATGGCATGGCTGCGGGCGTCTCAACTCCCATCAAACATATCAAGGTTGACTTGGAGCAAGATTTTCTACGTGTCCTGAGCGAAGGCAGGCCCAGAATCCTCTCAGGTCTGGACTTCGGTGAATGTGTATCTTCTTGGACAGCAGGATATCTCCTTTCGAAGATCCCAACCTCAAAATCCATCGTTGTTCATTCTGCTCCGGGTCGGACAATGAACTTCCAACGCAAAGACTTCGCCTACAAGACGACCTCGTTCCAGGAATTCATCCACCAACTTGAATCAGACCCGAATGCGCACATGTATCTCCGTTCGATTTCTAGTACTAATCCAACCACCTCACCTGCCGATCTCTCCACCGACTGGCCCGAAATCGCGACCGATTTCCACATCCCGTCTGCGCTCTCCTTCGTGGAAAAGAACCAGCACAGCAGCCCTCTCCGGATTAGCGCAGATGTGAACATGTGGCTACATTACGACGTGATGGCTAACGTTCTCTTCCAGATCCGGGGCACCAGGAAGCTTATCCTGTTCCCTCCAGAGGATCTACAACATCTGAATTTCCCACCCGGTTCGACAACATCCAGTATCGACATCTTCGAGCCGGCACCACATCCAGGACTGGGTGAGGACACGATCAAGCCCGTGCCAAATACACGGCCTCACATTGCAATCTTGAAGCCCGGCGATGCTTTGTACATTCCACCATTGTGGGCGCACACAGGTACTCCATTGCCATCTCTAACAAGGCCTGAGCCAGTCTCGATATCAGTATCATCGTCATTGTCAGAATCCGCTTCCCTGTCCACTTCAACGTCCACCTCTGCACCGGCAGCCGCAGCCACATCAACCACCCTATCCCAACCCACCCTCGAATCCACTTCAACCACCACCACCACCACCGAAGACAAATTAAACGAAGAAAGCCCCGTCCCGAAGACGACCACGGACGCAGATTCGAGCCCGAACGCATCATCAGACTCGAGAATCAACATCTCCGTCAACGTCTTCTTCCGCACGCTACACCCGCACAAGTACGCCGCGGGCCGCGACGTGTACGGCAACCGCGACCTCGCCGCGTACGAGGACGGACGGCGGGACGTGGAAAAGATCGTCCGCCGCTTTCTGAAGGTCGACCGCGAGCAGGACCACAACCATGACCACGAGCATGACGGCGCTACACAAACATTTCCGGACGCAAAGGGCAATGGAGACGGAAAAGGCAAGAGTAAGAGTAAGGGAAAAAGCAAAAATGCGAAACAACAACAACAAGGAGGAGCGGAAAGCATCGAGATTGCAGGTTCTGGTTCCGGTTCTTCGCATGACATGGGCGCGATCCCCAAGGACATTGTCAGGGCGTACCTGACCCGGTTGGCCGACGAGTTGAGGCAAAAAGCCGACAAACTGTAGGAATATTCATGTTGGCTTGTCTAGCAGCCTGGCAGTTTGGCAGTCCGGCGGGATTGATGGCCGGATAGTTCGATGATTGGTTCAACACGCATAAAAGAAAGGAAATGGTAAAGGAAAAGGGAAACAGGAAATTTCAAAAAAACGGAGAAGAAACGAATCAACTTTCGCTGGCCCTCTGGGGATGCCACCTTTGGATTGGTTTTTATTATTGCATAATTATATTATACCGAACACGTTAATCACGTTTGACGATTGGGGAAAAAGAACGAAGAGCGGAAAAACGGAAAAATGGAAAACACCAGATTATTGGGGAACTATAAAGCGTCGAACCTTTACTCGTTCAGTAGATAGACTGAGAATGAGGTCGTTAAGATGTTCGCTCTCTCGCTCTCCTGAGCTCGAACCACTGGTTGGCTCCAGCATCTTTGTTATAGCCCCCCAAACATCCAGATACTGACAAGCCAGGGGGGACCTCTATAACCCTCCGCCACAACGCACGCGGCACAGCGTAGCGCGACCTTGACGCCGCGAGGCCCCAAGTGTTGATTGAGCTCCTTTACCCAATGTGAGAATATCAACACAGAACCAAAAGACCCCATTGCGCGCGCTACATGTCCAGCGAGGCCCTGCCTACTTTTCCAAATAACCATCCTGGCCAAACGCGCCCCATCATCAGGTCCTCATAACAGTCATTCAACATCCGTTCATCCATCATATATCCAATCCGTAACATCTGTAGTCATAGCACATTTCCCTCATCGTAGATCGACGCAATATCATCATAGTAGCAACAACAATCACAGCTACTGCAATAGGTGCCAAAAAGTCCACCCGTCTGGGTAGCGGCACAGGATTGTGAGGCTCAGTCCAGCTGTTTTGTATCCGATGGACACCCACCTTCTATAGGCAGAGTATCAGGGGATAGGTCTGATCAAAGACCAAAGCCAGCGAAAAGAACGGTCCGGAACCACTCAAGGCTCACGACCGTGCATATGGTCTGTTCATTGCAGCGATCTCCCGCGCCACGGTCGCCCATTCGAGTTCCCTCTTCGCAACCACACCGCGTTTCTCTTGTTGTATTTCGTCCCACTTCATCAACTCGTAGACGAAGCGCAGGTGCGGTTGGATGATGACGTTGAGGCGGCGAGCGCGAACAAAGCAGCTACCATGGGTATAAGCATCGACCATCAGTGGGAGTGGCTGGAAGGGACTTACTATGCACGGGGAAAACTCAGTCCTTGACTTGCCATTACTTCGGCGATGCAAATAGTTGCAGAGCGAGAAACACCGACACGACAGTGGACTAGTGTTGCAGTGCCATCTTGTTTTCCTCGTTCTGAAGTGTGCGTTAGCATCCAATTTCTGTAGTTATTCTAATGGTCTGCTGGAGAGGAATCTTACCGATAAATTCCAAGCACCTTTCCATTTCCAACGTCAGTTCATCGATTCCATTGTCCTGCACACGATCCACCATCATCAGGTTCTCTCGACCCCAGTCGTTGACTTCCTTTTCTGTCCAGGAGACCGGCTCACCGACACTCAGAATTCGTCTAATGCCCAACAGCTTGAGCATTTGGGGGTTGTTCGCGTGTGTCAGGTTGCCCAAGTACATGTACGGAAGGATGCGACTTGGTAAGCTACCGTCGAGTTTGGTCAACCAGGCAGGCGCTTCAATGGATGACAACTTCGAGGAATCAAATTTCGGAGATTCATCCAGTATGCGGCATTGAATGGCGTTCAGTAGTGAAACGTCTGAAGGATACGCGAAGAAATTGCGTCGCTTTTCACAGTGCAAGCGAATCCACGCTTCGTGCAAGGGGACACCTTCGGCGTACATAAAATACGCAACGGCCAGCATTGATGTTTCGGTGTATCCATCTGCACAGTGTAGGAGGACGCGACGAGGCCGAGGTGCGAATTCAGTCATCTGGATGTCGCCATCTTCATCTTTGCATTTATTGACAGGCTTCATGGTATGAGTGAGGTTGTATAGCCATCGACACATACGCAGGATGCCATCGACTTCAACCTGGGACCATGACGGCGGTAGGATACTTCCTGAGCTGGGAAACGTCAGGTGGACAGGATCGTCGTCATCCTCGCGTTCTTCGAGCTGTTTCAATTTCGCAGCCAGAAGTTTGTCGTCCGGAAGGGAAGCGTGATCACTGGCTTCCACATAGAGATCGTAAGTCGGATCATCAAGGCTTGACGGAGGGTTTGTGTAGGGGCCCGGCGAGGGGCCTTGGAACACAGCCTGTGAAATTTCCGAGGCCTTGGACATGGCACACATTTCTCGCCTTTCTTGCTGGAGAAAGTCGAGTGTGTGGTCCTGGTATCTGCCTTGGGAGTCGATAGCCACCAATTCCGGATGTGACTGTTCAAAGTCCTCGAATGACTGCGTCAACACGAAGGTGTGAAAAGTCTCAGGACATTGGCCGATGCTCTCCAATTCCTTCCGCCATTTCTTCTGGACAGTTGCTGTTCTCTCAGCAACAGATTTGATGATACGGTGATCGGTATCTTCGTCGCCATAAACGATAATGTCGGACACAAGGGCCATCTTAACCGCTTGGATATGGAAATTGCGCACCGAGAAGCCTTCTCGAGGGTCACAATCTATAAAACCCCGGCCATTACCTTCTGACAAGTTAAGGATTTCATCTGGGGCAATGGCTCCTTTGATCCTCGAGCGACTCAGATCACCACCGGCCTTGATGATGGTTATCCCTCGCAAGCACTTTGGTATCCTGCGCAACGACTTCTTCCTAGCGACAAAGAAGGCTAATTGGATATGGTTTTCAGGATGGAGCCCGTGCAGCCATGGAAACACTGACGACGGATGTGGAAGGGGTTGACGCGAATAGTGTTCGACCGCTTCAGCCAGCTGTTTGGCCGAGATGCCATATATCGGCGGAGAATTGCACAGCTTCTGGTAGCTGCTTGGAGGGTGGAGGAGCGAGGTGGGTTTGGGAGCGACGTTTCGTAGTGGAGGAGAGTTTGGGGGAGTGATTTGCGTCTGTGAGGGAACAGGTCCGGGCGGACAGTAAGGGAGATGTTTGTTGGGAATGGGTGTCGAGGATCGAGCTTGATTCAATGAAATGGTCGGGCCGAGGGGTGGAGGAGTCGATTGTCGAACCTGAGGTTGTTGCTGAACCACAACTGTAGCCATCTCCCTGTTATAGATGGAGAGACAAGGCGAAATATAACTCGGTTTGATATTCTGAGCAGGAAACTTGTCCCAAAGGCTCGTCCTGCCCCCACAGGAGTCCTAGCCGGCCCTGCACAACAGCAGGTATCGGGGAAAGCGTCGAACACGTGCTGCCCCAGTAGGTCTCCTTTAATCACAAACGACCGATATACTAGTGTTTGAGAAGAGACGATATTGCGGTACTCCCTCGCCAGGCACTCTCGCAGCGCTGTCAATGGGCAAGGATGGGTGCTGAGGTAGAGGTTTGAGCCAATGGAGGACAGGATATAGTTCGATACAAGTGCCGTAGGACAATGTCGTGGTAGCCGAGGAGAGGGGCAATAGAGACGAAACGTTGACTCTGAGTCTGGATCAAGTTTTCTGGTAACAACGAGAGCAAACAAAGCAAGAATCCAAAAGTACTCAGATACAAGGTGGTCGTGTCGAGTGCGAGTAGTTGTTGGAATACTCAGCAGGTGGGAAAGTCTGGAGAAGGGAAGAGAGAGGAGATCCACAGTAGACGAGGTGATTCCTGAGGGCGGGACGAATACTGGGTAGAGAGGGGCAGGAATGGAGGGATGGTGGGCCGCCAAGTGTTGGAAGGAGGAGCTTCGAGCACGAGCCAGGGCCACTAAGAGGCAGCCAAAGCCAGTTCCCCATCAGCCCAGCCCATCATCGCCCATATCGCCCACCCAGCGTTCGGGGGGAGCCAGGCCTAGGCAGGCTCTTCCGTGCCAATGGTCCACTAGCGATGCCTGGGAACGCGAGGGGGGCGGTTCGGGGGTGTGGAGGCTGGGCGCACTTCCACCAGTTACATGCCCCAAGAATGGCTGTTTGACGGGCCCCCGGGCAAGCACATCGCGAGTTGGCTTAGTCCAAGGTTAGTGGGCTAGGTGGGCGACACCACTGCAGCCATGCATTAGCCGAACTTATTGAGCTTGAGAGCACCCAGATGCTCTCTCTCTTACTCTGCCACCATGATACCGGAAAAAGCAACAAAGAGGAAAAAACATACTCTGCGCCAATTCTTATCAGAGCATACGTCCGCCAAGAGAAGGGGAAGGATATGAGCACCCACCACAGTTAGGGTTGGTAATTGGGCGTGAAGCGCAGCCATCAGCCAGCAGCCAGGTCGAGACGCACGGCGCAGCAATCACCAATTACCAATTGGCGCACACTCCAAGATCCCCCTCCCTCTAGCATCAGATCCCTGCTTCCACTTCGACCCAACGACTCGATGATCCAGCATTTGGTTCTGCCGAGGGTGAGAGGCCGGCGATGGGATTTGGCCATGGTGGGTAAGAGGCGGGACTACCAGTGATACCAAAATGTCAAGTCTGGGGAAGCACAGGCGGGGTCTTCAATGGAGTCCACGTCCGTCATCCGGTATCCGACAACATTGTCAACTATCTGACAGTGATGGAAACTGAACATGGACGAACAAAAGGGTGACCATTGTGATATTCCCAGCGTAGAAGGTAAAAAGAATCATTCAGTGTCCGAGAGGACTACACAGGGCAAGATGGATGACGGGCGACCTAGAATGTCGATCACTTCTGCGCCCTATGATTTGACTTTCCGCCCACCTGGAGCAGCTCCCCATCCGTTTTGACTCTGGTGCTCTGCGATCTTCGATCTGATAAAACGATCGTCCACCGAGCATTTCCACCACCCTGTTCTTTATTGCTCCATCCCCTCCCGTACCGATTTTGTCTGCGATCCGATCTCACAGCATCACTCGCGACGGTTCATTTGCCACAAGAGGGGGATAACATTGACGATGTGGCAGCTTAGGGCTGTCTACTCCATGATTGGAGTAAAAATAGTGAAACCGGGAGCAGCCTTTCTGTCCGACCGTGGTGAAGTACCAGAGCGTGACCAAAACGTATGATGTCGCAGCATTGCGAGGAACAAACCTCAACCAGCCGCAAGGCAGAATAGCGACGCGACCGTGTTATCGTCCTGGTGACTATTGTAACCGGCACATCCCCCGACAGAAACTGCGAATTCCTCTGCGAATTTTGACGCGACGGCCCAGGAATCTGCCCATTCTCTCTTTTCACCGTGAAAGGACATTAATGGAATGTTGCGTCCTGTTAAAAGGTTATCTGCCTGTAGTTGTACCGTAACCGCTAGAAGCGGAGTGGTAAGCGAGTTGCCAGACAACCTCTGTTCATGACGCATCAGTCGAGCGATCTCGTCATCCGCCGTCAGCGCTTTATCATCGGCCAAACTCATCTTTGGGGCCCCGTTGTCCGATTTTTGATCTTCTTCCTCCGCAATGTATTCTTCCGGGGGCTGATGAAGTTCACTGTGTACTGTGACCGCTGATAGGCCCTCCCTCTCCATAAAACTTGGGTACAAGATGTAATCACCACGCGCTTGCATCATTTCAAGCATTGGAACCATCCATGCTGGATATTCATGTGACAGCAGTGGTGTGGATTTGGTCTTCGACTTAAGCTCTGGATCTCGGAGGAGTCGATGAGACAGGAAAGCGTGAAATTCCACCCATCGATCTCCAAAATAGAGCACCGCAGAGGATGCGGGTACTTGCCAAAGGGTGAAAGGCTCCGCAAGTTGTCCTCCATATGGCGCCTTCGTTTTCATGTCTGGTCCATATTGAGGCAGATCCAGCGAGATACCAGCCATGAGTTCGATCAAACCTGCTCTCTGTGATCCGTAACGATACTCAAGTAAAGTGTACATTAGAAACTGGAAGTAGTTCGGTGAGAGCTCGATGTTGGGTGAGAGCAACAGAACGTGTGAAGTACTCGCTGCAGCAGGGTAGAAGGACTCGACTGTTCGCATACACGCTTGAACAGGGGTCATGAGTCTCGTGTCCAGTCTGTGTTTGATTGTGAGTCTACTCTCGCTATCGGCGCCATTAGCAGGCCATCGGAAATTTGACAAATATCGAGTGAGGAAGGGATCAACTTTGCTGGGGAGTTCAATCGTCAACCTCGGAAGCACCCATCCTGAGTAGTCGGCGTCCTTGATCGAGCTTAGAAGCCGTATCAGTGAAGCTGAAGACCCAGGCTGCGCTTGGATGACGATGTCAATCTGGACTTTATCGAGCTTTGAGAGGGATGCGGCATCCAAGAATGAGACCCACGACAAACTCTGCGGGTTGCTGGGAAGCATGATGAGAGGAAGACCAGTCGACAATGTCTTCTCCCTCAAAGCATTGACCAGATATTCATCCTCGTTTTCTGTAATTATAACCGCATGCAGTTGTATGACAGAATGAATGTGTCCCAGACTTGCAGCTGCACTGACCTGCAGCCTCTGTATAGACGACTGAGCCGCGTGGTCAGGTCGCGCATCGTGGAAATTGATATTGCAACCTAAATCTTCCATCCCATTTGTGGCGCGGATGTCTGACCAGGCTGCGGCATCACGTCCCATAAATGCCAGATGAACTCGTGTCCTGTTATGCTGTGCCATTGCACACGCCATAGGCAGAACCCGAGGGACATTTTTCAAGTCTGAAACGGCGAAGAGAATATTGCCTTTCATATCTCGGACCCACGCATGCTCTTGTAAGGTAGTCGCCAGTTCGTAGAACATTATAGGACCTTCATAACTCCGATCGGGATATTGGAGCGTGTCCTGAGGTTCACTCCCATACGGACCACGTATCCCCGGGCGTAAGCGACCGTAGCGGTGATCGTATCGCTCAGATACAGGAGGAAGATCTGTTGGCATGTACTTAAAGAACAGGTACAGGAGCCATGCTGCGAGCAAGATCAAGATTATGCGTCTGCGCCTAAAAGTCTTCCACCTACCAACGAGGAGGTTGTAGGTTTTTGACCGACGGAGTGTGTAGGTTTCTGACTGCTCATGACTTCTGCTTTCTGGATGAAAGCGGCTCCTGGCAGCCATTCAAGCCCAGCCGCGGAGCGGATGCGGTTTTACATTGATGTAAATCGTGTCTTTGTGAGAGTGAAGACGCGACCAGGAAATAAATGGACGAAGTGGGCAATTGGCAAGCTAGAAAATAGTTCTGTCTGACACAGGTATGTCAGTCGCCAATTGGCACATCTCTTCGGTCAGACATAATCATTTCCAAGCTCCCGTGTAGCTCTATTAGTCTCGTCCAAAGAACTTGAACTTCGCTACGATCAGTCCACTTCCATCCCGACATGTAAATCGACAATTTCTCGACCACCGAGAGACAACTTCTGGCGACAACGGTAGAGAAGCCTCAACCGAGGCAATGAGAGGCTTATGGACTCAAGCGTCTCGACCCAGACTGAGAAGCTCTCACTACCACTGTTCCGCAGACTCCATCAGCTCGATGCTTGTTCGGAAGACCACTACCAGACCTCCACGACGCCGGCCAGGCTTCGGTGACGCTTTTACGGTCCTGCTGACCCCTGTCCTTGCGGCCGCACTGTTCGTTGACACAAGTTGGAAGGCAAAACAGAGGAAAGATTGGGATGAAAGGCTCGCCGCCATCAACAATGAAATAGATACACTCAAGGAGAGGGAACGGCAACTCCGGAGTACCATCCAGCTCCGTAACCCTCTGTCAGGACTATCTCAACAGCGAAGATACTATGCGACGGCCGTGCAGGCGCGGGTGGAGGACGATGAGATCCCCGGAGAAATTGAGATGCCAATTTGGCCGGCAGACCTAGGCCAGGAAGACGGTGTGCTGCAAGAAGAGAAGATACCAATACGACAAGTGCTGTCTGCACGCGAGTTCTCGGCTGAGCAGTTATCCAACTTCAAGCGCTACCATCGCCTGAATGCGATCACTCTAGCTTTGAGGATGCTCCTGCACCTCCGTGTTGGGCCCAACCATTTCTACTCGATTGTTCCATCGGATGACCCAATCGACAGCACGACCCTCGAAACCCCTGAAGATATCAGCGCTCTTTCAGACACCAATCGCTTGGCCGAGATGCTCGCTCTGACACGAAAACAGATGCGATCGTTGGGAAATCTGGAAGACCTTTTCTATGTGGCACCCCGCATTCAAGCGCAGGCGGCTAGAGGCGGTCTTCAGCAAGCCATAAAAGAGCTGACCACTGAATTCGATGCCGGGCGTATATCATTGACTGGGCTGATTGACGGTTATGGAAAGGCGGTGCTACACACAGATGAAGTTCCCTCTGTCTCCGTTTACGTTATGCTCATTCGGTCTCTTTCAAAAGTCGGGAGCCACAGTCTAGCTTACCACGCCGTGGCCGCGCTGAAGAGGAGTACACTTCCACTCTCGGACCCAGCAATCTTCTACATGCTCTTGCAGATTGGTCGAGCCTGCGACTCTCGGTCACTAAATCATATGCTACACTTCATAGCAAAGGCAGATAATCCTCTCAACGTTATCCACAAGTGGGAAAAGACACGCGTCAACGGAATGGACCTCCCGGTTCCGACTACTCTGAATCCACGACTTCTCATGGTCTTGGTCTACACCTCCCTGAGATGCGAGCAACCGACACGAGCAGAAGCATGGTTAACCCTCCTGCGTGAAGCAGATTATGGGAGCATGTGGAAAGATGACCTCTTCAGAAGCTTTCTGGCCTACTACTCTCAGCATGGAAACTGGGACGAGGGCAAAAAATGGTTACAGCGATCTGTCCAACACGCACTGACAATCGCGAGCCAGTCGGTTGACCGACTTGCACGTGTGATCTACCGTATGCTGGATCTCTGTGTGCGTTGCTGCAAACTTGCAGAATATACAACGATCCTTGACGCGGCAGTTGATGCGGGCATTGGGCCGCCACTTGTCGATAAAACCCAGAATGATCGCAGGACATTCCACCCGCGGACTCGAAGCATCCTTCTTGAGTGGGAATCTCTTCCTCTCCCGGACAACGTTGACGAGTGCCCTGCACAGGAAAAGGCAAGATCGTTTCAATTGGCATGCAGGCCTTTGATGGAAGAGCTTTCTGGATCCCCTTACAAAGCCCCGACCTCCCAAGAGAAAGGGGATAGCGAGCTGGTGCTGATGGCGCCCACGGCCCAAAGCCCCAGTCTCCGTTATACCGTACGCAGAATGACGCCGGATATTCCAGACGCCAGTGCCAGTGGATATTCGTCTGTTGAGCTGGATAAATTACAGAGCAAATTCCTGCAGCAAGAAGCCGTGATTTCCCAGTTAAAAACAAAGCTTGACCTTACGGAACTACGACAGAAGTCTTATCAACAAGAAACAGCTCAGAGAGCACAAAGATGGATCAGAAGCACTTCGGCACTGGCACACGAGTTGCGGGAATCGAAGGAAGACTATGAAAAACTTCGGAAGCAGAATGAGTTGTATGAGAAGGAGTGCGCGGATATGCGAGCAGAGATGTCAGCATTGAAAGCTGTTGCAGACCAGTGGATGCAGCAACGACAACAGCAGGCGGAACAGAATGCCTCATTTTCGACAGGGCTGTCTGAAGACAAGAATGCGGGTGGTGAATCGCAGGAGATGGGGCAGGAAAAGGAAGTGTCGTCTCTACAGGGAACAAAACGAGCACCAATCAGGGCACAAACCTCCCGGGAACCCACAGTCTCAACCAAATCAGTCGAAACTCCTGCGGCTCGGCGATACCGTTCAAAAATGGGTACCCCCCTGACCGATCCAGCGGAGGTCAGAATTCAAACCTACTCGAAAAACTTCGACAAAGATGCTAGACCGCGAACCTTTAAAAGGGTTCATGTCAAGATGCGACCGGCTCCAGACTCATCTTCGATACCTTGAATTGAGAGGGTCACAGGCTCTCCGCTCCCGGCTCGCATGCGCGGATCTATATTAATGGCGGCAGAACGTCAGTTCAGCACCTGCTCAATGCGCTATATCCGAAGCCATTAGCCTTCGTCTCCAGGTCCACATGGACAGGTGAATTGAGCCCCGTTCTAACTCGCGATGCCCTGGCTCGATAGAATCGACATGCGGCCACGAGAAGGGCTAGTCAATCAGTATTCTGCGGACACGGTCGAGGTCTCCACGTCGACTGGGTCTATCATATGCTGGACCGTATGGTGACAGAACAGAACAGAACAGATAATGATCGTCAACCGCCCATCATCCGTCGCTTTGAAATCTTGCCATCAAACAACGAACGTGACTGCACCACCAACACCGTCATCCAGTGCCACGGTCCCTCCAAAAGTCGAAAGTAAAGGTGGTGGTGAGGATGAGACGAGCCGCACGAGACAAAGGCACCCGGTAATTCCAAGATCGAAGACTAAAGACCGACGCCTGGGGCAGAGATGCATGGACGGAGACGGGAGAGAGGGAGGGTAAGGATGGGATACTGGCTGAAATAAGATACTGCCTAGGTGCCTAGGTGCCTAGGTATCAATATAACCCTGGAATCTAAGCCCCTGTGACACATACCGTGCCTACGATGCTCTCACCCCATGCTGCAGTAAGAATGTACAACTACAGCGATAACCATGGCCAGAACAGTGGTAGTCGTAGCGATAGCGATAGCGGTGTGCAGGGGGGCACCAATATGATCCCTTACTCTTCACAGTCAAACTTGACGCTAGGACAGCAAACATGGCATTGACTCATACTCGAAAGTGACGACGCTCCAGGAATCCTTCCATCGGAACTCCGTGTCATGTATGTTTACCAAAAACAAAAAAACACCGGCAGCTCTCCGCTCTTCCGCCCGGCACCCAGTTGCAAGGGCAAAGACTCCAAACTCCCCGACTTAAGTAACATGTAGGTATCGTTATAAGACCGAGATTGTGCTCGTGTTCGGAATGGTGACTGCTTGGGTTCGACGGCGTAACACACTTCAATACCCATTACAGATATCGCTTCTCTGACCACAATCGTGTCGCTCATCTTGGATGTCGGAATTGGTGGAGAACGTCTCAACCTAGTCCCTGTGGTCTCCGCACTCGGGATTGTGATAATAACGCCGGCGTCCAGTAGGACTGTTGTCCCGGTGTAAGAGACACATATCGTCGTCACCCTCGTAGGTTGATCTCCTGACAGCTTCGTATTGTTTGTTCATTTTGTTCGATCATCCACCAGAACTTTCAAGGCTTGTACCCCGATGCTCAATAGTTCCGGATCTTTGGTCTGCTTCAGACAAGTCTTCAACTTTTCCACGGCGCCTTCTTTCTTGTACGCCTCTTTTACTTTTAGTGCCAATGATTTGTACTCCGGCCCGGCTTCATCGCAACATAACATGCTCCGGACCACGACCAAGCCTCTATGCACCACGCCGGGATCTTCATCGAGACAGAGCTCTAGAAGAATCTCTGGGGTACGTTTAAACTCGAGCATCGCGGATACGATGTTGATATACTGCTCCGTGAGCATTGCCAGAGCCCCACCCGCGGCGCGCCTTGTGGGCAAATCTTCGACATCGGCCATTGCCACTAGGATACGTAATCGCTGGGCGGCACGTTTCGAACCGTCGGCGAATTTCTCGACTCCGGTGGGAACAACGGTCAAGTTACATATCAGTTCGCAAGCCGCACGGCGGACTAGCTCGTTGTTTCCCAGTAGGAAATCTTCAATGTCATCCCAGGCTGATTTGATGATAAAAGAGGCGGCATTGGAGGTAGGGGCTGATGCAAGGTTGGTTAGGGCAAGAAGACTTTCGAAGACCGGCAATAGATCTCGCGGCTGGTCATTAAGAGCTGCCCCGCCTGGGGTCTTCAGTAACGCCACCAAAGGTGGGACAGCGTCAGTGATATCAGGTGTCGATCCGGGTGGGAAGACATGAGCTGGGTTCAAGGAGATAAGGATACGCGCGAGGGCGTGGGCAGCCTCGGGGTGGGCTTGAGCGCTGTTCTCAGGTGACTGTAGACTTCTTTGTGCGTGAGAAACGAGAAGCTTAACGGCTCCCTGCTGAGCGATCTTCCCTCTGTCTTTTGGGTTCTTGGACAACGACAACAGGATCCTATCGCTTAGCTGTGCTGTAGCTGGAGATCTGCCCTTGTTTAGTCTGATCAGTGAGGCCACGACTCCAGCCTCGACCACCGCCGTGCAACGTGCCCGTACATGTTCGTCATCCTCCAAAGGGTTCGGTTCGGCGGGTTTGGTAGCATTCGCATAAGCTTTCAACTGCGACATCTTTTTCTGCTCGTCGGACAGACTTGGGGCATATTGAGTCAGATTCGAGATGATACTCAGTCCGCCGACCACGACTTCCGGGCTAGTATGGTTTTGGTCGAGGACCTCCAGGAGTGAGACCAGGAACTTGCGATCTTTGGCGAGTGACTCCTTCACCTCGGGCTTTAAAGATGTATACGCAAGGCCTTCAATCGAGTCAGAAACGTTCTTTCCTTCTTCAACAATGGTGAGGGATTTCTTGAAAAGGTCAACGAGTTCACTAACATCATCATCCGCCTTATTGGCTCTCTGATCTCCAATCTTGACACCCGAAGTTCTCAACTTAGCCAAGACGGTGGCCGCCACCGATGGCTGCTTGCCGGTCCCGGTGCTCACTTTGTCCGCGAGCCAAGCTGCGCAATACTGTGCGATTGCTGTCCGACAGGCGCCATCAATGCAAGCAGCATTGAGCAAGAAGAGAAAGGCGTCGTGGACGAGAGGACTGCTGAACTTTCTGTCGAGAAGAGGCATGATGGAGGCCAGGAAGCCTTCCACCAAAAAGAGCGGAGCCAAGATGGCTGGAATGACCGGAAAGAGACTTGCGCCAGCCGAAAAGGCCAGGACTAGGTCGTCACCCTTCTTCCGTTGAACGTGACTCGTGATGTAATTGGAGAGATATTCTTGGCCAGACGGTTCTGCCACTTCAAAGAATTTGGATAGGACGAGAGTCGCTTGGCCTCGAACGTCGGGCGGAAGTCTCAGATCCAGGGAGCCCATGAGGGCCTCAAATGCATCTTCATCAATGAATACATGCAGCCGCTGGGTGTCGGCAATCAACAGCAGGGCAATGCCTTTGAGAGCTCGACCATCATGATCGTGACCGGTTTCCATCAGTTTGGCAAGGAAGAGCTGGAACAGGTCATCCTCCACCCGGAGTCGGACCTCCTCGCTCGGCCACAGTGCAACATCAAGCACGACCGAGCGCAAGCAATTGGCCGCTTCGTCACCTCTTTCATAGACATTGTCGAAGAATGAGGTAGTGGACACTTGAAGCTCAGTCGCTAGATATGTTCGAACTGCGGTACTCCGTTTGGCGAGTTCGGCGATGATAAAATCCTGAGCACCGGACATGGTAGACTCGCGGCATTCAAGGATGATTTGCAAACACTCAAGGGCAACGGGGCCGGCATTAGAAGCCTCGGGGCTCTTGAGATATTTGACAGCTTCATCGCCGGCCGACTTATCGTGGTAGAGGGCGTATCTCCTTACCAAATCCAAGAGGGGTGAGTTGAGCTGGTCATCATGATGGATGGCGAAAAAGGCGGCCTGGACATCCGGGTTGGCATGACCCAGTGCAGCAGCTTCTCTCAGCTTTCTCGATGCTTGCTAGAGAAAAGTATAGTCAGCGACACAATGTTCAGAAGTAAAGATCACAACAGCCAAAAACCTACCACTTTATCACCAGCATTAGAAAGTTCAACAGCTTCCTTGGCCAATTGGGAGGCGCGTTCAGCGTCGCGTTCTTCGGATAATTTTCGGTTCATCCGTTGGACGGTCGACATTGAAGACATTTGGACCAGTGAGGCGAGGCGGTGGGGGCAACACGCCTGAGGTCGGAGAGGGAAGGCGATGCGGAGGAGAAGGGAGGAATTATTGAAGAACTCGAAGTATTGAAGAGGTCGAGCACTTGAAAGGAGAAGTGACGTGAGATCAGGAGGCCAATAACATAATTTTTAAAGGGGTGAAGAGCGAGCAGAGGAAGTGGACGGAAGCCGGGAGGCGTACGGCGAGCGGCAGGCGGAAGGATGGGCGGTGTCTGGCTGGATCTGAGAGAGCGAGGCGGCGAAGAAAGAAGCAGAGGAAGCGAGAAGTGCGTTCGATAGGTTTGACGGGGGGTTGTTTGAAATTGGTCAGCTGATGGGAGATGCGGACTCGTGTCTTTGTCTGTGTGTGTATGTACCGAGTATGTCTTCTTCTTCAGGTTCGCAGGTGAGGCAAATGTGGTGGGCGTTTGGGCGTTGAGAGTGGACGTATATTTGTCTGGATGCTAAAAGTGAAGCAAAACCCTGAGGCTGGTTGTTTTTTATTGATAGCCAAATAGATGCAAGGATTGTCGCAATAATCGGCGGAATAGCGAATGGGACTTTGTTTTTCTGGTGATCCCCAACTCCAAGATGGACGGGAGCCGATGTAGGAGCGATCAGACCAACTATGGGCCACGTGGGATGCAGGAAAAAAAAGCTGGTGGATGGTGCAGTGAGGCGATTGGGGGAAGAATGGAAAAAGTTTTTCTTCTTCGTTCTGGTGTGATAGCGACAACGGTTGTGAGAGGAGGGAAAAGGCAGATGCACATGTAAATTCAAATGCAAATGCTGGTTATTGGGAGATACGAGGAATCAGACCGGGAACGGAAGAATTGATCAGATGGAGTAATAATTATTAGCTTGGGAGTTTTGGGGGGGTTTTGTTGGTTGGTAAAGGGGGGAGGAAAGTAGTGTATGACTCAAAAACATGAAAAGTGAAGGGGGGATTGAGAAGTAAGAACCAAAGTGAGAAAGAGTAAAATTGGCAAAACGACGGAGATTAACATGTGAAGCTCCATCTATCTTACGACGGAGTATTGTTGTTATTTTGTTATTATTTTGTGCCTACATCTACAGGGAGGACTCGGATGAGGGATTGTTGCTTATCTTGTCTCCTCTGTCTCTTCTGTCTCTTGTATCCAGCAATTCTCTCACGTTGCGGTCTTGGGCGCTTGGGCTGGCTGGATGGATAGAGGCTGCCTGGCCTTATCTATAGATACGCGTTCTCTTACCTACCTACCTACATGTACATAGGTAAGCACCTAGGCATCCTGGGGTTCCTACTAGTAGCCTAGTGAGCTCTTCGCCTACAGCCTAATACCTAACCACCGAACCACCTAATCTCGTGCCTAACCTCGTGCCCTACGCCTATCGCTTTTGTGCTCTCGGGCCCCAAGGGTTTCCAAGGCGGTTCTCGTCCGCCCTCACTCTTACCCAAGGGGTCTAGGCGTCCAGTGCCTTGTGCTTGTGCTCCCACCTGACGCTGAGACTGCGATGGGACAGATGCTCGTGATGCTCAACCATCAACCATCGATCCACTGTGGCACATCATCGCATCAACTCATCCGTTCTTCCATCTCAGCCCACTCTTTCACTCGCTCAAGCCATCTCACTCCTCGCCTCTCATATTCCACAAATCATCTCCTCTCCTGGATTTCTAATATCTTGGTCCCTGCTATCGTCGTCGTCATCACCACCACCACCGCTACCAAAACCACCCGATCATGAATGCGGTCGACGCATCCGAGCACTTTGACAAACCCTCCCACTGTAAGTTTCTTGTACCCGCGCCCGCCAGAGCACAAGTTGGCCGCTCGCTATCCATCCAATCACCTCTCCCCAAATCCTCACAAGGCTGCCATTAGACTGACATCCCCCTGAACAACACAAACAGCGGCCGAACAATCACCCTCACTCCTCACAGTCATCCTCGACACCAACCCAGCAGCATGGTCATTGCTCTCCTCGACCCTCCCTCTTTCCAGTGCTGTCGCCAATCTTCTCGTCTTCATCAATGCCCATCTGGCAGCAAACTACACCAACAAAGTCGCCGTCATCGCTTCTCATTGCGACAAAGCCACATGGCTCTATCCAGCTCCCACCGAACAGAGGTTGCCTCGATCCATCTCGGCTCGAGCAAAGCGACAACCTCATGACTCGTCTGGAGACGACAACCTCTCCGATCCCACCAAAAGACTGAAACTCAACGGGCCAGGAGGGGATTACCACCCTCCTGGCTCGACTCCTAAGCCTCTCTCGTCCTCAGCAAACACGGGCAGCAAATACCGGCCCTTCCGCCTTGTTGAGGAAGAGCTCCTGCGTAACCTGACCGCGTTGCTGTCCAGCACGTCTCCAGATGCCGTCGCTAGCAACTCATCCACCATGATTGCTGGCGCCCTCACTTTGGCGCTCTCCTATATCAACCGAGAGTCAATCCTGCTCACGGAGTCTCTGGTGGGATCGTCAAACACTGCTAGTGGTGGTATGAGACCCGACGCCACCTCGGCGGCTGGCGAAGGAGCAACTCAGTCACTTCAATCACGTATTCTCCTCATCTCAGCATCGCCTTCAACCGATCTGGCTCACCAATACATCCCGATCATGAACGCCATATTCGCGTGTCAAAGACTGTCTATCCCCATTGATATATTGCAACTTCCTCTCCCCGTCTCTTCCTCCGCGTCCACCACCACTACCACAGCATCTTCAAATCCCACCTCAAACACTCGCTCCTCATCACACTCAAACTCGACCGTCTTCCTCCAACAAGCCGCCGACGCGACCCACGGCATCTTCATCCCCGCCCACCTGCCCTCACCCAACGATCTCAACCCTGTCAAGACGGCGTCCCAGGCCCTCCTGACCTATCTCCTGACCAGCTTTCTGTCCAGCCCCTTGACCCGCTCGGCACACTTGATCCTGCCCACCCGCATCGACGTCGACTTCCGCGCCGCCTGCTTCTGCCACCGCAACGTCGTCTCTGTCGGTTTCGTCTGCTCCATCTGTCTGAGCATCTTTTGTGAGCCGCCAGAGAACGGTGACTGCCTGACCTGTGGCACCCATCTCGCCGTAGACGACCGCGGCTACGGGAAGACCCCCTCCGTGGTCGTGACCTCCAAATCCAAGAAGAAAAAGAGGCCGCAATAGGTGGCCGGCCGCAAGTTGCGCACCGGCTGGAACGGAAAGTGATCAGCAGTGTATTCTTAATAATAGGCCAATTTCAAGGCGATTCGGTCCGTAACAGACGGCCACAAAAGTTATCAGACCATGAGTGAATGCGAGGGAAAATCGGCTCAGGCGCACACAGATACAATGTTTGTCTAGACTAGGGTTTTTGGGATTGTTTGCCTATCAATATGAAGGCCTTAGGGCACCTTGATGTTTTAGGGCACGCGCGCAAAGAAAAGGCTATGAATATGCCCGCCTCCTTTTTTACACGCCCTTCTCAATCCTCCACCCGTAGTTCCCAGCTCTGCGACGGTTCACTGTCTCTTCCCTGCAGCATCTCTGAACTCCCCCAGCACCGGCTCAGGATGACGAAAATTCGGCGAGGCAGAGGCCTGTGAACATCGGACGTTCTTTCCCGCGTGCCAGAAGACCTGTAATCACCTCGACCAGAGGGTCAACGCGGATGACTGTGTTTTGCTCGAGAAACTCGGCCTCCCTGGGCAATGGACCCGTGGCCTTGGCTTCTTGACATGGTGCATACCGCCTTTGTCTCTTCAGAATGCATCGAGGCAATGGCAAACGAATCGGTGTTGTGGCCGAAATAAAAGTAAATCCCGTCACGGCTTTTCTTGACTGCTAGAATTCCAATGGCGCCAGGACAATGGCTGTTGATGACACCAGGATGACCCATGAAGTCGTTCTTGATGACAGAACTCATCGCTTCATCTTCGTTGCACGATTCGAGTTGTCCTTGTACTTTACGCACCGAACTGTAGATCCGATCGGCAGCCGTGGCGGCGGCACTCGTTGTAGCCATATGTTCACCTGTCCCACTGGTGACCGTGGCTACACAAGTTTGAGTGGGATCCTGTGGATCAATAGGGATCACAGCAGAGCCGACGCCAACAAGAGCGGCCGGACCACACCGACCCTTGTGTTTCATGCCAATGCCTCCCGACGATGCGCCTGCAGCAATCCGCCCAAAGCAGTCAATTGCAATGGCGCCGACTGTGTCACTTATGTCGTCTTCCCGGTCGTTGTCACGGTAAGCAGATCTTGACGTGCTCAACCATGGTTTCGATTGATCTTGGGCGGTAAGATTGGGTGTCTCGCTAGACGGCCCATCGAAAGAACCGCCTAGTTTCTGACGCTTGGAAGAAGACGCTAACCATTGAAGACTGTCATCGCTACCGGCCTCAACGGAATCGTGAGATGCGTTTCCGTCTGCCGTGTTTTGCTGAGCTGGAGGCTGAGGGGAGATCAAACGGCCATGTCCTGGGTTCTCGGTTCCCCCGGGGTGTGATAAGGTAGGTACATCTGCAGTCGAGGCCATCAATGGGCGTCTCATAGAAGGCATCTGTGAGAGGCTGAGTTGTCTTCCATGGGTAGGAGGTGATACCGTGGGGCTGGGGGGAGCAGCAGCCGGCGTCGGAGTACGACCCCACTCATCCGGTGGTTCTATCGACCGGTACAGCTGGTTCTGATCTTCTCTCGCCGCCTCCGTCTGAGAGACGTCTGCAAGATCATTGATCCATTTGATCCACCTCTCACGCGCACTTTTCGAGACTAGGTAGTCATGAGGAAGAATTGCTATACCGTTATCTGCGGCGAAGTCGGTCGCACCAGCGCCTACCAGTAGGATTGGGGGAACACGCTGGAGGGACATTTGTTTTGTGGATTCGGCAAGAACAAGGTGAGCGACTGCAATTGGGTTTTTGACCTGGGAGATTGCCCCGACCGCGCCACTGCGGCCATAGTGATCGACCACGGTGGCATCACATTCGACCTGCCCAGCTATGGTCAAGTTGCTTCCATAGCCGGCATTTGTGATTTCTCTGTCCTCCAGCAGCCTTATAGCCATCTCCACAGCATCAGTAGCATCACCTCCGTTCCTGAGGACGGCCATTCCAACCTTGGCTGCATCGTTGACCGCGGTGAGATGACTTCTCTCATTTTGTAGACTGTGGAACCCGGCACCAGCGTGGATGAAAATGGCACACAAGTCGCCGGGGTCTTGTTGTCGACGCGGCATTGGTCGATGTGGGACGAAAAGACAGGAATGAACTTTGGTCAGCAGGCAGGACGTGTTTGAGAGCGATCAAGGCTCTGACCCCAGTTAAGAGGACCGTGGGAAGCAGTGCTGCTGTGAGAATGAGTTCAAGCTGTACAGTGTAAACAGGGCACGGATTGTCAGGCAGAGAGACGATGAACCAAGTGAAAAGAACGAAAGGGATTGAAATCCTACTTATGGAGACAGCTGCGGCAGCATGCAGACTTGCAGACTTGCAGGAGAAAGGAAAAGTTTGAGCTTGAGGATGCTTGCTTGAAAAAAATGAAGGAATGAAGAGTTGGTGAACGAGTGAGGGAGAGGTCAAAAAGAAATCAACCGGAGGTCATCGTCGTCCTCTTCCGGCAGCTGAAATCGACAGCCTGCTTGGCATGTTTGGAAGCCGCGACCTCAGATGAGGGCGCGACGACTGTCCCCCATGATTTCTTTATACAAAACGGTGTTTCTGTTTTTATTTTGTTGGGCATGTGCCGAGTACTCGGTAACGAGATAGAAGGACAAGAAAGGCAAGTACGATGTTGTGAGGAGGGGCTGAAAGGGGAGGTGTCAGTATAGGAAACTGGGCCGACCCAGACATAGGCGCCACCATGCCATACCAACACACAAAGCATTTCCAATCCCAGCTATCTACGTGCCATAATGTTAATGCTATGCTCTACAACCGACGACGAGCGACTATGTGACTTGGAGAATAAACTACCGGGTCTATACAAACCAAAGGATTCTTGATTATAATGGTGAGATCGGACAGCCACGTGACACTTTGGAAAGTACCAGCTGTGCAGTCACGTGGATAACATAATCCGCAGCCCACTTTACGAGCAATGGTGCTTTGCGTATCGGTGCCCAGCGAGCGGCAGCCCACCAACTGCCACTACTACTACTACCAACGTTTCGTCTCACTGCTGTCCCTCAATTGACTCGTCTTCCACCCACAATTGGAAGCTGCCTGCACACGTTTGTGGGTTGGAAATACGGTGCCTGGGTCACTACACCTCCCTTCTGCTATTCTTCTCTTCTCCTTGTTGGCGATGATCCCTCCGACCAGAACCGATTCATCCTAGCGACATCCTCATCCTTCTCGTCGCATCGTCGTATTGTTGCTGCTTCTCGAGGTGGTCCGCGAGTAACCGACCAAAATGGCTTCTCAAACTCCCGCCGTTGTCATGGACAAGTATGGTCTCCTTTCCGAGCACCTGTATCTGTTGCTGACGGTCAAGTAGCGGTACCGGCTTCTCGAAATTAGGTACGCCCATCGACCATACATGATCGTTACCCTTCTGACCTACCTCAACTTAGGCTTCGCCGGAAATGATGCCCCTTCCTTTGTATTCCCCACGGCCATTGCTATGAAAAGTGGTGCTAGCGGCGCTGCAGGAGGAACGGGATCAGGAAGACCGGCGGTTGCAAATAAACCCTCATTCCTCACTGGCGGTGCAGGACCAAGTTCCAATCTGGCGGGCAAGCGGGGCACAGAAGACCTCGACTTCTTCATTGGAGACGAAGCACTTGCGGCGTCGGCTGGTCCTGGCTACAGTATCAACTATCCCATCAGACACGGTCAAATCGAGAACTGGGACTACATGGAACGGTTCTGGTCAAACTCCATCTTCAAATACCTGCGAGTTGAGCCCGAGGATCACTATTTCCTCCTGACAGAACCCGTGGGTCTTGCTGAAACCACCCGTCTGTGTAGTTGTTGACTGTTTTCTAGCCTCTGAACCCGCCCGAGAACCGCGAGAACACGGCAGAGATCATGTTCGAGTCCTTCAACTGCGCGGGTCTATACATTGCTGTACAGGCCGTTCTCGCCTTAGCCGCCTCGTGGACATCTTCGAAAGTGACCGACCGATCTTTGACGGGCACTGTTATCGATTCCGGAGACGGTGTCACCCATATTATTCCTGTTGCTGAAGGATACGTTATTGGCTCATCGATCAAAAGCATACCGATTGCTGGACGGGATATCACATATTTTGTGCAGAGTCTATTGCGGGACCGGGGAGAACCGGACAGCAGTCTCAAGACAGCCGAGAAGGTCAAGGAGGAGTACTGTTATGTCTGCCCCGACATAGTCAAGGAGTTCGCCCGCTATGACAAAGAACCTGATAGGTTTCTCAAGCACACCGTGACGCAACCCAATGGCAGGTCTATCACGATCGATGTCGGCTACGAGCGATTCCTCGCCCCCGAGATCTTTTTCAATCCCGAAATCTATTCTTCGGACTTCCTCACTCCCCTTCCCACCGTGGTCGATGGGGTTATCCAGTCATCTCCGATAGACGTTCGAAGAGGGCTCTACAAAAACATCGTGCTGTCTGGCGGGTCGACTCTGTATAAGGATTTTGGTCGGCGGTTACAGCGAGATATCAGACACTTGGTCGATGCTCGTATCAGAGCGTCGGAGGCTCGTAGTGGTGGAGCTAAGAGTGGTGGTCTGGAGGTCCAAGTTGTCACCCACAAACGACAGCGACATGGACCATGGTTTGGTGGCAGTCTACTTGGCCAGACACCTGAATTCAGAAGTTACTGCCACACCAAGGCCGAGTATGACGAGATAGGGCCCAGCATTGTCAGGAGGTTTGCTTTACTGGGAGGCCCTGGTAGCACGTAGAGCTGGTAATCTGACGAGATAGAACGGCAGGAATCGAGAAAAAAGATCCAAGACTCCAGATATCATTGACGACATGCTTGGGTGTCCTCTTACTCCTTTTCGTCCGCTTGAAGTGCAGTGTAGTCATGACTCTGGATAGCTCTGGCATCAGAACAAGCTGTCCGTCCCATTGCAGGGCATTTCACCTTTTGGCGTTAGAAAGGCGCAGGATGGGTGTGGTGGGCGCAGTTACACGATTATATAATCACGTCCAATCGAAGGTCGCAGCGTCAGCTCACATTGTGCCCACCTCGTGCACCATCATCCTTTCTAGTGGAATGACTGCTCGGGACACCTCGCTTCACCAGCACCTGGTCGAATGTTTTTGCTTCTTTTATACGGGCTGAGGCCAAAGGTCCTTACTCGTCCAACCTAGTGTTTCTTTGGCGAGGCACCATCCGGCCGAAACCGCGCTTGTCTCCTCTCCCCGTTGAACGCACTACACCGAGACCGACTCGGCTTCGTGTCTCTGTCAGATTTCGCGCACGAACGTACAAGGCGACACGAGTCAAAGCGACCTTTGTGCCGAAAAATAAATGGAAATACTTGATAGACAGATAATGCTATTGTCCATCCGGCATCTTAATCTTCAGGTGGTCTCGCTCTCTCGGATCTGCTCCCGATCACCATTACACACAACGCCATGGCGTCCGCCAACACCCCGTCTGCTCCAATAACGATCCAATTCATGATCCACGACCCTGGTTCCTATCAAAGCGGGCAAGACAAGAACATCAAGATTGCACAGGCCCGAAGGCATGCCGCCAGATATGTTGGCCGACGTGCTCGCTGGGAAAGGCAGATCAGGTAAACAGGTAGCACGGCCTCAGAGATTTCCCGACTGACCAAAAATTGCAGTTGGCGCCGAGAGATGGAGCGCGAATCATCTCAACGACAGGAACAGGACATACAAGCAACCGACGACGGCGCGGATGATCAGCCATCAGAAAGCTCAAAGGCCCTCGTCCATAACGCCCTATCTCAGAGCAAACGGGATCCGTTTTCTCCTTATAGTGCCTCAGAGCATCCAGCAGTCTTTCAAGACCTCATTGAGTATAGTACGCAGCATAATCTACCCTCAAGAAAGGAAAAAACCAAAAAGTGATCCATTTAGCCCCGGCTGACTGAAACTCCCGTTCTAAGCCTACGACAAGCTATGGCCTGACCTCATCGAGGTTCAAGGAAAGCCGGCCGTACACCCCGGCAGGCGACAATGGCGCTTGGCGGCTCAAGAGTGCCCTGCCGTTCATCACGTCCACCTCGCCAGTGTAGCGGATTTTGGCAAAGCCATGTACCATGCTCACGGTTGCAGTGCCATGTTCGATCGGCTGAGACTCTTCCACCACACTCAGGCGCTCCGATTGGTGAGGCAAATCATACAAAACATGGACCCGGACGCTATTCCGACCGATTCTCTCGTGATGGCAGTGTATAACTTGTCATATCAGGGACTGGACTGGGACAAGCGAGTGTTTCCCGAAAGCCACCCTCCGCCACCGACGCTCAACGCACGGTTCCTGGTCCGGTATGGCAGGAAAGTGCCCCATGCTGAACACATTCGTGCCATGAACCTCCTCATCCAGGCCAAGGGCGGCTTAGAAGAAATTGAACTTGTTGGTATTGCGGAAATGATATGGCTGTACGTGGTGTCCCTGACCCTCCAAGAAAAGAAAATGCGATTTCCCGCCCACCCCTCTTTTTGCTCTCGTTCCCTAACAATTCCACGAACATGATAACAGATGGAGCCTGAACAACTGCACAACTCTTATACAGCACCCCAGTTTCCCACTGCTGAAAAGCTACGAGCGACTTCTGACCGAGTATACCGAGAACGTGAAAAGATCCCTTCGTAATGGTACGTTTGGAAGATTGGGAACCGGGTTTCTGGTGCTCCCTGCAAGAGAACAAATCGGCAAGCTCCGCGAGCATCTACTGTGCACCGCCTCCGTTACCGGGGATCTCACACGCCTGGAGCCTGGGTACGAAACTACGCGGGCGTGGCGGCGACTTCTGGCCATCGCACGGGCAAACCACCACCAAATCCTGGCCTTGCCGCCGGAGATCCCACTGTCCGAGGCTGGGAGCGAGGAGGAGCGGCTTATCTTCGCCGTCGCACGCTTGGGCGCGCTGCTCTACGACGACATGGTCGTGTACCCGCAGATTGACAGCTCCGAGGTCAAGCCGCGCCTGGCTAGCATGCTGCGCGGCGCCCTGACCGAGAAGTTCCTCAAGTTCATCCCCGCGGGCGGCCGCGAGGAGTACCGGCCTCTGGTCCTTTGGACGCTGCTGCTCGGCTGCATTGGCGCGACCTTCACGTCTGACCGGCGCTGGTTCGTCGACCAGCTCCATGAGCGATCTGCGCAGCTCGGCCTCGCAGAGTTTGCCGACTTCAAGGCAGCCATGACTTCTTATTTGTGGTTTGAGAATCTGGAAGGGCCTGCGTGGAAGGCGTGGGCCGAGGGCAGAGAGGTGTTTTATCCTCCAGACGCGGAAGAGGAGGGCTCGGAGGAGGGGAAGTCGAAGGCGAAGGATATGGCCAAGGACCTGGACTTTAAGGGGCCAAGTGGATTTCTATCGACCACCTGATCCTCTTCCGTGAAATGGAGGCGCCAAACATCTGGGGAGATTTTCTGAGAAAAAGTGGGAAAACAATCTGCCTCGATTAGCAGACGAGGACATCAAGAAAAGGGTCAGATGGCACCAGTCCACCAATGTATTCGATATCGGGCTTTTACAGGGAGAGAAAGAACCCAACAAGGTTGTGTCTAATTATACAGTCCAGTCCGGTCGCCTTTTCGGGGCAGGAAAAGGGGAGGAAAAGTTGATGAACAGGCCAGAAACAGCGGATTTTGCTCTGCCATCGACCTCCATCCTTGACATGCCTCAGCGATCTTATCCAAATTCTTCCTGTTGAAGAACCCAACAACACGCAAAGCAGCCCCTCACCTATCCCTATCACTATCCTCATACCAGGAGAGAAAATACCGATATCTTCTCAACTTTGCCTCTCTGCTCTATTCAAAAAACACACGCCCTCGACATGTCCCGTCTGGGGGAAAAAGTCGAACCCGCCTAGCTTCTCAATGTCGTAGCGCCAGCGCCCACCGCCGAATCCGGCGACCAGCATGCCCACATCGCGGGCCTGCGTGTGCACGTTGCAGCTGACGTAGACGACGCGGCGCGGGCCGAAGGTGCACAGCTGCTGCAGGAAGTCCGGCGAGGCGCCCTTGCGCGGCGGGTCGATGACCAGCAGGGTCTGCGCGGGCGGGAACGGCACGTCGGTGAATAGGGCTTGCGCGTCCGCCGCGATGAAGCCCGTGTTGCTGCTTACTTCGGGGGCGTCGCTTGCAGTGGTTGTTCCACCCTGTTTCGGGCGGCTGTTGGAGCGGTTGTTGAGGTTCGCATTGTCCCGCGCGCACGAGATGGACAGCGCGTCAATGTCGATGCCCAACACGGACGAGAAATACGGCGCGAGCGCGATGCTGAACAGCCCCGAGCCGCAGTACGCGTCGAGCAGGTATTTGATCTTGGCGGGCTGCGCTTCTGGCTGGTGGTGGTCGCCGGAAACCCAGGATACCGATTGTGATGATGCTGATGCTGGAACCGCGGCCGTTGGCGTCTTGGGAAGAAGGTTCTCACGGATATAGGACAGGAAAATGGGCAGGATGGAATTGTTGTTCTGGAAAAAACTGTTCGCTCGCGTGGTGAATGTGTAGGGCCCAATGTGCTCGGTCGTCACGGCCTTGTGGTCGGACGTATAGGTCTTGATGTCTCGGAAGAGAGGGTACGTGTAGGTGATTTGAGGGGTGGTTGGAGACGGGAACGAAATTTCGGTGGAGACAGGCTCGCCAGAGTAGGCGAGCGGTAAGGACGATAGGTCATGAACCGATCCGGCCGAGGGAGCTTTGATATTCTCGCCTTCCTCGCCGGCGCCGTTGCCGCCAACATCGCGCGTCGATGAGCTCTCTGCTGCCAACGGTGGCTTTTCATCGCTAGCATCCGTGGCGGGGGAAACCATTTCGCGCCGCGTCGACTCCCTCAACAGAACCGTCGCGCCGGTCTTGCTTTTCCAGAACGACTCGTGCATCTTCTTCCTCTCGATCTTGAGGCCTTCGTTCAGGATCGGCGTGCCGATCGGACACTGTTCGATGTCGAGGATCCTGGGGCTGTTCTTCCGCATGAACCCCAAGGGGGGCGGGTCGTCGCCCTGCCGGAACGGCCTGGACTTCGAGCCGCCGCTGTAGTGGGGGGTCAGTTTCGTGCGGTAGCCGTACTGGAGCGGCGAGCCCATGGTGTCGTCGACGGGCGGGATTTGCGACGGGTCCAGGTTCGAAAAGTGCTTGAAGGCCTTCTCCACGATCGTCTTCTTGTGCGCGAGCTGCTCCGTGTAAGGTAGCATTTGGAGCTGGCAGCCCGAGCAGGTCCCGAAGTATTGACAGCCTGGTGTGACGCCCTCGCGTCGCGGCGACGGTCGGAGCAGCTTGACAAAGTCGACGCGGCTCCACAGCGGATTCACCTCCTTCTGGGGGAACGTCTTGGCCAGGACTCTGTCGCCGGGCACGGCGAAGGGGACGACGTAGATCAAGTCCCTCGTTCCAGGCGCGTAGGCCAGTCCGTCTCCGGTAGATGACAGTTCCTCGATCTCCACTTCCACTTCCGTGTGGGATTCTGCTGGGCGCGACGTCGTAGGGTGCCGCTTATCGCCCTCTTGTCCTCCTTCCTTGGATCCTCCCTGACCGTCGTGATCCGGCTCATCACCCCCATCACTCGCCCGCCGTTCCCTTCTCAAGAGGAGGAGTGACTCCGCCTCAATGGTCAAGACCTGCTCCGGGGTCCCATCCTGCAACCGAGACCGCTGCTGCTGGAGCCTGTGTCGCTTCGCGCGGGCCATCGGCCCTCTGTTGTTGAGTTTGTCCATTCTCGCCGCAATCGACGCGGCATTGTACACCTCCTTGTACCCCTGCTGCCTCGGTAACCGCCTGTCGTCCCTACCGCAACTGCGGTTGAAGGGCTGGAAGAACTCGACCGAGGACGACCTACGACGGATCGATGTGATGTTGGCGGTGGCTCGGCGGACGAAGAACGATGAAGAAGTTGAAGAAGAAGAATAAGATGAAGCAGGATATCCCGGTGCGCGTGAAAGAGAGCGACTCAGAAACATAGATTGATCGTCCCACCTGTCAACTGCCTCCGCTAGATTCTTCCTCTACGAACTCTAGGGGATTCAAAAAGGAGCCATATTTGCTTTCTCGAAAAAATTTGATTACATAATTGTGCCAAGAATATGGCCCCGGCCCAATCATATGGCGCGGATTATACAACGTCACAGAAGTCACTCGCTCGCTTTAGACCGTTTGCCGTGTCTCAATCATGCGTGATCCTCCATGATGTTTGCATCTTCCTCAGCCTCATCATTTCCTTCTGTATGTGCAATGTCAGGTCGATAGGAATGTTCAACACCATTCAACCGCCCGTCGACGCATTCACACGCCAGGTAGATCGTCCGCTGTCTTACACGTTATCTACCACAAGACAGCCCCCCAATTCGCTCTACAGCATTCTCCCGTCACCGTAAGCTTGTACTCGGACCCTGGAGCCTGTACATGCACAGCCGAAGCAGCAGAGGCACTTATGCTCCAACACAGAATCCTGTAACATTTGCTGGAATACATCTGAGCCTGCCTTTGCTCGTCGAGGACGCGATGTCGACTGGATAAGTAACTCAATGTCGGGTCCAGGAAGATTGATCTCGTGTAAATCAGATTGTTGCGCTGTCTGCGACATTCCGTTCGATTTAATCCGGGAATATGTCTTTTGACATGCATCGCCTGAGTGGAGACTGTGCTTTAGCCCTCCATGTAATTGTTCGATCATGATGGCAAGAAAAGGGTCTGGTTGAGGGTTTGCCATCATCGAGAAAGTCGCATATTCTGCCTCGACGCCGATCTCCCAGTCGGGATCGTAGCTGAATATGAGCAGCAACCATCTTCCTTTCGCTCAGTCGTCAGAATCGAGACCTCTGGCAGGGCCTCTCGAAGGACTCCGCGACACTTTTCCACGCAAGTCAGCCACTGCTGGACGACTGCGCAGTCGCGATCGTGAATCCAACTCTCCGTCTGTCGCCAGTCTGTCGGTGGGGTTGACTTTTGGCTGTGTCTCCAAAAGGGGGCTTCGAGCCTCGGCATCGGGAGGGTTAGCGGAGAACCGGTATGTGGCAAGCTCAACAGGACCATCGATGTTGTGGTTGACAGGAGATCTCGATGCATGACGTCGATTGAATTCATCTGGCGTCAGGCCGAGTCCCATGATCTCTTGAGGCTCTCCGTCGTCCTGGAACCTCGGCGCTCGGGGCGAGTAATAAGCCGGTGCGGGCGAGAAAGGACCTTGAGTAGTGGAGGCACTTCCTGAGTATCGAGGAAGCGGTGTCATGACTGATGTGGTCTATTAGCAAACGCAGCAAGGAGTGTAAGAGCAAAGTGAAACCTACCAGCACCGAAAGGATCCTTGTAGAAAGATTTGTATTCTAGGGGTTCTCGCCCAAGCTGAGCGGATTCTTGCAGTGACCGCTTCATTCTTCTCCGCCGTATGAGGCAAAACACCGCAAGCCCGATGATGATTGTCAGACTCACCGCGGCGGCAACGGCGCCACCAGCTATCGCGGCAGTGTCCACTGATTTCGAGGCTGGCTGTGCCCTCGCCGTACTCGATGTCGTCGTAGCGGGTGCGGATGAGACCGAGGCTGAACTTGTCGTTGCAACGGTGGCGGGAACCGTGAAGGTCGAACTTCCAGCGACGACCACTGTATGGACACCAGCAGGTCGTAGATCCGAGGCAGGGCATCCTTGGCCATTGCACGGGTTACTGTCGCAGCAGCCCTGAAAGGGAACAGAATTGTCGGCGCAAGTATACCAAAGTCCACCATATGGGCAGCTGTGGTTAGGATAGTCCGGGACAGGAGTCGTGACAGCACCAAAGCCCATAGGAGACAAGTTGGCCGGAGAGCACATTTGTCCAGAGCAGGGATTGCTTGAACAGCATCCGATAAAAGTCGGATAGTTCACATCTTCACACTTCCACCACTCGCCTCCCACCGGACACGACACGTAGTCAGAGTCGTTGAATGTGTCTTGTCTTCGAAGGTGCGCCATCAGGAGATCGGATGTGAAGAGCGAGTGATTGACAGAGACCATAATCTCTTGGATTAGTTCAGCGACAGTTCAACTTCTGGGGCATCGAACAGGCTTTGAATAAACGAGTACAAGCCGTGCGGAAACAAGGAAACCTCAAGGAAAGACCAGTATCTGGAAACACAACCAAGGACAACTATTAAAAGAGAACAGACGTCAGACCTTTGGGGAACAACCTGCTGGCTGAAAAGTAAACGATTGGAATCAGGAAACACGGGCCACTGAAAGAGAGTAGTTTTCGGAGCACGTTATACACCAGCGGCCACGAAGTCCTCGACGGAGGTGCCGTAGATATGTTCCGCCATTGCACCGCCCCCCCATATTTCGAGAACACTTAACTGAGCGGCAGATTAGGCGCGCAGTATTCGTCGCGAGGCTCATTCTTGCCAGCTGGATAAGCCGTTTAGGGCTGTCGAATGAGCATTGGCGTCGTTTGTCAGTGCTTGTGCGATGAAAAGCAAGCATTCGCCCTGGGTGGTTCGTCATTCGGCGAGACAGACTGGGGTGAAAAAGTATGCAGACTAGTCGGGAAAAGCAGCTGAGGCTGAGTCCAAGGGTTTAACCAAAAGTGAGACGCCCAGGGTCCCCATCATCTAGCGTCCAATGACGATTTTCTAGCCAAGATACAGCTTGCCATCGGGTTTCAGCCCGCTCTTGGACCTTCTGGGGAAAAGGCAGAGACCTATTCGAGTGATTAGTGCGCAGCAAAGAATGACTGATGGTGATAGGAGAGGAAGTAGCTAGACAGCAATTTGTCAACGTGAAGCAGAAGTGTGTTTCGTCTAATTCATCTGACTTGGCATGTTTGTACCGAGTAGTTGTAAGGTCCATCGAGGCCGCCAGTCTGTGAGGGCGGAATCAACGCCACGGGCCTGAAGTGACCACTGGCCGCAAGGCTCTGGGGGCCATGGGCCAGGTCTCCGAACCCTTTCCATCACCTCTTCCACTGGCCCGGGGCCGTGTGAGGCGCATCCGTGTCTTTTCTTCTATCAATCGTACAGTACAAAGGATGTTTGGTTCCAGCGGTGAAACAGTTGATGCTCTGACTAGATTCTCGCCGATGTGTTGCGCATTAGGTGGTACAAGACTCGTAAAGCAAGGGCTTAGGAGATGCTGACAAGGTGCAGGCGACTTGCTTCACCGCTTGGAAAACACAATCCGGCTCGAACGTCGGTCCAGATCTGTCGGTGCGGTCTAGCGTCTTCCGCCGCTCGAGGTGTGAGCCCAATTATACGACTATGCTGCCCACTACTTCGCTTGATGCTGCAGTGCCATGGTGGCCATGTGTGGCATGTGTTGCATGTGCTCTAAGCTGTATCCGGACCCTGGCTGCATCTCTATCGTCCGCTCTTCATCTTTTGCCGTCGAGCTACCCTCTCCGCGATCCTCTGAAGCGCCGTCTTGACTTCGCCCTTGGGAAAGCTGTCTATGTCATAATAACCTGGTGCAATATCGAGTAGCCACTCGCCTCGGACACTGGTCACCGTCCGAATATAATTCTTGCTGGTAAGTACAAATTCGTTGTAAACCACCCATTCGCTCTCTTGGCCGAGGACCGTACTAGGATGCAAAAGTACAGTTTGGTTGTCTTTCACGGTCGTGTAAGTCTTGCCGTTAGCTTCTTTCTTTGCCACCTGCATGAAGAAGCCAGACACGAGTGCGCGTCGGATGTTTTCGTAATACTTTTTGTCCTCAAATGGTGTTGACATCAATTCCAATTCTTCCCGCTCCATGATTCTCTTTAGCTGCAGACGCACATTGTCCGCAGACTGTAAAGCCCGGAGACTCAGGAAATGATCGTGACACCATTGCCTCGGGTTCGCCTGCGCCTCAGGGCCTTTGAAAGCATGATAGACATTGAGCATGGTCAGATGGTCGCCGTCAGGGTGAGCGAAGAGATTTTTCATCTCGTCTGCCCGTTTTCGCGCGGACGCAGGTCTGACAAAGATCTGGGGCACGGACAGCAAAGCGGTCAAGCTCAAGATCTCGTTCGAACAGTAGAATTCGGGGGAAGAGATGAGCATGACTGCCAGTGCTGGATCGAGAGGGAACTCAGACGCCAGCCTGCCCATGGTTGTGAGGTTACCATCGTCGTCCAGACACGCGAGATAATTCAACTCCTCCAATGCCCGCATCAAAGTCTCAGGAGCGGGAGGATCCATCAGGTCGAAGTGCACGAGGTCGTCGATTCCAAGTTTCTTCAGCTCCAGGACAGTAGATGAGAGATTTGAACGAAGGATTTCAGGGTAAGTTTGCTCGATCAGCTCCTTTTTAAAGGCACCTTCAGTATACAGTCGGAAACACTTTCCGGGCCGAGTACGACCGGCACGACCAGCTCTCTGTTGAGCGGAAGCCTTCGAGATGGGCGAAACGAGGAGGGACTCGACCCTGATACGTGGATTGTACACCTTTTGTTTGGAAAATCCAGGGTCAACCACATAGACAATCCCATCGATGGTCAGGGACGTCTCTGCAATGTTGGTGGCAACGATGCATTTACGACCCGCTGGACCGCCAGGTCGCCGCGGTGGCGGGGCAGGTTCAAAGATCTTTTGCTGCTGTGCAGGAGGCAACGTGCCGTAAAGGGGATACACTTTCATCGGGCCCGCGTCAGCCTCTCGAACCATTTCATCGGTTTCCAGCGAGATCTTTCGGCATGCATCTTCGATCTCTTCTTCTCCGGTCAGAAATAGTAAGATATCACCTTCGGGTTCCGTGGCATGGATCTGCAAAACGGTTCTGATAGCAGCTTCAACGTAATCCGGCTCAGGCTCCTGGGTGTAGAAAATCTCCACAGGATGTGTTCGACCAGGAACAGCAAGTAAAGGCGCGTCGTTGAAATATCGCTGAAATTTCTGAGCATCCAGGGTTGCAGACATGATGATCAACTTGAGATCTGGCCTACGCAAAACCACCTCTTTCAATAGACCCATCAACACGTCTGTAGCCAATGTCCGCTCGTGGGCTTCGTCGAGAATAATCGTGCTGTATCTTGTGAGCTCGTGGTCGTTCATGGCCTCTCTCAAGAGCATGCCATCGGTCATGTATTTGAGTATCGTCTTTTGGCTTGTCATGTCCTCAAATCTTATGCTGTATCCGACCTCTTCGCCAAGTTTGACGTCCAGCTCGTTCGCAACACGTTCCGCGACCGACATGGCGGCCACTCGACGAGGCTGCGTGCATGCGACGAGCTTTCGTTCTTGCTGTGGCAAATCATCGTAGAGAACAAACTGGGGGATTTGCGTCGTCTTTCCTGACCCAGTTTCGCCCACGAAAACTAGAATTTGGGATTTCTGGTACAACTGAAGGAATTCGTCCCGCTGGGCATGGACAGGCAGATCTCTTCTGGTACGCAGTATGGAGAAGTATCGATCGGAATGAGGACGGCCTGTGAAAGGATTGGTTTTGGAATCTTCGGCTTTGTGAGCCAACGCAGCCGTGGTCTTGTGCCGTTGGAAGTCGGCGAGAGGGCTGTCGCTGGGAATCGGAGGGGTTGAGGAGCCGTTTGTGTACCCGTTCACATCGTTGTCGTGCCAGTGAGCAAGGTAAGGATTGTTTTTAGGATCGAGCCCGCCAGCGGTCTTCTGGCGCTTTGCGGGCAACCCGTCAGGGTTCTCTGGGCGTTTGGCTGCCATGGTCGCTGGCCAGTGGTGGAATGGAGGGAGACAACCCGATGGCGCAACTGATCGGTGGCGTGGTGGGTAAATAAAGGCAGAGAAAAATAAGTGTGGGTGAAAGGCGAAGCGGTGCGAGGATGAAGGCTTTCAAGTAGTTGTCGCTTCAACTATTCGTCCTTTCTAACCATCGACTTTCCAGACAAACCCAGTTCGCCGCCTATTATTTCGATCTCGCAAAGTAGAAAATATTTTGAGATTTGCGTTTTGGAAAAGTTTCTGCGGTGACGTATTGAGTACGGTGAACTACAAGATATATCAGGCGCACTTTCATTTACGGTCATCATGTCAGTCCTTGACTCCTGGGTGACTCCAGCATTCACTTGTGATTGATTGAGCCATATATCTACCTATAAACTGCTAGTGCTTGACACCTGAGATCTCCTCTTACAGTGGCAAAAGAGTGGCGTGGTCCGAGGAAATACATTCTTTCTAGTTTGCGGTTGGGATACCAAAAGTATAGACTCCAAGCGCGGTGTAGTCAGGATCAACTACCGGCGCTGCGGCTTGATGTCGAAAACAATGCCACTATGCTCTCTTATATAGTCATCTAGATCTATCCAGAGGAAGGCTACTTTATATACACCAGAGGGACGATAATAAAACGGAGGAAAGCATGGACCGAGATGCTCGGAAGAGCTTCCCTCACCCCAACTACCCCTCGACCGACCATCATTGGCAGCCCCGCCCTGTTGTCCCCGATGTCAACAGAATAGAGAGCGAGAGAAAAGCAATTCTACCGTTCTGCTATTTCCACTATTCATAGTTTTCCTTCGCTCTCCGAGATATTCTATTTCCTGGATACTCATTCTCCCGTGTCTTTACACTCTTCAGCCTGTTCATCCTCATCCTAACTTTATACCGGTATATCACCAGCAACAGTCTATTTACTCCTTCTCCTCTTCAGCCTTCTGCAAACCTTTCAAGATGGGTCGAAAACCATTTGTTGGCGGCAACTTTAAAATGTATGTAGTGAGGACAGACACACAGACCCTGCGCTCTTTAGGAACCGGTCAAAGGGTGTTTACCGGGTACTGACACACCACTTCCACCAGGAATGGGACGATCAAGTCCATCAAAGAGATTGTCCACAACTTGTCCACAGCCAAGCTCGGTATGCTAACACCTCGGTCTCTACTTGCTTGAATATGCTATTTCAGAGGGATCACCGAAAGATCTTGACTGACTGTCTCTTCCACAAGACCCGAACACCGAAGTAGTCATCGCACCCCCGAGTCTGTACCTCCTGCTGGCCCGCGAACACCTCTCCCCCAACATTGAAGTCGCAGCTCAAAATGTCTTTGACAAGCCCAACGGGGCTTTTACCGGTGAAATCTCAGTGGCGCAATTGAAGGACAGTGGGATCACATGGACACTGCTGGGTCACTCGGAACGCCGAACCATCCTCCGTGAGGAAGATGAGTTCGTGGCTTGCAAGACCAAAGCCGCACTCGACGGCGGAATTGGTGTCATTCTGTGCTGCGGCGAGAGTCTCGAGGAGCGGGAAAAGGGTATCACGGTCGATGTTGTCACAAGACAATTGGACGCGGTGAACAAGTCTATCGGCAAGGATGGCTGGAAGAATGTGGTGATCGCATACGAGCCCATCTGGGCCATTGGGACAGGCAAGGTTGCAACGACTGGTATGAAGCAAAGACTCCCCGACATGTGTGAGGCGTGACTAACGCATCCGAACCATTGCAGAACAAGCGCAGGAAGTTCATGCAGCCATCAGAAAATGGTTGAAGGACGCCGTCTCGACCGAAGCCGCCGAGAACACCAGAATCATCTATGGTGGAAGCGTCAACGAGAAGAACTGCAGGGATTTGGCCAAGCAGCCTGATGTGGATGGATTTTTGGTCGGCGGCGCCAGCTTGAAACCTGCCTGTAAGTCGACATCTTGGGAAAATACCCTACATGACCGAATGAAAGCGCTGACGTTTCCGAACCACAGTCGTCGAGATTATCAATGCGTTCAGTTAGATTCGTGGCTGATGAGGCGGGAAGCATGAATCGTTCCCGATAGCGCGCAGTTCAGAGGGATCAACTGACGAGTTCAGTGGTTTGGTCGGTGAACCGAAAGTCCTGAGGTCAAATAGGCATTAGCATGCGAAGACCCGAAGCAGAATAAAATTTATATGTCACCCCGTTAGACACCCCTACACTCTTGACACCTAGTAATTAGACGACTGGAGACTTGGACAACAGGGAGGATGTGCGTCTCGGGATCTCCTGCTCCACCCGACCGCAGCACCGAAATTTCGCAGTCGGAGAAAAGAGCATGCGAGCTTCAAGTTTCTCGTACCAAAGTATTTCATCATTCAATAAATTCATCACTCCTGCCGTCTACATCCACAGCCATCTTATTCTACGCTCTAATATCTTTCATATTTGTTGGTGTTGGAATCTTAGCCACCCCAAAATAAAGCAAAATGGTCAAGCTTGAAGAACTTGAAGATGAGCACTTCATCAACAAGCCAGACACGACCAAGGACGGCGCTCTGTTGGCAGACGACGATGAAGATTACACTGACACCGGTGAGGAAATATTCCCCCTTGCGCCACTTGTTGTTATGCTTTATACTCAGTTGTGCCTTCGCTGTGTCTGGTCCCTCTTCGTCGAGGACCAATGATCAATCCATCCTCTGGACGATTTTCTCCCAGTTCACTCGCAAACCACAGCCACAAAATCGACGTTCATGATCTAACATTTTCATCTAATCTAGACTCCGAGATCTCCGACGACGACGCCGTCGACGCTCCCCTAGACGAGTCAATCATTGACCGTCTCTCCGCGCTCCGTGATATAGTGCCCCCGAAAACCCGCGCCCGCTTCGTTTCTGCCACCCAGACCGTATTTTCCGCAGCTAACGCCTCCGTCACCTTCGGCGGGAAGAGCCTGTGGGTCATCGCGACCAGCATTTTACTCTTGGGGATCCCCTATGCGCTTGCGCTAGGCGAGGAGCAGCAGTACATGGAGGAGGAGCGACAGAGGGGGATAATGGAACAGGGAACGCAAGGAATCATCCAGGGCGGCCAGCAACCCGGACATGGGGACGCGAAGCCGGCCTTGTAATATCAATCTCGAATGTGAATCCTGATGGGGAGGATGGGATCGGATGGAATGGCGTCAACTCCTGCTGGGATTTCCTTGGGGCAAACCCCTCGGCAGAACCCAGGTTCTCCTGCCTCTTCTTGTGAGTTGCGGAGCAGGCAGATTTGCACTGTCAACCTGGAAGTTCGCTCGTGAAGGATGTGCCACTCTCTCGCCTGCGTCTTGCGACCGAGTGTATGTCTTTGAAGCCACCGTTCTGAGTTAAAAACGAAGGCTGGGAAGTCCATTCGACGAGTGGAGGAAGACAAAAGCCAAGCCTCCCCGGAAACAAAGTGACGAATACAATCCTGTATCTTGTACAATACCTACATGGCCGCGCAGGCAGGGCAGCGAAAGAGGTGTGGTGGTGGTGGATGGAAAAGCCATCGGCCTCAGACCACGGACAACAAGTTGGGCGGCTTCGAAGGGGTTTTATTCTTGTGTTGTCGTTGTGATATATACCTCTATGGTGGAAATACACCAAACAACCAACCGGCCAGCCTGCCTCTTATCTTACGCCGTGTGCCTGTTCAAAATCCCAACTACTATTTCACCACTTCACTATGTACTTCCCAAGCAAAGATGAGGATTTCGTTCACATGTACGAGGTGTATGTCCATAACCCCTACTAGAATGACCCCGTCTCACCCTTTTTTTTTCTTTTTCTTTTTTTGGACCTTGTAACCAACCGACTGCCTTCCCTCCGCACCTCCCTTCCTCCTCATCTCTCCTTCTCTCCTTCTTTGTCATTTCGATGGAATGCTGCGTCTGATGGCATACTATAGCCAGGATGATGGGACGAATTACCTACCGTAGATACCTAGGTTCTCTCGACGTGAGTCACGAATCACGAATCACGAATCACGAGTATGAGATACGTAAGTAGAGAAGAGGGAAGAAGGAAGAGACAAGAGGGAATATGTAGAGAATTAATCTCGTGTGCGTGTGTACTGCTGCTACAGCTCTCGGCCACTTGTTATATTGTCTTGTTTGCACTTGTTTCTGTAGGACTTTGCCCAAATAATGACAGTCGTCAGAGTGATTTCCATCCAAAAGGTTTCATGCCCAAGCAGCTCTTGGCCACAGCTCCAAGGTAGAAAAGCAAGGCAGGCTGTCCCTTCTCTCTCATGAGGCATCCAGGTACGAGTTGCCAGAGGTGACTTCGAGGATGCTTGAAAACCCGATATCCGCCAGCATTCTCGCGTGCATTCATGTGCCCGTGCATCCCCATTTGATTTCTCTTTTACATCCAGCCTCTTACTCCTGCTCTGAATCCGATTCCAAGGCCTTCGTCAGCCGATACTTGTCATTATTCCATTCCCTGACCAGTCCGCCCGTCGTCACTCGGATCGCCCCAATTCTTCCCTTTGACCTCCCACCTCGCTTTTCAAAGTCCTCCATCCCCAACCTCGCGTCGTTGAGATCATTTTCAAATTCGCGCCAGAACTCTGCAATTACACCCGTCTCCTGCATGCTGTCCACGATTTTCTCTGCTTCCTTTTCGCGCTTCCTTTTATTCATCTGTTCGCGCGAGACGATGGCGTCCGTTGAGAGAACACCTTGTGCTTCAAGATAGGTCATCAGGGATTCGTTGAGATGATATTTCCAGTGCGTGAGTTTATGTCCCATTTCGGCATTGGCAGCGCAAAAACGACCCAAATAAAAGCGTGTTTGCTGAGCAGAGATAGCATGGCCATTTTCATCGTAGGTGGTATTAATCCCGTCGTTTTCGACGCCGTCATCCTCATCCTCATCCTCATTATCGACAGGTTCAAGGGTTTTCTTGTAGTACGGTGTGCCAGAGAAGACGAATTCATAGCGAGCAGGGTTGTTGGTACGGTTACAAGCATCGCAGGTTCGCATGTGCTCGTCATCTTCGCCTGGCAATGCTACGACTTTCATAGTCGGTCTTGCCAGTATGGCTCGTTTGAAGTCGGTACCCCATGCTGCCGAGATAAGTCTGCTTCCTGCTTGAGCTTTGACTTGGTCGTCCAGCCGGTCAAAGGCGAGGTTATACACCGGATCATCGCGGCTGAAGGCCGGCGCGATTTTGTTCTTGACCATCCACTCGATAATGTGAGGGAAGAGTTGTCTTGGTTTGGCCGAGGCAAACGACGTGAACTGTAGCGGCATATCCGAATGTGGCCGGCCGAGTCTCCCTCTTGAATCGTCAACAACAAAATCGTCGTCGTCCTCTTGTCCATCTTTGTCGTCATTTACCTGGTCCACATCACTCGCCGAATCCGAGGACTGGTCGCTGGAGACGTCGAGATGTGGCCGGCCGATAAAGTTGATGTCAACACCTTCCGATCCTTCGTCTGATTCTTCGTCGGAGTCGCGGACACGTGGGATTTTTTCACCTGCACGCCTTCTCTTCAGGAGCTGGAAATGCTCTCGAGCCCTATCGCGTTGAGTTGTGACCGGACCTCCTCTGGTTCGCGCCCTTGGTTCAATTACTTCCTGAACTGAATCCTGTAAGTCGTGGAGATCTTCCTCGAGTTCATCCTGTTCTTCCCTGGCTCGGCGCCTAGATGCTTGGGAAGACTTGTGCTTCGGCTTCAATCTTCGCGATTTTGTGGGTGGCTGTAACCTAGTTCTATCGTTCTCATCCTCAGAAGAGATAAATTCCACTTCATCATCATCCACCACGAAGTCATCGCCCCTGCCTTTTTTCCGCTTTGGCGTCGATCTCTCGAGGCTCTTCTGGTCTATCACGAAGGGGTCTTCGTTGTCATTGACGATGAATGGATCGTCTTTATCTAGTCTTGTTTTCCTCCGTGTTGTCGGCTTGGATGTCATGATAGGATCGTCATCGTCACTCGTCTCCGGAGATCCAATGTCGGAAAAGGTAGAGCGAAAGGCTGGGGAGGAGATTTCCACGGACGGAACAGAGCGAGAACTCCTAGGGCGACTCGACTGCCGACTCGACTGTCCTCCTGACGGCGATGGCCTGCGACGTAATCTTCCTGACCTCCGTGGAGCGGGGGAACTGGGTAATGGCGAGTCCTCATGTTCACTAAGGGAAGAGTCGGGGTTTAAACGCTTTGATTTCCTCGCCGAAGGTAGACTGGTTGGTTGGGCCGGCGGAAGTGTAGAGGACGATTTGCGTTTCTTTTGAGCGGGAGAGATCAAGTCATCTTCGTCCGTGCCGTCTGATAGATCGATTTGTAGAACTCGGTGGACTGTGGGCGACGAGGGAAATAAGGTCTGATGCAGTTCTTCAGATCGTTCTGGAAGCGGTCAGTTGTATCAAAGGTGTACTAAACTTGACCATACCATGACTTTGGTGATGCGATTCCGCAGGAACCTCTAGAGTTGGTGGATACGAAGGTTCAGGATAGGGCTCGTCTGATCGGCGAGGGAGAGTATTTGATTGCGTATATGCTGTTCCAGCTTGTAGATCTGAGACACGTGGACTGGAACTCCCTGGCCCGGGAGGTGAGGAAGACAGAGACGAGAACTGTAGCCTGGTCTGTCGCTTTTGATCGCGGAATGGCCGCTTTGAACCGTTCAAGCCAGAGGCCCTGGTCGCCATGGTTGGAATGGAAGGGCAGCCGCTCACAAACTCGAGGAATTGACAATAACATAAGACGCTGAAAGGAGAAACCTGAACTATCCCAATGTGGCATATAAAAGAAATAAACTATAAAGTGAGCCTCGTAGATAATCTGTAAGTGTATGAGTTTGTGTCCATCGAAGCAATATGGTTGCGCGCAGTTTGGCGGGCTTGAACAAGCGGGGAAGGTCGCGTTGGGCGCGTCACCACGTGATGTTTCACCAAAATGTGGCTGGTGGCCGATTAAGTAATGAGTAACGATCCCTCCTAGCCACATCAGCGGAACAAATACTTGGCAGTGGATACGATTGGCGGGAAGCTGTTCCAAAGCCTTGCGCAATATGGACTTGACTAGAGCCTTCTAAACGTCATATTTTGTGGAGAGCAAACGACGATTTTCCCGCCTTTCGATCAGGGCTTGACCTTGCAACGAACGATGCCTCGTTTGATCGTGATCGGCCTTTGCGGTGGACCAGCAATGACGAAAATATCCAGAAATTTCAGGGCTAGAGAAAAAACCAACATCGAATACACCTAGCTTGACTGACAGCGACCGCATCAGTAGTGGCAATATTGAAGTCGAGCTTTCTGGCCCATCGTGCCCCCTTGCCTCTGGTCTGATTGATATCTGTAAAGGGCCGATATTGCTACTTAGATCCATTCACAGCACAATGAACCCGGGATGAAGATCAGAACGGCCAGCGCGAGAAGGACCAATTCACTCCAAAAGTCTATGCCTGTCTCCAGGGCTACAGCAGGATCTCTACAAGTGGCTGGCAACCTGAACTCACTGCCATAGTCGTAATGGACTTCAATAATGTTTTGTTGGCTGCCAGACTAACGTACAATATCATCAGTAGTGCGTATGTCCTTGGTGGCAGGTGATGTCATGATGGTTCTTTTGGGTTTTGCTGGAGCTCGCGATCAATATCCGCCTCGCCGCTTCATCGTTCAGCTCTGGCTTTGTCCAGCCTCGATCTCCACATTGTTTCCGCCCAAAAAAGATGCTCAACCACTCTGTTTCTGTCTTGTTCCGCTGAGATCAAGCCACAGCTCTGTCGATCCCTCCTCGATCGCGGCTAGACTATGGTCAGAAGCTCCCCCAACCTTGGAACGAAGCCAGGTCGTGTTGCGCGTGCCTCCTTGATCGAGTGACGCCCTGTGCCACCAACTTGGCTGTGAGGTAATACACAACGCCCACCCCTCCCCATCTCTCACTCATAACTACATCACTTCCTCTGTCTCTGACCTGTGAAGCCAGTAGTTCTTCTCAGACCACTTTTCATCCATACTTGATTTCATATCCACCCCTCAGCAGATTCTAAAACTGCTTGCAATCCTACAGAACCTGAACTGCGATTGAACAAGGGCTTGACCCCCATCTCTCCTCTCTGTTTTCATACCTTTGTGATACCCCTTTTGCACCGTTACCGCTTTGACGGGTAATTGAACGCCACCATGGCCTCCGTTAATCGGCCGACGAACAACGCCGTCAAGGAGAAGGACATCAACCAGAAACTCCAACTCTACGGCATCTACCAAGCTTTTGCCAACGGCAAAGTGCCCTCCAACAAGCAGATCGATGTGGCCTTGAACAGTGCACTCGATTCCAAGGCACTCTCCTCACCTTCGCCAAAACTCTCTGAGGAGGGCCGCAAGCTGGTTGGGGATCTGAAAGAAGTCATTCGCCAGGCCAAATACCTGCTGCTGTCCAAGAACGATGGAAATCTACTTCAAGAGTTCATCTGGGACACCCAACACCTCGACGGCAGCAACGCCAGCCTTCCCAATGCCCCAACGGACAAGGCGACTGCTCAACAGCACGGAGATGAAGCTTTAGAAGGTCTCAAGACCCTCGGCAGACTCATTTTGTCGAACGGTCAATTCCGCAAATTGCTCAATGATGCTGTCATTCTGATGCGGGATGTTGCCGGTGATGCTGCTCAGAATGTCGCCAGCCGCGTGAATCCTTCCGAAGACCAGCTGAACCAAATCGACCACCCCGCGGAAGACAATACCTGGCATGACGTTCCTGATCTGTCCAGGGCGAACTTGAAGAGCCAGGCGCGTGACGCTTACAACCAAAACAAGCCTTTCAGCAGAGAGGAAGCCAAGGACGCCGCCCAACAGGGGCTAGACACCGCTCAACAGCATCCTACCCAGGACAACCAAGAAGCCGGACGCGTAGGGCTACAAAACGCGACTGAGACCCTGAGAGACCGTGCGCAGCAGAATATTCCCGATGAGCGTCAGGAAGATGTCAGGAAGGCTAAAGAAGCCACATCTCAGCATACCAAGAACTACCTCAACAAGAAGGTGCCCCAAGAGCGCCGGGACCAAGCTATCTGGCGTCTTAAGAAGATGGTGGTGGAAATCCAGGGTCACTCTGACTGTAAGTCGTTGACACATTGTGCGACCAAGAACATTCGACTAACCATCAAATAGATCGTCAAGCCATTGATACGCTGCTCTCTCTTGCCGAGACATACGGAGGTCACGCCAACAACATACAGTCGCAGTCCACTGGGACTATTAAAGGTGCTCATGAAGATGATCGCTTGAAGAGTGCTGAAGCTAACTTGAAGGTTCGTACAGCCGCTTACCGTGACAACAAGCATGCGCTGACCAAATTCAAGACGCTGATTGAACGCTTCGCCAACTACACAAGCACTGATGACTTCTTTGACGCCTTGAACAACATCTACCGAGATGCCGATCGCGACCCGGAACTCAAGGACTGGTTCAAGGCTGTGGACAGATACATCCGCAAATGCCTGCAAGAACAAGGATACATTCTCCAAGACGAAGCTACCGATGAATACAACCGGCTCCGCGAGAAAGGCCGCTTCCTTCTCCGCGACCGCTACCGAAACCACACCGACCGCATTCTCGATGAGATTAAATTCCTCGGCGATCAGTTCGACCAGGATCCTCAGAACAAGGCCTTTGGCGATGCTGTCCAGAAACTCTTCCTCGACCTGGGTAACGACGAGAATGGCAAAGCAACATTTAAGCCGCATTTGATCAAAGATCTCACCGAGGTTATTATCCCAGAAATCTTTGAGAACACTCGCTATATTCCGATCCCCCGAATTGAAGTCTCGGACCCCATGATCGACGCTGTGGTTGAGAACCTCGTGATCGAGAGTGATAACCTGTTCCCCAACATCTTCGAGTTCGGCAGTGACAATTACTTCCGCATGGGTCGCAAGGGAGTGTCCAACAAGAGGGAGAACAAAGTCACAATCGCAGGTTCCGGCATTCAAATGGATCTCCAAGACGTGGCGTACTACATCAAAAAGAAGCAAGGCTTTCCATCCATCACCGACAAGGGTGTCATGGACATCTTCCTCGGTGGCGAAGGCTTCAGTTTCAAGATTTCTGCGCGAAATGCTAATGCCAAAGACCGCACCCACTTTGTTGCCGTGGACAAGGTCGACGTTACCATCAAGAACCTGAATGTCAAGGTCAAGCAATCCAACCATAAGTTGCTGTTCAAGATTGCCAAGCCATTGCTGCTGAAGACAATGAAACCAGTGATTCAGAAGGTGTTGGAGAAACAAATCAAAGACACCTTCATTAAAGCGGATGCTTTCGCTTACCGTGTTCATCAAGACGTACAGAGCGGCAAGCAAGCGGCCTTGGAGGATCCTGAGAATGCTCCGAATATCTGGCAATCTTACTGGAACTCTTACCAGAAGATGTTGACAGAGAAGAAGGAGAAGGCCAAGAAGGTTGCATCCAAGACCAATGTCAATGTGGCCATGACGAAGCAAGACTCCATGTTCAAGCACATTAGCTTGCCAGGCGGAGTGTCAACCAAGGCAACAGAGTACAAGGAACTTGCTGCCAAAGGCGATCGCTGGGAATCTCCAGTCTTCAGCATTGGCAATGCGAAGGAGTCAACCGACCTTCCCAAGTCGAAATCTGTCTCACGCAAACCACACAGTACAGCATCTGGTACTATTCGTGGTGGCAACCACCCCAATGACGATAATTTGTCGTCTGTCACTGGTACAACTGTCACTAGTAACGTTGCGGGAACAGCTCCAGCAGGAACAACAGGGTTTAGCAATCAAGTTGAACGTGCCTTCGACACAAACAAGGATATCACCAATGGCGGAGTTAATGTTGGCGGCAATGTGACAAACGGCAGTGCCAACAAGACTTATTACGATGGTGTGACTTCCCAGTAGGGTTGTTGAGAATATGACCCGTGATCTTTCCCGTGGATTCAGCTGTTTGCATTGATACCCTTCCAAGAGTTTTGCTGGTGGTGTGTACAGAATGGTAATGGAGATAAACGCCCTATCAGTTGGTTTAAGATTTGCTTTGCGTCGACACAATGGAATCCTGCAACAACAAGGTTTCCAGTACCTCTGGATATGGACTAGTAGTCAGATAGTCGATAGCGACAGAATGAGCAGAAAAAATATCCATTAAATCACAACGCACAATGCCTTTTGTAGAAGAATACATCGTACTAACGTGAAAGCGAAAATCTACACGTAATGACGAAATGCGATGGTCGTGACGCGTGACGCGTTCGCTAATCATGTTGGGATTAATTGGACTTCGCCCCGAATAAGTGCAAGTCCAGGTTGATAAACGCCACACACTTGATCACCTGCGCATCCCAGGTCCAACGACGGGAGCTTTCCAGCCTTTTGTTGCTTAATTTTTCTCGTACAGTAGTTTTGCTTCCTGGTTAAAGGTCGATTTGTTTTTCCTAGACAGCAACCTGCATGTTCGATTCTACTTGTTTCGGCCATGCCCGCTCGGAAACCCACATTACCTCAGTATCCCAGGCCGGTTTCTCCTGTTTCTGCCGAAGACATCCCAATCTGTGACGACACAGTCGTCTATTATGATCCAGCGAATGATGCCCGGGAAGATGGAGAGCAGCGGGCTGCGAAACGGCGACGGATTGAGGGTCATGCAACAGCCTATCTCCGAGGCCAGCCTATATTCATTATGACGGCCCAACTCAGAGGGCCCTTTGACAGCGGGTGGAAGAATCCTTGGGCTGAAAAGACCATTGGTAAAGCCAAGGAGGCCGCAACAATCCAGCAGACGCTTACAAGTCTGGCACGAGCCACCAAGCCTGCGCACGGAAAGAAACAAAACCCGTCCATTTCAAAGGCGGACCATTCCCCTCAGACCTCTGCGGAAACATTCAGACCTGCAACAAAGAAGACGAAGAATAAACCGGCCGAGGGTGGTCGAAGCCCAGTGAGAAATAGTGAACAGGGGGAAAAAGCCGTTGATCAATATCTTCGGGAGAATGACACTGCTGCCGAAAATAATAGAGTTGAAGATTGGTTGAAGAGGAATGCAGCATATCGGACTCCAGAGAACAATGAGCAGTCCTTGCCACCTCCATCACCGAGCGAAGGCAAGGCACGGAAGAGGGAGAATCCAAGACATAGCCTTGATCTTCCTGTTCCTATGGATGGCATCGTCAGGATTGCGGGTCACAAGAGTCTACTTTTTAGTAGCACATCGGCGTTGAGGCGCGCCGAGGACTTTAAGAGTAATCTTTCATCCCCTCTCAACGCAACGACGCCGCAACGTCGTCCGCGAGCACGTAACTGCAACACTTCTCCACCAAGGCAAAGGAACCCTGAAACTCAACACACGCCGGTCGAGCAAGCCGATGTCAGTGAGTTTAGGACAGGATATGCCATCATAAAATCCAAACAAACGACAGAGCACACGATCTCAACCGTCGTCAATCCATTTATTCGTCATCCTGGTGCTCAGGTTGGTTGTCACGCCATAACTGCTTCTGGCGAATTGAAATCTGCTCTCAGCTTACAGCCACCTACAAAGGAGAGGGAGGAACGACCGGAACCTGCACGAAATGTGATTCCAAGAATCGACAGTACCGCTGGGACGGTTCCCGATGCACATGACACATCTCCGGCAAGTCCATTTGAGCCCGGGCCTCTGTCTTTGGCGAGAGAAAGAACGAAATCAAGCATATCAACAGATTTGCCATCCGCTCAGGTGCCACCACTCCCGGTGCTCGCATCTTTGCCCACGAATCTTTCCAGCCACAGCCAAGCGCCTCAAGAAGTTCTGGACTATCGTAACCCACGAGCAATCGGCACAGAGGGCCTTGGAAATGCAGCCGTCCCTGACATGACCGCCGCTGAGGGTACGAATTCTCTTGCAGATGCCGGCCTTGATGCGGAAAGCATACCTGCAACAGAAAGACAGAAGCCGGTGCCAGATGACCACCAACAGTCTCCAATGGAGGTCGATGAGCTCGAGACATCTCATTCAGTGACGGATCGTGTGTTAGATGTGCCGCTGTCTACAAAGAGAGTTGGAAGAGGGAAACAAACCTCAAGCTCTCCTGGCATCACGAAACCCGGGCCTCCCAAAACTCGGAGACGTCTTGCGTTCGCGACCGATGACACACCATCCGGGTCATTTCGGGGGACAATAAAATCGGCCTTGAAAGTTGCGAAACCAACAGTCGTGATCCAAGATACAATGGCTTTTAACAAGACAGCTTCGCCGCATGGAGAAGAACACCGCCCTGCCACAAATGACTCGAGCTCCCCTAAATTCCTCCGGGCGTCGGCACCGAAGAGTATCCTCAAATCGTCCCTGCAGAGTTCCACGATCGCGCCAGTCCACTCCAACATCTCCAGCTCGTCATCGAACAAGCAGGATGCACAACGACAACAGCTGCTCGCACTGGTGGGGAACGATGATGACTTTGATCTGGATGCGGCTATGGACGAGCTGGGATCTTTCTTGGGTAGTTGGGATGCAGAAAGGGAAGCATTTCTCTCGGCCCCGACCACAACCGCCAGGGGCTAACAAGTTGAGGGTTGTGGCGTATCATTGCGAAAATATGTTATGGGCGCTATGATGCGTGTTTATTCGTTTGTTCTTCTGCCATCCTCCCGTTGTGGCGGTTGTTTCGTCTTTGGGTGCATTTTTGGTTTCCTCTTTGGAAATTGTGCAAGTCAGGATGAGCGAGCGAGCATAGATGTATCGCCAGATGGACAAGCGCTTCTGATTGTCTTCTTTGGAAGTAGAAACGAGGGACTCTCTCCGCTGCAAGGCAAGGTACTATGAATGAATCGATGTACCCTCATACAAACTACCTGACCTGCCTGGGTAGGCTACCTGGGTAGGGTACCTAAGTATACCTACTAAGGATGTATCTATGCTAGGCTACGTAGGTAGGCAGGAGGTAGGTAGGTAGAAAGAACCATCTACCTGCCTAGCACGCGCTCAACTTGCCCTGAGCGTTAAGAGAGACCTGAATGACAATGATTCTTCTGATCCCGATCCTGATCCTGACCCCAACCCTGACCTTGACGCCGAGTCTCTAATCCCTCCCTCTTCACGCAGGGGTCGATAGATATTTCGTGGGTTCGGTGAATGACTGGGAGAAGGGCATAAATGAGTCTGGTTGGATGGACTTATCTCCAACTTTTGCTTTGTTTCAGCTACATCTAACAGAGAGAAAGAAAAAAAAGGTGCGCTGAATATGGAACTAGCTCAGCCCAGCATCGCATCGCACATCTTCCGCCTTGGATGGTTACAACTCTTACACTTCTGAATAGATGGCTCATGGCACGTAGAGCCTCACAAATCCCTGCACGGTCCGTCGACAGGTGACACAGTTGCCGAAATTATTCAAGGCCAGACTGACGCGGCAATCCTCACAGACACAGAGGCATCGACATGGCCACGCGATAATGGCTCGAGGAGCGTTCTGACAGACGACACATGGCGGTCCAAATTGTCTGTCCTCATCGGCATTGCTTGGATCTGATGTTCCACTTTTCGACGTCGCAGGTGGCGGTGCGTGTTTTTGTCGACGACTGAGGATTAGTGATTCGAGGACCTCTGCTTCCTCCATGGAGGTAAGCGGCCGGGGACCCGAAGTGTGCGGTTCTTTGTACAATGAAACTGCGGGGACCCTGGGATCTGGTCTGCGTCCCGCAAGCAGGATTCGAGCCCGTTCAGCTTCGGTCTCGCGACGGTAGCGTGAACGAGTCATGACACCAGGAGAGTCGGATGCCACAGTGGCAAGATGTGAGGCAAGAATCCGTGCCTCTTCCCGAGATTCCCTGTCTGGTGGATTCAACAGTCTGGCCAGCGTCGCCGGATCCAGAGGTGAATCTGTAAAGGCTGGTGTTGACTCTCTGCTTTGGACACCTGAGAATGACCATGACGGTCCTGTATGTGGCTGAGTTGGAGTTCGCGCTCCTTCGGGTTCAGACTCCCAGCCATCTTCTTCGTCGGCGTCACTGTTGTGGTCACTGGCTTCGGTGGACATCGAAATGACACTCGTGATATCGTCGTTATCATCTGCATTCGATGGCTCATAGTCTCCACTGTCGTCTTTTGCGCCAAACCAACCACCCGACTTCCACCACTCATATAGCTTTGTGTCTAGTAGTTCATCGACCCTCTCTTCGGGAAATTCCGTCATTAGCCGTCTCTTCACCTCGGGCTCAATGTCAACTTCATCGCTGCTCGCTATCGTGAGCTTGCCGTCTTTTGTTAAAATCCAAAAGTCGAGCGTGCCCTCGTTGTTCGGTCCGGTTGGCCTCGTGTTCATCTCCTTCAAAGACCGACCAACAATTCGTCGAAGCCAGCGAGGTCTTGCCGTGATGCCGATCGTGTCCAGTAAGACGCCCATCCCAAAGCCAATATACCCAGCTGCAAGAAACATGATCCCACGGAGATATATCATAATCAGATAAAAACGGGTGGTTCTCTGTACTGCGCCGACGCCGCCAGCGCGAGGAGTAGGGTAGACAAACGAATCCTTGGCTTCGTTGTCCTTTTTGTCGAATTTCCTTTCCTTGGAGTAGCCCGACTCCCAGACACCGCCCTTGTCGGCGGCGCCAGGGCTCGACGGAGGGAGGCCGTATTCTTCCAAAATTTGGAACTGTGGACTGTTTGGGAAGGCATTTTGAAAAGCTCCCATCTCACGCATAGCGGAGTCAAATTCATCTAGCCTGTCCTCTTCCAACCATGTGAATTGGCGGACTTCGACTGCTCTGCCCTCATTCAGGAAAACTGCTTCTGATGCCGCTGTGAGTGCAGCAAATCCGGTACGGAGGAGTGATGTGTAAAAGTCTTCATGCCAGCGGATATCAATCCCTCGAGTCTGGACTGCAACCTGTAAGTTGTCGTGTGCTATCATAAAACGTTCTTTGAGGGTGGTGGGCCGTGGAATCTGTGGATTAGTCCCCAGGGAAATTGCCGTCAAGGTGAGTGCAACCAAATATATGAGCAAACAGACCGCTATACCAGCGAGGATGACCATATGAGGAAGAAATCCTATGATCGCCACAGTTGGAAAGTGTAGAAGGCTGCTGACAGGACGGTTGTCTCCATTATCGCCGCTCCGAACCATAACACTAGTTGTGCAGAATCCCCAGACAAACGCCGCCATGAAAGCCATTGCCCATATTCCAGTGTTGACGAGCCTCCATTGACGTTGTTTACCAAGAACAGCAATGATGTGAGACGAAAGCGAATTGCAACACGAGAGCAATGTAATCAGGAGGACTTCTACTGGGACATTGACACGATCAAGCAGATGCGGACCCGTCAGGGCGGACGTAGCATCCGCAAGAGCCAATATTGTACCTGATGCGGGAATCGTAGGCTGTGAATCGAGACTGGGGGACGTGTTGTTTCCTTGGCTGGCCGCAGGAGATCTCGTTGACCCGTAATAGCCTAGACCTAGTGTGTGGGCGATCATCGTCTCAGCCTCGGCGAATGCTAGAGAATGCTCGAACACGGACATCCCGACCTCGGCCATAGTGGGTATCTGTTGCAGAGAGCATGATAAGTTTTCAACAACATGGGACAAGCTCAAACGGAGGAAGGATGGCCAAAGAAGCGAGAAGGAGCCAAAAGGTGCGCGAACGTCGGGACTCGGCCGGCTCATTCCCACTGCGGCACAAGCTTGAGCATCTGTTGACTGGAATAGTAGTGTAGATGTGAGGGTATGTAGCGGGCCACCGTCTGTTGACCAATCCAAGAGGCTGTATTTGTTGTTATCGCCGTGCCGATAGAGCGAGTAGTCCGGTGAGGTTTGACATCGAATGGCCTGCAGAAGATGATGGATTTGGGTGATGAATAGCAGAATAGGTACGATCCGTAGAGCAAGCCTCCTCGTCCAAGTGAGTTGTATTCGTTGCCTTGATGCCCCGTAAACGCTGATACGGTTAAGAATCAGGGCCTGCGCAAGTCAGCAGACGTCTTTGTTGTCTCCGACACACTCGTTCTTACCACCGCGAAACATATAAAGGCCCATCTTGAACTGAGGTAGTGCAGCATGCCCCAGTAAGACTTGAAGCCCGTTGCTTGGAACACCTCTGCAAAGAAGGTCGACCAACTCTCTGCGGCCGCATCTCCCACGGCCTGAGCCAAACCCGGTTGGACTGCTGCATCTGCCATGGCTTGGGCGCCAGCAGCCGTCGCTGTCCCAGCTCTTGCCAGACTGCTGATACCGAGTCCTTCCAAAATAAACCGGTTCCATACGTGGAGGAGGGCTCGATCGATCTGGGAGGCAACGCGGAGAGGGAAGCGGAACAACGGGTTTTTGGCGAGGGGAAGAGAGAAGGAGGATGTCACATCTGCTGCCACCGTTCTGAGGTTGGTCAAATTTAGGAGTGCAGGTGAAGCCGAAGTGATGGGCCCTTGGGTGACTGCAGAGACTGCCTGTGCTGCTGTTGATTCGACCGAGACCATGGTGTCGATACGACTCCCCGCTCATGCGCGAGGGAGGTGATGGTTTCAAGTCATCGGAAGGTGGAGCAAATTAGCCCGTTACAGTCGCGACAACGGTGTCCAGGTGTAAAGCAAAGCAAAAGAATGTCTGGAGCCCACGACCGAAGTGTATTTGTAACGGGTAACTTTGTGTCGAAGTGGTCGGTTCAACTCGCGGCCGAAAACCGGTTGACCAAGCGCGCCAGGTTTAGATCTCGGCTGCCAGGGATGCATGGCGTCAACCGCAGCCTCGCAAACTGTTGGGGGTTGCGGGGGTGGCCGCGCCTCGCAATAAATCTCAGCCTTGTCACTCCTACATACGTATATTCAGCCTTCCTTCAGGCATACTCAATACCCCAAGGTATATATATTAAAATTGAACATATTCTCTCACAATCGACCATAGGATCAGGAGATCAGGGCTTCCCGTTCGCTCAGCCGTACTTAAGCCTGATACCGGCTAGTTAGTACCACAGTGGGTGACCATGTGGGAATCCTAGCTGTTGATTGTTTTTGCTTCAACAATAAAATATTCTCTTTCCTTCTTTTCTGTTGCCTCCTTTAGAGATGGTGCAGTAGTCGGATTGAAGTCGACACGATACTTTTTTCGTGGGTGACAGTAAAAGATGCCTATGTACTTCACCCTAGCCTGGCTCGGCTGAGATAACCTGCTTTCTCAATACCTCTTTTGCCTTCTTTGCACCTCGTCTCATTTTGTACCGAGATAGTCACAGTTCAGATGCCTCGAGGAAGGCCACGAAATGTGGTGCCACCTTGCCCTCACTGTGGAAAGCAATTCCAGCGCCGCGAGCATCTTCTGCGGCATGAGCGCACACGTAGGACGACTGTTGCCAGAGAATACAAGAACAATACTGACAGTGGGTAGATACGCGTGAGAGACCCTTCGCCTGCCAATGCGGCCAGACCTTTACCAGACAGTGAGTCGGTGTCTGAGCTCCCATCCAAGCCATGCGCTTAACCTGTTTTCAGAGATCTACTCTCCCGACATTTCAGACTATCACATGTCCGACACGGAGATGTAGCGCCAGTCGAGGAGAGCAAGGAAGACCTTCACGAACTGAGCGACTTCGATGGCAATGGGACGACGGTCGACGACCCTGACCTCCTATTTGATCCCCAGCTCTTCATGCAAGATATGCTTCCACCCACCCTGTTCGATAGTGACACGAATGTGCCTTTCACCTACGTTTCGGCACGGAGTCAACCTCCCGGCCCAACCGATTTTCCTCATTTCAGCTCCCATCTGCCAGACTTGGACGGCGCGGAACGCCAACAGAGCACTGATGAGGATCATGGTGGGGCTTTCACAGATCATACGCGTATCCTGCCCTGGTCTTTCTCCGAGTCGACCTACGAAGGATTCTGTCTCGAAATCGAGTCCTACTCGGCAGTTCTGCCACATGACTGGCGACTACCATCACGAAATTCCTTGAGCCGCAATCTGGAATCGTACTTCCGCTGTGCCCAAGAAAGTCTCCCTTTCCTTCATTCGGCGACTTTCTCTGTCGCAAAGTCTGACATCGAGTTACTGCTAGCTGCGGCCGCGATGGGGGCCCTCAATCGGTTTGAAACGTCTTGCTCCTCTATCTTGTACCATATGTCGAAAGCGATCCTGTTAGAGAATCTCGGCCGTCAAGAATCGGAGTTATCCAGTGACATTCTGTCATCGCAGAATCAACCAGCTCTGCAGCGGAGAAACGGACTAGGAAAGATCCAAACGCTTATCCTCCTTGTCGCCTACGCGTCATGGGCGCAAAAGGACATGTTGCTAGACGCAATTTTCCTGGGACAACGATTAAGCACGCTGTTGAGACAATTTGGAATCACAGATACCTTGGAATCAACATACGTGGATGATTCATTGATGAGCGTCGCTGCAGAGGAAGAAGCCTGGTGTAAGTGGGTGGCTGCGGAGGAACGGCGGAGGACCTTGCTCTCTGCTTACGTCCTTCACAACCTGCATCATCTCGCCTACGACGTCCCTCTAGAGCTAAAATCCGGTGAAATATGTCTTGCCCTGCCCAGCTGTGAGGAGTCGTGGAAAGCCAGCAGTCCATCGCAGTGGCTCCAGAGCAATTTCCACGGTCGACGTGGGCTCCAAGAAACACTTATGTCGCTTCTCCGTGGCCGCGTATACCCCGTGTCTTCGTTCGCCAACTATGTGCTCATTCACTCCCTGCTTCAGGAATTCACGCATCTCAATGCTGACGGGATCAGGTGTCCTCTTGACCCAGAGACTGCGAACATGCTTGAGACCGCCCTGCGGACGTGGCAGTTGTCCTGGGAGCGCACCTACGAGTCCACGCTCGATCCTCTGTCGAAGAAAGGGCCCTTGGGACTGAATGCAACGGCCCTGCTTCGGTGGGCCTATATTCGACTAAGCTCTAACATGGCGCCGTGCCGGATCCTCCGGTCCCGAGAAGTCAACGACCTTGTGCTTGGAAGGAGTTGTCTGGACAGGTCATCTCGCCTGGATCGAGCCATTCTCCATGCAGCACACGCTTTGAGTATACCGGTCCGCTTGGGCCTCGAGCTGATAGCCAACATCCGATTACCATTTCGGAGCATCGAGTACTCGCTGAGCAGCCTCGATTGTGCCCTGTTGCTGAGGGATTGGCTTGCCATGATCGCGACGATCACTAAATCCAACGGCCCGGACGCACTACGCAAGACGGAGCGCAAGCTCCTGGACATCATCAGTGGGATTATCAAGGAGACGTCTCTGGCAGAGACGCTGGATTTTCCGGAAGACGATTCATCACGCTATCAGCGCATGGCAACAACGACGCTGAGGCTCTGGGCTCAAATATTTCAAGGTGTCCATGTTCTTGAGATTGACACGGTCATCGGCTCTGGCCTCCGACTTCTCGTACAAACTCGTTAGTTCAGGGTTATGCACACTTTGCCGGTATGCTGACCAGAGGCAACATATTGCAACGCCGCGACGATGTCGTCCCGATTGAATGCGAACGTCCGACCCACTGGCACGGTCAAATTCCGTTTACCAATGAACTGCACGGCTTCCTCGAGTTGCTGTTTGGACCCGGCCAGAATGCCATGGAGTACAACCCCCTTGGAAATGGCCAATAATGTCACATCGGGCACCTGGTCTTGTGGGATGCTGGCAAGAAAGCCGACCAAGGATATGGTGCCACCCATTGCCACGCACTCGATGCTCTGTCGGATTGTGCCAATCCCGCCATTCTCAATAACATGGTCTGCTCCCTCGCCATCGGTGATGCGCTGCACTTCCGCCGCCCAGTCTGAATGAGTCTTGTAGTTGATCGTGTAGTCGGCGCCGTATGTGGGTTTGACCTTTGCGAGCTTCTCATCACTGGAAGATGTGATGATTGTGGTTGCCCCCGCCGCTTTCGCAAAGACTAGAGCGGTCAAAGCCACTCCTCCAGTTCCTGCAATCTGTAAGTTGCTGGCTTTATCTTGGGGTTCAAGACCTCATACCTTGAATGAGGACTGTCTGACCTGGCTTCAAGGGCAAGCAGCCATAGAAGCAGTTCCAGATTGTTGCTCCCGTCCCCACCGTGGCCGACCATTCAGTCAAGCTATGTGACGATTTGGGCAGCTTGATCACCTGATGTACGGGCAGGACAATATATTCCCTCAGGACGCCGTCTACGGTGCCTCCAAGTGTGTTTTTATGGTCCTTTACTGGACCATACAAGGTTGAAGAACTGATTGCAGCGATGACAGCGTCGCCCACTGAAATGCTGTGCACCTGCTTGCTGACCTGAAGAACCTCGCCGGCCATATCGGAGCACGGCACAACCTGATCCTTGACCTCGAGTGGGTATGTCCCATGGGCTATGGCAATGTCGCGGTAGTTGATGGAGACGCTGTGAATCTTGATGAGGACTTCATAGTCGCCGATTGTGGGGATTGGCTCTTTGAATGCTTGCAGCCTATCAAAGCCTTTGCCGGACGTATACCGGAACACCGTCTGCTCTTGGGGAGACATAGTATGTCCGCTAGGATCAATGGTACCGCAATGGATAAAGGTATATTGTCGAGCTCAGAAGGTTTGAGATCAAGTCTGAGGAGCCGTTCCCAAATACTGGAGGTTGAGCTTCCAGGTCCATTTATATCTATCATCTTCGCGGTGCTGCGTCCAATATCCTGTATATAGGAGCGTCCAATGTTCAATATGTCATCTCGACGTGTTCGATATGTCCACCTTGAGCTTCTGCCTTGCAATATTTGGGGTAGAAAATAGTGTTATGTCGGAGTTGAGAGACGAGACAGTTCATCCCATGGTGCTGTGGTTGGTTGAATTTCTGCCATTGGAGAGCAGAGTTCTGACTCCACAATTTCTACCCCAAGAGAGTCGGTCTTGGGAGTGGTGTTTAAGGATATTTTCGCAACTAGTCCAGGTTACGGGACTCTCGGAGGATGGAGGATGATCTGCATGGAAGGTCGACTTGTTCCTGGCCCAGTGAAAGACTGTCAGGGTTGGTTATGCCCCATGTCTTCTGTGTATGGCCACTGTACCTTGACCAGGACCTCCTTATTCGACTCTTTAATATCACTATTTTTCATCCCCTGAATCTCGACGAATCTCAGCATTGCCGACTCCATAATAGGCCGTAGGTGATGTAATTCGTCTCTGAAGCTGGTACCTGCTGGCCAACGTTTCAGTCGCATGTTCATCAACTTGTGTGACAGTTGCAAGCTGCAAATACCAGAGTTGACAGCGCTCGGGCCGCAGTCAACCGCCATCCATCTTATGATATTCGTGGTTGACCGCCACTTCGTCTCTTGTGCAAGGAACTGTTCAAACCCCTAGATACATCGTATGGGAGAGCCGCTGCGAAGACGCATGCTACAGTTGGCTCATTGACTGATGCAAAGCTTGTTTGGTTCAAGCAATGACGAAGACAGTGACGACGCCATGATCGACGCTGTGACTTGGTGATCGACGCTGTGACTTGGTGATCGACGCTCCACAATCGGGTTGGGCTTCTCAGGTTGGTACAAGTGGCACCGCCTATGCCGCAGTCGTTGGATATGTCGCAGCATGTCTATTACCGACAACAGGGATGGGCGCCAATGGTATGTAGAGCTGTACTGGGTGTCAAAGGATGTGCAGGCCCTGGGCAGAGATTCCCGGGGTACTGGAGTGAGGCTGTACAGGGTCAGTACGTGCCGCATTTTGAAACACGGCAAACCAGCTGCGGCCCGGATTCACCTTTGATCTGTTGTACCTGGATCTCAACTGGCTCCTGGGACCTCGCATCCAAGGAAGATGTTCACAGAGCCAATGCAGAGGAATGCTGGGATGTCACAGTCCACAATGATGGGGTTTCCCTGTTTGATTTCCTCCCTCGAACGGCAACGGCAATGCGTCATCCTCTTCTGAGAAAAACATTGAACTGACTACAAATACTCCCAGCACATCTCTCACCTTCGGTTTCAGTTTCCAGTCTCTTAACACATCTCTCTCTCTCTCCTGCAGCATTCTCTATCTCTATTCACAGCCTAACTGCCAGAACACATACTGCCCAACATGGCGTCTCTCCTTCGCGTGCCCATCCGACGCAATCCTCACTACAAACGGAATGGCCTCAAGTCCTATGTCTACCTTCTGAACAAGTACCGCATCACTCCCACCATCACAGGTCCTTACTCTGCTGTCAAAGGCAAGAAGCTGCTCGTCAAGCAGAACGCCGATGGCACCCAAGGGGAAGTGTAAGTTATCACATCTCCCATGGTACTCACATACACTGACTAGTTTGGCAGCACGGCGACTGATCAACAGAATGATTCCCTGTACACCTGTCCTGTCAAGATTGGTACACCAGCTCAGACACTTAACTTGGTGAGTGCTGCGAGGACACCCTAGACATGTCGCTGACGACTACTTAGGACTTCGACTCAGGATCTTCCGACCTCTGGTGCTGGTCCACGGAGCTGCCACAGAGCACACTGTCTGCAGGCAAAGGCCATGCAATCTTTGACCCCTCCAAGTCATCCACCTTCAAGACCTCTCAAGGCTCCACCTGGCAAATTCAATATGGTGATCAGTCATCCGCAAGTGGCAGTGTTGGAACGGACAACGTTGAAATTGGTAATATCACTGTCGAGAACCAAGCCATTGAGCTCGCCACCAAGCTGTCGTCTCAGTTCACCCAGGATGCTACCTCTGATGGCCTGCTTGGTCTCGCTTTCGGCTCCATCAACACTGTGCAGCCTTCCCCAGTCCAGACACCTGTTGAAAATATGATTGCTCAAGAAGATATCCCTCAGAACGCTGAGTTGTTTACCTGCTATCTGGGTTCCATCAAGGACCAAAACGAGGACTCATTCTGTAATTAATGACTTCTGCTCTACTTTGACAATGGTTCTGACTTAAATACAGACACTTTCGGCCAGATTGATCAATCGGTCATTCCATCCGGATCTGATATTGGCTACACGCCTATCGACAACTCTCAGGGCTTCTGGATGTTCGATTCGGCTTCCGCTCAAGTCAATGGCAAGACCATTCAGCTCGCCGGCAACAAGGCAATTGCTGACACAGGCACCACCCTCCTCCTCACCTCTGATGAAGTGTGCGAGGCAGTCTACAGTGCCATTCCTGGTGCCAAACAGGACAGCAGTCAGCAAGGCTGGGTGTTCCCTGCAAACACTTCCGAAAGCGATCTCCCAACTGTCACGTTCATGGTGGGCGATACTCCCATTACCATTGAGAAACAACACCTCGGTTTTGCTGGGGTCTCTGACGGCAATATGGTGTACGGTGGTATTCAATCGCGCGGCGACCAGAACTTTGACATCTTTGGGGATACCTTCTTACAGAACGTCTATGCGTGAGTCAACGTTTCTTGCACCTATGTGAATCAAGCTAACCGTGATAGGGTCTTCGATGTCGGCAACACAAGATTCGGTGTGGTGCAACGTGCCGTCTCGACATCCACCTCTGCATCAAACCAACCCAAGGCGGAGTTGTGAGAAGTTCTCCCCGTTTCCTAGTAAGAGGACGTATTCGAGCAGAGAAAGTATTCATTGATAAAGTTCGAAGCACACAGACTAGATGGTCTTCTACAATATATTTTTAGTGCCATACGAGCAACACGAAGGTGGAGGGCAGGGGTTTCACGATGGTAGACCTAAATAATACTATGCAATACAGTGATTGGACTTAATTTTCTGAGCTTCAAACTCTTAAACACGCCACCGGAACAATGAAACACATTCTTTCAAAAAAGGTTCCTCCCGTGCCCGAGCTAGCATGCGAGAGCAGCAGTTTCGCAAACCATGGCTCCCATAGTTGTATCCTGTTATACTGTTTCAAACATTTTCCGACCCTGAAACCAAGTCTGGTGCACCCTCGCCTGACGCAAACCTTCTGACGTCCAGTCCGTGTCGAGCACAACAAAGTCTGCGCTCGCGCCCTTTCTCAGACTGCCCGTCCATCCTTCTGCATGGCGGGAATATGCCGCTCCGGAGGTGGCGGCCCTCAGCGCCGCTGCCAGAGACACGGCGAACTGCGGGTTCGTTCGGTCGAGCGACTCTGGATCGAGGGCCGACCGCCGCGTGGTGGCGTTGTAGAGATTCGGGAGTGGCAGGTGCGCGGCGGTGGGGGCGTCGGTGCCAAAGGCCAAGGGGGCGCCGTGGTCGAGAAAGTCGCGGTATGGAAAGGCGCGGCGGCACCGATGTGTGCCGAGGAGGGTTGGCCAGGCTTTGAACAGGGCCGGGTCCGAATGCACGGGCTGCACTGAGGCCGTGATTCCCAGGTCTCCCAGTCTCTTTGCGTCGCGCTCCGAGGCCAGCTCGAGATGCTCCATGCGGTGGCGGCGCGAGAAGGGCCGGTCGAGGCCCGCAAACGCGTCGATGGTCTGCGTGATGGTCCTGTCGCCGATGGCGTGCACGGCACATTGCAGGCCCGCGGCGTTGGCCTGGCGGATGACTCTGGACATCTTGTCTGCCGGCCAAACGGGTTCGACGATGTGATCCGATGGTGCCGGGCTGTACGGTTGGCTCAGCGCTGCCGTGCAGCTGTCGACAACCCCGTCGCCGATCAATTTGATCCCGACAACACAGAAGGACGGCGACGTCGAGGGGTGAAATTTCCCATGCATTTCGATGGCCTTGTCGAGTCCGTCCTGGATCTCGTCGTCCGAGTCGCTGTACGGGATGAGCCAGTGCGCGGCCACGTGCAGTGGGAGTCCATTGCGAGCGCGGTAGGATTCCAGGGCGTCCCACGCGTCCTCGTCCATGGCCATGTCAATGACCCCAGTGTAGCCCGCCTGTGTGTAAGCAGCCACCGCCTGGTGCAGCGCCGTCTGCTTTTGCTCCGCCGTCACAGTCTTTCCCATGAACGGCCACACGAGCAAAAACAACGCCCCTTCGTCCAACAAACCCGACGGCCTACCCTGCGCGTCCCGGTGGATGGTCCCTCCTGGAGGATCCTTCGTCGCCGCATCCACTCCGAGCTCCTCCAGCGCGGCGGTGTTGCACCATACCGAGTGTAGATCCAGGGCCTCGACATAGATTGGGCGAGAGTCGAGGTCATCCAGCATGCTGACCAGCGCCTGCCCGGCGGTCGACGCCTGGATCCAGCCTTTGCACAGGATGCGCGGTGCCGTCGGCTGTGAGGCTGCGAAGGTGCGGATCTTCTGCCTGATCTCCTCGAGGGATTTGCACGACATGACATCGAGCTTGCCGAGCGACATCCCAAAGTGCAGCATGTGGACGTGCGCGTCGATGAAGCCCGGCGTCACGACGCGGTTGGCGACGTCGACTTCTGTGACGCTGACGCCCTCACCATCAGAGGCCAACATCGTTTGGGTGAGACTACTCATCTCTTCCCCCTTGGGGCCAACGTACTCGATCACCCCATCCCGAAACACCAGACATCCTGCCACGAGACCTTCGGAGTCGTCGGTACTTGTGAAGAGCCTGGCGTTTCTCACGATTGTCACAGCCATTTTTCGGATGGTAAATTCTTTTCAGGTATTGAGTGGCACGATGCTGTGAACCGACAAATCTATTTCCGCATACAATCACCGACCCTTGTTTCCTCGACGATATAAGTCCTCAGTCCCAGTTCCCTCTCTTTTCCGCCTTTCATCCCGGATTTCCCATGAACTTCGAGTCGGACGGGACATCTGGTGCAACTGACGAGCGGACTCCTCCGAAAGCCTCTCATATCGCGCCCCAGGAACCATTAGTAGTGGAACTGTGTGGCTGTACAAGCTGTCCCGATCTGTTTTGGGGGGAAGTTTCGGGGGAGGTGGAGGTAGTGGTGGCGACCACTAATTACCGTCCCATGCGAATGAAACAGGAACCAAAAACCCGCGCAAAGTGACGCCATTGGTGCCTGCTCTCCCTCAAAAGTTTCTTCGAGAACTGATCCGATTGCAAAAATGCTTGTGCTTTTGCCCACAAAGATCTTCTCGAATACATGTAGGCTTGAATCTAATCTTCACTGGACCAGGGGTTGGAGCATACCTAGGTGTCTTTTCGGTAGAGGATACATAGATACATGGATGGTAGTCGATCTATTTTCCGCGAGTCAACGACATTGTCTCCGATGAGTATTGCACGTGTGGTATGGAATCCCTATCTTTCGGCGTTCTAGCATTCTCATATTCCCGGCAAGGGCTTGCTAAACCCTTTCTAGCGCAGACAATGTAGGGTTATATGGATGATTGCAGTCTGTTGTCGAAGAGCAAGGGCAGTTTCTCAGGACTGAATGAAGGAAAAGGCGCACAGTCTCAAGGGACCGAGATATAGTTTTTGTTCGAGCCCGTTGATTGCGAAAGGCTGGGTTGGCACCTCGTGATAAGGGTTCGCGGAACGTGTTACAACTGGTTAGATTGTCACCTCTTTGCCCCCAAGGATTCGCTTGATCTCGCTAACACCAGGTCAGTAAGGTTAACCCGCTAACAATGGTGGTTGCGGCGTCCTCCGCATTGGACGCCTATAGTCAGAGCTGGTCGGAATTGAGCTCAGAAACAACCCAGCTCTTCAAGACTTGTCCAGAACCCACCTCCTCTGATGAACACTTGTGATCCTGCTGGATCATGGGCCAGCCGTCGGAACGGGTCAAGAACTTTCGCGCGCCGCGGCGTAGGCCCGCACATTTGCGGACCAAAACTGGCTGTCTGACATGTGAGTTTGATGCCGTCTTCTTGCGTGTTCTCGCTTGTCAAACTTGATGGTGGAAGGATTGCCGATTGATTGCTTGCGCAGGTCGTCAGAGGAAGAAAAAGTGCGATGAGCACCGGGGTGTGTGCCACAACTGCGCCAGAAGAAAGACTGACTGCGTCTGGCCTGCGAAACTGAATTCGCAGCCCAACGAGCCAAGCCCCAGCGAGGTTCAATCTGATGCATCTTCAAACACTGGCCTTACCACTGAGTCTGTCGATAATGACAATGATGGACTCCATATTGGTCCAAGCGAAGACCAGCAGTCATGCACCTCCGTATCACTGTCGTCCAATTCGCTCTCGCCAGCATCTACTATCCATGCCATCGATGACCTCGACAAAGCCAACCACGAACCTCCTCTAGTCGTGTTTCCCCAACTCAGAGCCATCACTTCCAGCAGCAAAATCTACAGTCCTCCTGTCTTCGATTACATGCGGACGGTCTTTGTCCCGCAGTTGGTTCGACCGGCGACCGATGGCCAATACATCAGAGATTTTACAAGCGGGAGTCTTCAAGTCGCAAACTACATTCCGGTCTTCATGGATGCGCTGTTGGCTTGCTCTGCTGCCGAGATCAAAGAGAATGACCCCTTCCATCGCAGGATAGCTGAATCCCATTATGTCAACGCCGTGCGCGGAATGCGAACTTACCTCGCCGAGGATGATTCCGCACTGGCCGAAATCATTGCTCTACGGACTGTCCTCATCCTATGTATATATGAGGTGGGTGCTCACATGCTATCAAAAGCCCGAGATAGCTGATCATATTTGCAGAGAACTCGACTGTACCGCTCCGAAGGAGTGTCCACCCACATATATGGTGCCGCTGCACTACTCAAGTCATGCTGGAAGCGAATGGAGGCATCGCGAAGCATACCAACCGCCTGGACTGCCACGCGCATCCTCACCCTGGAGGCTTTTATTTTCCACGCAGCCACGAGTATACCCTTCCAACATCCATCTCCCACGCCACCTGGTTTAGTCGACGAAGTCTTTGTGGATGCCCAGCTCATCCTGGAACAGCTCTGGCTGGAAAATATTATGAACTACTCCCTTTCTCCAGTTCTCGGCGCGCCTCCAATGTTGTTCTCGTACGTGCGACAAGTGGCATTGATGTATTCTCAGTTTCGCTCCCGAAGATTCGACATCGGACGATGTTATCGCCTGGAACAGGATCTCAGGCAATGGAGTGATAAAAACATTCCCAACTCAGACACTGTCAAGGTGGTCGATTCCGCCGATTACCCGAATCAAGATCTATCATTGTCATTTCTCATCGATCCGAACATTACGAATCAATCTTACTTTGGCCCGAAGCTCTACAGCTTTGCTGCAAGGCTCCTCCTGAGGAATATGATAGCGCATTCTTTGGGCTTGCGAGGCCAGCTTCTCTCGACACACCTGTCTGACTTGCTCTCAACTATGATGCTTCTTGTCCGCCACATCGAACCGTCCGTGGATTATTTTGCAGAATACTATGCCTGGCCATTCTACTGTTTCGGGGTCTGTGTTGACGACGAACAGGCCCGAGAATTACTGATGAGCAAGATCATGGGATTTTGGAAGACGACCAGGAATGGAACGATGCGACGCTTGGCAGATATCTTGAGAGAAGGCTGGGAGCACTCTGTCCGATGACACTTGCTGCTGACAAGCGACTCTCAAGCGATGGTTGGGAAACACAAGGCGATGAAACTCCTCGCATACACCCCACGGATATTCACCTGACCGGCCACCCCGACACATACAACAGCGGAGAAGGGGCGTAGGTTCCATCCTCACGTCACAAAGTGATTTCTCGGCATGATCGCATGGACGGTTTAAATATCCCAAGCTGGCGCAAACCCCGCAATGTGCATCTGCCACTCCGTCTTGGCTCGCAACGCCAAGGACTCTCAGCTATCTTGGCAGGCCATGCACGGGGCGGGAGCTTTCCTCCGCCAGAACAATATCTACTGAACCACAACGTTGTCTTTGGGCACCGTTTCGACGTCGAGAACGACCTTCGGGACAAGCTGACCCCCTTTCTCAGAAAGAACTGGGGCTTCCGTGCTCAACACAGTTCCCCTTGTTGGTGCGGTGTGCGGAGTGCTGGAGCAAGCTGTGGGGTTACAAGTCTTGTCCTGGTCTTGGAACAAGAGCCCAAGAAAGGAGCCAAGACTGGGCCGGTCAATAACAAGCCTGAAGCCACCGCCGACAAGTCCCAATTCAAGTCTTGTGCCATGACCTCAATGTTGCAGTGGCATTTTTGGGGTTACAATCGATGATGGAGAGTTGGTCCTCGACGCCTCTTTTTTCTCTTGGGTTTCAATCCGATCAATGTGGTGGACCAGATACCGCCGTGCACGATCCTGTACACGGAGGTCAATCAAAGCGAGCCTAGATCAAACTTCTTCTATGGGTGATTGGTGTTTTGTCTGTGGATCTCCGCGAATCCGCGATATACGACCCATGCGAATCTGTCAGGTGCTGTTGGGTTCCTTGTTTTGATGGCCCGGGCTGGGAATGCATATAAGTCATATGCACTTCCCCGCCTCCTAGGGCGCCCTCTTGAATTCCGTGTGCTCGCACGCTCGAAGTTCCTTCTCGAATCACTGGCAGTGACCAACCATGTCTGACTCTAAAGAAGTTCGCGAGGAGGCTGTACAGCCTCGCTCCCTCTCTCTGAAAACCACCGACGATGTCAACCGCATCGAGGCGCCCGTAACATGGAAGGCGTACTTGATGTGCGCATTTGCTTCGTAAGTCTCCTCCAACATAATGGCGAAGTGGTGACGGCTTTTCGAACCTCAGCCTTGTTCTTTTTTTCTCTGACGCTGACAACACCATGCAGGTTCGGCGGTATCTTCTTCGGGTATGACTCGGGCTACATCAATGGAGTTCTCGGAGCAGACATCTTCATCCGGGCAGTCGAAGGACCGACTGCGGATGCCCTCAGCTCCTCGCACCAATCGCTCATCGTCTCGATCCTCTCAGCTGGCACTTTCTTCGGAGCTCTCATTGGCGGAGACATGGCCGACTTCATTGGCCGCAAGTGGACGGTCATCATGGGCTGTATGATTTACATGTTCGGTGTCATCATCCAGATGATTACTGGGGAGGGAGATGCACTAGCAGCTATCGTTGCTGGGCGTCTCATTGCTGGTATTGGGGTTGGTTTCGAAAGTGCTATCGTGATTCTCTACATGAGTGAGATCGTAAGGACCAATCTCTCCCGTGGATGTGAATCCTCCTGGTCGACTCAACGGTGCTAACACTATAGACAGTGTCCCAGAAAAGTCCGTGGCGCCCTCGTTGCCGGATACCAATTCTGTATCACCATCGGTATCATGCTTGCTTCTATCGTTGTCTACGCCACCGAGGATAGACGGGATACCGGCTCTTACAGAATCCCAATCGCCATCCAGTTCGCATGGGCCATCATCCTGGCTGGTGGTCTCTTCACTCTGCCTGACTCACCGCGCTATTTCGTCAAGAAGGGTCGACTGGAGGAGGCCTCGATCTCGTTGTCGAAACTCCGCGGCCAACCACGCGATTCCGACTATGTGCAAATCGAGCTGGCCGAGATCGTCGCCAATGAGGAATACGAGCGAGCCATCATCCCCTCTTCGGGGTGGTTCTCCAGCTGGGCGAATTGCTTCAAGGGAGGGTTGTGGGTCCAGAAGTCGAATCTGCGCAGGACCATCTTGGGCACTTCTCTGCAAATGATGCAACAATGGTAGGACTCGTTAACATTGCGGAGATTATGTCTGGGTTACTGACTGCCCTTCTGCTAGGACTGGCGTGAACTTCATCTTCTACTACTCGACACCTTTCCTACAGAGCACCGGGGCGATAGACAACACGTTCCTCATCTCCCTGATCTTCACCTTGGTCAACGTTTGCAGCACACCACTCTCGTTCTACACCGTCGAGAAGTTTGGACGTCGTCCCCTCTTGGTCTGGGGCGCACTAGGCATGTTGATCTGCCAGTTCCTCGTCGCCATTATCGGTGTGACCGTTGGGTTCAACCACACGCACCCGGATCCGGCCGATGCGGAACTCAGCCTTGCGGACAATATCGCCGCAGTCAACGCTCAAATTGCCTTTATTGCCATTTTCATCTTCTTTTTCGCGTCCACGTGGGGTCCCGGGGCGTGGATCGTGATTGGAGAGGTCTTCCCTCTGCCTATCCGTTCCCGCGGTGTTGCCTTGTCGACGGCATCGAACTGGCTGTGGAACACGGTATGTATTTCCCCAACAGGTGACGAAGTACTAGCGGGAAAATTTGCTGACGGACCATGAACAGATTATCGCCGTCATCACGCCCTACATGGTCGGTGAAGAGCACGGCAATCTCAAATCCTCCGTCTTCTTCATCTGGGGTGGCCTCTGCACGGCGGCCTTTGTCTACGCGTACTTCCTGGTCCCGGAGACCAAGGGCCTGACCCTCGAGCAGGTCGACAAGATGATGGAAGAAACCACACCGCGCACCTCGGCCAAGTGGAAGCCGAGCACCACGTTTGCGCAGAGTAGGGCCCGGGACGGCGTGTTGGAGAAGTCGTTTATCGACGATGTCGCGCGACGTGGGTCGGCGTTTTAAGAAGTGGAATTTGCTGTGCAGGGCTTTTGCTCACGGCCGCTCACTCTCGGACAGACACGATACCAGTGGCTGTGAGGTGCGGTTCAGTGTGTGCAATGGGTGCAAAGCGAAGTTTACAAGTCGGGCGATGAGGAGAGCGCGACTACCCCGCGTAGTAGGATAGATGATGTCGAGGTTCGAGGGGTGTTTAGGCCGAAGTGATCGATCCGTGATGCTGGTGCCGCCACCGCCGCCGTGATTTGTGAGTTGACGTATCTAGCGACTATTTACTCCATCGGTAGTTCACCGCAAGTCAAGCTTGACATTATCTTCTGCCCAGCTGCAAATCACTTTGTCTCAACCAAGTAACCAACCATCCATGCTGTAGAGAGTATGTTGTTCAAAACCACAAACTGCGCGATGTTGTGCAATATTCTATCGACCTACCGACTCAAAGATACAAGACCGTGACTGGTGACTGTCATTGGACGATAGGGTAATCAACGCTTACGTACTGGTATCTATGGGAGATACTAGAGTTAGAAAAGAGGCCAACGCTCATTTCGCTTTCTTGATCGACTACAGACTACAGGCAACAGTGTCCTTCACACCTCCCTCTCAAGCTTCTCAAAGTAATTCCTTACTATTAGAACCACTACTTAATATACCTTCCCGCATCCGAAACCAACCAGGTTGAATACTCGCTTGCTGTGCTGAGCTTTTTCCAAAGGATAGCCTTCTCCTAGCATCCTGTCCCATCCTCAAAGCCCCGGGACACCCTTCTTAAGGTGCGTCGCATACCACAAGATCTCGCACTTGGAGAGGCCCATCGGGGTGCCGAGTTTCTCATCCAACACGTTGCCCCCCTTGGCTTGGTAGAGGCTCATGATGGGCGTCTTGGACGCGCTGGTGAATCGCTTGCCGGCCGGCGCGGTGAAACAGCCCCTTGCGTCGCGCGTCTTGCTGCCCTCGGTGATTTGCTGGTTCCAATAGGCCAGGGATATGCCCGAGCTGATGCTCCCTTTGACCCAGGAGTTCCAGGCCAACGACTTGGCGGCCGCAGTGGTTCCGTAGGTGCCACCTAAGGTAGACGGGTTGGTCAGAGTTAGGAATGTCTGTGATGGCTTTGAGTGAGAGAAGGCGTCACGTACAGTAGAATATCTCTCCGTTGTTGACCTGGAAGGGTGCTTCCGGTTCGGGAGGGGTGGTGAAGCGCTCAAAGTACGGGAGGCCACTGATCGTGTATCGCTTCTTCATTTTATCCGGTGTCGAATGCTCGTCGATGAGCGGGTCGTACGCAATCACATTGAATGACGCCGCGGTGGGGTTGTCCGACGTTACTTTTGTGGTGACGGTCATGAAGAGGATGGCGCCGGGCAGTTTGTGGCCATCTTTGACCTCGACGGGAATTGACATCTCGACGACGACGACGACAACGACGACGACGACAACAACGACGACGACGACAACAACAACAACAACAACAGAAGAATTTCCCTGACAGAAGGCTGGTATTGTCGAGTGAGATGTGTGTGCTTTGACGGGCAGGTTGGGAGATGGAAACTGGAACAAGAAAATGTAAATTCAGAGACTCCTTCAGACAGCTTTATATCTTTGTGCGGGTGTTTCGTGGCTGGTCTGGTCGCCAGTCAACATAGACGGCGGCGTGGTGGGCCAGAACACGAGCCACGTAACCCTCATCACTTCAAAGACATGTTCTCAGTGAGGTCTAGACCGTGCACTGCTTCTGCCACCTCGCAGAGAGCTGAACAACCTTGACGGGCTGATTCTCATTTGGGACATGAGCTCAGCCGGCTGAGAGCAAGTTGCGTGGCGCACCTAGAGCACAACACCGAATGTCCTCACTGTCTATGGATGCTGCTCATCGCCCAAATGAGAATCAGGCATAATGATAGTGTCCGAAGTGGCTGGCTGGATCCCCGAATTCGGTCGGTCCAGAAGACAGAGGCTGAGGTTGAGGAATGGATTGGGGAATAGGTCACCCACAGAATCCATTGGACCGAGTGGACAATCACCAGATATTCACCATGTTCAGGTCTTATTATGTGACGAGCTGGATTCCCCCATGATGCTCGTGTTTGCTCTCCGTCTTGTTCTGGCCAGGCCGAGACTGTGATTGGATTCGAGAAAGGGACATGTAGCCTCATATATCATCCTGCATGCCCATAATGAGAATTCTTCAGTGGCTGTCTGTCAGAAGTGCTGAACACGACCATGCAGCTGACCCCAAAGGGCATTGTTGAGGAATTGCATGTATTTAGAGATATGGCATTGGCTAAAACCTAACCCCCAATAGGACTGATAAGTCAGAAAAGACCCTGCATTTTTGATGTGAGCTTCTCCGCAATCATTTGATGGATGTCTTGTTGGTGGCGGCGGTCTAGACCTGGACAACCTACAAGCTGGCGAGCTGGCAGGCTGGCTACCTAGCCATGTTCTGTACCGGATTTGCTCGACTCAGCTACTCACGCTCAGGCCCCCTCGCTCAACGACCTGATGACGCCTCTGATATATTCGTTCCCTGCTCAACCGTGAAAACCTCGTTCATCACGTCAGACACCAGCTTCGACCTCTGGTGGATATCCTGTCTTGACAGCGTGCCGTCCTCACAGACATAATAGTCAATATGCGTCGCGGGCACCCATTCAAAGTAGACGTTGCGCACAGTCACCATCTTGTTCCACAAGGGGGAAGAGGGTGGTTGTAGATCCCAGCTCCTAGTAAGCTCCGACGCCTCGTTGTCCTCTTCCGGGTGATCTTCCACCGCTCCCGGATATGCAATCTTCTCACTCTCACTGATACACACTACGGCGGCCTTGCCATCCGTGACGGCTTGGCTGACCAGAGCGGCGCCCAAAGAGCCAGTCTTGTTGCTCACGTCTCCGGCTTCCGAGATCCGGTCGGCGCCGATAATGACCAGGTCGACGTCCTTGGCCAGTATCCCCACCGAGGCGTCACTCGCTAGAACTACCCGCAGGCGATCGTCAATGAGGGGCCCCGTGGCTCCGGAATCGTGGCGTCTCTGGGCTTCTTCCGTCAAGACCTTGGCAAAGCTCACGCCTTCATTCAGTGGGCGCGATTCGAGGATGCGAAGTTCTATTGATAAGGACTCGTCCGCGTCGAGCGCATGTAAGATCGCGGCTTTGATGGTCGAGGATGAACTCAGGGTCAGAATTTTGATCCGTGTCTGCTCGCCTGTCTGGCTCTGAGCACTTGACCGAAACTTGTCCTGCAAGAATTTCGAGAACTGGTGACTCACTTGTTTGGAGATCTCACCTCGCCGAGTGACGGACGCTGCAAGGCTTTGTCTGACTTTCTCGAGAAAATCAGTCGACTGGGGTCCAACTTGGGCCTTGGCCTGTTTCAACGCTGTGGCAATGGCATTGGATATCGCCGCCGCCATGCTTGGCCGCCCATTGAAGGCGAGATGGAATGCCTGTCGTTGAAAAGTCTTCCACCACTCATCGAAGTCTCTGTATTGCTGCGTTTGTTGGTCATATTCAACGATCTTGATCAGAGACTTCAAAGCCATGGTGGCCAGTTCTCTTGCGCCATGTGAATGGTCGAGCCGGAGCTCCTCGAGCCCTTGATGCAATATGCTGTTGGGATCTACCCAGACCTGGCCGAGCGTGACTTCTAGTCTGGGCACGCAGTCATCCAGTATCTTGCCACTGAGGATGTCGTCAACATTCTGCCACTGGAAACCCAGATGCTCAAAGTTCATCTGGACCCCCAGCTTCTCCGTGTCGTTGTCATTGTCGACCGTTTCTTTGGTCAAGCGAAACGCAAACGGCCAGACTTTCCAGATGCGTCCCTTGACCTGGTGCTCACTTTCGCCAATAACCACAGCCTTTTGGTCGGTAAACTCAAAGCCAGCCCCTCGTCTCCACAGCTCGATCTGCTGAGGTCCGAATGAAGTCTCTTCTTTCAGTTCTCGCCAAGCTGCATCCAAGGGAGACTTGTCATAAGTCTCGATCGAGCCGGCAATGGGCGCAAGCTTCCTCCGATATGTACTGACCTTGTCGGAGCGGCGGAACAGGAGGACCCTGTATGGCTTGGACGCGTATGGTTGATGAGGGAACAGGAGGACCGACACAACGGTGCGCCGTTCAAGGTTGTGCCCAGCTGCGGCGAGGGACTGAGCCATCATTGATGTCGACAAGCCAAGATGGTTATGATTTCATAGTTAGGACAGATAAAAGGGCGAGGACGTCCGAGTATGCTTTAGTAGTCAATTTGGAAGTCTAGGCGCCCAGTACGAAGAGTTATCTTCGAATCAGTCGATGGACAGATGCGGTTTCGGTGTCACACCATCGACAATCTCTCGGCTTGACGAGCTCCAGGGCGCCAGAGGAGGGTTTCCGAAATCATCCGAGTGGAAGCAGCACTACCTCGCAAGGGTGGTTTGAGCCGTAGTATCTGGAGACAGCCCTTGGTTCGTACCGAATATGCTGTGTTTGTTTCCACTACATTATGTCCTTGATGCAACTCGATGAGGTGTTGGGAGAAACAAGAAAATATTTGTCAGACAGAAATGTTTATTTGTCAGGTGCAGCTGGGACATGCCGGAATAAAGATATTCCGGTCTAGTGCGCATGTCGTTGTTCCCGCTCTACGCAAAGTACGAGGTATTCCTCCCCTTTTGACCATTCATCCTGGACCCGGTACATTCCTCTGGCATTCTTGAAACTTAGTTGAGTATCTTCATATACGAATCGATCAAAATGCATTGTTGTACAACGAGACTTTTCAGTCCAAACCCCATCACAATCCCTTCCCTATTGTCCAGTCATGATACAAATCGCAAACCACCGATATACACACCCTGACCTCAAGCTGCCACTTGGAATGGCTCTCGACAAAGACCCTCGTACTTGGCTGATACCGCAACAGCGTCCTGCCATGCAGATGCGACCTTCTTGTTCCGTTCCTTGCACGCGTGCGGTCCCGCCGTCACCACTCTCATCTGGCCCTGGGTTCGTGCCCCTTGGACCAAGGCCGACGTCCGTGGTTGTCTCTTTTCTGCGAATGCCTTGAATATTGCTTGGAGGCGCTCTTTCAGCCCATCAAGAGCTGGATGGTTGTCGTCTGCTACCGGATCTAGATCTGGCAGGGCATTGCTGAGGTGGTAGCAGTCCTCCCTATTCGGATGTTAGCTGAGCAACAAAAAGCAGTCCACGAATGCCTTACAATGCCTGGTTGGCACCCTGCCCGAGATGCGGGCTTGTGGGATGTGCAGCGTCTCCCACAAGCACAATGCGCCTAGTATGCCACTGATCAGGCGTCATCTCATCACGATCAAACAGCCCAAATTTGATCATTCGAGCGGCGGATTGAATCAGCTCGGCGGGTGACTTGTCCTGCCAATGCTCAAGGTGAGCTAGCAATTTACGCTTCCTCTCGTCCATCTCGTCTGCCGTGATCAGTCCCCAAGAAGCCTCGGAACCGGTCTCTTCGGGCAGTGTCAAAGCCCAGGATGTGACGTCGGGCGAGATAGGGTATGTGATCATGTGGACTCCTTCACCATAGAAGTTCTGCATGTATGGTTTGCCTTTCATTGCCTGCGGTGTTGAAGAGAGCCCGGCGGTCTGCAGAGCGGTCAGTCTTTGAATCCATCCAGGACTCGAATCACTCACCTGAGTGAGTCCACTGAACAAGGGTAGTCCCTCCGTGGTCCCTTTATTTTTCAGGAGGATTCTTCTGGAAGCAGCCTTGATGCCATCACAGCCGATGAGGATGGAACCTGTTACGCTCCGCCCACCCGTGAAATGAGCTGTGACGGTGTCCTCGATTTCTTCAATGTCCTCCAGTTCCCAACCTTCGCGCAGATCGATGCCCATGTCAATCAACATGTCCTTGAGCTTCAGGTTCAGTCCAGTGCGCTTGACTCCCATGGCATGTTGCCCGTATTTCTCCTTGAACGACTTGGGCTCTGCTGAGAAACCCAGCACTTCCCCGTCGGTGGCGCAGTCGAGAAATCCCTCTAGTGGGAGAGATTCTCGCTCGATCTCTGCTGTGAGGCCGACCAAGTCCAACACTTTCAATCTGTATCACAGTTAGTGCATGTACTCGGGGCCACATGGCGAGTGGCCATCATTGTCTAGACTGACCCATTTGGCATCAGCATTAGAGATGCGCCAACATCGCCCAACTGCTTCACTTTCTCAAACACAATCGGAGTGTATCCTTTTCTTTTCAGGAGGACGGCGAGAACTGGGCCTGCAACGCCACAGCCGATGATGAGCACGGTCACTGGAGCCATTTTGTCTTTTGTCTATCGTTTCTCTTATTCAGGTCTTTCTGGTTTTTGGTTGGTGGTACATTTCACCCTCAGCACTGGCGGCCATCATCTCACTCTTTATATTTCCCATTAGCACGCCTACCCGTCGAAACACTCTGCTCTGGAACAGCATTCTTTGGGAACAATTTCTCACTCAAGAGAACATGTCGCACTCTCTTGGCAGCAAGCCGCACACTATGTCATCGACCGCTAAAATTAAGTCCAGCGTTGTGTTGGCTAGAAGGATTATCCGGAGCATTTTCCGTTGGCACGACTTCGCATTGGCCCTTTCGCAAGCCTATGAGCCATGAAGAATTGGAGTCCACAGCTTAGTCACTAGCAGCAACAGAGAATCGGGGGCATTGGCACTGCAACTTTGTCGCGATGTCGCTTTTCCAGAGACCCGAGGCTTTCCCCGTTCGCGACCCAAGAACTGCTTATTTCGGGGCCCAAGCGATCCCAGCAACGTTCTCCCCTCGTCTACGTCTATGGAGCAGACGTCCGTCATGGTTTTTTTTTTTGAAAAGATTGCATCTCCTGATGACTGAGAGCGACTGACTCACCGGGAGACAAATCTCGCGCTCTCGGGCGTATCTTTGGTGCCGAAGGACATACACGTCCACACATTCGCAAACTCACTCACTCGCACAAAGACGAAGCGAGGACCTTCCAAGAGTGATTGACGGTCTACTCTCGTCACCTTTTCCCATCATGTCCACCCCCCACAGCTATGGAATCAGTCTACCCAACGGCTGCACCATAGTCCACGGACAGGGCGCGAACATCAAACACCCCTTTCGCGACATCCCCGTGGAGATGCACGAGCTGGACCCCGGCGGCAGTGGCGGCCAAAGGGCCTTTTCGGGCCAACTGGGTTTTATCGAGTTCACGACCGACTTTCGACTGCCGCGACATGTGCACATTTCTTCTTCTTCTTCTTCTTCTTTTTCCCCTCCTTCGACCTCGACAGACACAGACACACATCCTGAAACCGCGCAAACGGAGACGCAGACGCAAAAGTTCATCGCCGAGCGCATCGTCGTCCTCAATGGCGTCGCTCTGGTCGAGCTCAACGGAACCATCTACGTAATCCCCCCCAAGACGCTGGTAACAATCGCCCCGGGTGTGCCGCACACCTGGACCGCATGCCCGGCCGGCGTGTCTGTTCCTGTCTCCCGGGGCGCTGGCGCTGCCGCCAAAGTGGACTCGGACGGCACGTTCCTCATGCTGTACGAGTACGAGGAACCCACGGCCTTCTTTCCCACGAGACAAACCCGCACGCTGGGCTCGGTGGACGAGTACGAGCGCTGCGACGACCTCGAGGCCATCAGGATCCCGAGGCTGAGCGCCGACGAGGTCCTGCGGCGGTGCTCCTTCGTCTGGGATAGGACGCTGACTTCTCCGTAGCAAAGGTACTCTGGACTTCGAGTGATGACATGGGTCGTGTGTGTCTTTGATATATAGGTATGTAGGTATGTATGTATGTATTTCCACTCGAGACCAAAAAGATTCAATCAAGAGTGGAGGAGGGAGCAGGTGGAGGGAGTACAATATATTCCAATACAACCGAACACCATACATGCGTTGAGGCCTGGTTCGAGTGACTCGAGGGACTTGTATAGAAACTAGCCAACTGTCCGGCAAGCCAGTCCAGGACAAACCCCTCTCTCTCTCTCTCTATCTATTCTCCATCAATATCGCGTCTCCAGCGCAACCTCGTAACGCCTCCGACGACATGTGTGCAATGTGGCCGAAAGTGACAGGCGACGCAGCCGTGGCCGGACGACTGAAGAAACGACGGTCGAGATACGCCTCCCTCTCCGCACCCAGGTCCATCTTCGCCAGATACTCGGTGGCCCATCCCCAGGACGCGGAACCCGGCGAGGTCGTGTCTCTGACGAGCAGACACGCCCAGGCGAGGGCGTCTTCGTCGCACGTACCGTCCAGCCCGACATCCCGGGCCAGCATGGAAATTTGCATCTCCACGCTGTGTTCGGCCGCGTAGTTGGACCAGCGGCGCACGGTCCGCTCCAGCCAGTTCACGTAGGCTTGGATCGCCACGGCGAGCATCCGTTCCGTGGCGCCCAGACCGGACACGGCGAGGATGTCGTGGCCGAGCTCGGTCATGGAATCGTGCGGCCCAGGGGTGACGCTGTTGTCCGCGAGCCACTCGCAAAAGAGCTGGAGGAAGTTGATGCACTGCAGGCTGAGCCGGCGTTGCAGAGCCAGACAGGCCAGGCCGGCCGGGAGTTTGGATATCTTGACCTGCAAGGCTCGAGGGAGCGGTTGGGAAGGATATTCTGCAACCGAGTCACTGGCGAGCTTGAGTCCTTGTGCTTCGTCCTGGCTGCGTTGGGTCTGTTGGCGGCGCAACACGGCGGCAGACTCAAACATCCTGATAACCCGAGACGCGTGTGTTAGCGATGCGTAAGAAGCTGCCCGAGCGTCAAAATTACGTTTCATGATTTCTTACCCAACAGCCGATATCTTCAAAAAGCCACTCCACCCCAAGGAATCGAGCCCTCCACGTAGTTCGACGATGCGGCGGACGCCTTGAACATGTGCATTGAAAGCAGCATGGTCATTCAACATGCGCTGCGGATGCCACATCAGCGAAGGCCGCCAATCGATATCCTGGAGCGGCACAGCGAGAAAGCGGGAGCAGCCATACATAGACAGAAGCCATCGGAAAAATGGTCGCGAGGACAATGTCACTCGTGCAGGTCGCCGGATCTTGCAACGCGTCTCGCAACTGGACGACAGTATTGTTCAGGTGGTAAATGACAGCCCTCGACAGACGCGTCGTGCTGTCCATGTGAAGCCGCTGCATGGTCAGATTCAAGGCGATCATGGAACTGCAATACATGGGCGTCTGGAGCACGTGGGTCCTCATGATCTGATGCTGGGCCGGGTTGTAGTTGCCCAAGCTCAGAGCGAGCGGGCACAGGACTTGGAAATCTGCAACATGAGCGTCGAAAGAGAACAGTCACACAAGACCATTTCTAAAAAAAAAAAAAGCTTACGGTAGTCGAACCCGCTCATTGCATCGCACGTGTTTTCCACGGGCAGAGTCCAGAAAGGGTCATCTCGCAGGCCGCCAATTTGTCCAGATAAAGGGGTTGCAGACGCCTCAGATGCATCAAAATAGCTCAACAGCAGAGTGTTTTGTCTGCGAGCTGCATCTCTTATTGCCTGGCGTCTTTTCTCGTGTTTGATACGAGCGTGATGGGCATTGATGGCAGCTAATTCGGGGGTGTGGTCAAAGTTTCCAATATTTCTGTTGATGAATGTGACAGGCATAGCTGTGGACTAAGACAGGGCGAGGCATATTAGAGATTCAGACAGAGACTCTTGATGGGGGTTTGGAAGGGTCTCTAAGAGCATGGCGTTCATGTTCCACATGGAGATGCGTCAAGACAAATAGTCGCCAAGACTAGCTAAAGCAGCGCATATATACAGCCATCTCGGGACACAATTGATGCCGCCTTATCCTGGCACCCTCTATCCATGGAGTCGCAAGGCTGCAGGCCTCAGGTATAGAGAGGGTGAGTAATGCGTTGGCTGCATTAATCACCTTGAGAGACGCCGATATTTACGGTTTGATGAGAAGCTTCCCACTGGTGTGCCTTCCCTCGAGATCCTATATTGACATGACTATCAGCCTGGTGACCTTTGGAATGGAGGGGTTCTCTTACCGACTGTGCCTTTGCTACTTCCTCCAATGGATATATCTTGTGGATTTTGACATTGACCTTTTTCGGTCCTTCGAGCAAAGCAAACCAGTCTCGGCAGGTTTGTTCAAACTCCTCCCGAGTGGTGAGGTAGTTGAACAGGGACGGCCGGACCAGTTTGTTGTTCTTTGCGGATAGACGACTGCATGGTTGGAGGCGTATCGAGTTAGTAAAGGGTATGGAGGAGGAATGAGATAGCTGGAGTAGAAAAGAGGAACTCACGAGATGGCAAATGGTGGAACCGCACCACTGGCATTGCCGAAGCTGACAAGAGTCCCCTTCCTCTTGGTCACCTCTAGACTGCCATCAAACGTGTCCTTCCCGACTCCGTCGTAAACAGCTTCGCAAAGCTCCCCGTTCGTGGCAGTCGTGACCTCTTTGACCCAGTCAACACCAGGCTTCCGGTAATCAATGACTACATCTGCTCCAGCGTCCTTTGCCCACTTGCATTTCTCCTCTCCTCCAGCCGTAGCAACAACCCGCGCCCCGATTCTCTTGAGAACCTGCACAAGGATCAAGCCAACACCACCGGCTGCGGCGTGTACCAGCACTGTGTCGCCCCGTTTCACCTTGTACGCTTCTTCCACCAGTCCAACCACAGTCAACCCCTGCAGCATCCCTGCCACTGCATCTTCGTCTGATACCCCACTAGGCACCTTGATCACCTTATCCTCTGCCACAGCGGAATACTCTGCATACGCTGACACACCCAGCCACACCACACGATCCCCAGCCTTCAACCCATATTTCGTAGCTCCAGACCCTACAGCTACGATCTCGCCGACAGCCTCACGCCCACCAATTTCGGGCTTGGGTGCCGGGTAGAGACCCGTGCGGAAGTAGATGTCGATGTAGTTGACGCCAACAAGATGGTTCTTGACCAGCACTTCGTTCTCTTTGGGCGTCGGGACGGGTTGATCCGTCGTAAACCTGAGAACATCGGGGCCTCCGGTCTTCTCGGTGACGACGGCCTTCATGGTCTCGGGGATTGTGGCAGACGAAGACATTGCTCTAAAGCGATAAGAGGGCACTCCAATGACGGGCGACGACAACTGCGAACTGAAGCTCGATAATCGTTGGGTCCACTCCGGGGATATAGGCCTCCTCAGTGAAGCAGCGGCAGAGGTCGATATTGATGAATGCTGTATGAGTGGCACTGGCCCGCGCCAAGCAACCATTGAATTTGTCAGAGGGCACGCCTTGATGGAGTAAGGCGGACGAAGTCGAACTGACATGGTAGGGGATAGAGACGGCATTGTGACCGTCGCGTTCCAATAGACTTGATTACGAAAGAGATGCGTGTTGGGCTGGTTGCACGAAGGATCGAGACGGTTGTGCCTCGTGAAAATTTATCCGTCCCACAATTGACAACAACCTGAGCTTCGCATTAATCAGGTTTGTAATGCATGCGAATCATTTGACGTTTCCGCAGTTCAAGTTCGTGATGGAGCGACAATAATCTGACGACAATACCTCATCGTCCAAGAAAGAGGCAAGACAAGACGAGATAGACAAGGTGTAAAGGGGAGGCGGGATGCGGTCCGCACTTGCCGCATTAGTACCGAATAACTCGTACTCAATACAGCCTTGCGAGGTGGGGCCTGCCGCGCCTGGATGTGGATGTGGAGACTGACCGGCGTCGGCCCGGGAAGTGGCCAATCAGGCTCCGACCGGCTAGACTTCCACTCTTGATATCTATGCACCATGTACTCGCATCAGGACAGATTGGTGACTGCCACAGGGATGGCACTCGAATGTAGGACGATCTTGACGAGTCACGTCGAATATCACACGTCGCTACTGAGTTGCCTCAGAGTGCAAGTGTAAACGATCCATTAAAGAAATGAAGTATACGAGTATGAAATAGATCGGCAAGTCTTTCCACTATCATGAGACTCGACGTCAAAGGCAGTCACAAGTCCTTACTTGGCATAGCAACACCGATGGTGCCCTTGCCTGCTTTACAAACCAGTCGTCGTCACCAGGCCGTGTATCCGCCATCAACGAGTAAATCAGCCCCAGTCATGTACGAACTGGCCTCGGAAAGCAGGAACACGACGGGTCCCCGATAATCTTCTGGGACCGAGAGCCGCCTCAGCATGGTCTCCTGTGTCCACGAGGCCTCAAGCTTGCCCTCGGAAAGAACCGGTGACGACATTGGGGTGCGGATGACGCCCGGGCTGATGGAGTTGACTCTGATCTCGGGCCAGCCGTCGCAGTGAGACCATTCAGCCGCCAGATTGCGGGTCAATTGATGGACACCTGCTTTCGAGGCCGAGTATGCGGCAGTGCCGACGCCCTACGGACGTTGGACAGAGTTTCGTGTCAGTGATGAGCCCTGACTTCATATAATAAGGGGCAGTTGAAGAATAGATCCCTCACCTTGTTGACGACGTAGCCGCTCATACTGGCTATGAAGACGAAGCTGGCTGACAAGTTTTTCTTCCTCACAATGCGCGCCGCAGCCTGAGCCACGATCAGCGATCCAACGAGATTGACGTCGATGATTCGCCTAGCCGTGTCCAGGGGGAATGTGATGGAGTCCCCCAGTATGCTGATGCCGGCACAGTTGACAAGGCCTCTGAGCGGGAACCGTGAGCATGTTGACGCCTTTTCAAAGACAATCTCCGTCTGTCCTGAGTCGGATATGTCGCAGCTGTGGTAGCTCAAGGAGGCGCCAAGGTCGCTACTGATACTCCTCAGATGTTCTGACCAAAGGACTGTATTAGCATCCTCCATGCTCACCTCTATTCCTGGCATATTGCGAAAACTGAGGAAGAAATCCCTCTATAGAAGGGGTGCACCCACCCCAGCTCGCATCGGACGGTTCATTCTGTACATGATCGACCGCGATAACATCGGAACCTGCCTGCAACAATGTTTTGACAACTTCTCGCCCCAGGCCACCCGTCGCACCAGTGACTGTAGCGCGTGGTTCATGTCAGCTCAGCTCAACAAGAAGCTAAGCAATGGCTATGGTTGGTCCGGTGGTCTGATTCGAGTTCGACGTACCGATAACACTTCTTGCATCAAGGTTGAACAGACTCTGTACATTACCAGCCTCTTTGTTTGGGTCCGGCCCTGTCTGCTGTCCTTCTGTGGTGACCATGTTGACCACAAGGGAGTGTGATACGTCAAAGAAGGCGAGTGGATGCTTTGCTCTTGTTCTGTTGTTACCAGTTAATGCGGAGGAGAAGATCCCTCAGCTCTGGTGAAACTGGAAAGGCCCAGCAACAGGCATTATAAATTCTCAAAAACAGATGCGAGAGGTATATTTTCCGGATTGAAAGCCACGAGAACAGTAACCAGACACCTCATATAGCCATGATAGCATTCAATGTGATTGATTGTTCGGCTGGAACATGGGCGAGCGTCGTCAGAAACACTTGGAGGAAACACTTGTGTTAGAGCTCAGAGAGCCTGGGTAGTATCTCCTCTTCCAGTTCCCTACCCAATTCTGATGTTCCCCTCTCGAGTGAGTCTGTCGTGTAACATGTCTATTTGCTCTGGGACCATTCGCCAAGTAAGCGAGAGCGTCAAGAGTGCGGAGTATGTCCGCCGCAATGCCTACAAGCCCACGACCAGATCCGACCAGGAGCCGGGACATGCGGTCCGCAAGCCGCCGTGGATGGGATGCTTTGCAGAAGATTGGCCCCCTAGCGAGAACGGATTACAAGAAGGAATAAAATCGCAGAATCGGCCCCCTCTCCCCTTCGACCACCCCTGTTGTCCCACGGCCCTGACAGTGGGAACTGGGAGGAGAAGCTTTTCCCCCCTGACTCAATCGCAAGCTACCACGCCGACACACAGACCAGCTAGCCCATGCAGTAACGCTGCTTAATGGCAATCGAGCAGGCAATTTGCAAAGCACATTCGAGAGCCGAGCCGGGCCACCCCCAAATCCTGAGCATCTCGACCGTGCGGCCCTGCAGCATCTCGACGTCAGTGACAAAGCCACGAAGTGCCGGTGACTGAAACGCGAGCGAAATGACCAAGAGGCAGGTGAAGCAGCTAAAGAAAAGTGCGAGTTAGTAAACCCCGATCGAGAGAAAGTGCCACTCGAGAATAATCACAGCAGCCCCTCCCGCCCGTCCCGACTTACTATTGCGCGGCAGAATACGTGTACGGAGACCTGTGTGACAAGAGATGGCCGGCGGCGGTAAGGATGTAAGCGCGACACGCGCAGAGGCAAGAGTGGCACTTTTCGAGGACCGACGGAGGGATGGCGGCGATTCGATCCGGCATCTGAGACGTGACATATAACACGAATGGCCGATATATGTTCTGTTTCGAGGACCAGTAACGGAGGCGAAGCAAACAACCGTTCTTACCGTCGTCGAGGTCACTGGCGAGGTCCGGCTTGATTGCCTCCGGAAGCGCATTGTACCACGTTTCCAGCTGGCGGTCGAGCTCTTCGCACACCCTGAACAGCGAACTGCTTGGGCCAGGACGCAACCGGGGCGTGGCTAAAGTGTCCAAGCCGCGCCCAGCATAAATCGCCAGGCTATCGGCAAAGTAGACAGCACGATGGATCCGATTCTGTAGGAGCCGCACGGATATTTCGGCCAGGGAGTAGAGATTGTCGGCCGTGGGTGACTCTCCGTATCGTGGAAACGGAATGGAATCGACCAGCAACTCGATGCCGCTCCTCGGTTGGTGAAAATCAGCTTGAATGTCACTGGATCGCGAATGCAGTCAGGGATCTTTGCCCGCAACGTGAGGGAGTCGTGTTGTGTTGTGAAAATGCGTACCATTCAATAGTAAAGCAAACCCAGCTCAGACGTGTGATTTCCTGGATCTCCACGTCGGTCGAAGACATATCGTTGCAACTAGTGGAACCGTCGTGGGGGTTAATTTCATCCAATACAAGCCGAGAGAGGAACACGAGGGGATTTCTCACCGGATCAGCATCTGCTGTATATTTGTGGCAGCCATGTGTATGAGTCTCCAGGCCATCAACGGCTCGACAGAATACGTAAAATAGAGCGAACCCAGAATGAGGCCCTGGCAGAGCTGGATATCGCCCCGAAAAGACAGACTCCAGGATCTGAACAGAATACGGAGTGCCCTCTGAACCAGCTGGTCCCCGGAGCAAGGGCCAGACTGATTGCCAACAGGATCCGAAGCCGTGGCTCCCAGGGCAAGGAGAGCCAGGACTTTGGCAGACTGGTTATCTGTGCCTAAACCCTTTCCCATCGCGACGTTGTATTCCTCCACCAGGTGGCGTGGATCCAAAAACGGGTGGAGTGGATGGACCAAGTCGAGGAACTTTCGGAAATACCCATCAGCTGTAGTTCTGGGTATGGACTGGTCCTCGTCGACAGGGACATGCGACGTATCGACAATGACCTGCATCGCAGCTGGCGGAGGGCGCCGGTTTTCGACTTCGAAGAAGAAATCTTCTGGGAAATCACCGATCAGATGCCTCAACTGCGGCAATGCGAGGAGGCTCCCTGCACCTGTCTGATGGCCCAAGGGGATGGTGAGAGGGGGAATGGCCTCTAGATCTGGCCGGGACAGCGGGTCGTCTTGCAGGGTGAGAGAGAGCGTAGAGAGTGACCGCGGAGGACTATCATAGGATCGACTGGAGGTATTCCCCTGCGCCAGCTCGCTGTGGCGTCGGCCTAGATTGGTCTCTGGTGAGAGGTACTGGATAGGGTGTGATTGCAAGGCCTCGAGCGTAGTCACCTGTCGCTGTAGAATGTTCTCAATGGTATCGAGACGACGTGCAAGTATCTCGACGGCAGCATTTTCAGTCCTAGGCAGGCATCAGTTCAGCAACATGATGAATGGTCTGGCCACGGAGACAGCATTGTACTTGTGAATCGCTGGCTCCTGGTATGTACAATCCAGGCCTCTATTCTGACACGACCTGCAGGGAAGACCACGACCGTCGCACCGTCTCTTCCTATGGATCAACCAGGTCAGTGCCGGGTGTTGTTCGTACTGGTGACTTTGACCCACCGAAGGCGACAGGAGATACACGCCAAACGGCCTCTCCTTGGGCTGGTGCTCATGACGGCTTCTGCTATAGGACACGTTTCGAGATGACAATGTGACACGGTCAAAGGGAAAAGGCTCGGATGATACAAGCGGGTGGAGTGGGTATCATTAGTCTGGCTGGGTGAAGATATCGATCAGGGTGGGAGGAGGTCGGAAGCCACGTAGCGTAGTGAATTGAGCTTCAGGTTATACAGGGTACACAGCTGGTAGGAGGTTAGCAGCAGCAATCGATCTCGATCTTTGTCCATGTTCTGGGTTTCAACAATGACGGATGATCATCTTCCGCCCCTGCATGGGGGCCATGGCTTGAGGTCGCTAGAGTCTCTTGGATGGGTCTTTGCTATTCGCCCGCTCTTCTCTCCGCCTTGCATTGTAATCTAGTTCATCGTACAAACATGCTTGAATAGATCGACGTTTTTCTCATCGAGGTGTTGTTCGAGTACAATAACAGCTGTGGTTACCACTCAGGGCATGTCATCAGTCCTGATGTCAGGGGCCCCCTCTATCTCAAGTCGATGTATACATATATTCGATATTGTACATAACACATACATCTCCACCACCTTCGCCGCAAAAGATGAACGATACTCTACAGTTGATCCGTTCTATCGCTCAAGATGCCACCACCCACTGTGCCGACAACAACACCTTTTGCTTTTCACAATGACATCAAGTGCTCTGTCCTCGACAAAGAGTCAAGCATCACCTATCTCGACCTGAGCTTTGAGACTAAACTATATCTCCCGCCGACAGAGTGTCCTCCTGGTGAAGCCAGCCCAAAAGTGAAGGCTCCAAGACTTGATCGATATGTCCGTCCTTCTGAATGGTCGCCGGCTCGGAAGAATATAATGCTCTGTATTGCTTGTGTCGCAACAATCTTTGCGTCTTTTGCGGCGAGCGCATATTCACCTGGCGCTGAGCAAATGGCAGAGGAATTCCACGTCAGCCATGTGGCTGTGATGGTGGGAATCACATCTTTCAACATGGGGTTTGCCCTTGCACCGATGGCTCTGGCACCATTCTCCGAAGTCAGGGGCAGAAAGCCCGTCTTCCTCGCCAGCGGCATCGTGTTCCTCGTATGCAATATCTGCTGCGCAGTGACTCCAACATATGCAGGGTGAGAAATCGAGCAAGCACGGCGGAAAGTAGACTGACGGTGACACTTTGCAGGATGTTGATATCCCGCTTCTTCGCTGGAGTCGGTAGCTCGACCTTCTCGACAATGGTCGGAGGCCTGGTAGCCGATATCTACCATGCTCGAGATCGCAATCTCCCAATGGCTCTTTTTTCTGGAGCAGCTGTGTTTGGCGTGGGCCTGGGTCCTCTTCTTGCCGGCTTCATAGCCCAAGGCACTACCTGGCGCTGGATTTTCCATGTCCAGACGGTCGTCATCGGAGTTGTGCTAGCGGTCATGGCTGTTTGCTTTCGGGAGTCTCGAGAAGACGTGATTCTTCGATCAAAGGCCCGAGCCTTGAATCATTGGTATGAATCACGAGAGCAGGTCGGGCTCTTTGATCATTACCAGAGCCCTTCTGCTACATCTCCTCAACGTGTACGCTGGAAAACACAGACAAGTGCTGTGTCGGCGCCTTTGAGAGAACAGGTAGTTGCTTCTCTTACACGGCCATTCTGTCTCCTGTTCACTGACGCGGTGGTCTTCTTCTTCTCCCTCTGGGCAGCTTTCAGCTGGTCCGTGCTATACATCTGTCTGTCGTCCATTCCGCTGGTCTTTGAACAGGTACATGGATTTAGCCCTGCACAGTCTAATGCCGTCTTTGCATCCTCCTGTATCGCCTGTCTAGTTGCAACGGCATTAGGAACAGTCCAAGAGGACTTGACGAGGAAATTACTCATCCTCAGGACAACCATAAAGGATGAGCCTGAGACTCGTCTTTACGGCAGCTGTCTTCAAGGCCCTCTCCTTCCCATTGGACTACTCATGTTTGGTTGGACGAGTTCCCCCTCGATTCACTGGATAGTTCCCACCATTGCCATAGGTGTCGCCACCATGGGAATCCTTAGCATCTATCTCGCCGTCTTCAACTACCTGGCAGATGTGTACGGTACATCCGCGAGCTCGGCGATTGCAGCGCAAAGCTTCTGCCGGAATGCTCTGGGAGGAGTCTTTCCTCTGGTGACAACCCAGATGTACAAAGCTATGACGACGGGCGGTGCGTCAAGTTTCTTGGGCGGATTTGCAGCTCTCCTCAGCTTTGTCCCTTGGGTACTTGTCTTCTATGGCAAACGATTCAGGGAGAGGAGGTCTGTTTGCTCCAAATAAGACTGTCTTATTTTACCAGGCCGAGTGGAAGCCTTGTCAAACTCATGGTCCAATACTTGTGACTCCTTCGAGTGCTCGTACCAGCTGGTGCCTCTTTATCTCTGTTCTCAAGATGCAGATCCTGGCTGCTTCTCCTTACAACATAGACTCTATATAGCCGGTTCGGAAATCCATCCGGCAGAACACTGTACACCAAACAGTCAAAAAGAACATTGAGCCTACGCAGCCAAATGACTACGTCGCTCACCACAACCACCGGCAATGCGTATACATCTTGGGAACCAGCTCCACGCTCTAAATATCGACACGTTTGGCAAGAATTATGGCTAACAGTGAGTCATCGCCAAGCACCAACTTCAGTACTGCGAGGCTGCCAAGCCGCAAGCAGTGTGGTACTCGAATCGAACTCGACATGAATCCTCGGTAGCCATGCGCAAGAATGTGGTACTGAGAACGAGTCCTCACGAGTAAAACGACGACTGTGGAACACACTGGAACTGCACGTTGAGACATTAGCTTGATGCTGGAGCCGAAGCAACCGTGTTCTGTATAAGGACCTTGGTGTTCCATATCAGGGCCTTGTACCTTCCGCAGTCCAAACTGGAGGATTGGAACCTGTTTTAACTCTCTGACGGCCCCCGGGGACATCAGAGCTCAATACTCAACACCTATAGCGGCTAGCGAGACTGGGAATATAGGTTAGGCGGCCGCCTGTTACATCTAACTTATAGCTAAGAGATCGGTAAGGGTGCCTACAAGCTCAAGAAACCTCCTTTCATAGTAAGTAACATTTGTCACTGACTCTCTCAAGTCACTCATGGCATCTGGCCTACGGTATTCCGGCGAGATGTCCGGCTTCACTTTTCTCGATGAGACCTGTCTTCAACAATATGGTCCAGAACAAGTCCTGAGCCAGATGTTATCGACAAAGTGCTACATCTCTACCACTTCCTCCCTCGCCGCCCAGGATACTGCCGAACTCAAGGGCGTCACGCAGGTAGGGAAGGGTCAATGTGGTACTATTTGGGCTTTGACTGGCACAAGCAACGTTTTGAAGGCCGCGAATGAGGACAAGGAGGACCAGTTGTACAACGACTATTGCAAACATGCCCGTGTCGAAGAGGCCCTCCAGCAAACATTTTCACGCTTCAGACGTAACATCAACCTACCCAGCCTAGGCACCTGGATCGGACCTCGCAATGAGAGGTTCTGGAATGAACACCGTGGCGTCCCACCTACGGATGGCATCCTCTCCGAACGGATCCTTCCAGTTCCATTCCCAGTGCGCTCGGCTCTTGTGGACGCCTTCGCACCCAAAGGTGTCAAACAAAACAAGGAGAGCTTCTTATCGCAACAGGAAAATCAGGACTGCTTGATCCGCATTTATCTGGGTCGAAGACAAAGTCGACCAACAAGTAACGCATTCAGACTCCGCAACTTCGACATGACGGTCAATGAGATGGAATTCTTGCGACTCGACACTGTCCTGTACGCCGAGACTCTGGCACAGACGTTAGCAATCATCCACTGGAACGCGAAACTTGATGCCAACGATGTGGAGTTCGTTTTCGGCCGTGCGTCGGCTGGAAAGAGACGACCTCTCGCCGCAGAACTCGAGGCCATGAGCAGGTTTGACCTGGAAAGGCTCGCTTCTGAAGTCGACTTTAGACACCGATCGATCGGCATTTGGCTCCTCGATTTTGATCAGTGCAAGGCTTTTCCGGAGGATATGGATGGTGTCAGACAGCTCGAACGTGGCTTTTATTTCAACGACCCCTACTACCCTCGTCCGGTCTCCGAGCACCCAAAGGACGTTGCATTGTGGAATGCCTTCAAGGAGAGCTACCTAGTCACGAGTGCTGCTTTTACGACGAGTGCCATGCCAAATCAATTTATTGATGCTGTTGAAGCAGAGGGAAGAAAGAGAAGACGTGGTGGTTCTATATTCCAGTAGAGTTGCCCTGCAGGTTGGTGTGATGAGGGCGTGCACTAAAAGTACTGTTTACGCTCATTCAAATGATAAATGTTACTTGGTGTGAACGGAGATTTTCTGAGCTTGTCGGCACCCTTACCTATCTCTTAGCTATACGTCAGATATAACAGGCGGCGGCGTAACCTATATTCCCAGTCTCGCTAGGCCCTATAGTCATTGAGTATTGAGCTCCTATATCTCTGGGGGCCGTTGTAAACAATACCCCCAGACCCGACGGGGGGCCTGGGGCAATCATCGGTCATCAACGAGAGGTCTCCTGCAGGGATGAACGCACGACCCCGGAGTCTACTGAGGGGTTGCAGTGTGCAACCCGGGGTCTGCTTAGCATAACATGAGGAGAGGCTGTCAGAACGGGGCGGACACGGCCCGTCGCCCCCCTGTCGTTGACATTACCAAGCTTGACAGGTGACAAGAATTCGTCAAAAGACCGCGGAACACCGACCTCCCAAACTCGTTGATGAGGAATGACAGGTATCACAATCACCAGTGCGGAATTAGGATCCGCAGGATGGGTGGCTGGCACGTCAACAATCCAGGAGTATTTGAGGTTGAGAGTAGAAACACGAGACGCACAGCCGGGTAACAATCTATCTCGAGTATTTGGAGGACTAAAGGCCCGAATCACAGCACAAACAAGCGACAATGAGCAACGACAGTGTATCCTCGAATCGAGTCTCGAAGCGGACTCCAGCCGTGGCAATCGGCGAACTTCCAGGCTCGTTGCCAAAGTCCCAGGTCCCGGCAGACACGGACTGTGAAGCAGTCGCTCGCGCCCATCTATCACGACTCCTGTCGCTGTCAGTGGACGATGTCACAGAGTCTGTGATCTGGAGAGACTTGCTGGCATTGACGGGCACGTTCCGGACTTTCTACAGCGCACCGAGCGTGACGGAGGCGTGGACAAACACGTTTGGTCGCCACGGCCAGGTCGACGACTTGCAGTTGACGCCGGGCACTGCAAAGGTCTTCAGAGTGCTCGACGCTTCGTCCTGGATCGATGCACAATTCACCTTCCGCGCCTCGCAGGGTGGTCTTCCACTTCGCTGCTCCGGGTTCATCTCTCTGGTGCCGACCGACAACAAAGGGTGGAAGATCTGGATGATCCGCACGATTCTGGACGAGGTGGCGGATTATGGCAACGTCGATGTCCTGGATCCAGTCGTGCCTCACATCAAAGAGAGGGACAACGGACTTTCCCAACACGTTGACGCTCTTGTAATCGGCGGGGGTCAAGCAGGACTGGGAATCGGTGGACGCCTGCACGCTTTGAACGTCTCTTATCTCGTGGTCGACAAGTTCGACTCCGTGGGAGACAGTTGGAATACCAGATACGATTCCACAAAGCGTGAGTCCCAATCCCTCCTTTCTGGAATTCATACAATCAAGTCACCGTCATATATTGGGAGCTGACCATGATATAGTCCACACGTCTCGAGAATATGGCAAGTCTTGGTCTTTCGAGGTCGTCGCTCTCCATGATTAATTTCAGACTTGCAGGACACTTGCCCTTCTACCGCACCTACGACAACTCATATCCCGAGTTTCTGACAAAGGCAGATATTGCAAAGGGCCACAGAGACTATGTCAAGAGGTTCGGAATCGTACGTGCTCAAATATCGTCAGGTTCATCCGACCTCCGGCTGACAGACGCCGCAGAATATCTGGCAGTCGACCGAACTCATCTCCAGCTCGTGGTCAACTCAACAGAAGATCTGGACTTGCAGGTTGAGTCGAGGCAGTGAAGAAGTCACCGTGACGGCATTCCATCTCGTCTTTGCCGGCGGTTCAGGCGGACGGTGGCCCATGATGCCCTTATTGCCGAACAGGGTAAACGCTGACACGGGCGGCGGCTGTTTTGGTCCGTCCTTTTTGAGCGGTGGACATGGCTGATAGTCACCCCATAGGAACAGTTCAAAGGCATCGTCCTGCATTCATCCGACTATCAAAATTCGAATGACTGGCGCGGACTCCACGGAGTCGTTGTGGGCTCGGCAAATACCGGTGAGGCGACTTATATATATGTCATCTATAGACATGTTGCCCCAATTGTCTCTCTAACGCGATGCCCTCAGGACATGATGTCGCCGAGGACATGTTGAATGCGGGTCTTGCATCAGTGACGATGGTTCAGAGGGGTCGGACATGTACATGATACCTCTTCCTTTGCGTTCTGTCTCAAAGACTGACATTTTCTTAGATGTACTCCCGGCTGAACACTACATGGCAGTGACCAAAGGTATTGGGTCTCCAAAGAGCGATATCGTCTGGAAGAAGCACTGAGGATCAATAACAGCATTCTACAACCTCGACACTCCAACCGAGAAAGCTGACGGGGAGAGCTTTTCCTTCCCTGCTTCCATCCGCCGCCAAATCATCCTGAACCTCCTGCACGCAATGGCCCGGGATGATGGCGAGCGGTTCGATGCCCTCCAAAAGGCAGGCTTCGACGTCGAAAGATACGGAGACCTGATGCACATCCTGTTTGAACGTCTCGGCGGCCACTACATGGACGTGGGGGCCTCGGCCAAGATCAGCGATGGATCGGTAGGTCATGAGGAGTATTTCCAACCAAATTTGTCCACCCGCTGACTGAGGACGATGTCTCAGATCAAGGTCAAGTCCGGAAGTTCTCCCACCCACTACACGGCCACGGGGCTCGCATTCGACGACGGCACAGAGCTCAAAGCCGACGTGATTGTCTTCACTACGGGCTTTGTGGGCAACCTGCGCCAGATCGCCGGACGGATAGTTGGGCCCGAGATTGCGGATCAGCTCGACGATTTCTGGGGGGTGGATGCCGAAGGGGAGCTCAGAGGAGCATTCAAATACGCTGGGCGTAAGTCCCTCCTTCATTCATCTGCCAAAGAGAAGAAAGAGAAAAGTGCAACAATGGATCTAACGTGCTTTCTCTCCCTTTTAGATCCGGGACTGTGGTTCACTGGGGGCGACATTGGCATTGCAAGGTACTATGGTCGATTCATTGCATTGCAGATCAAAGCACACTTGATGGGGACTCCGCTGAGAGTGTACGATGCGTGAAAGGGTTTTGCAGAAACAGATATACGAACGTCAACCTCTGGTGAGGCATTAGTTCGAAATACGGATTTTGTTCTGTAACGAGGTGATGTAGGGAGAGAGAGAGAGAGAGAGAGTGAGTGAGTGAGTGAGTGTGTGTGTGTGTGTGTGTGTCAATTTGTTCCCTTTCGCCATGTGCAGTCTTCCTTCTTCTCCCTAGATTTCAAATCTATCCCCGTCTTAACGTACACTCTCCTGGTCTCCATCACCTGTGTGTGACTTGCATGGCTGAATGGACCAGAATCGCATAATCACCCCTTTAGTCGTGCCCCCTCCTGCGACCAGCTAACGCTTCGCTAGGCGATCAGGTTGTGGAAAGGCGTGAGACCTTGGTCTAGGGTCATACCCTCAATGTGTCCATCGACATGGCCAAGTCAACAGGGACATTCGTGCATACGCGACGCCGAACCCACGATGGTCGCAATCACGGTTTCACACCGGATCACAGACTTCGTCGTCGTTTGGGAAATATCCATTTGGTTGCTCTCCCTACCTACTGTAAACTCCCTGTCTTCGATTCACAGGGTCTACCTAGCACCTGCAAAAGCCGAGCGCAATCAAGTCCTGTTTACATGCTGCCTGACCCAAGCGGCGACTGACGCACCCCATTCCTCCTCAGACTTCAGCCCTGTTCCCAGAGACATGGGTGGGCTGATGTGATTGTGGCCCATTATCACTTCGGCATCTGTTGTGACGCCATTCTTTTTCAACTCGGCGACAAAGTCATTGTTTGTCTCGACTATCACGTCGGGATCCAGTTCACTCCAGAGAATCAGCAGTGCCGGCCACCCCTTTTGCAGCTGGCCGTTCAACGCCGCTGACCGCAGTAGTGCGATCGGAGACCTCGCGGTGTAGCCCTCCTCGAAGTACTGTAAGAGGAGATCTGGAAATGGCGGCGGGAGGTGGTCAAAGTCCATCAGAGCCCCTAAGCTGATGATTCCCGTCACCTTGCTCGTCTCGCGGCTTTGGTGGAAAGCATCGTCCAGCAGCCACGACATGGTGTTGACGCCCCCTGCGGAGTTCCCCAGGACAAACAACGGCCGAACCGTACCATATCTTTCCCTGACGTATCTCAAGACCAGGGCAAGGTCTTCCGATCCCGCGGGGTATCTCGCACCATGCCGCACCAGGCGATAATCGGGGATTATCGTCTCAAACCCTTGCTTCTTCGCGAAATAGTAGCCGAGATTTCGGTACACGAGCCCACCGGGTACGCTGCCAATGACCCTGTCACCTTCGACCCAAGCTCCACCGTATAGGAAGACTAGGATCGGCGCCGTGCTCGATTCGGCGGTATAGACGTCCAACTTTTGACGAGGGTCCGGGCCGTAGCTTGCAACTTCGAGGTTGCTATCCAGAATCGCATCTTTGGAGCTTCTGTTCAAAAGAGACGCGTATATTTCCGAAGTCTTCGGAATGACTTCCCAGATTGATCGTCCAAGTTGGGGAAGTTGATCCATGATAGACTGGAGGGGTTCCCTCGAGCAGGGTTTGCGGGAGTTGTCACGGAGAGCTCTCCAATGGTAAAGGGAAAGAGGTCGCGAGGGAGAGACGACGTCAAGGTGCCACACTCACTTTGACGCTGGGCGAGAGCGAGCCAGACGAGAACGGGCGGAGGTACTTGCAGTTTTATGCCCTCCAGCTTCGCAGAGAAGAAGTGGACATCACAATAATCAGAGTCGAGAGTCAGAACTGCCTGCCTAACGATAACCTAGGCGGTCCAATTTCCGCTTTGCCATATTGTAAGCAAGACTTCTGGCCCCATTGTGCTTGCTAATATGCCCGGAGGTTGACAATGTATACCGACACCTCCCAACACTGCATATTGAACCGGGCCCGTTTTCTCCGTGCTCGGGCCGTGCTTGGGCTTGTTAATCCGGATACATGCAGGGCATCCTCCTACGAGGGAGTTGTATTCTTTGAACGACAAGTGCCGATGGGGACGGCTCCTCGATACGCAGTTGGTCGTGGTGATGGTGGAGTGCGGGACAACGGCTGCATATGTGACGATTATACACGTCCAAAAAGTACATGTATGCCAGTTAGCTGTGGGGGAAACTAGCTAAATACAGAGTATGTACGAGGTACTCGGTAATACTTGTAATTATTACCTAGCAAGAATCAGTCTAACTAAAACTAGTAGCTCACATTGATTAGCCTATGACAAGCTAGTTGCCATCACGAGGCCCTCGGAAGACATTCCTTTTTCAGGGTCCTTTGTGTCTAACCGAATATGTCCTAGTGACCCCGCTTTGACTCTGTCGGGGAATTTGCATATCTTGTTAATACGGCAACGATCAGTATCTGACCTGCGGAGTCAGGGAAAGAAGAGTAGGAGCATCTACATACCTGAGAAAGATGATCTGCGTCAGTGCTCCATGAGATGGTGCCATGTCGCCAACATCAACGCGTTCGTCGAATGATGTCGGTCTCGCGCTCTCCCCCTCACAGCATCATCAGCTCGAAATGAAGGGGGCCAAAACCCAGGATCTGATACAAATAGTATTGCCAAGTCCTCGACTCTTTCTTTGCAAGACTAAATCGTCACCCCCTTGCAGCATGACAGAGACGACCAGCAATTGGTCATGTAAGGTGACGTAGGTGACGTGCCTGAAGTCTAGGCTCTAGTCCCTTGCATACTTCTGCTCTCCATATGGCCTGAATCACTGGTTGCGGAGCAAGAGGTCGGCATTCTCCAAAAGCAAATCCCCCCTTGATGACTACGATGGCAGATGGTAAACATGGTTGGAATGCTGCACTGTCGCGGCTTGCGGAATCTGGGCAGAGTCTTGCCGAGCACTATTTCTCTCAAGGGGGAGTCTTTTGGGTCCCATAAAAAGGCGCAAAGTCTCGGTGCAATGCAATCTTTCTTTCCTTCCTTCGCCTCGCAAACTCCTGAACGTTCCGTCTGACACGACCCCAGCCTAGTCACTCAACAACTGCACCGCGAGGGTGTGACACATGACGATGCTTGATTGGGACAATGGAAATCCTGTGGTCGAATACGACTATACCCATCCGGAGCGCCACCACAAAGGTCTTTTGCCGTCCAAACCTTTCAAGAATCACAGAAATTGTTACAACAGTGGTCACTATCCCGGGAAGATCGAGGGTTTCTATCAGCTGTACGTACGGGACTCGGAGGAGGGCAAGCAAGAGTTATGCTCTTCATGTGGCTGGACCGCGTACGATCAAACTACTTCCAACTATCTGTCACGCATCAGAATCATGCATGCCCGGTTCAACATGGGCTTGTGGTCAATTGGATCCAAGTGGCTCATACGCGATCAGCCAAACGACAGATCAATGGGGGCCGAGTATATGACGTGGAAATTTCTCCACGAACAACCTGGCCTCACTATCCCCCTGCCCAAGCAGATGCAACGCCTGAGTGATCCGGAGGATCCTATCCAGTTTACACTCATATCGAGAGCGCCGGGCGTGCATCTCTCGGCAATCTGGCACACGTTGACTCCTGAACAAAAGCAGGGCTATAGGGACCAAATGGTTGACTTCCTCAAACAACTACGACAGTTCACGGCACCGCGCCCACAAAGGGTCAATGGGGATGAACTCGAGGACAACCTTGTGGCTATCTGCTGGAGGCGCCATTCACCGACCTGTATTAAAATGGGCTTCACCGAAGACGAATGGCTCGAGAATATGACGCCCGACCTCCGCGTTGGCCTCGGTATCGTCCACGATACCACGGACCCGCAAGTCATCGAAGAGAAGCTCCAAGAAATCAAGGATAACTTTCCAAGAGGAGGACCGTATGTTCTGAGCCATACCGATCTCAACATGACCAACATTATCGTCCAGGATGACAAGATCCAAGCCATTGTCGACTGGGAGATGGCTGGGTACTATCCGTGGTGGGCAGAATATTATGCCGTTGGCTTGTTCGATGGTCACGGCCAGGAAGAATTCTACAACGACAAGGATAATCCTCTCTGGTCAAGAGTCCACCCAGACTTTGTCTTTGATGGCCCTGTCTTCACAAAGATTAGGGTAGCATTGGGGCTAGTTCGTCAAGCTTTCGATAGCACTACACTCCATGCAGAGCACCACCCACCCAAGGACGCGCCTGTGACAGGTTTCTGGCGTCCCCGATTTTGCAAATGTCAGCCTTTCGGAGGCATCATCCACGGGCCCGCGTTCGGAGTCTTTCTGGAGCATAAGCCCAAGGACTTGGACGCTTACAGAAATGAAAAGTACGACTGGAACAACGTTATCATAGGCAAATCCGACTCAACCCAAAAAGGGTCCTTCTCTCCGTTCTGCTGCTAGGATCCAACAGCAGCAGGAGATAGAGGGTACAAGAAATTCTGCATGGGAGTTCTAGGAGTTTGGCGAGTTTCGGATCCTTCACAGACTGGTTATCTGGAGCAATTGACTTGAAATATTTGAATCTGGGTGCCTCTACTTGCGCTCCGTCTGTTGACTCTTTTGTTCCTCCCCTTGTAAACTGGACATCCTCTTTTTCTCTCCGCGCAGAGCCGTCAAACCGATACACTCCTATTGCTGGTTCCGCATAGCGATGCCTAACTGACCCCCAGCCCCGCCCTTCTGTCTTCTCCCTAGACGTGTGCGAGAAGTCCACTTCTCATCTTCGATAAGATGCGCATCAGACGATTTCTCCCTCCACGTCTGTCTTCTGTTAGTGTAAAATTCGCGAGTTGGGGAAAAGGGCAAGGCAAAGGGAAAGACCACAACAGATCATACTTGCCAAAGAACGTGTTTCCAGGACCTAGAATTTGTTCCACTGCATTGTCAAACCTCTGCTGTGTGTCACTGCCCCATGTAAGGGTTTCCACAGGTCTTTCTGTCTCATCCATGCTGCGACGCCTCCAGACCGAAAAGCGGATGGCTTTACCGGGAACGCGGACAAGAAGGACTCGTAGCTCAGCATCTCCGACGTAGATAGCAGATCTGGAGGATCGACTAAGCACTGCCGAGAGAGTGCTGCCCGAATGATCGATCGCGGCTGCCTCAATGACTGGTGGCCGTATAGGGCCGAAGGCGTAGATCTCCCAGTGGAGAGGCTGCTGCTGCTGGTCTTTCGTCGGTATTGTGACTGCTCTGCAGGCTTCGCAAGTTGTCGCATACGATGTGTTGTTGAAGTTACAGAATACACAATTGTGTGGAGAGGGCGCGAAGTTGTTTTGTGCCATTGTGCTGAGATGTTGCAACCAAGCCACAATGATGTCGATAGATTGTTGATCGTAGAGGATTGAATGACCAGCCTGTTGATGGGTTGTTGATGGCAGAGGATGGAGTGATCTAGCCCAGCGATAGGTCTGGAGTGACATCTCTCGCTTCTTATACTTTTCTCATGTGCCCTTTCCGATGGTGCTTTGCTGGGGAGAGTTTGCTGGTGATAAACAACATCCCACACATATCTTGCATTAACCCTGGGTGAGGAGTGGAACATGATCCCGTGTCAAACAAAGAACCCCCTTGCCATTCAGTTACTGTAAGATGCCGGAAAGTCGGAGGCAGCCCCAAAGAGCAAACATCAACCGGGAGGAAGCTGGCAAACAATGAGGACACAACAGTGTGAGAAATACCCAGGAAATAAAGCAAGCAAAAGAAAAGACTGTTTTGACACCACAACATCGGAAGGCTTTCCGCCGGGGCTGTGATGGAAGCTCCGGGATTGAGCAGCCGTTGATTGTTTCTGCAACAGGTATACAAGTTGTGTAACGCTTCTAGAACAATCCTTCCCCTGATCAACAGCCACGGCTAGATGGACAGATCCGCACAGCTGAATGCCGGCGTAGCACCACCTGAGTAGTCCGCCATGATGGCTTTGACGGCGGCATAGAGCCCCGGTCCAAGTAAGAACAGTCCCACAAGCATGACGAAAACGTGGATCACTGTCATGATGGACCTATACACACCATCGAACAGTCTCCCCTTGTACAAATGGTAGTACGCCACTGCAAAGAAGATAAAACCGAAGAATGAATCGAATGCCGCTCCAAGTAGAGAGAGGAAGTCTCCCATGCTGGGGATAACCTCAGCAAAGATGAATGAGACGACCCAGATCCCAGCCATGACCAGAATCCAGACACCCCATCCAGTGACAGTGTTGCTATGGGCATGACGAGACTTGCCCATGATTCGGAAGTATATAAACTTGGCCGTGACATTTGCGTAAATCACGCCGATGACGAGAGTTGGCACAATAACGAATGCGAAGGAGCCTTTCTTGTAAGCCGTAACTCCCAGGCTACCGAAAGCTGGAGCAGTCGAATATTGACCCAAGTAGTGGAACCCAATAGCTGGAGGGCAGATGAACAAGAAGGTGGAAATGGCCGCGAGAACCGCGAGGGACTTGGGGAAATCTTGTGGCTTCTCCATCTCTGCGATGAAAGTCGGAAATAGGATCTGGGGTATCCATAAAAATGTAACGTTTAATACTGAATTTAGACTGTCTTATCATTAGCAGCAAGGCGAAAGAATGCTTCTAGGAAAGCCTATGCTGTATAAGATTCTTCTCGGTGACACTTACCAATCAATCCATGTAGTGCCAGGGAGTGGGAAAGCGTAGGTTCTGACCTCTCCAGCAGCAGGATAAACACCGTGGTACCCAAAACCAGGATGTTGCTCAATGCCTGCAAAGATCAGAAAGAGGAGGATCGAAATTGCCATGCAGGCAGCTGTGTGTATGGATTAGCGAATGGAGCGGTAGTGGCTAGACTGAGTGAAGGCTTACCAGAAAACATTGACATGAAAGAGATATGACGTAAAGTTCTAGGAACAGACATAATGATACCCCTGTTCACCATTAGCGCCGAAGGAAATATCAAGAAGGGCACGTCAGATTCGAGAGACACATACATCAGCATGACGATGATCGAGAAGACAACGGTACATTGGGAGTGATTCGATAAAGTGTTGAGGACTTTGGCACCAGTGAGGACGTGGAAGCCAATAAGGAGGATGTTATTGGCGAGCAACATGAATCCAGTCCATTCGTATGCGATTCGACTCTTGCCAAAGGCGTAGTAACCAAAGTCACCTTTTGTAACGACGGTCAGCTGGACAATCCAGTCGGAACTGTAGAGGGCCCCGATCGTCCCAAGCGAAGAAGAACGGACTTACAAATATCCTTAATTTGTGGATGCTTCATGATGAATTTGTGCATGGTAATGGAGGTGATCCAAAAGAAGATACCTGCACCCACCATGGTGATGATACCAGGCACCCATCCGAGGACGCTGATGAGGCATCATGATTAGTGCTGTGGGGATGGAAATGCAATTAGATAGCCTTACGACAGTGACCATGTTTGGGCCATAATGGCGAGACAGACCTGATCGCCGGCTAGCAACCAGGCTGCTTTCTGCCAGGACATGGTTCGAAGCTTGATGTCGTGTTTGTGGTCTGTGGGAATATCCTGTTAGTAGATCATATGGCCTTTTTACGGCTGATGAAAGGCACACCTTCAGCGACCAAAGCACTAAAGACTTCGACAGGTGCATTCCCATTTTGTTCGTCGCCAGCAACTTGGTAGAGAGGATCTACCTGCTTTTCGTCGGCGTAGGTGGATTTGGACATTGTGCGTGACTGTTTCTCCAGGAACTAAGTTGTTGAGGGATGTGGAGAGAGGGAGAACCTGCGAGATCCTGGCAGGGTTTTAAGAGCAATTCAACAAGTGGTAGGGCCGCTTGAAGTCCATGGGCAAGGGTGTTATCTGCGAGAAAGATTTCACAGGTATTCAGCTTATCATCGCAGTAAGCCATTGCGTGATAAACGGAGACTGGTTGTGATAGGCTGCCCTGGATACACCGTAGCAATTCAGGCAACACCTTAGCGCCATCACATTGTCCTTTGAGCAGGTAGTCGCGAAGTTCCCGTCTCTTTGCCCATTTGCCTACGGAACAACTCTGGGCTTAGAGCCCATCCCGAAGGAGCTGGAACGCGTTGGCTGGGGGTCTGAGACTCGTGGCGTCAGTTGCAACCACAGAGGTGGGGGCGCGGCCAAACAGCAAGGCTATTCCTACCACACAGTCTCATCGCATTGGGGGCCTCCGCCAGTTTGATGTGGTTGGGTTAACTGAGCAGAAATGGCGAAAGTATCCGCAACCGCAGTGTGTGTCCGTTGCCATGTGGCCGTCGCTTAAAACCAGACACCTCCCCACACATGATCAAGCCATGCTCGATTTGACGGTATATGCGGAAGCAGAAGTCAGACCTCTCGTAACGTGAGAACATGAGCGAGAAATGGGCTGTAAGGAGAGGTGTGCAGACAAGATTTTTGACAAGAGTTTCCAAGCTTTTTAAGGTGCGCATCGGTGTGCGGGCGGGAAAGTAAAATCTATTATGTCAGACAAGGCTCAAGAGGTGTGAAAATCGTGTCATTTGATTGTTCATTCTACGGGTGAGCTTCACCTACAACAGACACTTTTCTCCGCGGTGGAAAATAGTGCTGACCTCTACTGCATCCACACACGATACTCAATCTGATAGAGTAGATTCTTCCTCGTCGCTGAAGAATCTGTATTAATATTGACCCAAGGGAGAAGTGGACTGAGAATTGCGATTACACGGTCCATGATCCTCTGTACAGTTACGGTGGACTGTGACCTCTTCGACCTGCAGCGCAGTCTGCGGCTCCATCCCCGACGACGACGATTCTCAGGCAACGGCACAGAAACACGCCTTATTGTGCTACGGCACTAATGCCTCGAAGATGAATCTCGACTCAAGATAGCACTGGAGGTGCTTGAACTCCGATACCCTCACAGAATGATTGGGTTTTTGGACTATATTGTCCACGCCTTTGGGACGTCGACCGATTGGAATCCTGACAACAGCTACTCCTCTCTGACCGCAACGTCGGACGCGTTGCTCTCGTTTCAGACTCCCTCAACATTGTCGCTCCATGTCTCGTCTCTGAGCACCCCAAACTTCGCATCTTCATACACCTTGTCGACGTTGGGGCACATCGATGGCTCGATATCCTACCTCTACTCAAGCATCCCATTGAGCCATGTTCCTTCAGAAGCACCGAGCATACCCCTCAAATATTTGACTCCGGGATACAGAGATATAAGGCTACCCCTGACGTTTCTGCCAGGAAAAAAGAAGGACAATTCCAAGTCTTTAAGCGAAGATGGGAGAAAGCCAATTCTGCTGCATGCAACACTGGACCTTCCCCCTCCATCAGTTCTGACGGCGTTATATGCGCGCCGCATCAGTCCCGAGACTCTGCTCTCCATCTCAATATACAGCAAATCAACCTCGACACCAGTGACGAATACAGGTCCTCCACCGGCCTCGATCCTTGCCCATGTTCAGCACGATGCAGGCCAATATTCAGTCGAGGGGCTGGGCTCAACAGACAATGGCCTACTTGGAATTAGAGGTCTTTGGAATTTTGGCCTTACCGCTCCTAAGATGCAAGCCGCCTCTCCCTCGAGACACCTTCCGTCACTACAGACTACGGACGCCACGGATATCTCTACAGATTTCTCTCTCCCAGGACCGAGCTCCGCGCGGCAAGGGGATGCCTTGACTCCATATCAAATTCGTCTAGCTTCTAAGCCATCGCTGCTGTCTGCCGGCGCAGAGTTCTACTACAGCCCTCTTTCCCACGTTATCGGCCTCTCGACGGGCTTACGCTTCACCACCCTTACACCGCATATAACACCATCAGAGCCACCGCCATACCCTAGTCCTTCGCATCACAACCCGCGGGCGGGAACGTCTGCCGCCATTCTTTCCACGGCGTCTCATGCCCTGCTCACTCCCTCAAATGTGCCGTATTCGTCATTTCCATATACCATGACCTTAACCCTGACTCCCCTCACGGGATCCATATCATCTACTTACTCCGTGCGGCCGACATCGACACTGTCCTTGTCGTCCAGGTTCGACTTTAATTTTTATTCGTGGGAGTCTCGATATGTCGTGGGCGGAGAGCTGTGGCGGCCTCGCCGTCGGCGAACCTCGTCTTCCTCCCCCTTTTCCAGAAATGCAGAGGGTAACTCTGCTGAGACAGATAGAGATCCAATTCAATGGGCCCGTACCCTCACCAAAGACTGGTTCAGCCCGACCGAGCGGTCCCTCAAGGAGGAGCGAATTGAAAGAGAAGAAGAGACCGTGCTGAACTTCCGGGTAGATGACTCCTGGAATGTCAAGGCGCTCTGGACTGGACGAGTGAAGAGTCTGCTTGTCGAGGTGGGAGTCTCGGTAAACCCTGTCGGCGGAGCTGCAGCTGGTGGATTTAGGGCCAGCGGACTGAGTGCAGGGACTGGAAATGCCATAAAGACTGCCGGGCAACATGGGGGGGTCGAGTCTGATGAAGGAGGGGTCAAGAAATGGACAGGCAAGGTGGGTGTGAGCGTTGTCTACTCTACCTGAATGACAGTTGCGATACGATTTCCTGATGAAGCTTGTATCGGCCCAGACATGGGATGGTGACTTTGCGGCCTTGACTATTTGCGAGCGACGGCGTTGGCGGCAGCATTTGTTCTTTTTTCTGCTCTGGTAGATAAACCCGGTCCTATACCCAAGTGCCGTACGAGACCAAATCACAAAGCACGGTTGAAACTTGCCTTGGAGCAACTCGACTAGTAGTGGGGGCACGTTGCACGTGAGCGCATCAGCCGGGTCGTCGGGAAGAGCTGGGATGTCTGCTATTCTCGCTCAAGAACCATCTTTGATATGGAGAGATCGTGTTCACGTGTGGGTGGGTGGGCAGTTCAGGTATATCGAGGGGCACTTTGTCCCCCTGGCAAGAGGAACCAGAGGATGCGCAGCGCAGAGTGTGGCTCCTTGTGGAAAAGACGACGAAACAAGACACTTGGCATCAATATCTCTGTACCGAGTACATTAGGTATGTAGAGTTGTATACCCCGGACGAGTGAGTTGGCAGGCAGTGACAGTCACATGGCTTATATAGGCATTTGTAGCCGGTGGCAAGGACTCGTTCCCATCGTCCTACCTTCTGATTGTTTCTGTTCCCGTCTTTGTTAGATGGTCTGTGACGACTCGTCGATCTGGACCTGGAACGCCTTGGTTGCCATGCCATAGCTTGACCGGACAGCTTCGCTGGCATAGATCCGCATCTCCTTCTCGTAGGCCGCCGTGACACCTTCCTTGAACCCGCCGGCCTCGCGCAGCAGTCGTCCCAGCAATGCCGAGTCCCGCACGGCGGTGTTGGCGCCTATCCCTCCTGCTGGGGTCATCGCGTGAACCGCGTCGCCAATGAGGGTGACGCGGGGTTCGTTGGGCCACTCCGGCACGCCGCTCGGTGTCGAGCAGGTGATTTTCCAAAACGCGGCTTCGGATTCGTTTATCTGGTCAAAGAGAGGTTTGAAACGGGGGTTCCAGTTTTGGGTGAGCGACTTGGCCATTTCAGCTGCTACCTTGCCGACGATGGTGTAATCGTCGTTGGGTGCCTTGATGACTCCGGGCACGCTGCTCATGGTCCACCCGAACTGGACATCTGGGTTGTCCATGTCGTTGGGGCGCACATTGGTGATGATGGACACCCGCCCGCGCGGATTCGAGTTGTCGACGAGTCGGAAGACGCCTTCGCCGAGGCCCTTGAAGGCCGTGGTTGGCGCTTGCCCGTGAATACCTCGGGCGCCGAGGTCGTAGACTTTGAGACGCCCTCCAGACAGCTGCTTTGCAACGGTCGAGTTGATGCCTTCGCCCCCGACCAGGAGGGAACCTTCGACGGATTTGGTACCATCGGCGAAGATGGCTCGAACCCCGTCGGCTGTCAACTCGTAACCCTTGACGTGCTTGTTGAAGTGCACAAACTCCTCGCAACCTTCCATGAACAAACTCCTCATATCTCCGCGGGCGATGCCCACAACCTTGCCCTCTCGCGACCCCAGATTCTCGCCCATTTTGTGCTCCTCCACCACCTCGCCCGTGACAGCATCGAACCCCAGAAACCCGCTCCCGCCCGTCTTGCCACAACGGTCATAGAAGCGCTGGAACGCGGGTGGGTCCAGGACGGTCTCAATCGCGTCGAGACCCTCGAGCGAGAGGCGCAGGCGGTAGCCCTGGCCGCGGAAGGTGAGCGAGGCATCCCGCTCAAAAACCTGAAAGGGGATGTTTGAGCGAAGAAGAGAGCGTGCGAGGAGGAGAGAGGCCAGGCCAGCGCCAGAAATAAGGACAGGTTTCTGGGTCATTGTGCAGCTGAGGTCGTTACCATGCTTGGATCCGTACCTGGGTTGAAATTCGTTCTGTGGGTGGCTCAAAGATGGCGGCGAGGAACAGGAACCGCGAAAGCGAATGATAACCTACCGTACAAGGGAAAGCAGAATATCAACGAGACAGGTGTTCGGAAATGATTATAAGAAGGAAGAGGCTCGCTATCTGCGAACGAGCATGACATATCAGCGGAAAAGGACCAGGCTCCACACCACCATCATGTGCAGCGACATGTCTATATACTTCTGCATCTCGTACAAGTAGTTAGTTGATGGAATCATCTTCAGATTTGTAAACGCAATCCGGCTTGGCGTATCTGGTCCCGAGTCCGAGATCCTGGATGAGTCAGCTCGGGACTGAATGCTTCCGATATGGTGGCTGTCATGGACAACCACCAATTCCCATAATAGCCCAACCTTTGTACCTTTGTACCGTCTTATCTAATGACTCTATTAAGAGCTGGGGCCGTCCATCATAGTCGTGTCTATCTTGACCCGAACACCGGGGCAGGCGACTAATCTATCGGCAAGGCCTGCATATCATATATCGGTCATGTTGGTGCAAACAGCCTACCTATTCATTCATTGCTCATCGCCGATTCATTTTGAGGTCTAGGATATCCGACTTTTACACAATCGTTCAGGCCCATCCGCCCAGCGCACATAAGAAGATACCTCAGGTGTCACACCTCGCTAGGAGGATTTCAGTTATTCTTCTTCAAGGCGTCCAGAAACTTCTGCGGTGGTTTCTGTCTGTATCCCTCTGGGTTATTCTCGGTCCAACGCCATAGATCGGCACAGGCATCTTCCAACGTCCTGGTAGCCTTCCAACCAAGCTCTTGATTTGCCCGTGTCGGATTACTCGTCAAGTCCAGAACGTCACCGGGTCTTCGGTCGACCACTTGGTAAGGTAGGTCGCGACCTACGGCTTTGCTGAATGCCTTTATCATCTCAAACACAGTGGAACCACGCCCAGTCCCGAGATTCCAGGCTCGTACACCTGGCTGATGCGTGCGCAGGTAATCCAGCGCTTTTAAGTGGCCTGCAGCCAGGTCGAGGATGTGGATGTAATCGCGAATGGCAGTGCCGTCATGCGATGCGTAATCGTCGCCAAACACAAGCAACTTCTCTCTTTTCCCCGTGGCAACTTGCGCGAGCAATGGCAGCAGGTTGTATGGAACTCCCGAGGGATCTTCGCCCATGATTCCGCTGGGATGGCTCCCTGCTGGGTTGAAATATCGCAAGAGCCCAGCATTCCATTTCTTCACCGCCTCTGAGTCGCCTTTCTTTTGGGACTTTGCGCGCTCGGCATTGATGTGATCCGTGATCATCAACTCGGAAGTGAATTTGGTGTTGCCATAAGGATTGGTCGGTCCCAGGGGGCATTCTTCTGGAATGGGTATCATGCCCGGGACGCGGGTAGCGTCGCCATAGACAGTAGCGGAGGACGAGTAGACGATATTCGTCACATTATGTCGGGCGGCGGAAGAGAGAAGACAAAGTGTGCCATAGACATTGACGCGGTAGTAGTCGAGAGGAATCTCGCCGGATTCTCCCACAGCTTTCAACGCAGCAAAGTGAATGACGCTGTCGATATCCGGATGCTTGGAGAACACTTCGTCGAGCGCCTTTTCATCCGTAATGTCGACATTGTAGTAAACAGGTTTTTTGCCGCAGATGAGTTCTATCCGATTGAGAACTTCGGGGGAGGAATTGTAGAGGTTATCGACCACGACGACTTTGTAGTCCGCTTCGAGAAGGGCTAGGGCTGTAAAGGAGCCAATGTATCCGGTGCCACTGAGAAGAAAGGCAAAATCAGTCTCTGTGTGGACTATTTGAGGGAAAGAATTCAGTCTGGCCCAACGTACCCGGTGATCAAGCAGGACCCCGCAGGCATTTTATCAATGTAGCAGGTCGCTACCCGAGACAGACAGAGCGGGGCAAGGTGTGATCTGCGCAATGCCGGCTGCGCGTTGGAAGATTGAGCTCAAGGTGCGTGCGAGATGAGCGCTCCAATGTGTATAATGTGGAAGAGAGCGAGCGGATTGGAACAACAAGGAAAAAGAACAGGAGAAAAGGAAGATTGGTCTATTGTCAAGAGAAACTCCCCCTAGCATCGTTCACACCACCCTGGTTGATGCAAGGGACCAAGTGGACAATAATTAGTGACATGGATGAATATTCCGCAGGCGGAAAATCCCGCCCCTGCAGCAAAGTTCCCCACTAACAACCTTTTTTTTTTGGTTATTCTGCGTGTTTCGCGTGGTGACTGAAGACCGGAAGACAGGCTCAAGATGGAGAGGGAAAGGCCAAAGTCAGCAGCGAAACGCCCCAAACTATCCCCTGGCCCTCGAATTACAGATCCACGCTTCGCAAATATCCAGTCCGATCCTCGCTACCGCCTCCCGGGCAAGACAAGCAAGGTCAAACTTGACAAGCGTTTCGCCCGAGTTCTCCAAGACGAGGACTTTGTGAAGCGGTCCAAGGTCGATCGATATGGCCGTCCACTTGAATCCAACGCAGAGAGGAAGCGGTTGAAGCGGAAATATGAGTTTGATGAAGACGAAGAGGCCGCAGCGGAGAACATAGATGAACAGAGTGATCATGCGGACGACGACGACGAAGTGCAACAGGAACTGCGCCGGGTTGATCAGAAGACTCGAGATCCTCTGCGCGAAGGCAGAGAGACAGACTCTGAGTCCTCATCTGATGAGAATACAAGCGAGGACGAGTCAGAAGAAGAAGAAGGAGAAGAAGCAACCTTGGAGGAGGAAGTGGGAATTGGCCCGACGCAGCAGGCAGACATTCCGACGGGACAAGTCACATCTCGCATTGCCGTTGTCAATCTCGATTGGGACAATATACGCGCTGCCGATCTGATGGCTGTCTTCAGCAGTTTCCTCTCATCCTCCGACACCCTGCTCAATGTCTCCATCTATCCCAGCGAATTTGGCAAAGAACGCCTAGAACGTGAAGAAATGGAAGGACCGCCCAAAGAGATCTTTGCGAACCCTGCGAAAGACGACGGGAATGAAGCCTTCTCCGACGATGAAGAACCGGCCGATGAAGACATCAAAACCTCAATGCTCAAACCCGACGATGGCACAACCGATTTCGACTCCACTGCTCTGCGCCGTTACCAGCTTGAACGTCTGCGATACTTCTACGCCATCTTGACATTTTCTTCGCCGAGTGTAGCCAAACAGATCTACGACGCCGTGGACGGCACTGAATATTTGCGCACGGCAAATTTCTTCGATCTTCGGTTCGTCCCCGACGACACCGATTTCTCCACCGACATCCCCCGTGAAGCATGTGATCGGATACCCGATGATTACCGACCGAATGAGTTCGTGACAGATGCGTTGCAGCATTCCAAGGTAAAATTGACATGGGACGCAGAGGATGGGGGACGCAAGGAAGCCGTGGCGAGAGCCTTCAAGGGTGGAAGAAAGGAAATTGATGAGAATGATCTCAAGGCATATTTGGCTTCGGATGACTCGGAGGATGACGAAGAGGAAGGGCCCGAGGATGCGGCAACGAACGGTGCTATTTCCAAGAAAGAAGCAGAGAGGCAACGTATGCGCACACTCCTTGGTCTCCCACCGGAGCCGGAGAAGAAGTCGTCCAAGAAAGACAAAGGGCCAATCGGAGATATGCAGATCACATTCACATCGGGCCTGAGTGGCGCAATTAACGAGAAGGGTAAGAAGAAATCGGTGTTTGAGAATTCGCCTGAGCCGGAGGAGACGACGCTGGAGAAATACGTCCGGAAAGAAAGAGAGAGAAAGCAGAAGCGCAAGGAGAAAATGAAAAATGCTCGTGAAGGCCGCGACCCCGAGGCAGAGGCCGAGGTTGATGCCGGCGATCAAGACCAAAGTGATGAACAGACAGTCCCGGCTGGACAAGAGGAGGGAGACCTGGGCTTCGATGACCCATTCTTCACGGAACCGTCAGCTGCATCAGAGAAAGCGGCCTCCAAGAAACTGCGAAAGGAAGAGCGCCTGAAGAAAAGACAAGAACGCGAAGCCGAAGAGGAGGCGGATCGCAAACAGCGGGCGGAACTTGAATTGTTGATGGTTGACGACGACGCCGTGGCGGAAGAAGATGGCTCCGATGGAGTCAAACGGAAGGTGAGGCACTTTGACATGCGCGAGATCCAGAAGGCCGAGAAGGAAGAGCGCAAGAAGAACAAAAAGAAGGGCAAGGCGAACAAGGGCGGAGCTGGAGAGGCCAAGGTCCCAGAAGACGCCACCCAGGATGGGTTCAAAGTGGACACCTCGGATCCGCGTTTCTCCCGACTTTTCGAGAGCCACGAGTACGCCATCGACCCGACGAATCCGAAATTCAAGGCCACGAAGGGGATGCGGGCATTGTTGGAGGAAGGGCGGAGGAGGAAACACAAAGGGGACGCGACGACTGGCGTTTCGGCGCGGCAACCAGATACAGCGCCCGGTGGCGACGGTGCTGCTCGAAGCAGACACAGCAAGGATGGGCACGCCGAAGCGTCCACGCGTCGCCACGAGCTTTCGGGCGACGGAACGGGCGATGTCAAGAGACTTGTCGAGAAGATCAAACGCCAACAGCGGGCTTGAGGGGGAACACGTGTGCGCACAGGTGTCCAGAGGTGGATTCATGTGTACAAACACAAACATCGTCTCACTGCAGACCGCACGGTAGCGACACCGGTATCAGAACCATCTATCACCCTACCGATCCTGCTTCTTGTTGGAGTTGATGTGCAGCCATCTCACTCTTGGGGAGGATAATGCTCCAGCAAAGCTTCTTGGGACGGATGATTGAGAATAAAGGAGCGAGAGAGCAAGCGAGTGAGGAAGTGAGTAAGTGACCAAATGGCGCCATGGGTGCTTCATCCACATCGTTCGTTGAGACAAGGATGTCATCGGTGGCGAGGAGAGAGGAGATAGGCGGATACTCGCACGGTCAGCCAGATCTGGTTCGAGGGCCAAAAGCAGCCAGGACGATCTCATATACACATCGCGCGAGCTTTCATTCAATCCTCTGCCCGGGACAGGTGGAAAAGGGCGAGCACAAAAAAAAGTGACGGTAACACAGGGAGGGGGAAAAAAGCAGCAGAACAATTGACTAGCATTGATTGAATACTTTCCTCCGATTCTTGACTCTCGATACTTGATTCTTGAATGGCGATTCTCTTCCCCTCCCAATGCATATCAACACGCTTTCCTTGCCCTGCACCCGTCACCGGGCACTGGGCGCTCATCGTTGTCTCTCATCGCAGTTTTCAAACTTTGGCCTCTCCTGCGTGTTCTGTGAGTCCAGGATGAAGGCACTACATGGCCCCCGCCGAGTCAGTGATTTCGACAGCATACTGGTCGGCGGGCAAACAATCCCCTAAGGGTATCATGGAACTGTGCAGACAATTTCCCCTCAAAAGTCCGTTGCGTTGTTGATGACCATCATTTGAACTCACCTCGCTCCAAGCTCCTGCAGATTCGACCATCTCATATCTGTTCCAACCTCTTCAGTGTCGCATTCATAGTGCTCGCATCTTCTTTCCGAGGGCAGAACCCATGCTCATACCCCCAGCTCTACCTTTCCACCTTACCGATACGGCGGCATATTAGAGTTGCCCGCGCCTCCTCTTAGTCCCAGCCCTCGCCCGCCAACTTCGCCGTACATCTCCATGAAAGCCCGCTGTTGCGCTCCCGGGTCACCACCAAATCTCGCGGCGGGATGATTTCCCATCCCACCTGGAAAGCCCGGCGGTGGACCCGCATTCATGAAGCCTGGAGGGGGGTAAATACCGGGTGGAAGGTTAGGAGGCATTCCGGAGGAATCAGCGGTGTATTTTCGTTGTGGCTGGGGTTGCGGCGGGCGCTGCTGCTGCGGTAGAGTCGGCTGACTCGGAAGCTGCTGAGGTTGAGCATATGGACCCCCTGACATCCCCCGGGGGAGGCTGGACAAGCCAGGCGGGAGTGACGGTTGGCGTGAAGGCTGTGGTGGCTGCTGGGGCTGTTGGGGAGGCCAGCTCGGATTCTGTCGTGGCATCTGATCCAGTCCAGGAGGACGCTGAAGACCCGGAGGGAGTGCTTGAGGTGGTTGAGTGGGTTGCAGTGGTCTCTGTGGTGTTTGTCCACGCAGAAGTGTCATCAGGGGAACATCCGGATACACTGATTGTGTGCCGTTGGTTGGCCTTCTACCAGGCTGTTCGCGCTGCGTCTGTTCGTTTGGGTACAAGGAAATCGGCGAATCATCAAACACTGGCCCTCTTGGTTCTCTTCGCTGTGTCATTATTGGATCCTGTTGAGCCTGAACGGGGGAGATCACTGGCCCTCTTGGCTGCATTGGACGGTTACTGGGCTCGGGAGGCAGGCCAAACATTAGCCCTCCAGTAGGTGGTGGTGGTTGAGGTTTTGGTGCCAGAGTGGCTTGACGGAGCAAGGTCAACAGAACTTCATCTTTGGTGATGCTCGACTGCTGTCGTGTGTGCGTGGGTTGCTCGCTGGGAGATTTGCTCTCTGTAAACCTCTCCGGAGGGGCAGTTGGCTGGACGTGCTCAGGCTGCGACGCTTGACCTCCCAACTGCCCACTCAGCAGCGCATAGAGTTCAGGCAGGGGTGGCTTTGGTTCAGGGTCGGTCTTTTGCTCAGCTGCTCTTGCATATAATGGTGTTCTCGGTTTTGCCCCCTCTTGGTTTTGGGGAGTGGGGTTATTACTTCGTGTCTGCAACATTTCAAGAATGCGAGCGAATCCAGCTTGGTCGGCATCTGTCGCCGAGCCTGTTGCTTGAGCGGATGAAGGCCGGTCCGAGGACAAAGCTTGAAGTGGAATTTCGATCTGCTTGCTTTGTTCCGTTGCAGGACTAAACAGCGATGCAAACCGTGTTTTGCCGTGCGACTTTGCGGGCCCGGCCTTTTGCTCCGTCGTCTTTGACTCGAATCTTGCGAAGAATTTATCCATCGAGTCGTCTGGCTCGGCAGAAACGACTCTCTTGGCTGGCTTCTCTTCCGCTGGTGGACTGGTGGCAGCTGTTTCGACTGCTTCAGGTGGCGCTGCGCTGCCAGCCTTCATCCGTTCTTTCCAACGTTGGAAATCCTCCTGGGTACGTGCCTGGAACGGCTCTTCAGGTTCGGTGGAATCCATCCATTCGGGTTCCGCCTCCACTTTGGCAGCGCGATCCTTATCCCAGTCACGGTCTCTGCCTCGATCGCGACGCCAGTCAGGTGCCTCATCCCCGGTGTCCTTTTTAAACCATGACTGTGACAACTTCGCCCTCGACTGTGTGTCTCTCCTGAAGCCGCGTGATGAATCTTCCTGTGTTTGATCGTTGTCTAGGTCCTGATCATTTCTGTCTCTCCCTGCCCATTTCGGCCTGCGGTCGAACTCACGACGACCTTCTGTCTCCAGATCTTCGCTCTCTTGACGATTGCCGTAGCGGCCATTTGTTTGAGTATATCTGCGCTCGTGGTGCCGGAACTCGGACTCTTCGCCATTTCGGGATTTGTCGCCCAGTGTTGATCGATCTTTATTATTCCCGGACTCGTCCCCCAGATCTTGCGACTTGCTCACGGCGCGGGCATTGGAAGCGAAGGACCGTCGAGGAGGACCGAGAACGATGCGGTCGGGATCTAAAAACTCTCCGTTAGCCGTATTGGTTCAGGGGGAGATGCGCAGTGGCGTACCTGTAGTTGTTCGGCGTTGAGCGTCGATTATAGTTGGGCGTTTTTGAAAGGGTTCACTCGCGACAGGCTGCTCCTCTTTAACTCCTCGAGCTATCGGCCTCCTGCCACTCAGCTCTTGCGCACTGGGTAACGTCAGTTATTGTTATCTTGCTGAAGTCACAAAGTCGGGCATGCGTTCCATACCCCATCCATTCCTCTATTGGTGGTAGATTCGCAGGTCTACATATCAGCGGTGATGCTCGCAACTTCAACAGATCTTCGACAGAATATTTTCCAGACATGATTCTTGGGGTAGAGGGAGTAGTTCTCGCATCGGTTTGGAAGTGTGGCGGTAACGGAAGGACTGGACAAAGAGGACACTGAGAACAAGACTGAGAGGTTGATGTGCGGAAGCAGTGGAGGACTGTCGAAAAACCAGAATTAAAACGGGGATTTGGTCTCAGAAGAAATCAGGTTCAGCGCAGATGAGGCGTTGCCGGTGAGAGAAAAGGATCGGTGTGGTTTGTCGGCTGGAGGTTTTGTTTCATGCGGAGGAAATTAGACTGACGAGGGGCGGCGTCGAGGATCTCGCGCACTCAAGGAACAAAGAAGGCGAGCTTGAATTCGGTGATTTTTCCGGTTCAGGGATCTGTTCCAGATCGACTCGTTGCTTAGACTGAGAAACTCGTTGAATTGATGTGGTGCAGGATCTGATAATGTGACGTCGAAAAGCCGTTTTGAGGTTCTGCCGAAAAGGTCAAAAGATACAGGCGCCCAGAAGAGGTAAGAGTTGCTGTGCAGGACTCCGCGGCTTGGGAGAAAGTTGCGCCCAGGATTCCCGGATTAGGCGCCATAGACGCCAGCCACACTTTGTGACTCCAAAACCAAGGATTGAACGTGGTCGAATCAGGCAGGTTTCCGCCCCACCATATCGTTTGGCACAGTCTGACCCAGCGCGCTCAGGCCGCAGAAACGGCCAACATCCATCGAACAAAAACATAGTACTAGCTCCAAACACAATTTTACAAGATATATAGAACCAATATACCACTATTCACATATAACAAATAGCAAAAACAATCAACAATCAGGATTCCCACCTGGTCACCCACGGTAGTACTAACTAATCGGCATATGGCTTAAGTACGGCTGAGCGAACGGGAAGCCCTGTATTCCATATCCTATGGTCGATTGCGAAAGAAATTGTGTTACAATAGTATATATACATCTGGAATAAAGCGCTAGCCGACTCTGAATTCCGATCACCTTTACCGGCACAACCGTTCAGCATTACACCACGTTAAAAGCGGACAGGGGGGTATACCTAACATTTGTAAGAATAGTAAAGCTTTTGTTTTTGACACCAATCCAGATAGTCGGCTCTGAGCTGAAAAACTATGACCATATCACAACAGCCTCTTGACTATTTAGATCATAAGTACATTACAAAAACCATGTACTCGGTACAGCACCAAACTCGGATTGCCCCTCAACTCGCGTTCTTCATCTCTCGCAGCTGAGCCATGACCTCGCTCGGCTCCGTTTTACCCGTGACCTTCTTCATCTCCTCCGTCTTCACCCGCATAAACACATTGTGTTCTTTTTCCTGGCCGATGGTAAACTTACCCTGTGTTTCCCTATTTTCGTCCGCAAACTTCTCCAGCATTTTCACCGCCTCGTTATTCCCGTCGACTTTTTTCAGAAATTTAACGTTGGACTTGGTATATTCGTGCCCGGGGTAAACCTTGGTATCATCTGGTAAGGACGCCAGGATGTCATTGAGGGCCTTGTTCATCTCTGTACCATTGCCCTCGAAGAATTTACCGCACCCGCCGATGAACAAGGTATCACCAGTAAAAACGACCCGCTCGCTTGTCGACTTGTCCTCCATGAACCAGCAAATACTATCCTGTGTGTGGCAAGGCGTGTGTAGAGCAGTCACCTGGATATTTTTGCCTATCGAGAATGTTGACCCATGGGCTGGGGTCTTGGTCACGGCTTCGCAGTCCTTGCCTCCGATGACGGGTAGTTGAGAAGACAATGCAGACAATAGTTTTTTGTTGCCTCCCGCATGATCCCAATGATGGTGCGTGTTCATTATTGCCGTAAGGTTCAGTGTCTTGGATTTCTCTTCGAGGACGGGAAGGACTCTAGAAGAACAGGAGATATACATATCAGCCTTTGCTTTCTCTCCTTCCTGACAGTTGTGGAAGCGCGAAACATACTCTGGAGGATTCGCCGGATCAATGATCACAGCATCCTTAGTCTCATCATCGCTGACAAAGTAGGCATAGTTGTTGGACGACCCAACCCCTAAATCATAAAGATTATTAGCAATCTTTCCTATTGTCGCAAAACGCAGCCAAGAGGTTCAAAGGTATGTCCGCCGTGACTTTTTCTCCGCTTCAACCACCTGCAACAGCTGCTGGTCCGGCCGTGAAGCTGTGGGCTAGCGTACACATTGGAATACTCAAGATATGCATCTTCCTCGCAGGCACCTGCGCGATTCCCCTTATATGCGATGAGATTCCCAAATGCGGGGTATTTGCTGGGCGGATGAATGTAGTTGAAGCGACGGTGGTAGAGAGTATCGGGCGGACGATAAGGCGTGATGTGATCATGGAAATATGAATTGCACGCCCGACCTGGGAGGTAAATAAGTAGATGGTGCGTGTGAGAATGATTCGGAGGTGGTGGTGTAATTATTTGGTGGTCTTGCCTGTGCCTGCTCAGATGCGGAGGAGATTCGGAAGCGGGCCGCCGCAACTCCAAATATTCGTGTGTACAAGGAGCTGATAGAGCTGACGTCAAAAAAGCTTAGAATTGAGTCTCAAGGTATTGGTAGTTTCTGTCACTCTCCTAAAGTAACGCCGAGTCCACAATAAACAGATGTTCCATCTGTTCTATACGTCTGATCGTGTTTATCTGGATTACCCGACCGTGCCATAGTCCACATGGTGATGACTTCGTCTCCGACTCAGACTCAAATGTCCGCTCTCGTGCAATAACCGCTGGCTTTGAGCCATATCCACCACTCTGTCCTTCCCGACCATTGCGGGAATCCAACCTCTCATCCAACCATTGACTCGCTCCCAGTGGCTATATCCATGTGAATCTCTTACCTTCACGATCCTGTCTTCACGCTCCCCATACATGATGAACTGGGCTCCCATCAAAGCGTCCATCATTAGCACTCCTGCAGCCCCAAGAAAGAAGGGAGCTGCTCGAGCTACCCATGCCCATCTCTGATTCCCATCTGCGTCTACCCAGCCGTGATGTCCATAAGGTTCGTAGTCATTCCACGCATTTGGATTGGTGATCAAGGACGCAGAATACTGTTGAGCCTTGTTAGTCTACTGACACACGCGGGACAGAAGGGGCCAAAGGTAGCTGGTTGAAGGCTGATACGGTGTCCCGGAGAGAAGGCAGACTTACAAAGAAATTTCCACAAAATGCAGCGATGAACAGAAGAGGCGAGAGGCCGGCAGTTGACTGTCGTTGCCAATTCTTGTATAGTTGAGGTAATCTTGAGCCCAGGTATAGAAAGGTAGAACACCACGACAGAATAGTGCCGGCGACCTCAAGAGGAGTACCAACACGGAAGAGATGAATTCCATGGACATAGTGGTCCGAAGGAAAAGCCACTGGAGCAGCTGCCACATTTGAGGCCATGGAAGCCATGATTGCGGCGTAAAGGAGAGTGCGTGGCGAAGGCGAAGCAATCCAACTCGAGCCAAATTTATCCCCATAGACGATATCTTGGGGAGCTGCTTTCTTTTCACGGTAATTTACCGCGGAGAAATGAGGAACGTTGACGTCTCTGGGATCTGTTCGTTTCGGAGTAAAGTCATTAGAGTCCTCGGGTAGCGGTGCATCGCTGCCGAAATTTGAGTTGATGGGCGACAGCCCGTTTATTATGGCACTGTCTGCATCGTCGATATCACTGTCCCCGGTGGAATGGAGACTTTCCTCATATATCCACTTTGCGGCGTAACTGTACCAGAAGTATTGAAACACTAGGCACATATCAACGAAGACGTAGTAGGTTGCAACTATGACCTGCCAGCCGGCTTGCTTGGTGAAGATGGCGCCGAGGAGGTTGGCCAGATCACCTAATAACCACTCGCTCAAGAAGAAAATCGACAGTCCGGCGGTCGATTTGATATAGTAGTTTTTGAAAATCTGTGGCATTTGTGCGAATAGCCATGACACTATTGACAGTGTGCCGAGGAGGGTAGAGAGCGCGGCGAGAGGACTGGGTATGCAGAAGCCAAGGTATAACGATAGTTCAGACAGGAAGGGAGAGGTTGGCGTGCAATGGTCTGGTAGAGTGGACGCCGTCAAGAATGGTGAGTAAAAGGAAGGCATCGCTGAACGTTTCGTGAAGTGCTCTTGAGGGTTGTAAACAACTATGTAAACTGTAACTTGGTTATCATCACTGTTGAACCATCTGCAAATCCGCGTTGTAGGCCCGAGCCACTGTTCGATCTCGTCTCGTTTCGATTCGTGGACCTGAGAGCCTGAGAGGGTAAATCTTGCTTCGCTCAGTCGTTGTTGCGAAGGAAACTAGCACTCTGCGCCCGCAGTCTGTGCAGTCTCGGTTCGATCCCAGAACAAGGTGTGCTGTTAGAGAAAAGGCAGTCGTATGATATCGTGAGCGGGATCATAAAACACGAAGTAAATAAGAAGAAACAATGCAGAACGATGAATGCGCAGTGTCGCTGTGTTGCTGTATCGACGATGGAGTGTGAGGTGTGGCAGTCAGTGTGAAAGAAGCGCAGGCGTGTTTGGAAGACTGATATGACAGAGACAAGTGGGACAGAGCAAAGGAACCCGATAAGGCAGTCACACCCCTCCATACAGGCAGAAAAGGGAACCTCAGATAGGAACTTTGAACCCTTAGGATTGAGGCTGATTCGGCGCGGGCAAAGGGACGAGCCGAAGGAATTAGGGGACCACCCAGCGATTATGTGCAGATGACATAGCGGAATGACTGTACGAGTAAGAATAGGTCAGATGGTCAATTACTGGCTCCATTGGACAAGGCCTGGAGGGGCCCGAACCCCCAAAAGACAATGCCGCATGATCGGGGGGTGACAGGAAATGAAGATGGGCGGATTTGCACGCGACAGAGTCCGCACCAGAAGCAACACAAAGTGACAAACTGATAAGCCTCTGGCGAGACTCGGGTGAGGGCGTGATTGGTGGTTGGGGAATCTCTGGGCGTGGGAGGAGATCGCCGACTCGGCCTTGTCGGCAGCTTCTAGGTAGGTGTCTGTAGCCTAGTGGCCTGTACTTGTAGGGACGCCCGTGCCAATCTGTGGCACCTATTGCCTTCGCTTATTCAACCCTATTTTCCCCGGAGCCTGCCCCAGGTCCAACGAACCATGAACCACTGCAGTTGCAGCCGCCGAGGTTATTACATGATAGATTGCCTGGCTCTCCTCCCAAGACTTGGTCACGGGTCGTAAAGCCTGACATCTGACAACACCGACATTCACCCTTTTGGTCAACTAGACAAGCCCTGAAGGGCCAGTTATTCGCAATCTTCGAGAGATCCATTGCTGAAACATACTAGTGACCCCTGCCTGCGCAGGCTGTCCAGACCCCGATCGGAGCGGGCATCTGGGGTACGGTCTGTGGAAGAACCGCGAGACCACTAGTGATCAAGTGGCCGTGAGTTGGGACCCTATGTACTTGGTTGAATCCATCTCAGGCTTGCATGCAGCCTTGACTAGGGCTTTTTGGTAGCCTTGCTGACATAAGGACGTAGCCTTGTCATGACTAAATCCCGGACCAACATTCTTCCGGAATCCTCGAGTCTGCCACTGGTGCGAACTGCACACAACTTCATCTACACACCTGCTTCATTTCTACTTGTACGGAGCAACCAGCGCCATACCAATGAAGACTCCTCCTCAATTCAGAACCAAAATGCTATGACAGATTGCCATCCTAAGTCCCCGCTTCTGCTCCGCACCAATCAGCAATGCCTGATGCGCGTCATGATGCAACAATTTTTCCCACCGGGTTCCATTTCCGAGTCTGACCTTCACCCACGAGCCTCAATGGGGGCAGATCTTGATACTGCTCGCTGTCAAATTACCATATTTGAAGGATACCATGTTCCAAATACGTGTCTTCCATGACGAAATCTTCACTCCTTGACACACGTGAACCAGGATAATGTGGAACTTGTGCTCAAAGTCTACCTACGTCAAATGCCCAAACGGGGGAAGTAGTCGAGCCATTGATGCGGTTGCTACCAATGACGCCTTCACGCGGCTTGCTATGATGCAACGGCCTGCTGGCTCACAGTTCCGGACAAAGTCTGCATATGGGATTTCAATCGGCAGAGATATTATTGGCAGAGACCCTCGATTTTGACCAGGTGTAATAACGTGTCAAGACTCAAGTGAAGTCCCCGCTCATTGTCTGGCCACTTTTCCTTTTTATCTCGCATTCGTCGCTTCTCTTCTGTTTCGATTCCCTCACAAAACCAGGAAATGGCCACTTCTGTCGCCAACACCGTTCGAAACATTGGAAATTCAGCCGCCGAGTCTGTCCAAAGTATGGCTCAAAACAAGAAGATCGCGGACCTGGAAAAGAACAAGAAGGATCAGCAAGATACCAAGCAGAACACGACCACTGATTGGGGTGCCAAAGTTTCAGATGTTGACCACTGGCTGAAGATTGCCGATGACAAGAGTGGCAGAATTGGACCTTCGTTCCTTGAAGACCAGGTCGCCCGAGAACGCGTAGGCTCCTCTACCTCCTTTCCAATATTACCCACTAACGTGCGCCAGATTCACCGCTTTGATCATGAGCGTATCCCTGAGCGAGTGGTCCATGCAAGAGGCGCGGCTGCTCACGGTCACTTCAAACTATTCGAGAGTGCCGAAGATGTCACCAGCGCTGGCGTATTGACAGACACCTCGCGGACCACCCCCATCTTTGTCCGGTTTTCCACAGTGCAAGGAAGCAGAGGCAGTGCAGACACTGTGCGTGACGTCAGAGGCTTTGCTGTCAAGTTCTACACGGAGGAGGGTAATTGGGATATTGTGGCGAACGATGTAAGCAAGTTTCACTGGCCGACAGAACCATTGACTAACTGTATTTCACAGATTCCAGTGTTTTTCATCCAAGACGCCATCAAGGTAAGAGACCCAAAATACAATGTTGTGCAACAAAGTCTAATCAGCTTCATCAGTTTCCGGATCTCGTTCATTCCCTTAAGCCAGAGCCGGATAATGAAGTCCCACAGGGCCAAACGGCCCACAATAACTTTTGGGATTTTGCATTCTTACATCAAGAGGCAACCCATATGTTCTGCTGGGCGATGTCTGACAGAGGCATACCCCGTTCTTACCGCATGATTCAGGGGTTCGGCGTCAACACCTTCGCTCTCATCAATGCCAAGGGGGAAAGAACATATTGCAAGTTCATCTGGACCCCCGAGCTTGGCGTCCATTCACTTGTTTGGGACGAGGCTCTGAAATTGGCCGGTCAAGATCCAGACTTTCATCGCAAAGATTTGTGGGAGGCTATCGAAAACGGCGCATATCCGAAGTGGAAATTCGGTCTGCAGTGCATCAAGGACGGTGACCAAGATAAGTTCGACTTTGACATTCTCGATGCGACAAAATTATGGCCCGAGGAGCAGGTCCCTATCCGCTACATTGGCGAACTTGAACTCAATCGCAACGTCGATGAATACTTTGCCGAAACCGAACAGGTGGCTTTCTGCACCAGCCACATCGTCCCTGGCATTGACTTCAGTGAAGACCCTCTCCTCCAGGGTCGGAACTTTTCCTATCAAGACACTCAAATTACACGCTTAGGCGTGAACTGGGAAGAACTACCCATCAATCGCCCGGTCTGCCCGGTGCTGAACTTCAACCGAGATGGGCAGCTCCGCCATACCATCACCAAGGGCAAAGCCAATTACTGGCCCAACAGATGGGAGGCCAACCCGCCAACGAACCATAGCGGTTCAGGAGGGTTCGAATCATACCCCGCGCAATACCCAGGCATCAAGGCGCGCAAACTCACCGAGAAATGGAAGGATTATCTCTCACAAGCGCAACTATTTTTCAATTCTATGTCCGACATTGAGAAGAAGCATATTATCGAGGCCTTCTCCTTTGAGCTGGATCACTGCGATGACGAAATAGTGTACGAGCGCCTAGTGACGCGCCTGGCAGAGATTGATTTATCTCTGGCTCAGGCCGTGGCCAAGAATTGTGGTGCAAAGACACCTGAGACACAGGTGGTTCCCAATCACGGCAAAAAAGCCAAGGGTCTCAGTCAATTTGACTACATGCCCCAGGAGCCAACCATTAAAGGCCGGCGTGTTGCCATTTTGATTGCGGACGGATTTGACCTCAAGGCATACGAGGCTATGAAGGCGGCAGTTCTTGCGCAGAGCGCTGTGCCCTGGACGATCGGGACAAAACGACAGCCTCTCGTCGCCTCAGATGGTTCGTCGCAGGTAAAGCCCGACCACTTCCTCAACGGCCAGCGATCTACCATGTTCGACGCCTTGTTTATCCCTGGTGGCGCTGAATCCATCAATACACTAAAGGAAATCGGTCTCGCGCGATTCTGGGTCAAAGAAGCTTTTGGTCACCTGAAGGCCATTGGCGCTGTGGGCGAGGGGGTGAAACTCGTCCATGCCGCCCTGACCGAGGTCAAGAACGTGACTTTGTCTTCTGAAGTAAGCGACGGAGTGGTGGATTGGTATGGCGTTGTCACGGCTCAGAAAGCAGATTCCGGGAGCAGCGTCAAGGAAAGTGTCAAGATGTTGAAGGAGGCAAAGGACTTTACAAGCAAATTCTTCTGGAATATCTCCCAGCATCGGAATTACCCACGAGAGTTGGATGGTTATGCCGAGCAGGTGTCCATCTAGACTGTGTGGCACAACTGTACGGTGCTAAGGGTTGGCGAAGGGAGAGTAAGCATATGGCTGGGGGAAGATTGCCCAGGTATCAGGTATCAGGTTCTGTACCAGGCTGTGATTTCGTCAATCAACTCGCTACTCGTGGTTTGGCCCTTTGTCCATGTCACTTGTTGTCTCCATAGCTTTCACGTTAGCCCCGTTCTGTAGCTCACACATATCGAGTGCTAAGTCAGACACCTACCACACTGGAACCTTCCGATGAACCCTCTGCATTATTTGATTCGCATGGCACCGTGTCGCTCAAGAGTGCTGCGACTATTCGACGCACAAGTCTCCAAAAACTCGATAGCCACGGTGAGTAGAGTAGTTCTTGGGTGATTTTCTGCTCGACCCTTCTCTCAAACCCTCCCACCTGCCGCCCTTTCAGCAATTCTACCTCCACAAACACGATTCACGATTTCTTCCTGTTGCGCAGAAATGGCTGACCTTCGCTGGGGCTGCCAAATGCGGAACACCGATTAGTCCTGACGCGTCTAAAAGACGGAGTTGATTTCAACACAAATAGTATGGACGAGAGCCTCCGATAGGCTCGGTACCTGGCTAAATACCTAGATATATCACAAAGTCGCACACTGGTATCCCGGACCTAAACTACAAAGTATGATTCCATCATCATCATCATCATCATCATCATTCGGTATCTGCCCGACATTATTTCCTAACCCAGGACGGTAATACCATGACCAGAACGATCTCCTGGAGATAAGTTTTGACTGGTGGATCGGATACTCCAGTCCTTGTTCGCCCCGCCTCAAAGTAAGCACTGAGGGAGGCGACCGAGTTCGTTAAATACCACGGACTAGGACGGACTGCGACTAGCGAAGATTATCAATCTATATCTACTTTCTGGGGAAAGTCCAGGCAGTTGATGCCCGTTTTTTCTATACCTGCTTGGGGTTTATGCGTAGATTGGAACACATTCCTCCCAGTCTTTGTTGTTGTCCGTCTGATACCGGTGATTATTCTTGACAAATACCGGGATTTGGAATGACCTGCGGCAGCACATGGCCTTGCACGCGCTGAAAGATGAGAGGGTCTGGAGGAAGAAGCATAGGGTGCCCAAATACATATAAACCCAAGGACTCGCAACCATGGCGAAGAGGCTGCCTCAACTCGCGACTCTCATCAAATCTCTCGGATCTGACCTGTCAAAATGAGGTTCCAGCTCGCCATACTGCTTTCTATCCAGGTAGTCGTGTCTGCCGCAAATCCCGTGGTCAGAAGGACTCTGTATCGGCGGCAATCATTTCCTTCCGAATTCAATCCTGACCCTCAGTCCGGATATGACGACCCGACTATTGACATTGCGGACCCTTCCTTCGCGACCGCCATCCAGGCCGGCTACCAAGGCCCCTTTGCTTCGTACGACAAGCACGAGTTGGTCGGACCTGTTGATCTGCTTCGAAACGGCCACGTCAACTACGGCGTGAACCCGAACTTCACGTTGCCCTTGTACAAAGGTACTTCGGCAGACGGCAAAACCTACTGGTGGATCGTGACGGACACGTCGGATGAAGGCAATGCAAAGCAGCTCGGCGTCAACTTCGCCCCAAAGCTACGCTTTGCTGCACAAGGCCAGACTGGCGACGGGCTCAAAGGTGCAGAACAACTGGAGATTGTCAACAACGCTGTTTTTGGCCGGAAAGGGCTGGTCGACTTTTCACCCGTGCGAAACATTGTGCCAGGCAATCCGTCCCCGTTTCCGCCACAGTCACTGCAACCCGGTAGCGTCGGGGACAAATTCTATACACCGCTGATCCAGTTGACCAATGCCGGCTACGAAGTATGGAATGCTCCGGTAAGATGACGGATATCCTGCAGGAGTTTGGAGAAAGGATGCTGAACAGAAGCGAACCAGATTGTCGCAGGTGATGTGGATGAAGACTATCTGAACCAAGTATGCCCCGAATCCTGTCATTTCTGGGACCGAGACGAATATTAACCAAAGGAAGTTCTCGTCCTAGTTCTGCGACGGTATTCCTGATGCGATGCTAGCCGATCTTCGCAGCAAAGCCCACGACCAAGTCCTCTCCATCTGTCCCCGAGACCAGGTCGTCACCCTCGCCACCATCCGAGGGTTCTCCTTTTCCAAATCCGTCCTCTACCTGATCGCCGACGGATCGGACCCGTTGCCCGCGACGCTTGACGGCGGCACGTACGCACCACGTTTGGCGGCCGTCCCGACGGGAGACGACGACGCCCTTTTCAGCGGTATCGAGCGTTTCTTCGTGAATACCAACGGCTACACGAACCGAGATCTCCCCTCCGGCGCCCCGAACAACGAGACCCACCATCCGTGGCGACAAGGTCTGAATAGTGCAATCCTGGGAGAGGGGAACCCGTTGAACATCCTCGGAGCAATCCCCACCGTCGCATATGGTACGTATGCACTTCTTCACCCTCCCTCCGAGCAGACATGTTGGCTCTGGGAGATGATCATCACCACATCCCGCCCCCCCATCTATTTGCCCTTGCTAACAAAACCACGTTGGCTGCAGATTACTCACCTCTGTGGAACTTCAATCTCTACGCGTGGACCAATTTCAGCATCGAGAACGGCATCCGCACCAGGCTGACGGGCGAATTCGAGGTGTTGGGCATGGCCGCTGCCGGGTACGTGACGAACCCCGACGGCACCGAGCTGAGCGACGCGGGAATTGTCAACAATTGTCCCATCGTGCATCGATTCCTCTGAGTACCTATATAGAATATTAGGAGGTTTTCATATTACTCGATTAATAACAACAACAATAATAATCTGTTTGACTCAGGGAGTGGCTGAACTAGATAAAATGTTAACCATGGCATCGTGAGTGTCTCCATTGTGACATGATTCGGTGAATTCATTTGCACTCCTGTCGAGCGCGGGATGGTTTCTGAGGGACTGGACCAATGACTGTTGATGCATTTCGCCGTACCTCGTAGTTGAGGGGGAATCTCCCAACGGCGAATCATATAACCACCTGCAGCTACGGAGTGGAGAAGCTATGGGTTAGGGCGGCATCACATTCATCCCCGATCGAGATGAAGCTGCAAGCTTGGCATCCTCAACTGCGCTTCGCCGTCCCGACTTTCGTAACTTCAACTGCTTCTGTCGACCATTGAGCATTGACGACCCAAGATGGCGCCCCTACCCACACAGAGCGCCATGCGGCTCTTTCGAGCATATACCCCGGCCGCGAGGCTGACGACGAGATGCCTATCGCAGACGGCACAGCGACGGCTAGGCGAACCCGACCCGCGAGCTATCCCGGACGTCAAAGCTATGCAGATGACCGAAGACCAAGCCTCGATGGTCGAGGTCGACCACAAGCCTGAACCCTCTGTCGAGAAATATCACCCCGAGCACCAGCCCGATTATACCGCGATGGTCGACCACGGAACATCGACGTATTCTCCCGTTCCGAGGAGGGTGATGAACGGGAGTGAGCCCGGGCACGTCACGCCCGCGGCCGTCTTGTCTGGAGCTCCCGTGGACCTACAGGCTCGCACAGTCAGGTAAATCTGAAATCCCTGGGGATTTGTTTTCGCGCCGCCGCCACGACGCCCGAAAAAGAAACTCAAAACTGACCACAATTTCACATAATCACTAGGATTTACAAACCAGTCAAACCCGCCACTCAGTCTGGCACCTGGGGCTCCCACGCCTGGCGGATGGACTGGGACGTGCTGGGAAAGGGCCACCGGTGGGAGAATCCCCTGATGGGGTGGCAGTCGTCGGGCGACTTTATGCAAGGCACCAAAGTCACCTTCCGGACGAAAGAGGATGCGATTGCCTTTGCCGAGAAACAGGGTTATGAGTGGTACGTGCAGGAGCCGCAGGAGAGGAGGTTCGTGCCCAAGGCGTACGCGAATAACTTCTTGCACGAGCCCGGGAGGTTGAAGCATATCAAGACGAAATAAAAGAAAAGGTATGGGGCTGTTGTGTGACCTACCTACCTACCTGCATCAAGATTGTGGGATTCGTCGAGGGGCAAGATTACCATACATCACTTTTCACACAAGACTGGGATGGATGATCCTAACAAGGAACGAGGAAGATTTTTGCCTGCGCTTTGTTGCGCCTGCGAATTGAGATGGGCCAGCATTATGTACATATCGACAACGAGCTGATTTTCAAACAGAAGCAAAAGCGATCACAATATACTGTGTGCCGCCTTTGACGACAGGGGTGTTATTTCCCATCGTCTCCATTGTCATGCATACGTTCCACAAATCCGGTGCATTTTTCTGCTTCGTTTCGCGCCGTTACACCATTACATCAAACGGCGATCTCGCTTGGTCTGAACAGGTGTTACCATTCTATCCAACAGCATTAATCTTAGAGCTGAGAGGAGCAACAACAACAGCGAGAAACGGGTAGTCTGGTGGTTTAGGTGGTGGTCATTTTCAACCAGTCGTCAGAATTTGGTCTAGGGAAAACAACAACCCCGTGCAATAGTAGTAGTACAAGGATATCATGTCATCAACGTCATCATCAGTCTGGCAGTCGCATGTCGCTTGCAACTCATACCGGCAACGCTCATCAATTTCACTCTTGCCCGTCAACATCTGTCATTTCCGCCACTGGCCACTGATACTCGGATAATCAAACACAACACAACGACAGTGACCACTGGTGTCTCAGTAATTATGTTTGGCGGCATGCCTATTGACATCGGCCTGACGATTATAGTTCGTCTCGTGCACTTTGTCCTTCATGGCATTACCAGCGGCGCGTACGCGAGTCGAAGCACGGACGTTGGGGTCTTTGGCGATTCTGCAGGTAACACTCAGTCAGCATCCCGTGCCAGGAACAGAGAAAGATAGGGTGTTCGAAGAAAACATACGACTTATTCGTCTCCTTGCTGGCCGAGTGGGCGCCGCCCTTGGTCTTGTTGGAGATCCAGTGGCCTGCTGATCTGAGCGAGTTCATCTTTTGCTGCGTTTGATATCTTGGGTTTTCTCTTAGGGTGGTTTTGTTTCAAAGTGTCCCAAAGGGGTGTTTGGGTGTATAAAGGGCTTTTAGGTTAATTGATAATTCAGTTTTGGTGGTGGAGAATTTGTGAGGGAAGAAGAATCCGTCGCAAATATATATACCCCACCGTGGCGGGTCGCTGTTGTAGGCTTCCCAACCCGCGAGAAATGATAGCAGTTGGCAAAGCACACAGGCACGAGTGACGATGTCATAAAGGGTCCTCCCTAGTCCCGGTTCGTGCCACACACAGCCTCGAAGCCCGAGGAACCTCAAACATATTGAGCAGAAGGGTCAATGCTAGGGCAAAAAAAGGGTTTAGGTCAGAAAGACCAACAGGCCAATGGAAATGCACTCACCGTGGTATGAAACCTGTTTCTGGTCCTTGTCGGGCTTTCTAGTCCCCATGTCAACCTGATGACCGATGACGGATGTGGTGTTTTGCAGATCGGTCGGTGGCTTCTGGAGCCAAAGATCGAAAGGTGAGGATGATGGGCGAAACATGATTGACGTCATAATTTGTGGCGCTGGCGTTGTATCTCAGCCTTGCATGATGAGGGACAAGGCTGAACGACAACATAGGTACCAAGTACACAGGACGGATTGTCTAGTGGTTAAGCTTATACGTGAAATGCCTATCTTATTGACAAAAGAGTCTACAGACTACATAGATGGAAAAGGTGAAAGGCCATCTGAATATCATGTCGGCTTGATGACAATCAGACACCAAGCATCCCTACCCACCAGGTGTTCATGCCATGCGTCCACGGTAAATGTATCCTGGATGTTTTGTGTGTAGTTCAACTCTTGTCTTGTTCGCCGCCCATCAGTCGCTAAGGGCGGCGAGGCCCACTAGGTAAACTGTTCCTTGTCAGTATCATCGGTCTACCTCAACTCACAGACATACACTGACCTTGCACTTGATGCTCATTGGACCATCCGCAGACATGGCGTGATCAAGAAGCAACTTGCTGATCTGGTAGTTCTTGATCCCCGGCCACACGAATGGACCACAAGTGTTCCAGCCATGGTCGTTGCAGTCCGAGACTTCGTAGATGGTGCAGGATAAGCCATTGTCGGGGCCCATAGAGCCAAGGCGTCCGTACCGTCTATTTCACAGACAGTCAGCATGATCCCATCAAGGCTGATATCTTCCTCTGCGTCGGTTGTCTGGGACTGACCTATTGTAACATTGACCTTCTTTCAAGGGCGTCCATACACACGGCTGCTGCCAGTTTTGGCCCGAACACTCATAGACTCCTCTTTGGGTTGTCGCCCTGGTATCATGTTGTTTGCCCTTTCCCTGTTCGCTATTTTCCATTGGGTTATATGATCCATGCTCCTCATTACCACGGTCGTGCTCACCGTCACCGCGCTGACCATAACCGTCGTGATCACCGTCTTGTGGCCGCTTAGCGTGGTCATCTTCTTTCTGGGCCATCCTCCGAAGTGTCCCCAAAACATCCGCTGTGCGTGCGTGGTGTTGTTTAAAGTTGTTGTCGTTTTCTTTCTCCTCCACGGGCTTATGCTGGGGGGCATCAGCTCCCTTATGACTACCAAAGGCTCGGTGGGGAGCCTGTCCAGCCTCGCCACGGGCTTGATGGCGATCTGCTTTACGGGTGCCATCGTCCTTCTGGAAGGAGCTTTTATGTTCAGTCTTCCCGTCGGACGGCTTTGCTGAATCCTGCCAGCCACCGTTTTCGTGGGCACCCCTATCACCACCTGCAGAAGTGCCACTGGGTTTGCCGTGCTGCGCGACCCCAGCGGCCGAGGCATCCGGCTTTTGCCATTGAGCAGAGGCAGGAGTAGTGGCGGCCAAAGTAGCAAGGAAGGCCAAGAAGACCACTGCGTGTTTAAGAACAACCATTTGTGATGTCTGTTAGCGCGACCGTCAATGCAAAAATACCTTGAATCTGGAAGCTTGTCCAGAGAAAGATTTGAAACCCATCATTGTGGTTTATGTACTGACTACAGCACGATACCAGTGGTCGAACTCTTTTAGAACAAGTCTTTGTTTGAGAGGTAGAAGAGAGCGCTTCGAACAAACGTATCCAACCGCTTTCGAAAAGTCAAGGTACCCTCGAGATTGGTTCACAAGGCGACAGTGCTGGAAAGGGTAGGGAAATGGTCAGAAAAGGGGGTGCTCCACGGCCCAGGACAAAGCCCGGTGCTTAGTATTGTTCTCTATGGAATGAAAGGGTCTGTCTTGATATTGTTCAATCCAAGCACCGATGATTCGCCGACGAGCTACAGGAGAACAAATTCTTTGTCGGTGGGATGGTCGGGCTCAACAGCGTCCTCTGATATGGAGAGCATTGTCCAAGTCATTTTTGGTATTCCTCCCGGAGCTGGACGATTGACCGGGGGTACACTGGCTACGCATATCCGAGAGGATCCTGCGCGACAGTCGAAGCAGCATATTTCCATCCGCAGAAAGGTCAGACTTGTCGGCGGCACTGTATACCAATCCTTACCCGAGGGAATAAGAAGGGATGTGAGGTACCCCGGCTTCGATAGACGCCAAGAGTGGTAGACAGGCGCTTCTGTCCGGCCGGTGTCGAAATCGACTTTCAGGCGCCGACAGCCGAGCACATTGAATGGCACAGAATCCGACGAAGGTCTCCTTGTACCGAATTCATACATGAAGTGCAAGGAGTCGAGTAGCCGGGGACAGGGCGGGTAGTATTGGGCGGCTGAGGGCGGTAGGAAAAGACTTTGGGGTGCTTTTGAATGGGTGGCTGGACACTGGATTAATTGCTTCTAGAGAGACGAAATTTAAGGTTGCAAGCTTCCGGATGCTTCCGCGGTATTAGCGCCTTGGCATTAGCACACATTTCGGCCTCGTACATATTGCTTGGAGTAACTTGGAGTTCGTGTTTCTCATATCACCTCTGGCAAAGACCATACACAGCAAGTTTGCTCATCGGATATAGAGCTGCAAGTGTGGTAGCTGTGCTCGAACATGTCTCCTCCAGCCACAGCATAGGCAACTCAACCTCCCACCCAATGCTTTTGGTTCAACCACCTCCAGCCTTGATGCTCACGTACTCACGTCTCAGTCCAGCATGCGGAGAATAGCAGCAGCTAATTGGGGACCCCGACCACTTCTCCCCGCACATGCCGTCCACCCCAAGCAAAGTGTTGTGGAACAAAATCAGCCACGACCGGTCACTCTCCGTACCGTCCCAGAGTAATTCCCTCTTGTCGCACGCGCCACGGAGCCAGGCCGTCCGAATCCAGCTGGACCCAAGTTATGCCTGTGTCGTGGGTCGTCCCCGTCCTTTCCCCGGAATGACTGTCTGGGGTCTGGGGTCTCAAATGCAAATACATCCCATATCCGCCTGATATGTGGTCTGATCATCTCCTTTAGAGACACTCTCCTCTCATCCTCGAGGAAGCATAGCACTGTGAACGTCATGTCAGAAGAAGCTGCGAACAAAGAGATGGCCAATAAGACCGAGGAGATAGAGGCTGTCCCAAGGCATAGCGAAGTGGCGGCGATTCGAAATGAGAGCACCGAGGACATTGAGGATGACCCTCATCGAGCTGCTCTCGAGGACAACCCTGAGAGTCCTCCGCGTGTCACTTGGTCAACGATCATGGCCGTCTTTGTAAGTTTCAAAGAACAAGAACCGCCCTTACCCTGATCCTTGTGTTGGAGTTGGCTGACCCAAATGGTGCGATATAGTTCATGGGCTTGTCCTTCGCGGGATGCATTTCAACTGCATTCCTCCTGGCATCGTCCATTTTGGTCCCAATCGGCACCGCATTGGGTGATTTGGAACCGATCAGCTGGATCGCCTCCTCTTGGGCAACCACCTCAGCAGTGAGTATGTCCCTCGGCGGCGGTCTGAGCGACATATTTGGTCGTCGCTACGTTATTATGGCCGGACAAGGCCTCAATATTGTTGGCGGTATTGTCGCGGCCACTGCTCAAACCACCAAGCATGTTATTGCTGGGTCTGCCATTGTCGGCTTCGGTGCTGGTTTGATCTTTGTTGCTTACGCCGGCATTCCCGAAATTCTGCCTAACAAGTACCGGTGAGTCCTCAACTTTCCACGTTCACTTCCGCACAGCTGTCTTTCTGCCTTTTGCGGAAAACCTCTCCCTCGAGCAATCGCTGACTTGGAAAATAGTGGAATGGGCTTGGCATGGACTGAATTCTGCATCACTCTCCCATGGGGTCTGCTTGCGACTCTCATTGCAAATCAGCTCAACGAACACGCGACGTGGCGGTGGGTTTACTACCTATCTATCATCTACTCCGCTGTTTGTCTGGTTGGGACGGCCATCTTCTACTTCCCACCGGCTCGCCCACGTAAAGACTACGACAAGACCAGATGGGAAGAGTTCCTGGAGCTGGACTTTGTGGGCTACTTGCTCTACGCTGGTGGCTTGACTGTTTTCCTCATTGGAATGAGTTGGGCTGGCGAAGAAGGCCACGCATGGCATTCTGCCTCGGTGGTAGCGCCTATTGTTCTTGGAGCTTTGACATTCATTGGCTCCTTTGTCTATGACTGGACCATGAAACCGAAGCTCCCATTGATGCCACTCCACATCTTCCGCATGGTCCGGGAATTCACCATCTTGCTGGTAGCGCTCTTCGTCTCGGGAATGGTCTTTTTCGCCATGGTCTCCTTGCTACCTCAAGCCACCGAGTCGGTCTACGATAGCGATCCGATCAAGCTCGGAGTCGCTCTGATCCCGAACGGTGTCGGTCAATTCATTGGAGGAGCAGTCCTACCTGCGTTGATTCACAAAATCAAGAACATCCGGGCTCAAATCGTCTTCGCCCTCTTCCTACAGACCCTGTTCTCGGCTCTGTATGCCTATGGAATCATACCGCACCACAAGACGGCATGGGTCATCTTCCAACTTTTCGGCATGATGTGTTTCTCGTGGATCACTCTCTGTTCGTACGTGGTTGCCGGTCTGCATGTGCCACACAAAGACCTCGGAATCGCGTCGGGATTGGTGGGCACTTTCCGCAACACAGGAGGCAGCGTCGGTATCGCCATTTTCAACACCATCAGAAATGGCGTTCTCAACAGTCAACTGGTCCCGCGCATTGTGAAGGCCGCGACGGCCAACGGGTTCCAGGGCGACGAAGCCGCGGTTAAAAGCCTCGTGACGGCCGTGTCGAACAACGCGAAAGGAATCCCCGACGCATTTGCGAAAATTCAGGGTGCCTCTCCGGCTCTCATCTCAGCGACCGCGGAAGCCTACAAGTCGGCATATGGATACGCATACCAACGCGTCTTTTACAGCACGATTCCCTTTGGCGTGATCGCCATCATTACCGCCCTCTTCATCAAGGACGCCTCGGAATACTTGACGAATCACACGGCCGTGCACATGGAAAAGGAAATCCTGGGGGAACACCACCACGAGAACAAGGCTGTGGATGCGGAGCAGCCGGAGAAGACGACAACGTAACTTTCTTGTACCATTCATTGGTCAGACGCTCCGAGGCCAGAAATCTAATCAAGGAATGCGGCTTTTCTCTCTCTATCAACCGCCGTTCTAGTGGTTTGCGCTCCGCTTCGGTTCCATTCCCCGAACGAAATATCTCCCAAGCGGACCTTCTCCTGACCATCTTCCACGGGTGGGGATGATTTGTACGTTTTTTCCTCCCTTAGGACGCCTTGGGATAGTGTTATCAAGAACAACATCTCGGAGAGAAATGAGCATTTACAGAAAAACACAATTATTCCGTGATTACAAGGACCCTTGAAGCTACTGACTGGGTACTCGGTACCAAACAGGTGGATGCTCCCTTTTTTCCTCTCTCTCTTTCTCATACGTTTTTTGATACCGTGAAACGTGAAAACCCCATGTGATTGTGATTGTGATTGTGATGTAATCCCCTCGCTCTGTTTCAACGTTGCAGGAGCATCCACAAGAGACTCTCTCTCTCTCTCTCTCTCCCCCTCTCTCTCTTACACACTCTCACTCATCCTCCCACACATACTCGGTACAGAGCACACACTCTCTCCCATGGCGGCGGTACAAAACCCAGGACTTTTCACCCGAGCTACACCCGTCGGGCCATGAGGGTTTGTTTCTCTTGTTGGAGTAAAGAGGGGAGGGCATATCTCGGAATACCGAGTTATACCACTACGAGTCACGAGAACACTGTACATAGGTAGGTGAAACAGATAGAAGTGCTGGATTCTACTCGGTACATACCTAGCCAGCTCGTAGGGAGAAGACCACGTGGTTTGTTTTTGGTCCCCAAAAGAGGGAAACATGCCGGGTGGAGGTTCGTTTACCACGTGGTCGGTACCGTACTCCGTCAGGTAGGTATGTAGACGGGGGACGACAGGGTCTACTGGAGATCTCCAATTACAAGGGCAAGTTAGTGAGCCAGCTCCTAGGGACTTGGGGTCAGGAGTCACTTTGCCCCTGGGGCTGGGGTAGCGAGGTACTAGGTAGGTAGGTACCCAGTGATGAAAAAGGAGGAGAGGCTAACCTTGAAAAAATCGACAGTGTTATTCAATCAAAGGCTTTTGGAGCACAGTCCTCTGTCCCTGCTTCGCACTCTCGCACTCGTAATCACACTGCCAGTGGCAGTGATAGTCTCAGTCTGGCTCTCATGCTCACGCTCATGCTCACGCTCTTGCTCACGCTCTTGCTCAATATTGTCCGTCCACAGATCAACCTGGACCCAGCCACGCTTCAATCAGGACTTCCGAGAGCCTTCAAACAATTTGTATGCTCGCTCTTTCATGCTTCCCAATCAATAATCCCACAGACATCGCACAGACAAGACATCAACCCAAAGCGTCACGTCATCTCGTATCACTCATTCCATTTTGGCCCTTGCAACACATGGCAGTGAAACAATACAAAGTGCTCATCACAACTCTCAATCGGCTCGCCAAAAACCAACAACGGGGTATCTTCGAGAAGGGTCAACAACAAAAACAAGATAATCCAGCGGTGACATTCATATCCGAGTCGTCTCGTACACAGCACCCTTGAATGAGCCATGGAGCGTGATCAACATGCGCTCCAAATCTCCATGCATTCATGCGCTGGTTGTGCTGTAGCCCACCTCATCTCGTCCCATGCGGCCATCATCTTGAGGCCGCTCAAGGCTTCCCGTATCGTATGCTCTGTTCTAATTCTTGTTCCTGCCCAGCATGGCAGCTCATGGTTTCTCCTCCTTCACCCAGGTAGTTGCGAGTCGTAAGGACGACTTCTCCATGTACAGATAAGAAATAAAGGCGGGTAAGAGAAGGAGAATCCTGGCTTTTTCTTGCTTCGAGAACAATGGTTCTCCTATGCTGTGCCAATCCGTACTGGCACGACCACAATGCGTTTGGAAATGACCGAAACCCGCAAATCTAAACAGCGACGCCTGCAACCGCAAACACCTCCGGATTCAAGTGGCAGAGAGGTGGGCTGGGGTTGCGCTTTAACACTAATCATTGTAGAAGAAGTGCTCCCCTGTTCTTGCATCGTAATAAAGCTTTCTGGTCTCCCTCCTCTCTCTCCGGAGATCTCTGTCGTCGTAATATTCTCGTTCTCCTGTCACCTCGCGCTGTCTCTTGGCCTGCCTTAGCTCGTCTTCTCGGAGTTCCAGCTCCCTCTCACGAGCAGTCAGTTGTTGTTCGCGTCGACTTAAATGATCCTCGAGGACCCGATCGCGCTGATAGTCCTCGACTCGGACACTTTGGCGGTCGAGTTCATCGCGAATGTAAACATCGTGTTCATCCTCCGTATGGTGATAGTGAACAATTGGCATGGCTGACTCATGAGTGGTGTACCGACGAATGGGAACGAAATCCGGCTCCCTCGCTCGTCGAGTCAAATCGCGGTGGATGATTTGCCTATCTTCGGGGATGGGCGCTGTCGCTTGCCTCATGAGTCGGGGATGACGTTCGTGGCGCGTCTCAGATGGCCGTTGGTCATACACAACGTAAGAGTTTCGACGTGGTATGGCTGGCACGATAACCTGTTGCTCACCATGATATGGTCGTTCGACATAGGACTGTCTCCTGCTTGGGCCAGGATGGTGCTTCTTATACACAACGTCGGGACGACTCTGGCTATACACCAGGCTTCCTCGGCGAGGCACCCCTCCAGGCGTGCCGAGGGAGGTATTGGAGCTTTCTGCGTACTCGGCGACAAAGCCATAGTGGCTAGTATCACTGTTTTCCGAGGAGGCATACCCCCCATCAAAATACTGCTGAGTATGCTGGTTTGGAAAATGTACAGACTCTCGGCGCCGAGACTTGGAACGAGTCTCCACCGGCACCCTGTGTCGAGAATGAGATCTTCGGGCTTCCCCGTCGACAACGACTACCGGGTGCTCATGTGGTGACTGTCCTCGACGGCCACGATGATCAGCTGTGCCCTCAACAAATACGGCGTCCACAGGAGCAGGGTCCACGGCATCGGTGGCAAAATCTTGCACTTCAGGCACCACATAGACACCATCTTCGTCATGAACAGCACCCCTATCTCGCGACTTGCTGCGAGACTTGCTGCGCTTCTTCTCCGCCTTGTCCTTCTTCTGCTCGGGTTTGGACCCCAATGGCGTCTCTCTCGCGATGTATGGTGGAAGGTTGGCGTTATTGAAGTGCATGGGACCAAGTTCGTCTCGTGGAGTTCCGTCCGCCTCAAAAAGCGGCAGGTTGGCGACAGGGTCCTCCAGTTTGTCGAGAACCGAATCTTTCCTTGCACGGCCATAGTTGTCGTTGGCGTGTCTCCTCTCTCGGACGGCTTCAACTTTTCTCACCTTCTCGCCACCATATGACTTGGCCCTTGACCTTGACCTGTCTCTACTTCGGGCCAGAATGACATCCATCTCCGGAACTTCCATTCTGCCCTTTCTGGTCTGTACTCTTTTGGACTTGATATAGACCACTTCCCAACGGGCATCTGCTGCCTCCTGGTCATTGGTTTTTCGGACCACTTCATCAAGCATGCTTCGGCGGAGTGTGGGCATACGAGTCAGCTGATCTAACACCGGACCATCGCCACCTTTGCCCCTCCTGGCCTTCCGCTCAATCTCGTCCACCGGCGCATTGATGGGCTTTTTGACACATGAGCTCCAATCGTCGCCGCGCTTGGATAGGCGATAATACAGATAATCTTGTGAGGTAGGTAAAACGTCAGCAGATCGAACCCGTTCCGCGCGAGGGCGCATCTCTTCTGGGTTATCTTCCATTGTCATTCTGTCAAAGCGTTGCTGGACACTCGGCGCCCTCTCTTCAACAAAAGCAGGCTCTTCGACGAAGCGATCGTCGAAGCGCTCTTCATACGGGTCGCGGAGAACACCAATGTCTGGATCAACTGGAGCGAAATGGTGGTCAGGTGGAATTGGTGGTTCCATAGTTGCGGGTAAGGAAGCCGCAAAGCTGGACAAGCCAGGCGCAGTCTGTTGCGTGTGAGGATGCGTCTTGTAAGAGATACTTCAAGTAAACAGACGGTGTGCAGGAAGAACGGAAGTCTGGTGGGGCAACACAACGGGGAATGGGGCAATGATATGCAGCGGCAACGCAAGGTAAATGGAACACCAGAGGAACGCCAGAGAGATTCAATTGAGCTTGCAATTCGACAGAGTGAGTGCTCGACCAATGGGTTAGCCAGCTAAGCAGCATCCGACTTCTGTTTGAGTCAAGAGAGGAGGGGAGGGATTCGTAGGTGGACGAAGACAAGTTACCCCCGACTGGTGTGGCAGAACCGCCCTTTTTCTCAGCAGGTAGGAGACCAAGAGAATGCTCGTGATGGTTGCCTTGCAGATCAAGCATGGGCCACATTGGCTCCTCTTCAAGGGCTCCTTCAGAGCCATACCTCTCTTGGTGGCATTAGCTCCGAGGAACGGGAACGTGCGGGACGTGATTTGCGGGGCCCTTGGAGGCTGCAAGCAGAGGAATGAACGAGAGAGGACAGCGTCGGTGCTCTGAAACGGCGGTGTCGCTACTCCCTCGCTGAAGGGGATGCAGGAGGTGCAGTAGCGTGGTTAGGGAGAGATTGAAATGGAGGATGATGAGAACGAATCAGAAACATTTGTCTCACGGTCAGTCATGAGCATACGGGGTATCTGTGATCATGGCAGTCCAGGCTCATGTTCGGTCATCATTGCAGTCGGGCGCGTAAGGATTCGCGTGCCAGAGCTTGTTGAAATAGGAAATAAGGGGGCGTAAAAGATGGCGGCCATTGCTAAGGGTGGGTAGAGAACATGAGACCAAATGAAGCAGCATGGGAGAAGAGGAAGAGATTCAAACCGCCACCACCAAGACAGAAGACAAGACTAATTACTCGGTGCTGCCTTTGCTCACGGCCTGCGCCTGCGCCTTCGCCTCCACCTCAAAAGTTCCACCACGTGACATTGCCCCTCTTTGCATGCTGCCAAAGGTCTCTTCGACAACGAGCTTCTCTGGCACCAAACGGCCACGAACAAACGACTCTCATTTCTAGCATGCGCCACAGGACAAAGTTGCTGATGATGGATCATGCCGACCACGCTTCGTCCCGCACGGAAACACGCGCGAACTCACTGACACTTTTTTGCTCAGACCCTTCCGTCCACACCATCACTTCGTATTGACAACACCCACTAGCTGTTTTTGACCACTAGACTTGACTCAATAGTGCTGACCTGCTTGCAGAGCCTGTCCTTGCTGCCTTGTCTGTTCAAGGTGCACCCCGAGAACGTTCCGGTAGTCGATTGCCCGACTACACAGTACAAACATTCGAGGTGGTGTGAAATGCGCTGGCCAGCCTAACCAGGTCTGGTTTCCGAGGCCATTGACGCGGGAGGCAATACTCGGTACTTCCCTTCTCTCTCCAGCCAGCTACCTGGCATCCCGTCATCGAGTCCATCGAGGAGAAAGTCCTGTGCTTTGTCTCGTCTTTTCATGCCATTTCAGGCCATGTTGCAACAGGGCAATCCCCTCTCATTGGCCTCCGGAGATTCCAGCATACCAAGGGAATGTCCTGTGTCCTGCGCGACATAGCACGTCAAAGGCTCGGCGCACAGACGGGCGAACCGGAAAAGAAGAGGACGTTCATGCAAGTACTGCGTGACGCCCGATCGCAAGGTAACGGGTTCCCAGATCTCTCGCCTCACTTTCGTACTGTGCATGTGAATTTCCCCCCGTACACTCGGTTTGGTGGAAAGAGAAAGGGAAGCGACTAGAGAACATAAGGCAACAGACTTGAACTTGTGATGGTGCATGGTATTAGGGTTTGGCTATCGATAAAACGTATCGTTCAGATGACGCGAACCTCTTTCTGACCCAACATAGGGGCAATGATCGTCGCCGTCAAAACTCCTCGCTCTGTGTGGGCATTGAAATGCTACCCCCAGCCTGACAAAACCGATGGCTGCAGATCCTCATTGACGCCCTTTTCAGAGACCCAAATTCTATGTACAATCGGCTCTGTCGCGTCGGTTTGGTCGAAATTAATTGTCCCAAATCTCAAATCGGAGATTTTGCAATCGCTTGTATTCCCTGCTCATTAAGTGTTGTACACATATGCGTCCATGTGCCAGACTGAATTGACTGACGAAAGCCATTCCGCGGCCGAAACGTTACCGCAGCGGTACCTTGACATCTTGAACGCCACGTTTGATGATTTCTTCCAAGCTCCATCGAGGTGTCACCACCAATGACTTGGCAACTTTGTCGTGCTTTTCCAGACGTTTCCGGCTTTGTTCCATCTCCCAAGTAACGCCTTCCGGAAGAGGAGGAGCACCGCCAGCGATGCCGCTCGCAAACTTGAGCTGGAGGACATTGCCAATCTCGTCGCACGCGGCAAGGAGTCGGTCGAGATCGTCCTTGTTATGTGCAGCCGAGATGCAAAACCGTGCTCGTGAGGAGATTAGAGGTGTGGCAGGGTATCCAACAACGACAACCGATATCTTGCGCTTGAGCATCTCGTGAGAGAAGGCGGGCATCTTGGCTGGATTGTAGAGCATAAGTGGAATGATAGGCGAATCGTCATGACCGTAGACGATGAACCCGAGACGCTTGAGGCCCAGTCGAAGATAGCGGGAGTTGAATGCGATCCTCTGCAATCTCTCCTCACCTTGGCCCGGCATGAGCTCGCCGTTGATGATTTTGAGAGCGGCAATAATCTGTGCCAGAACCGCGGGAGCAGGAGTCTCGCCATAGACGGTGCCGGCGTTGGAGAGTCGCAGCTTCTGAATGGCAGCTTTGTCACCAGCTACATATCCTCCATTGGCACCGAATGATTTGGTCAAAGTACCCATCAGAATGTCAACTTCCGCGGGGTGGATCCCAAAGTAGTCACAGACACCTCTGCCTCGCGGCCCCAGAGCGCCAATCGAATGGGCCTCGTCAACAAAGAGGTTGAACTTATATCGCTTCTTTAACCTGACGAGACCTGGAAGATTGCACATTGTACCTTCCATCGAATACAGGCCCTCCACAACGACGAGGATCTTCTTCCAAGGTCGATGTGTTCGCGGCTGTCCTTGAGAAATGGCCTCACGGAGCTTGCCCTCAAGATCCTTCATGTCGTTGTGCTTGAACGACGCGATCATTGCCCCGGAAAGCCTGGAACCAAATCGGATTGATGCATGGTTGAGTTCGTCCGAGATGATCAAGTCACCTTTCCCAACCAGGGCAGGGAAAATGGAAGCATTGGTACCGAAGCCCATTGAAAAGACCATTGCAGACTCCTTGCCAACGAATTCGGCGATGAGATTCTCGCAGTCGATAGCCAGCTCAGAGGTACCCACCTCGCTTCGTGAGCTAGCTGTTGAAAGCCCACACCTCCTGATTGTGTCTTCGACGAAATCGGCACAGGGACCTTCGGATTGTGCGAAGCCTAGGTAGTTGTAGGAACTCATGTTCAAAGTTTCGGTTGTGGTGCCTGTCAAGGTAAAATGGACGTTTCCATCATCCGACGTTCGATCTAGCAAATTAACGTATCTCCCGGGAACTCCGGTGGTGGGTCTGTTGAAACAGTCGTTGATGCGCATTTTCAGTCGTCGGACGTAGAAATTATCAAAATCACTGTTGAGGGCCGCATAGCCATTCCGTGCCTTGAGGTGTCGATAATTGTCTTCTTTCAGCTTCATGCCAAAAAAATCTCTAACGTGTCCGAATATTATGAGAATCAGATAGGAGATGTATGTCGTCAAAAGATAGTAGTAGGGAGGTTCGTCCATGATTGGTTCAGGAAACTCGCCCCCTGGGTGTCGACTTGTGTATCTGTGAGACTGGGAGTTCAACGGCCCGAACTGGGCGTGTTGTCGAGCCAGTTTTCGCGTCTCAGCCGGAGAAGGCGGCTGGAAAAGAGTGGTGGGTGGTTCGTCCATATTTGCAGAGTCTGCACGCGCCGTTGACAAGGAGATGCTAGGGAGCGAAAGCGAGGGTGTGCTTATTGGAGGCGAGCCAGAAGCCAGAAATGCCTGCTCCTGAGCTTTGCTGGCTGCCAACAGCGCAGCAGCAGCTGACTGAGCTTCTTTTGTCTTTGGTGACGTGGAAAAGAACTGTGCGATTTTGTTTGCTTTTTGAGAGGTCTTGTTGACGAGGCTGCCGCCCTTTTCAGACGGCGAAAAGGACGGCCAGGGGGTCGGAGGTGAGCTGCTGAGGAGGGAGCCGGACACTCGACGAGGCATGGCCAAAAGGATCGTATCAAGAGCTGCTCAGTTTGTTGACGACAACCGGTTCTTCGAGATAAGACACCGACGTTTTGTGTAAGCGCAACAGACGGGAATGTCTTCGAGTTCCTCCTTTTTCTCCAATGGATAGCGTGGACAGTGTGGCGGTGTAGCGAGAGGAGAAAAGGGAAAGGTTTTCGAGAGGAGGGGCTCGGCAGCAAATCCTTGTACACTTGCTTGCGAAGGAGGTTGGTCGAAAGAGGTGGTCGACAGATGTGAACTGGAAGAGTAGGAGGGGGATGCCGCAGTAGAAATTTGACTGTCAGTTCCCGATAGAAGCTCAGATTGCCGCTGCGATTTTCCCGCCGCGCTTGTAACAAGGAATCATGAGTTGGTTGAGCATATGACGAAGGAGAAACTCAGCGCCGGTGTGACCGGATGACTGAGATATTCCGCCCTGATCCGCCACGCTGCGGTTGGACACGAAGAGCTTGTCCCTTGCAGGAACCGCCCGTCCTCAGCCGCAGGACCCGATGCCTTTTTGCGGAGAGCGACGATGATCGGGAAGCCAGAGGTGTGCGGTATAAAGTTGAGGAAAAAGGATGCAGAATAGGAAGAGAGACAACGGCTAGGACAGCAGAGGTGCACATAACACGAAAACGACGCGAAGCTAGAAACAGAGAAAGATTTTTGCTGACAAGCCCCAGGTGGTTTGATTGAGAGGACTGGAACCCATTTCGGGGGCTGGTGCGAAATTACATGTACACCAGGACAGCCTGTCGGCGTTCGTTTCAACGAAGACCGGACCCAGGGGTGACGGAAGGGGAGCCTCGTAGGCGCTATGCGCCCAAGCGAATAGGGGGCATCAGGGGCAACAGCCGGCTAAACTCAAACCTAAGAGGGGGAAGTGGCCCCGAAGTGTGGTAGAATTTGCAGATAGATTGCACCCGGGTCTCATTGGCTAAACGACTCTGGTGGATATATGCTAATCCGGATATGGCAACTTGGCATCATCATGCAGAAATATTGTCCGTGACTGATCATTTTAGACGGATATCTGCTCTTGTGTGTGGTTTCCTCGCGAGCTCCGAGCAATGATGGGCGAAATCCCGACATATCAACGTGGACGGGGGAAGGGTCCCAAGCTACAAGTTACTGCTCATGTTTCTTCTTAACAGGATGGGCTAGATCGTGCACAACACTCTAGCTCGAACTCTGTGTCTTGGAGATCACCTACCTCGTAAAACACTTCTTTCCCATCTTTCATTCGACCTTGTCTTTCAGTAGACAGGGCTGCTTATCAAAACGGCAGCACGAGCAAAGTGACGCTGGTCGGAATGAATCCTAGTCGTCGGACAGAATTCCGTCAACGGCGGCCAACGGTCAGATTGTCGCTGCCCGCCGAGGCTCGTAGCAAATCGGAGTTTTGGCGGCCACTCATTCCCCCAAACAAAATCGCAGGCTAGTCCCTTTTCAATGACTATTCACAACATTTTTCTTTCCTCTCACCAAATTTGCCTGGAATGGCTGCAAACGGGACAAAAGGTGAGTCGAAGGACAGCGTAGAACTCTGGAGACACCCTCGTCCCGAATCGACAGAATTTTACGCTTTTCAGCAGCATGTCGCAAACAAATTCGGCGTATCTACAGCCTCTTACAATGACATTTGGCGATGGAGTGTCGACCACCCCAGTGCTTTCTGGGAGGAGATCTGGCATTACACAGGTATCAAGGCCAACAAGCAGTATGACTCTGTAGGTTGAACCCTGGCAACACAGAACAATTGACGCCAGCTAACATGTGTACCAGGTGCTGGATGAATCGGCTCCAATGTTTCCCAAGCCTGCCTTCTTCCCTGGTTGCGAATTGAACTTCGCTGAGAACCTGCTGTTCCCTCGCTCGAACCCCCCTGATGATGCTTTTGCTATTATCGCGGCCACAGAGAACACGCGTGAGCGGGTGACATGGTCGGAGCTGCGAGAACGGGTGCGCAAGTGTGCTGCGGCAATGGAGAGACATGGGCTCAAAAAGGGAGACAGAGTTGCAGGTTATCTGGCCAACCACTCCAACTCGGTGGTTGCTATGCTAGCGGCGACCTCTCTGGGTGCAATATGGTCGGGCGTCAGTCCAGACACAGGCGTACACGCCGTTCTCGACAGACTCCGCCAAATTGAACCAGTGATTCTGTTTGCCGACAATGCGGTCACGTACAACGGAAAGATCCATGAAACACATGCCAAAGTATCGCAGGTCATTTCAGAGTTACCGTCACTTAAGAACTTGGTTATTTTCGAAACCGTTCCCGGCCACCTATTTGACATCACGTCTATAAACGGAAACCCAGACAAGGTCGTCGAAACATATTCCTCCTTCTGGGCCAAGGGTGATGCATCACGACCACTCCGCTTTACTTACCTTTCTCCGGACCATCCTGTTTATATCCTGTACTCCTCCGGCACCACTGGTGTCCCCAAGCCGATTGTCCATGCATCACTGGGGACTCTACTGCAACACAAGAAGGAACACCAGATCCATTGTGATGTCAAACCACTCGAGAAGGTGTTCTACTTTTCTACGGTGACCTGGATGTGAGTTTTCCCCAGGGCGCTGGCCATGAATCGCTGAAGCTTTTCGACACTCTCCACCGTCCACGGTCCCCCTTTTTTCGAACGCTGACATGATGAATGCTAGGATGTGGCACTGGCTTGTATCAGGCTTGGCGAGCGGAGCCACTATAGTGCTGTACGACGGCTCTCCATTTCATCCGCACAAGGAGATGAGCATGCCACTTCTGATTGATGAGCTTGAAATCAACCACTTTGGCACTTCCGCCAAATATCTGTCCGTCTTGGAACAGTCTCAGACTCTACCTAGAGAGGCATCTCCCCAAAGCGCCACGCTCAAGTCTCTGAAGTCTATCTTCTCTACTGGCTCACCCCTGGCGCCCAGTACTTTCGAATACGTCTACAAGAATTTATCTCCTCCAGCCCCTCATCCAGGAATACTTCTTGGTTCTATAACAGGAGGAACAGACATAATTTCTCTGTTCGGCGCTCCTTGTCCAGTGTTGCCGGTGCACTCTGGCGAAATCCAATGTCGTGGTCTCGGTATGGCGATCAGGGCTTTCTCCGCAGATGGCCAAGATATAACATCGACGGGCCAAGCAGGAGAGCTCGTCTGCACTGTCCCGTTCCCTTGCCAACCTTGCATGTTCTGGCCGCCTGGCCCGAGCGGCGAAAAGCGATATAAGTCGTCATATTTTGAAGTGTTTACTGATCCCAAAACAGGCCATCCGATCTGGCACCACGGCGATTTTGTACGCTTCAACCCATCGACAGGTGGCATCTGGATGCTGGGCAGATCCGACGGCGTACTCAATCCGATGGGTGTCCGTTTCGGCTCCAGCGAGATCTACAACGTCCTTCTCAAGCATTTCAGTACAGAAGTGGAAGATGCGCTATGCATCGGGCGAAAGCGCGAGCAAGACACGGATGAAGTTGTCGTGCTATTTCTCAAAATGTCTAAAGGCCAGTCCTTTTCACAGGACTTGGTACAAAATATCCAAACCATGATACGGAAGGAGTTGAGTGCGCGTCATGTACCGAAGATCGTGGACGAGTGTCCTGATATCCCGGTCACAACAAATGGCAAGAAAGTCGAGGGCGTCGTCAAGCAAATTTTGAGTGGTATGCACATCAAGACAAGTGCAAGTGTGGCGAACAGTGGCTGTTTGGATTGGTACCGGGAATGGGCAAAAACACATTAGATGACGACAAAAATTCTCATTTTTTTGCAAGGAATTACGAGGACGATTCGGTCTTTCAGCGCTCCGGCGACGGCTGGTTTATGAATAGATATCAAGGCAGACACGTCAGCGGCCCAGAGATCGAGACGCTCGGGATTGTCTCAGATATTACTGGGGATATCGGTCAGGACATTAGATCATGGTTCAAGGAACTGCTTGATACAAAACAAGGGGCGGAACGATATATTGAGGCGGTAGCAGAACGGGTATAATATCGATTTTTGTCTGCGTAATTTTGGTGAAATTTCCTCGCATCATGTTTTCCTATGGATTTTCCAACCAATTATGTGTTATCAAGTGTTGAGTATCCTCAGAGGACATCCATCTGGGGGCTATCAGTCAAAAGGGGCTGAGAGGCTGATCTCGGATATCACCATCCGAGGCCAAGAAATTATGAGAATCTTTCTTCCAACCTCAATGCTCATTCTCTCCTCTGGTTGTTGCGCAGAACAAAATGCCAGTAGTGATCGAAGACACGATCTTCTGGAAATGATAGACCATTCCTGCCACTGACAAGTTACCAGGAAGTTTCGAGGTGTGTGGCACAGCAAGGAAAGTTTAGCTGTTGATCGATATTCCTTTGTGCCGAGTACGGAACACCATGACGGTAGCTCGGCGGCGTGGTATCAAAGGCACCGCGTTGGGCCCTGGAATGCCCTGTTGCGAAGCCCTTCGGGTCGCGGAACCACGCATGGGAAACCATGAGCGAGCTGGTGGAAGAACACCCACCTACCCTCGCATAGCGCGACCGCCGCCATGCACCCTCCCGCGGAAGGGAAACATTTGGTCGAAGCTTCATCGCCAGGGATTCTCGAGAACAAGCAGAACCGAAAGATGGCAGACGAACAAAGTGACAAGCCGGGGGAAGAGAATAGGCAGACCTACCATACCGCATACTGGGGCAGAACACATAAACCTACGCCAAGTCGAGCAAAATTCTGGACACCTGATTGACCCACCCCAACAATTTGGCCGAGGCCTTTGTTGTGGTAATATATTTTATTAGCACGGAATTCTCTCCAATATTCCCAATATCTATCCCGGGTTTCGACCTCCTGATGGTACACACCGAGTGAACCACATGAAGGAGCTAGTCGAGGCGTGAGGGTGTGGCCACCAGATATGGGACAGTTTCTCTTGGGGGTTACGAGAATCCTAGAAGGTAACTACCCTGACCCTGCAAGCTACCCAGAGAGGTAGCCCAGTTATCACCTGTGTGGTAACTGGGGGTTCCGCGACCATAAACAGCTTCCCTGAGCGTGGGTTGTCTGAGGCCGGAGAGGACCTGACGAAACGGCGGAAAAAACCCTCCTATACAACTGGAGGGTTTCCCTCGACCTGAACCTCAACTCCCACCGGGGGGTTGGGCTTCGAGGTTAGAGTTTTTGTCGGATATGCTGAAGGACTTTGTATGTGTGCGTGAGAAAAGTCCATGCAAGGGCTTTTTTTAGCCCCCAACGAGATTCGAACACGTACGGTTTGTTTATTTTTATGGGGGAGTGAGTGGGCTAGCACGCGCAATGCAAACACATAATTCTACCTTGGCGCTGGAGTTACTAGCATAAAGCGCGTACTTGATGAGTCCCTGAGGACCAGTGACCGCCAGTCTCTAAAGTCGCTTCCTACAAGCCAGCCCCTACACCTGTTTTACTCGGGCTGCCCTATATCTCTAATGTTGGGTCTATCACCAGCCTGGTGGAGTCAAGCTCAAGGTATGTTTGAGATAGTGCAAAATTATGCATCACAGGATGAACTTGTAAACAATCCTCAACCCGGGTCTTGTGATTCCTGGCGCTGTAGGAGGCAATGAAACGAGACATATCATAGATTATTATGGCGAGCCTTGTCTGGGGTTCGACGAGGCTGCATTACCTCGTAGTTATGTAAGTCGCTCCATAAAGCGGCAGGACCAACCGCGGTACAATTGGCTGCGATATTATTACAGGATGGATGGACAAAGACTTGCCACTCTGGAACTGCGCCATCAGTTAACCATTTCTTCATCATCTGTCCTGTGGGTCACATCCCCAGACCTGTGAGGGTATTAGAGATTTGTTCGAGCCATTTATTTCTGGGTTTAACCATGAGCTCTGGCTCTTCATATCCTCCCACCTCCTTCTTTTCTCTCCAGCCCAGACTTCTCCCACTACCACAGTCAGTCCGCAATTCACCACACCATTACTCTCGACAGCTCCCGCCACAGCCTATACGTCGATCTTCGCCCAGGCTCTTCCGCGACTTCTTCAATGCTATGCCAGATAGTGCCTCACGCAGGCAAGCTACTCTCCCTCGTCCTGTACCCAGTCACCAAGACACTTTCCACGACGTGAATCTGAATCGCGCCCTCGAAAACGCGAATCGCGCCATCCAAACCGCGCAAGAAGCCTTTCAAGAAGCCAATATAGTACAGACAGACAGTGAGGTGCCTGTGCAACTACCGGACTCGACGGTGCAGACCGACACCTCTCCACGAAGATCAGACAGTTCACCTTCGGCTGAAAGCCAGTACATCTCCCAGACCACACATCCTCACGATCCTCCCGTTGCCTATCGATACACGCCCTTCAGCAACCTTGGCGAACCTGTCTACGGTCCTCACATCTTCGACTACAATCTCCCTATTATCCCTGCACCCTTGGGAATTTGGCCAGCCAATTCTGGAGTTTATCTAAATCGTCTGGACGCAAATCACCCACTTGTCGACGGACGGCTACCGTCAGTCTTGGAAGAGGAGGCAATAAATCGTCAGCGAGAAAACCACCAGAACTGGGTGCGCACTCAAGCTAGAAGTAGTCATCGTCGGCGTACGGAGCAGGAACAAAGCCAAAGCCAAGATCTTCCACAGTTGACCATGTCCCCTCCTTCCTCATCTCTGAGAAGCACTGCCACTCGGTCTTCTCAGCATCAGCAGCCATCTACGCCAGGTGGTGAGACGGAGGATCCCTTGATCGAATCTGTGGATTTGACAACCGTTACCGACGCTGACACCCTATCCGCCGCTCTTGCCAAACAGAGACAAGACGCCATCTTGGCTCAGAACCCTGGAACAGAAAGCGGCCGTACTGCACTCACCGCGTACAAGTGCCCTGTGTGCATGGATACACCCACCGATGCAACTTCTACGGCCTGCGGACACGTGTTTTGCCACCGGTGCATACTTGATACTCTGAAGTGGTCTATTCAATCACGAAGAGAAAATGCGCCGACATCTAGGAAGACCAGAGGCGTGTGTCCTGTTTGCCGCAAAACTCTGGATATGAAGGATACCGCGGGAACTGGCAGAGGTTTGATTCCACTAGAACTGAAGTTGATGGTGAAGAAGCGGAAACGAGAGGACAGCTCGGAAGAGAAGGCCAGGGAGAAGGGCAAGGGCAAAGGAAGGTCATTGGCCAATGCAGAAACATTGAGCGATGGAGAGGGGGATGAGATCGACAAAGAGAGTGGCTCCCGGCCGACAAAATCAGAACGTGAGACCACAGAAGATGCATTTTGGGGCACCTTCATCCATGAACACGCCTAGACGGCTTGAATTCGGATATGGACAGGAGCTCCTGTCTGGGTGCATTATTTGAGCACAGCCTGAGGTGGCTGTTTTCAGATAAGGGATTGGTTTGGCTATGTGACTTGCCATGCGGGCAGCATGGACTGCTATTGCATTGTACTGGATGGGAAACTCGACACGGCCTTAGGTTTTTGCGCCTTTTTTTCCTTTAACGATACCCACGAGATGATTTTCACGACTTGCAGTGTTGGGACGAAGCCGGGCTTTATCTCTAGATTGAGTTTTTAATTTGAGGAATAGATAGAGATGGAATCCGAGGTGATACCTACCAGATCCCTTTTACAGGGGTCGAAACAATACCTTCTGCGCCTTCTGAGTACCTGCTCTGACTCCGAGCGGAGGTCCATGTATTACACGCAATCTCTCTGCATGCATAGACGCAAGACTACTGTAGCTAGTCAGAGCGTTGGGATTGTGAGGAAGCTGCGGAGCATGAGAAGCAGAGCAGCACAGCTGAGCACGGCAGGATAAAGCCTCTCCCAGATAGCGCCTTGATGTACTCTTCTCTTCCCCATTGTCACGAGGAAACGGCCATGTGTGCAGGCTTTCAGTTCAACTGGAGGTAAGTATAGAAAATGTTTTATAACGTAGGATAGTGTAACCCTCTATGCAGCCTCGTGACAATCTCGATATAGTCGGGCTCGTTCTCAAAGCTGAGAATGCCGCGCTTGATGAAGAAGTCGAGGAGGACGCACGTGGCCGACGGCGTGAACTCACCCCGTCGTAGTCGGTCTAGGATCTCCGAGACAGTCAAGAGTGCAAAGTATTTGACTTCACCGTCCATCGGGACCGGGGCCACTCCTGGAGCGAGGCCGACGTGGTAGCAAAAGTCGATCTCGGGTAGGGCGAACGGATGGCCTTCGCCATACTCTCCCCCGCCCCTCCCCACGTAGCTGAGGACGCCGGAAGGGTAAAGCCTGCCGTGCAACACTGTATCTGACAGAGACGCCTCTTCTAGGGACTCACGTAAGATGCCGTCGAGCGGAGACTCGCCCGCTTCGAGGGCACCGCTCACAGTAATGTCCAGAAGCCCGGGGCAGTAACTCTTCAACATGGAACGACGGGAGACCCACACCCTCGAGTCTGGAGTCAAGAGGGTGGTCGTCGCACTCGGGCAAAGCTCATACGCCACGAGTTGTACTGCATAGCATAAAACCCCGAACAACGGGGCCGCATTTCGCGGGATCTGCATCACGACCTGTCTATCGTGGTTGTAAACAGCGAAAGCGTCCTCGCTCAAAGAGTTTATTCCGAGAACTACCATGTTCTCTGGGAGAGCTAGGGTGGTGAGGACGATGGCATTTCGAGTCTCGCATGAAGTGCCACGGAGCGTCAAGGTGCGCTCTATGTCGCAAATCTCCCAGTGGTCTGGATTCCAGATTATCTTCTGTCTAAGTAGAGGGGAAATATGACCAAAGGTTTGTGAAGAGCCTTGGACGCAGAAACGGTAAAACTTTTCGAGGTGGTCAACATCGAGGAAGCTGCGAAAGGGTATGTAAGTAGATTTCACTGATTGAACGTCGTAGTACTGACTGCTCGCGAAGAAGTTCCAACAGGCTCTTCATAGCGTTTTATTGACCGAGTTTGGGAGGTGTATTTATTCATCAGGAAGACTGTTGTGACTGTTTCTCAACATTGCCGAGAACCCCCCAGTGGAGGTTCAAGATGCGCTCGCCGTACTCGGTACTGGTAGTAGGCCAAGATGCTGAGGTTCTTTCAAAGGAAGGTCAAGCGACAGTCGAATTCGGCGAACACACCACGTGACTCAGCCTTGCAGCCTGAAAAGGGGGCGGGGATGCCATTCAACTGCCACATAATTGCGTTGATCTTGTGCTTTATGAAATTAGCCACACAGGTTACCCGAGGGCCAGATGGTCTCCAGATCCGCCTTGTCGATAATGCCGTTAATGAACGCATCAACTGCCATGGCTTGGCTCAAGTCGCCGATATTGTATTGATGGGACGCTGATGATAGGCCTTCCAAGGAGTTCTGGAGTGAGGCTTCCGGCGGGGTTATCTCTAGAGGGTAATGCACAGCAGTATCCTTAGGGAGGACGGTAGTTGTTATCGTCGTTGAAAGTTTGTCACGATACTTGTTGCCCTTCTTGTGGTTTGGGTCGGCGCAATCAGCTTGACCTGTCAGCGCGATCTCGCTCAGAGAAGAAGAAGTATCAGTGGTATACAAAGCAGACTGCCCCACCGGCCTCGCTCCGAGTCCTGTTACTCCCCTAGAAGCGGGTTGTGACAAACTGTGCGGCGTTGGACTGAAAGCCGGTATGTCGCTAGACAGCTCGGGGAATCGGTGAAAGATGTCGGGCCCCATGGTCCAGCAATTGATATCAAGTAGTCTCTGGTCAAACAGTGGCGAGACCTTGTATAGCCCAGTGGCTTCTTCCTGGACATAGCAATCACGGAATTGATACGGCCAGAGGATCTTGACGCTGCTGCAAAATAGGGACCAGAACTCATTGCCGCAGTATCGGTGCTCGTTCTGGATGAAGCGATCACGCAGGGAGGGCCATGCGAAATAGTCGATCGCATAGCTCCGGGTCTGTTGCCACTGTCGTCTCGTGTTGTACCATGGCGGTAGACGAGTATAGCGCCCGTGTGTCGGTTCGGTGTGGAATTGGAGGAGGGTGTGCATCGCGCGGAGAATGGCTAGCCGTTCGACATTCGGACACATACTGAAGAGGGTCTCGTCGATATGTCGCAGGATCTGCCACGAGGGATGCAACCGCCCGCGCTGCGCCACCGAGGACCACCCCTCGAGCAGGGCGCGGATGGGCACGTCGTCCGACTCGATGTCTGTGGCGGGCAGTATCTCCCCTTCTGCCCATGACAGGCGCTCACCGAGCACTTCGTTAGCAAATGTCCACTGGTTGCCTCTCCACATAGATCCATCTTGTCTGTCTTGTGACAGCGGCGGGCACGTCTCATGGCAACAGCAGCATCGTTGGGAGGTATAGGCCCAGCCCGGGGCGTAGTTGGAAAGACTGAAGTTGACATAGACCTCTTTCACAGGATCGCGGCCGCCACAATCTCTTGGGGTCGGCGCAGGAGAAGACACTTTGACACGCTCGGGTCCGAAAAAGACAACAGGCCTAGGGGTTTTGATTGTGGTGGAAGGGAGCTGAGGAGTAGTCAGGCTATTGGGTAGAGCCTCACTCTCGACGACATTGGCACTGGCTTCCTCCGAACTCATTGGTGGCGGCAATGATGTAGTAGTGCCGTCATCAAAACTATATGTGTTTTGGACAACAAGACTGTCACCACCGTCTGCTGTTGCTGCTCGACAACCCTCATCTTGAGTCCCCTGTGCCGGGCTCGTCGCTACTACTCCTCCCCGAATACCACAGTCCGGTACTAGATCAACAGCTGTCCACTTGCAGTAGTACGGTTTCACCACGCTCCATATGTCATGGAAGTTCTTGACCAGGGCATCTCTTTCACGCTCCAGTTCCGTCAATTTCTTCATCAGCACGGCGACTTGACCACTGGCATCCCTTCGTCGGAATTCTTCCACTATGGCCTCCAGATGAGCGATGTGCGCCTTGGTGCGTTCGCGGGCCTGCCGCTGGCTTCGTCGGTCAGACTCTCGTTTTCGCAGACGGCCCGGAGAGACAGCCAAGGGGGTATCTTTGGCGTCAACTGCAGCTAAAGAATGGAGTTCGTTGTCATGGGGGCTCTTTGGTGTCCGCGGTGTATTTGTTTGATTGGGACGTGTCGCGCAGAAGTCCATGGAGTCGAGACTGCTGATGGTCCTTCAATTAGAGCGGTTGATCTATCTGATCGTATGTATCGGTCTCATGGGACTGGGAATGGCCGACAGCGAGTTTAAGAGCGATGAATACACCTCATATAGCCGGCTCAGAAGTAGCGTGGCATCTGTAAAAGAAGAAAATGGCATTGTACCAGGTACAGCCATGGCGCTGAGGTTTCGATCCAGGGATAATGTACCTACAGGCCCAATGGGGGTCGAGAATCGTAAAGGCGACTGAGGCCATGGCGTGCCCGTCATTACCTCGTACATTGCCTTGGCAACTCTACTCGCCCATTAGTCACACCTCTTGACCCTGGATTATGTCATTCAAGAGTGCTATCACGTGCCGTTCCCACTTGTTGAGCCATTAGCGCCTTGGCAAGCAACACCCCCCTCACACAGTTGCCGAGTACCTTACCGCTCCGTTACACATCAATCAACCCCTGTTCTGTCACGCAGTGCCTTATTGGACTCATGCACTTCGGTTGCAGCACAATGCAACTTACAATCACACTGGCCCTTACTTGGTCTTGATGATTGGGCCATAGTCCCTACTCGGTGCCTTACCTATGGTCCTCTCAGCCTAGACGGCACACTCATCGATTTCTGCAACTCAACAGACTCACCAGACTCACTCCTTCACACGAAAGCTGCGTCTTCGTCCAAAGCACAACTCCCCTGCACGATGTGGACAGCTTTATCACACCTGAAGGTGAGGGGTTCTTCTGGAATGAAAGGATCGTCGCTTTATGTTTCCAGAAGCGTTCTTGGAGTCCAGTGGCCAGCGAGACGCAGTGAGGCTGGAAACAGCACTGTTCTTCAGCTCAGCCTTATCAAGTTGCCAAAATGGCCCCAATTTCCCACTACTGCGGGCGAATAAGCTAGCCTTTGGTCCATTGTGAAACAACATCCATCTGCAGCGGTCAATTGGTGGGCGAACATGCCATCTCCTCCACGAAGTGAGGCTGCAGAAAAGAAGCTCTTCGTCGTTTAAAGAGGCCTTCTCGGGCTCTCAGTTCTGTGACTCCAGAATCAAATAACATTCTAGGATATCCTCGAGGTTGTTAGTAACTTGTTCTATTCTCGGACAACCAGTCTTTGATCATGCTGTCTTCTTGATCATCTACAGGCTCTTGTCTCGACGAATACCACAACAGATGATGCTAAGAATCTGCACCACGTGAATCACAGAACTCCAACACCGGATCTCAGAGATAGTCGAGTCACCATGAGCTACCACGAGTCCGAGTCCACCCCCCATTTTGCTCATCCAGGTATGGATCGAGGTCGTGATCGTGTCGCAGAAACATATGCGGCCAGTGATGACGCCTCCGTCGCCCATTCTTCGCTGGATGCAGGGGATGATCGATACATGCCCATTAATGTTGACGGAATTGATGGCTATGAGGAACCAAATTTCAAACCTCTTGTCCTTGGTACGGGGTTCTTGACAGTCGCTGCACTTTGGTTCTTCCTTTGCCTTGCTGCTGTTACTGGTTTGGTCGTGGTTGGGCGCAAACAACCGCGTTGGCTCCGCTTCCAATCACAAACGAGCTATAACCTCTGGATCTATCTTCCCAATGTCATTGCCTCGGTGACGGTCCTGGCATTCAGATCCATTGTGCAGCAGTACTATCGTATCATGCCATATGTCAAAATGGCCAATGTGACCACGGACCATCAGCCAGAAGGCCACAACCTTCTTCATACTTCCGATGAGCTCAGCACTCTTCCTGGATTCATTCCCGCACCAGGCCGACTGCTGTATATGTTTCGTCGGAAGGAATACTTGGCCTTCACTCTTTCGATATCACTCACCGCCAACGCGCTTCTGGCCCCTTTCAAGTCCAGTTTCCTTCAACCCGTGGAAGATATCCAAGGCTGGCAGGTTACCGTTTCCGTGGTATCCGGTGCTTTTGTGGCCTCAATCTACCTTGTTCTGTTTGCTTCGGTAGTGTGTCTGATTGTATACTTGAAGTGCCACAAGACTGGTCTTCGATGGAGCCCTTGCTCCATTGCGTCACAGCTCTCTTTGGTCCAAGGGTCGAATATATTTCCCGCATTTACTGGCCTTGAGCTTACGCGGGCCAGAATAGAAGTCATCCGAGTTCTTGAGAAATGGCCCTCAAAATATGGCACGCTGCGACTCGGATACTGGAGACAACAGCATACTGGTTTGATCGTTCACGGTATCAGATTTTTCCGCAACGAAGGAACGTTGGCCGGCGGACATTCTCGAGTGGCCATGGCTCAGGGTGGTCTGCAAGTTCATGAAAATGAACCAGCAGAATCTCAACCTGAAATGGATTCTGAGGGTGATCCACGAACGTATGGTGAAGAGGAAAGTTTTCCCATGCGTTCGTTACGAACAGTCCTGGCCCCACAGACTCGTTATACTCCGCTGGGACCCTATGGTGCTACCGTGCCGTCAGCCGACCACGATACCGGACCAGAACCCCTTTCCATTCTCGGAGCAACCACGCAGCAGTCACACTCTGCAGCTATGGAGACTGAGGGATCTGCTGTGGGATACCATAGGATTCGAGTACAGAGCCCCGTGGCGCCACTGCAGGATGGAGACGAGCTCGAATCACATGTCGCCCCTCCTCCGGATGGCTCTGTTCAAGGTAAATCCCTGTGTGGTTTTCTGCTATTGAAACTCATGCCTAACCAATGCCCTAGATGGAAACGAATTCTTTGATCAAGAGAAGAATCAAGAGTTCTCTTCGAGATACAGACGACCTCGGGTTGGTAACTTCTACCTGACCGACGTTTACATCCTGCCAGTCTTCCTAATAGGTATAACATTATTTATCTGTTCTATTGTCTATTGGGCTAAAGGAAGCGTTTCCCAACCGATTGCGTTTCGACCCAAACTGTGCCGGCTTTCGGACGACCTTCGACGGCAAAATGCAGTCTTGTGCATTTTTGAGCGAGGTTTGGTGTTCAATGTCCTCCCCGTCTTCCTCTTCGGTCTCTTCTCACCGACGTTCATAGTCTCCGACCAATATCACCGCACAATGCGACCGATTCAAAACATGGCCGCCTCAGTGCAAGGAACTTCAGCCCAACAATCTGTTCTTCTTGACTATCTCTCAACCGACCCCGTTTCCACTATCGCCAACGCACTAGTGGCCCGTAATTTTCGGATCGCATGGGGCGTTATCCTTGCTACTGGGAGCACCTTCACCCACGTTATCATTGGACGCATCTTTGTCTATGGTGAGGTTGGGAATGACGCATTGATGGTCAATGTCAAACTTTCGAACTTCTATGGCGCATTCGCGGTCCTGGTTCTTTACTGCATTGCGATCTGGGTAGCGAGGCCGTACGGAAGAATCAGAACGTGCTGGCCGATTTTCACATTTATTGACTTTGTGTCTCTTTGCTACCAGAGTCCAATACTTCGATGCCCAGAATTCTGGGTCCAGCAATCGGACGATCAGGAGGAACATCTAAAGGCGCAAGTGACGTTGGCGAAGCGGAGGTATTTCTTTGCCGGCTATCTCGGCCATGACGACGAGCTTCATCTTGGCATCACGACGGGATACCTTCCATCATGGCGTGAGAGACCGGATGATGATATCGATTGCTTGCAAGCGACAGCGACTGTGGCACGCAAGGCTCTAAACGCGGGATTCTACGACGTTGCGTCTAGAGAAGCCTTACAGGCTCTGCTTCCCACTATATCGGGCCCGTTACAGTGGCGGCCAGCGGGCATCTATACCGGATACAACTCCTGGAAGATCAGCTTTCGTCGGCTTTTCCACGCGTGTGGAAATATCCTGTCAATTCCGACCGGAAAGGCACGCAGCAGGAGTCACTCCAAGTCTCGACTCGATCGCAAACGGCCACGGCGGGATACTGAATCTGGCCAACGTTCCACGCAGAGGTCATCCGAACAGACGACTTCAGGCATCGAGCTCGTGAGGCCTGTGCACCGAAGGGGGACAGGCACTGTGTCTTTGTAGTTTATCTGATGGTCACTTCGTCTTATCGAGTCGTTGAATACCCAAAGGCAGATTATCGACAACCTCAGAAGGAGGTTCCATCTTGCAAGGTACTAGCAAGTATACCTCTTCGCTCTCATATCGACGCTGACGAAGAATAGGCCACCACGGCTCACAATTCCATCATGGTACGAGAAGCTGTTGAAAAGAGATAAACTGTTTCGCACTGACGAAAAATAGGCCACCATTATCCACACCTCCATCATGACACAAGCATTTCCTAAACCGGGTACAGTGTGTCGTACTGACAAAGGAAAAACAGGCCATTATGGACACTTTGGAGGGTACTAGCGAAATACTCTGACCCGAGACTCAACCGCTCACACTCAGGTTTTGGGCGGCTGAAAGAGTGGGAGAGGAGACGATACAAAGAACTGAGCTGGGTGGATGGCAGGCCAATGCTATTGTATTGTCAACTTCTGCAATAGAGAACAGACTTGAAATGCACTTGGACGGACTTGCCAATCTGAAGAAGCAAGCAAAACGCCGGCAGCAGAGAAGTGCTCCGACGGCACTTTATCAAGTCAAAGCGACACCCTCCCTTGGTGCTGGATCTAGCAAGCCGAAAGAAAAATGGACGTTGCTGTGGGACTCCGAGTGGGTTGGTGCTCATAATCCAAGAAGCAGCGGGAAGATCCAGTCCCGAAAACAGACGCGTTTCCTTGATACGTGATTCATTGCCTCTGCAGGATCATTGGAAAACTTGTACGGTTACTAAAGAACCTCGTGCGTAAACGACTGGCTCCTTAGAGCATCTCTTAGTTGCGTCCGACGACATGAGTACGGCGCTGTGGCTGTTCCTGGGTTGCTGGCGCCGAGTTGCGTTTGAGTTGATTTAGTCACGGTTTGCGTGGTCAGGGAATGAATGACTTGGCTCCATCGTCAAGCGTCGAGCTACGGTAGGGAAGGCCTTACTGCAGAGACTCTGGGGAAAATCCGGGGATTACCACCGCTGGTGCGTTGTTCCATATTATGGCCGGTACAGGCAATGAATGAACAACAACCCAAGCCGTCAAAATCAATATATATATGAAAGACAAGATTTGGTGACTCTAACTCCGGCCCTCACACGACTTGTTACCTTTCGAGCGAGTGATATTGGCTGGAGACTCACTACCATGGCTGGACCGAGCATTCCGCCATTCATTCTATACGGATTGGCTTTGACGGTCGTGGTCTTTGCCGCCCTCAGATTATGCCGAGTGGGAATGAGGCCCAAAGACTTTCCCCCAGGTAAGTACCATTCATTTCTCTGGTTTTGTGTCAGGCGTCGTATATATACAGCTGCCATGGCAATGTATTTGGGGCCATGCTGACGGTTATTACCCAAGGACCTCCTACGTTGCCAATTCTGGGAAATCTGCACCAGTTCCCGCTCAAGGACATGCACTTACAGTTCCAAAAGTGGACGCAGGAATGTATGTACCTGTCCGCTCTCATGCACACCGACACCAGGCCGAACAGACTGCACAAAGCCTGACTTTCATTGACAAGGGGCTAACGTGGCTGTGTGACCAGATGGGCCTCTCGTGGGACTTCAACTGGGAACCCAGCGCATCATCCTCCTCGGCTCAGCCAGCGCGGTGCATGATCTGTTAGAAAAGAGGAGTGCGAACAATTCAACTCGAATGGACATTTTGTTTCGCGAATATGGGAATGATATAAACATATTCTTTCGACCGTACGTCCCAGGAATCCCATGCATGGCCCCTCGAACACCAAATGAAAACCATGAGCTCACTTATGTCCCGCTGGTGCGATACAGATACGATGATGTATGGAAAAGGCAACGAAAAGTCTACCACGTGCGTCTGAATTCCAAGTTGGCCAACAACTATCTTCCATATCAGGTAGGGCGACAGTCCCAGGGGTGCTTCTCAACGTCTATCGCGATCGACCGGATTGAATTGAGAAGGACCAAAGTGCTGTGTGCTAGTTATACTGACAAGTCCAAGTATTTCGAGACGGCTCAGCTGCTCCACGACTTGCTCGAGACGCCGGATGACTTTCGACACCACTTTGAACGATTTACGATCAGCATCGGGGCGACAATTGCATACGGAAAGCGATTCCCGTCGGCTGACATCCGAGAGGTCAAGATCCTGACGGAGGTGAGTATGCTCACGAGGGAATAGGCACCATATGAGATGTATCTAACATGGAGATCTTGCAGTGGTTCCGCCGGGCAGTCATCGCAGGAGCTTCCCTTCAGTTGGCCGACTGGTGGCCGGTCCTCCGACCCATCATCCGAGCCGTGCCATATCGGATCAACCCACTTAAGAGATATCTAGGAGAGTTGGAGAGAATGGAGGTGGGCCTGTGGAAGACCCTCGTCGATGAAACCAGGGATCACATCCAGAAAGGACGTTATTATCCCAGTAAGTACGCACAAACTGCGCAGTTCCAACCATGTCCTTACTGGCTTGCTGACGATGGTGGTCCCCATTGCCGAATCTTCCAGGCTTGTGTCGTGACATGATACTGTCCAACGAGAAGGGCAAGGACCAATTGAGCGAGCGTGAGCTGTGGTACAACTCCGGCCATGCCTGGGCCGCGGCGACGTATATATAACATTCTTGCCCTGACCCATCTCCCTGTTTGGCAGCCATCACCTACTGACTGTCCCCATCTCAGAGATACGCAATCAAACACCCTATTGGGCTTTGTCAAGGTACGTCGGAGCCACCCGCAGACCGGGAGATGCGCCGACTGAATGCTTACCTCTTTGTTGACGCTGACGTTGTCAACAGGCAATGGTGCTGTTTCCCGAAGTGCAGAGCCGGGCGCGGAGCGAGATTGACACGGTAGTGGGCGCCACACGACTACCTGAATGGACCGACCGTGGAAATATGCCCTACTTAAGACGATGTGTGGAGGAGACACTGCGCTGTGAGTATGACTGTGAATGCATGAGACATAACTTCATCTGACAGACGAGTAGGGCAGCCCACGACCCTCACAGGGGGACCGATGCCCCATGCCTCGATGAAAGATGATGTCTACATGGGATATTCGATCCCTGCCGGAACAGGACTGATGAACTGTGTAAGTGTGAGCAGTGAAGCGGCAACAAGATGCGTTGGAAAGAGAATGCCTTCTTGGGGAGCAATAATCTGACGGTGCTCTCTGACCAGGTTTGGACTATCAACAACGACCCGGCAAGATACGACAACCCGCGCGACTTCAACCCCGAGCGGTTCCCGGAAGAGGACTCTGGCATGGACGCCTATTCCATCACCCAGAACTACGAAAAGAGACCACACCTCACCTTCGGCGCTGGACGAAGGGTCTGCCCGGGCTCCCATGTCGCGGACCGCACACTATTCATCACCATGGCCCGGCTGCTCTGGGCATTTGAATTCCACCACAAGCTCGACGCGCAAGGGGTGCCAATCCCCGTTGAGAGAGATGCGCTGACCGAGGGCTTGGTGGTTGGACCTGCTCCGTTCCAGTAAGTACAACACACTCTCTACCTCAGTACATCAGAGCCCCCCAATCAGATCTCGAGGTTGGAGTCGGCACAGATATAAAACATGGGCTAATCAGATTGGGAAAATTGCTCAGATGTACCATCAAGCCTCGGAGCGAGGACAAGGTCGACATGATCCGAAAGCTATACCAAGACACTGCGAAAGAGCTTGATCAATGGGGGAATTACACAGAGGAGTTCTTCAAGGAAAATTGGACAGCCGCGGACCTCAAATAGTCGGACAAGGAGTTGGCTTGACTGTATTCCATAGATAGAAGATTGCATGGCCACAATTCGAATGGGCCAGAAGTTCTCTCTCGGAACGGGAGATATGCCACACTCACCTGGGTATGTACGGCCTTTCGGACGCTAGTAGATTCCTCTTCATCTCCGCGAACACAGATCGGACGGGAAGAATTAACAAGTCATGAGAGAACCAAGAACCGTCATATGATGGCACAGGAGTGGGCAGAGTCCACGGATTGGACAGGAATGATTCAGGGTAGCCATGAAGATGGGGGTAATCCAGATACTCAGCGATGTTATTGTGACCAAGATAGCACAAGTTCGTCAGGAAAACCAAGATTGATTGCGGCGTTTCTGCCTGTTACTCCATTGCTAATAAAATTGTTGGTCATCGAATACTTCCACAATAATCACGTGAGTTAGCGATCAACGATGAAGGCCTCTCTCACCGAAATAAAAACAAAAGGGAGAGAGCTGCCTTGGAAGACAGATGTAAGATGGTCACTGATGATTCGGTCCGACTCGTACATGCACCGCTCAGAAAAATGTCGGGTATCACGGAATTGATTGATCGGGCTACGAACCAGCAGGACAGTGACTTCGTGACGGGTTCGATCGTTGGCACCGTCGTTGGGAGACGAGGTGAGCATTTCTCCGGGCCATATGGTTGTCATATACGCCTACTCCTTGAAATGGAAGTACTCCGGACGCTGAGAATCTACCTGGTGTTGCAAAAGGGCAAATCCTGTATCAACATGTCAGCGGCGTGGGTTCGGCGCCCGACCAGCCCCTGACAGGCGATCATCTCTTCTGGCTGGCTTCGCAGTCCAAGTTGATGTGCGCGGTCGCGGCGATGCAGACGGTGGAGAGAGGCCTCATTGGACTCGACGACGATGTGGCGCCTCATGTACCCGAACTGGCTGCTCTGGAGGTCCTGGATGGCGGCGAGGATGACAAGGGAGTCCCCACGACCAAGCCCCGGAAGAACAAAATCACCCTGAGGTTGGTTTCTCGAACAAAACCCCCAGTGGTATTCTCGTACCTTTTTTGCCAGTCCAGTCCAGTCCAGTCCAAACTAATTCGCGGCCTGAGTGGTGGAGGGGTTCAGATTGCTCTTGTCCCATCAAAGTGGTGTCGGCTACGACATTATGCCATTTTCCCTGGCCAAATGGGCCAAGGCAACCGGGTTGAAATACACGACTCTGGACAACACGGGGGTAAGTTTCTTCACAGCCCGTTGGACTACGGGATGGGTTGTGTACAGGAGAAGGAGAAGCTGACGGAATGAGAGGACAGATCCCCATGAAGACGGTGCCCTTGGCCTTTGAGCCCGGAACAAGCTGGACCTACGGAGCTGGGATTGACTGGGCCGCTGAGGTGGTATGTCTCAACCAGAACGGGTAACAGGGTGGGTGGACACGGCTTCCAGATTGCTGACTGCGAGTGTCATGGTGACAGGTCGCGAGACTCAACAAGACCACGCTCGAGGACTACTACCGCAAAAACATCTGGGAGCCATTGGGCATGACGCACACGACCTTCCACCCGCTCAAGTTTCCCCCCAACGAGATCGTCCAAGGCTTCGAACGACAAGAGACCGGCAAGGCCATTGCCAAAGACATTCCCGTCCCTAAGGAAAGCCCCGTGGAGATGGGCGGCCACGGGGTCTGGGGCAGCGCGAATGACTACATCAAAATGCTGTCGGCGCTGCTTGATGGCGGAGGGCCTATCCTGTCCTCCAAGAGCGTCGATGAGATGTTCTCTCCCCAGATGCTGCACCCGCAGGCTTTGGATGACGTGGTCAAGGGACCCTACAAGCCTGTCCTTGGTCCCTCGATCCCGCCGGACGCGAAGATCGATCACGGCCTGTCCGGGCTGATCAACCTCGAGGCCTTTCCCGGTCGTCGAGCTGCCGATACTTTACAGTGGTCGGGCGCACCGAATCTGATCTGGGTACGAGTTCCCCAGCCCCTTTATTCTTGTCCCCATACCTTGCCATGTTCTGTGAATCAATCTGTTTACTAACGATTCCGATACTGCTTGGACACAGTGGATCGACCGGAAAACAGGGATTGCGGCGACGGCATTCCTCCAGATCATGCCCCCTGGTGATCCCATTGCCGGAAAGTTCAACGTCAATTTCGAGGAGCAGGTCTACAAGGCTTTTGGAAATGGGGGTTGAGACCTTGACCAGACGGGATGATGCTGGACCAACGCTCTATAGCTGACTATCCAAATGAAAACCGTGAGCTCTCATGACATGATGCTTGCACCAATAAAGAGGCCTCTTTCTATTATGAGAATCCCCCGTGTGAAGTGATTCTTTGGTCACCGGAACTGTCGTGAGCGAGCGCTTTGACGTGCCCAAGTGTGTGCTCAGAATATCACCAACGTCAGCTAGCCCCATGACACAGAAGAGCAGATAGAGAGAGAACTGACAGGTCTCTCCAACGAACAACCCTCGTATTTTCTTGAGTCATATTACGTCTCCGACAATGACAAACAAACCCACTCAGTTTCGGTTAGATATACACGCGGCAGGGAAGGTCATGGCAAAGCAGACTCTAGAGTGTTGATTGGAGGAGGATAGTCAAAGTCATCGAACGATTACATATATACCGCTCCCTCGCCCCAGACCCCGCTTTTTGTTCTTGTGCTTCGGCACAGTAGCGAGCTGTGCCTTCACATGTAAAGCCTTGGTGGATCCATTGTGGGTCTATTCGCGAAAGTACAGGGAGGGGAGAACATGATGGTAGTCCTACCTATGGAAGAGGGTATATGTGCCTTGCATAGCGAGTAGGAGTGGCTCAGGGTGGGAATATATATCTGTTGTACCTACTGAGGCCCCATTTCACCAGGCGCAGAGATATAAGATACCTTTCCCTGGTCAAATACCAAACACCAAACCGCATCGGAACACACACATATATACACGTACACGCTCTCTCTCACAGCCGGAGCACCGAGCGGAGGAAGGAGATGTATGCCTTCAAGAAACAGATGAAGGGCGGGCCAGGGTTCTTCGACAACGTCGACCCCTTGGATTTCGCCACCCGCCCGGTCGACAAGCCCCGGCCCATGAAGGTGATTGTCATCGGGGCGGGCATGTCGGGCATCATCGCCGGCATCTTCTTCCCACGGGCCATCGAGAACCTGACCCTGACCATCTACGAGAAGAACGCCGACCTGGGCGGCACGTGGTTCGAGAACAACTACCCCGGCATCGCGTGCGACATTCCCTCGCACGCCTACAGTTTCACCTTCGAACACAATCCAGAGTGGAGCAGCTACTACGCCCCCGGCGCCGAGATCGAGGCTTACCTCAAGCGCGTGGCCACCAAGTACAACGCGCTGAAATACATGAAGTTCAAGAAGGAGGTGGTGGGCGCCGAGTGGAACGACAAGGAGGGCAAATGGTACGTGAGGCTCAAGGATGCAGAGACAGGACAGGTGAGTATGCGATGGCACTGTATTTTTGCAAATAAATACCCCAGCCTTAGCGGCCTCTTCCCTCCTTCGTTGTCTCTTTCTCTCTCTCTCTCTCTCTCTCTCTCCCCCTCTCTCCTCTCTCACAGGAACGGGTATTCTAACCTCCACAACCCACGACATGTAGGAGTTTGTGGACACAGCCGACGTGGTTTGCTCTGCGGTCGGCATCCTGAACCAATGGAAGTGGCCGGCCATCCCAGGACTACAAGACTTCAAGGGCGACATGTTCCATTCCGCCCATTATGACCCCAGCTACGATCTCACCGGCAAACGGGTGGCGTTGATCGGAGGGGGGTCCAGCGGCATCCAGATTCTCCCCAAGATCCAGCCCAAGGCAACCCACGTCGATCACTACATGAAAGGCAAGACGTGGATCCCACCAGCTGGGATTGGCGGCGAAGGACTCATGGAAAGAAACGGTGACCGTAGGTACCCACGTCGACAATATCCCCCCTTCTTTTTTTTTTCTCTTGAAGGCTTCAATATGCCAGAACGTCTTGAGCACTGACAATATACTTGTTTCCTCACAGCAATAACGCCCGCTGCGGATCTCGAGCGGTTCAAGAACAACCCAGAGGAGTACATCGAGTACCGGAAACAGATTGAAAACATCCTCCATCGGCCCGTCGAAGCCCTCTACCAAAACACCGAGGGGATGCAGGTCCTCTGGGACTTTTGCAAGGAGCACATGAAGACCAAGCTGGCCAAGAAACCCGAGATCTACGAGCAGTTGGTCCCCGACTTCCCGCCGGGCTGTCGTCGCTTGACCCCCGGGCCGGGGTACCTCGAGGCGCTGGTCGAGGACAATGTCTCCTTCGTGTCGACCCCGATCAAGCAGGTGTATGGCGATGGGATTGAAACTGATGACGGGACCAAGAGGCCCGTCGACACAATCATCTGCGCTACCGGCTTTGACGGTGTGTACAAGGTGCATTTCCCTGTGACCGGCAAGGGTGGTGCCCAACTGCGGGATCAATGGGACGACATTCCCGAAGCATACCTGTCCATGGCACCCGAGAACATGCCCAACTACTTCATTTTCTTGGGCCCCAACGGCGGACCAGGGCTGGGATCCGCGTTGCCGTTCTTGGAAAACGAGGCCAAGTACATGATCAAGTGCATCCAGAAACTCCAGCGAGAGTGGTATAAGAGCATGCTTCCCAAGTACGTCTTCCCAGAATCCTTGTATCTTCTAGAGATGAAACCTGTGCTGACCCTGGAACCACCGTGAGCAGAAGAGAAGCCATTAAATCATTCGGCAGATACGCCGATCGGTACTTCAAGCCCACCATCTTCGCGGCCAATGTGAGTAAACTGTCCGTGTTCGATATGTGACTGCTTTCTGACAGTGCCACAACCAGTGCCGCGCGTGGTGGAGACACAAGAACAGCCCCGAGGGCCGTCTCTTGGCCATCTGGCCGGGCTCTCAACTGCACGGGAGTTTCGTCTTTGAAAACCCGCGCTGGGAGGACTTTGACTTCGAACTGCGGCCCGAAGTCAAGGGCGAGCTGTTTGAATGGCTCGGCAACGGCCTCTCACGGCGCCAGATCGAGATGGAGGGCACCACCGACTATCTCAACTCGTATGTGCCTGTTGAGAATCCGATCGAGATCGCCGAGGAGAAGAGACGGAAGAGGGAGCAGCAGAAACACGAGGAGGGGGAAAGAGAGAGGTTGAGGTTCGAGGAAGCCAACGCCCGCAACCACGACTTGGAACAGGAGAGGGCCACCACGGCAGTCTTTCTGCAGCAGCAGGTGTCTGCGAATTGAAGAAGCAAGACAGGATTGAGTTTGGATCTATTTTAAAGGCCGACTACCTTCAGAAGATGATTTCTGCCCGTGAGGACGTACGGAAGGATAGCAGACTGATATCGCGAGGATTATAGAGACCGTGTACATGTCCTCCAGCACGTATCTCAACTTATCGAACTCATTTTACGTGACAATGTTCCTCCTGTTAGTACCGAGTACTACGGACATTTCTTCTGTTTATTCATCTGTCTACCTTTATGAGTTACACATGGCTATTTTGATGTCCATAGGTGTTTGATATGTCCAGGCAGGCATAGAAAGCTGCACTATATTCTTCTCCCTTGCCATTGCAGTCATGACTCTGTCCAAACTGACATGAATCAGGGAAAGCCACCGTTGACGGGCAAAACTTGGCCAGTAATGTACGACGCCGCGTCACTCAGCAGGAAGACGATGGCGTCGGCCTGTTCTTCGGGACGACCCAGTCTCCCGAGCGGGATGAGAGCCAGCCCGGCCGTGAGCGCTTCCCCCCTCCCTGCACCGTCGGCCAACTGTGCCCTCGCCAGTGGCGTGTCCGTGCCTCCCGGGGCGACCATGTTGACACGCACGCCCTTGTGAGCCCAGTCGTGGCTCCAAGACCGCGTGAGCCCGAGCACGGCGTGCTTGCTGGCCGTGTATGCGGCGAGCGTGGGCCAAGGGCACAAAGACGCGCTGGAGCCCAGGTTCACGATGCTGGCGCGCGTGTTGGCCGGGGCTGGACCGTCTCGGCCCCTGTTGGGCGACTCTCGGTCCACAATGGCCAGGAGAGCCGTCGTGACGTTCCATGTCCCTGTCACGTTGACACGCATGGTCAGGTCGTAGGTCTCGTCGCTCTGCAAGTAGCCGTCGCCGCCGGGACAGACGCCCGCGCTGTTCACCAGTCCGTCAATGCGTGGAGAGATTGCCTGGATGGCGTCGTACAACTTCGTCACGGCGACGCGGGAGCTGACGTCGACGGACCCGTAGAAGTGCACCTGTCCTCGCTGTTGCTTCTGCTCCCATTCCTTGTAATCAGGAGGAGGGGTGGCGACCAAGTCGACCGCATGGACGACGGCCGAGGCATTCACCAGCTTTCGAACCGTCTCCAGTCCGATGCCAGATCCGGCTCCCGTCACAATGTACGTTTTGCCCGTCAGCGATTCCATTGGTTTCCCTCCTCTGGGAGATATGGTGTTGGTGATAAGTTTCTGAAAGAGACGGATCAGAGAAGACGCGAAAAGACTAGGATTTATCTATATAATTTTGCGGTTCGACTATGCTGATTGGGATCGGAGAGCGAAGAAGCTGGGGACCTCCTATCAGCGGCATACTCGATCAGATTTATCTACATGGTTCTGTGGTTTGACCATACCTATTGGGATCGGAGCAAGAAAACTGGGCTGTACTAGCCTAGAGGAGTCGTATTAACTTGAATCAGTCTGTGTCAGGCTAAATAGAGGGTAAGCCGTCCTGATAGGGAAGGTAAAGCAGCCTTGACCATGTGACAGTAAAAGTGCCTCGTCATATCTAACCATGAACAACACCGAAGACAACGTTCTCGACGTAGAACTTGGACTAATCAGTGCAAGGAGCCATGATTCAAGCACTCATGCCGACATCTCGTATCGCAGACAAATCTGCGTCCAACTCGGGCTGGCGTGACTTACCTGCCCATTCTTTGACTGTAGATTTGGTTTGTCAAACAACAAACCCCATTCCGCCTCGCCTTATTTGGCCCTAGGCCACTTAGTCCTAATATGCAAGTCCTTGTTCCGCTACCCCGGCCTTGGCCTGACTCGCGTCGGATCATCCTCCGGGGTATGTGGGGCATTCACCTGGGGGATATTGACTCGGATACCGACAGAAAATCCAGGAGGGCGGTAGTATTTGTCACGGTTCAACCACATAAAGAATGACAGAGAAATGACAGAGTTCCGGTAATGTGGTTGATGTTGTCCGTTTGCAGACTAGTCGGGACTCGCTCGTCGATAGTTGGGCCAGAATGTTGGGTCGAGTCTTGTACGACAGATATATAGATATGTATGCCTGTCGGGCTAGATAAGGAGAGCGTATCGGACAAGAATTCTCCCCCCTTTTCGCTGTATACAACGACAGGCATCTGGACTTTTAGTCCCGTCATGGCGGATACAATCAGCGAGTCTGAGGCACATCATCATGCCGACGATGCTCACCATCACCATGCTCTCCACCTTGCCAAACCTCGTGATCGACATGATGAGGAATATCAGGAGGACATCAGGATCGCAAATCTCCTAGCCAAGGATGTGGAGGAGATGCCACGAGAATACTTCACCAGCATTCCCTTGGTCGGCACCATGGTCTCAATGTCTCTGACCGTGGTCTCGTCGTATTTTGGCTTTGCTGTTCCTGCATCGGTCCTGACATTCATCAATCTAGACATCGGTATGTACAGCTCTTTTCCCTCTTCTCCTTGCCTTGCTCATTCTCTGTTTGGACCTTCTCTGAAGCTAGAGTCTGACACAAACCCACAGGCCCGAGCACTGACATGAGCCTCTTTTCCATCGTATGGGTCTTGTGCAACGCCATCAGTCTGTTGATCACAGGACGAGTCTCCGATAAGTTTGGACGGCGCAACTTTGTGCTCGGTGCTGGAGCACTCGCGATAATCGGAGGGATCGTGGCCTGCACGGCAAAGAATATGAACACCCTGATTGGGGCGAACGTGTGTCTCTCTTCCTCCCTGTTGTGACATTATTGGCTCTGACATGTCTTTATATCCACAGGTTATCATTGGTCTCGCATCTGGTGTTCATTCTTCGCAGAGCCTCTTTACTGGAGGTAAGAATATCAACCCTTTGCGGCCTTGCCTCTGTTGAAAGACTTGCTGACCGACTCATCGATAGAGCTGTTACCTCACCGATATAAGTTTCTGGCCGTTTTCATGATGCTGATTCCCATGGTCACATCCACCGGATTGGCAGCATATATCGCCCGGGCACTGGTCGAGACAAGAAGCTGGCGGTGGATCTACTATATTTACCTTATCTTGGTTGGTGAGTGAAAAGGATTCAGAGGCAGTGCAGCATAGATGTTGCGGTTGACCGTCTTTCACTCCCACGCCTATCGAGCGCAGCTGCTCTTGAAAATGCCAGGCGAATCCATTCTTCTGACTTCCTCTTGTGCAGGCTCCGGCTGGATTATCCAGATCCTGGTCTACCACCCCCCGACCTTTGATCAACTCCACGGCGGACATCGCTCTCGACGGCGGGAATTCAAGCGCATGGACCATTTTGGCCTCTTTCTGCTCGTTGCGGGCCTCACGCTATTCATCCTCGGAGTTTCCTGGGGTGGAAACCCACAGCCGTGGACTTCAGGGCGCATCCTCGGGCTCCTCATTACTGGAGGAGTTACACTCATCATTTTCGTCATATACGAGGTATACACACCCAGCCCCAACCCAATTGTCGACATGACTCTGTTCAAAGATATACGAGGCTACGTGTGTCTGAACATTGTCTCCATGGCCGCGGGAGCCATGTACATCGCCCTGAATGTCATTTGGCCTCAACGTAAGTGGACAACATCTCTGCAATCACACTGGAAAATAAAACGATGTCCACTGGCTAACATCAAGACTTTTCGGGGTCTGTTCTACAGAGGTCGTCCTGGTCTATGGCTCTGAGAATCGAGACTGGCAGACTTCGGCTTGGATGAGTGTATGACCGCACCGCCCTTCTCGTCCCTTTGTTTTGAGCTCCGGGAATCGTTCTTTCAAGCTGACCTTCACATAGACGGCAATAGGATGGGGAATCTGGGGTGGAATTATGATCTTATTTCCCTTGGTTTCCGTGATTAAGCATTTGCGCCGCCAGGTCTTGGTACTTCTCATATTCAGCCTCGCCTTTACCGCCGCCCTTTCTCAGGTCAACCGCTCTCAGAAGGGTCAGGCCATCGCCTTCGCATTTCTCACTGCATTCCCGATAGGATGGCTGGAAACAGGTACGACAATCATGGTCCAGCTTGATGCACAGGACGCAGATGTTGGCATGGTCTATGGTATGTTTGTCTTGTTGCGACAATTGTCCCTCGTCTTCATAGCCTGACAAAACTCTTGTGCTCAGCTGTGCTATCTGGCCTGCGGTCGATTTCGGGCGCCGTCTTCACGGCCGTCTTCGTGGCAATCCTCAATTCCAAAGCCACCGCCAAGGTCGGTGCGTATGTGACTCGCGCCGCCCTTGAAGCTGGTCTCCCCCAGTCCTCGCTCGGGCAACTATTTCAGGCGCTCCAGACCCAGTCCGCCGAGGCACTGGCCAGCGTCCCGGGAATCACCACAGAGATACAGGTTGCTGTCGCTCGTGCCGCCGAGAATGCTTATGCTGACGCATTTGCCTACGTCTACTATGCCGCCCTGGCTGTCGGTGGCGTAGCAGTCCTGGCGGCGCTGTATATGAAGGACTATGACCGCTATATGACAGGCCATACACCTAAGCAGATCTACGGTCGAGGGGGTCTGGCCCCCGAGGTGACGGTAGACGTTGAAAAGAAGGATATTGGGGAAGATGTGAAGACGCATCACGTCGCATCACATGAAGAGGAGAGTGTGCGGCCATCTGAGTAGGATTCAAGGGAGTCGATAGGGCCTTGGATGCCGGAACGGGTGGCACAATCTTAGCATATTGGGAGTACGATGGGGAGGGAATTTGCTCAACGAGATCCAGGTCACTTGGGCTGATCAGTGTCTAGACCTGGCTTGTAAAACCGGACGGAGGTCACCAGAGGGCCAAGATCACAAGTCTTGGATCCTCTTGATCCCTAATTAGGTTTAGAACTTGCTTGAATCGTGTCAAGGCCCATTTCTGACACGATTCTCGCGCCCAGCAAAGCCCAATCCGGGTGATTGGCAGATTGAGCAGCTCGGCCACTTGAGGGGTAAACCGAGGGAAGACTAGTCGGACGCCGGAACCAGGAATTGATTGTTGATCCACGGGGTCCCCAGATTCTGCCGAAGAAACATCGTGGGGACCTTTTTTCTGGCCGATTCTCTGTTTGTTTGCTTCCTCGCTTCCACACCATCTTGCCCCTCGTCTTGCCTGACTTTACCGTTTCTCTTCTTTGCTCGAAGCTCGGATATATATCAGAATTTGTCTCTGCATTCCAATCACGTAAGACATCGTCTGACGAAAGATGCCGAGGCGAAGAAAAGAAAACCAGCCAGTCGAGGTGGAAGCGGCGGCGACATTCGAGGGATGGGATGACATGGATGAAGCCTCCAAAAGGTGGACAGCCCTCGCAACCAGCCAATTAATTCTTGGTCACCATTTCAGCAGTCATGACATGTACTGACCCAAGGTGCTTGTTTCCATCTACAGGAGAATTCGGAATCGTCTGTCCCAACGGCACTTTCGGGAGCGCAAGTCTCTGTACATCAAGAGTCTCGAAAAAGCATCCAAGGCGAGCACTCAGACAGAAAGCGCACGGAACAAGGCCCTGTCAAAGGAGCTCGCAGACCTGCGAACGGCCACGTTGAAGATGCGGGCGCAGATTTTGAAGCTGTCATGTTCGCTGCACGCCGTGGGCACCGAGGTTGGCAAGATCCTTCACGTCAAGGGGCTGGAAGACTCGGACTCTCCTTCCGAGCTCCAAGACACCAATCGCATGTCGTCGCCATTGAGTGATCTAGCCTACGGAGAAGAAAGCTCTAGTCCTGGGGGCTTGAACCCCGGCACCCTCTCGGACGAGTACGCAGAGTATCCAGAATTAACCGAGCTGAACCTGCAACCCCACCACACAGAGCATGATAACGAGCGTGTATCTCGGTCAGAAGCTTCTCAGAACACAGACACAGGACATGAAACTCGCCCGCCGGACGAAACATCAAACGCAAACGATCCAGTATTGAACCCTTCCCAAAGCTCTGCAGATGACCTGCAACCCGAAACCGGGACACACCAAGGGGAACAACACCCTTCTCAGCACTTTGTCAATCATAACGGAAATCTTCCCAATGCAACAGTGCAAGCGGTGAGCCCCGAATGGAGTGTCGGTGACCCAAACAGCCTTGAATTCTACTCACAACCCATGGGACCTATGGGATTCCAAGTCTATGGCACGACCTTTGCCTCACCACGCGCAACGACAAGGATGACATCTCCTGCCGCTGTTGGCGGCAGTGCCACGGCAAGTTTTGACACTGCTCAGCAGGTTGCCGGCCAGACATTGCATACGCATACCGCTGCACCGAGTCACCCAGACCTCACCGTCCATCAGAGAGCATCGCTGCAGCAAGCAGGACAGCACCAGGAGCATCAGCATCAGCATCAGCAGCATAGTCCTGATTCGCTCCTCCAAAGTGTTCCTGGGCAGACCAACCTCAGCCTTCCTGCTGGCCACTTCCCACCATGGTTTGGCGGGGATTTAACCCCAAACAATCCTTCCTCTGCCTTTGCAAGACATATGGAGACTCTGGAGCTCCAAGTCCGCTGCCGGATCGATGCTGCCCCAGATGGATCGAGCAGGGAAAAGTAAGAGACTTCTCGATTTTCTCTCTCTTCTCTTCTCCCTTTCCCTCTTCCCCCTCTTTGAGAAGTGGAAGCGCAGTGTTGCTTCCAGAGTCAAGGCTAATCCCCATCTTCCCAGGCTGATCCGCTCGTGCTCAACAATCATGTCTTTGTTTGTCCAAAATGCCTGGCCGTCGTCCTACTCGGTGTGGTTCAAGTCTCAAGTCCCCCAAATCATCGGACCGATCCTGCTGTGGCGCATCTGTCCCTCGTACGACACGTATAACCTGCTTGGGGCAAACTACAAACCCACCGAGCTACAACTTTCCGTCCCGCATTCAGCCGTGATCGACTGGGTCCCGTATTCGGAGCTGCGAGACAAGATCATCATGTACTACAACCAATCGGTGGTCCTGGACAGACTGTTGTGCGACATGATGAACTCGTACGTGATCGAGGTGCCGGACCTCGCTCAGATCCTGCCCCAGGCTCCACGTGGCCGGGCTTACTTTGGCATATGGAACATCTTCCGCGCCATCGACGTGGCTTTTGAAAACCAAAACACCAACAGCCGCCGCAGCAAGTCAGGCCGGTCGCCCGGTTCGGCGCCTGCCACGGCAGACTATGCTAACCAGTCGGCCGATGAGGGCATGCTCAATGTCGACGATCCGTGTGGTATATATGCCGAGTTTGCGCTGAGTGAGCACGCTGGCTCACCACCAGCCGGGGGTGTCTCCGGGAAGGAAGACGATCACGACCATGCCGCTGCCTCCTCATCATCATCAACCTCAGCTTCGCAGTCGGGTGGTGGCAAACCGTTCAACCTCGTCGATATCTTCACGACCCCAGCGTCGGTCCTCAAACTCTCACACGATATCCGTCTCTACGCAAGTCGATCGTGGCGGTTCGACCGCACCCTCTTCGACAAGTACCCCGAGCTCAAGTTTGACGGGTACGAGAATGTCGTGGCCCAAGGTCGATCGTGCCGCATCCCCACAGCCCCGCCTGATGGGCCGATCGAAATGACGGAGCAGACGATGCACATATATCAAAAGGCACTAGAGAAGTCGGTATAGCTGGAGCAGAACAACACTCCCGGGCAGTACTAGAAAAGCCGTTGCATCAAGGATCTCAGAGTAAGAGTGTGTCTAAAGCACTGAGCGGTAGGAAGATGGGGTTTGCACAGAAAGAACTCGATTAGGTACGCAACAAGTAGCAACTGAACGAGGCTCTGATGTCGCGCAAAACAGTCCGCGCCATGAACCAGAACCGCCTCGATAGGACGATCATCTCACTTCTCTTGAGTGGATCAGTCCAGTATCTGACTTTGTACCTAGTTAAAGCGGGCGTTTTAGGTAGCCTTTTCATGTACTTGTAAACTTGGTCACAACATGATTCAACTTCCACGGGGATACCTCAAAGTTGCAACGAAAATTGACGGATTGAACGGCGGCAACGATGACGGTGGCAAGAAACATAACCCAGCTGGCTTTTCCAGAATATTGATATCCCACGATTTGCAGTAACGCATTTACATTGTCATGGACATGTGTGGATCACGCCATTCATGGTTGTATTTTATTGCGTAATTTTCCTTCAGGACAGTCTAGTACAAGGCACTTCTTGAACTACACGAACAATGACACTTCTAGCTGCGGAACATCCCCATCAAATAATACTAATAATCAACATCCACCCACCGTGCCACCATCCAGGGGGGAAGAAATGTCTTTTCTCCACTCCAGGATTTCAGTGATCAGTATTAATATTGCCAAGAACGACAGACTGATATCCAAAACAAGTTAGTCACGTATCCCGCTGAGATTAAGCGTGATTGGGCCAGGTTTCTGTGGGGGCCAGGTCAAGAAGGTTTTAAACCGATGACAAACGAAAGTGTTGACACACACATAAAAGGTCGAAACCCCTTCGCCTGGTGGAATAGAATCCACAAGCACAGGGACCCTGGATGTTCTGGCAGTCACGGCGATGACAATGCATCGTCAATGGAGGCCCACATCTAATCTGGGTCTCGTTTTTGTGTTACCCGTCGATTTACTCGCAAGCTTGACTCGTACCAGCCTCGTAGAGGGAGATGATGATCGGGCTTGATCTCCCCCCAGGACTTTCCAATATTCTCCTTTGTCATTCACATCCATGTACTACGAGGTATGACTAGGTCAATCGGGATCTCTTCCACGCAAGAGCAGCGGTCGCGGATACATCCAGTATCAACCCCGATGTGGTCCATGCCTTTATTTCTCATTTGTACAATACCTTGTCTTGACAACAGCCTCTCGAGTCTATGGAGTTTTGACTAGAGTTGAGAGATTTTTCGATTTCTACACCAGATATCCAGCAACTCACAAAATCCCATTTGACCATTTCCACCCAACAATTATTTTGAGTTCTTAGTTTTTGTTCTCGATCCTATTGTTTAGGAATCCTGCTATACGACTTCCCAAATGGCGTCAACATCTCTCGCCAATCGAGCCTACATCGTCACCGGCGCCGCATCGGGCATTGGGTTGGCCACGGTACACAAACTCCTGGCCCGCTCCGCGACAGTGCACCTCCTCGACCGCGCAGCGTCGTTCCCCGAGTCAATCGACGCGACAGCGAAGCGAAACACCGCTTCCGGAGCCAAGGTGTTCTCATATCCCTCGGTCGACGTCTCCTCCCGCCCCTCAGTCAGCCAGACATTTCAGACCATTCTGTCGCGCACGCCGCAGATTGACGGCCTGGTCAACTCGGCCGGCATCTGTCCGTCGAGCGGCGGGATCCTCGAGAACGACGAGACCTTTCACAAAACCCTCGACGTCAACCTCACGGGCACTTGGAACGTCGGCACCGAGCTTCTGCGCTACATTCTGGCCAAGAAGCCAAAGAATGGAGAGAAGTCTGCCTCCCCGTGGAAATGGGTGCCGGGCCACAGCGGCGCCTGTTCGGTCGTCAACATCGGAAGCAGCGCCTCCTACTACGGTTTCCAAACTCTGGGTGCCTACGTGGCCAGCAAGCACGCGGTGCTGGGCCTGACGCGGACCTGGGCGTTGGATTTCGCGCCCCATGGTGTGCGCGTCAACCTCGTAGCCCCTGGTGGCGTACGGACGCCGCTGTCCCAGGCGCAATTCGACGACGCAGAGCGAGGGGATATGAGCAGGGAGGTGTATCCGCTGATTCCCCTGAAGAGGTTCGGTGAGCCCGAGGAACTGGCCGACGCCATTGTCTTTCTGCTCGGTGATCAGTCCAGTTACATTACCGGTCAGATCCTCAAGGTGAACGGGGGGTGGCCATAGAGAAGATAGAAGTATTGAATCAGATAATATGTCGTTCTTCCCCCAAGCATCCTGAGAGGTGGTCTCATGGTGACGTGTTGGCCCGTTCACCGCCGCTCACTTTCTACACTGTGTAAACAACCATCGGTAACCTTCATCCCAACGTGCGTCTCCTAATCTCAGCCAGACTGTCAACAGAGGTCTTTGCGTTACGAACTTGTCTTCTTCAGCCGAAGTTCCTCTGGAAACGCTCGTCGCTGAACCAGTATATCAAACACCTCTGGGCCCCGCCGCAACCGACTTGCTGGCAACCCCCGACTGTCGAACCGAGTTCTGCTGTCTGACTTCTGAGTTGATAGTGCATGAGTATCTTCTAGCTTCTTACGCCCTATTTTTTCCCCTCTTCCTCATCCTGACTTCTTCTCCTCCTGCTTCGAAGTGATACGAGATTCTATAACGAGTGAGCCAGTTTTCGACTTGTTTGTGCGTAATGCTAGACCCCCGCTCCCGGATCGCATGAGAAGTATTTTTTTTTAAAGGCGCTCGTTCTTCTTGGGTACCCAGGCGTAGTCAACGTATATCTAAGCTCAATGGAGCTGAAGTCAAGCTAAGCCTGATTAGGTATCTCTTAAGTGAAGGGGCCCATGTTAAAGTCGAAGTTGTTTCGACCAGGTTTGGTTCCATTATAGCCAACAATGTACAAGGTTTTTTCCCACAAAGCTCGCTCGCTCGCTCGATCCCTTACGCTCAGAAAAAAAAGAAACATGTCGAGCTTGTGCTGTACAACACTGCTAGTAAATTGCTCCGTCCCAATGAAATCAATGCCCTTACCCGCAACCGAGAAAGACGGTTCAACTCTGCTGTCCGGTCTGTGCCAACCGCCGTTTCCTGCCCCGGGCGATCAACGCCTTGTTCGCCCACCGGCCCAGCCAGCGAACCATGACGTCTCTCATCAATAACAAAAACACCACCACCGACACGGGCGTGGCAATGACCCAGAAGAACGCGTCGCTATGCTCCGTCACCCCCGGGAAAGTCGCAAAGTTCTGTCCAAAATATCCAGTCAAGAAGGTCAGAGGAAGAAAAAAGCATGTCACGATGGTGAGCTGTTTCATAGATTCGTTTTGATACGCCGACACGGTGTTGAAGATCAAGTCGACAAGATTGTCAGCGTTGCGGCGCATCTGGTCGTAGCTATCCTGGATAAGGAGAGCATGGTCCTCTACGTCTCCCAGGTAGGTGACTGTGAGCGGAGAAATCTCGACGCTGCTCACTATTAGGGGAGCGCTGGAGTGTTTGCGGAGGTTATTGCTTTGGGTATGATACAGCGGAGCCTTGTTCATAGGGTCGTTGTTTTGTTGGTCGAGGGCCGACGGACTGGCGATACGCGAATGAGTTATCATCGTAGGCTGGGCACTGGTCTTGTGATCCTTCAGCGCGCCGATGAGCTGAACTACCGGAGCAATGGCGTTGCGGAGGATCGCGATTTCCGAGGTCAAGATGTACAAGGTGGAAGATTGATGAATGTCCGGGTCGGTGAGAACGTCGAGCTCCAAATCTCCTATTGCGTCTTGATATGCCGTTGTTACGGGGAGAGCAAGGTCGATAATCGCGTCAAGGATCGCTTGACAGAGCATGCTGGCATCAGAGCACTGGCGGAGAATTGTGCCAGGAGACTGTAACCGGCGGATGATAGGTGTCTGTACATCGTGCGCAGAGTACTCAAAGAAGGAGATGACGGTGTTGTCTGCGCAAAGAAAAATGGAGACTTGTTCCATGGAGACCCCAATGCCCTTATGTCCAAGGACAGCGTGGCGCTCCATGTACTCGATTCGGTCTTGGTTTGGGCCGGCATGATAGCGTTGCATGGTGCGAATGGTCCTGGGTGCCCATGGCGTTTCCGCTTTGCTCGAGTGTCTAAAACTGTTCGAGGGCTGGATTCCGTCTCCGATGATATCTGGAGATCTAAGAGTCTCTTTCTTCTTCTCCTTCCGCAGGGGCTTTTGCAGATCCTCAATCAAAGACCGGATGGCGCCCTTCCGCTTCCGCTGCCGTTGCCTTCGCTGGCGTTCTGTGATGATCCTTGTCCGAAATTCGGACTCGGCATCAACAGATTCCAAGTCCTCCTTGTCGTCGACTTCCGAATCGTAGTCGAGTTCGTTGTCCTCGATGTTGATGAGCTTCTGCAAGGGAAGAATCATGTAGGTATGGTCACTGTACCAGTCGACCTTTGTGCGATTTTTGGTATTGAACAAATCCTCAATAGCCAGCCGGTGGAGATGCTTGTGGTTTCCCAGTACTCGAATCACGTCCCAAGAAAGCCCATTGACATTGATCCACCGGACATCAGCCCATTCTGGAGCGCCTTTCTGAAGGAATTCTTCAATATTGTCATTGTCCAAATCTGTCGTAGAAACCGCCTCGTTGCTGAAATCCACCACCGTAATCTCACACCGTTGGTTCAATCTCTCCATTTGCGCAACATCGGCAGGTGTTGCGGCACCCAGACTGTACGGAGGAGCAGGGTCGCTGGTGTCTATGCCTGGCTCCTGCCCAGGAGTCCATCCTGTAGTTCTGCCCATTTCGCCTGCGCCATACAAAACATTGGTCTCTGCTCGACCTCTCCTCCGCAGAGACCTTACGGAGTATTTGGAGACCCCGGTCTCGCTGCGATGAAGGTTCGGCGAATGCGGTGCGCCCTCTCCATCGTGGTGATGGTGTTCCGTGTTATCCCGGATGCGGATATGTTGCGGGTGATTTTCCGCGACCGAGTTCTGAGCCTCCAGGTCGTGCTCGTGACGCCCGCGGTGGCCGTGTTCTCGGGAGTGGCGGGCTAAGGAGGTTTCGGATTCACCGACAGACTCGAGGGACGTGCGCTTCGAGGAAACCACGACATGGGCAGGATGGGTCACCATTTTGAGGTACGGGTGGAAAGTTCCCAAGAGCGGGACATTTGGCAGAATACAAGAGAAAGGTTCAGCATCGACACAAGTAGGGAGACGAGGGTGAGATCAAAGGGGTGAAATTGAGCGACAAGGTCATAAAGCGCAGTGCTGAAGGATCAGCTGAAAAGAAACGTCGCCCCAGAATAAAATTCCCATACCGCGAAGGATGGGGAGAGGCGCCGTTAGGGGGAGGGGAACTGGTGGTAACAGGGGACGAGGCCAATGGCACCAATGGCATGTCTAATGCGCCCCCATAGTCTAAGCTTTTAGGCGGTGCAGGCTATTCCTCAGGGGCGCATGGGGTTCCAAGTGCGGCAGGTTGCGCCTCCAATGGGCAGATCTAGGCCGTTCTGAGTGGGCACCAACAATGACGTTATTATCTAGGTCGCTGACCTGGTCACAGAGTGGTCTCAACCACTGTCTCACGCCAACAAGAGTCCACAGTGAACCTCCCCGAAAGAGAACGCGTATCATAGTCCCCTTTTGTATTAACCAACTCGCCATCGGCACATTGCAAGACGCATTATTGTCGCTTTGACAGCGGCCACGGCACCATTGCCAAATACGAATTAACACTAACCATGTAGAGTAAGTCGTCGGCTATCTTTCCCAGACCAGCCATTCCGCATTATCGCCGCAACTTCGAATCGCAAGGCTGAGTCACCTAACACGGAATTGATATCCTGGACACTGTGTTCATACCTGATATCAACCACCATTCATGCCTGCTCCGAGCACTTAAAGGGTCTAGTATCCCTCGATATGCCCCTCTGAGTCGACTGTCTGACAGGACTCCGTCGGACAAAATCCACCATGCCCACCGCCAAAGGTATCGTGGTCTTCTCCGGCGGCAGCGCTGCCAACTCTCTCGTCGATGTCTTTGAAGCCGTCCGCGAAAGCAAAGACTGCCCTCTATCCTACATCATTCCCATAAGCGACAACGGCGGCTCCTCTTCCGAGTTGATACGTGTCTTTGGAGGACCGGGAATCGGAGACGTGCGAAGTCGACTGGTCCGTTTGATTCCCACCGATCCGCCCTCGACCGAACGGTCGGCCATCTCCAACTTGTTCAATCACCGGTTGTCGTCCTCGTCCTCGACAGACGCCGCAGATCAATGGCAGAGCATAGTCTGGGGCACATCTGAACTCTGGCACGGCATCCCGTCGGCCAAGAAGGAGTTGATCCGCTCGTTTCTCAACCTGCTGAACCTCGAGATCATGAAGCGAGCGAGGCCTTCTTCCACTTTCGACTTCACCTCGGCCAGTGTCGGCAATCTGTTTCTGACCGGCGCACGGCTCTTCAGTGGCAGTTTCGAATCTGCAATCTACTTGTTAAGCAGCCTGTGCGCCATCCCCGACGGGGAAGTGCGGGTGATTCCCAGCATCAATTCCAACTTCTCGCACCACATCGCGGCTGGCCTGGCTAACGGCGAGATTATCGTGGGACAGAACAACATCTCGCACCCTGCGGCCAAGACCGCTTTGGAGATGCCGACAGTGTCGCCTTCAAATTCTCCGTCCGATTTTCGTGCCCGCCACCATGCTGAACACTCTGAGGAGATTGAGGACGCTCATTTGCCTGGGACTCTCCCGACGCTACGGCAGCGAAACATCAAATTCAGCAAAGACCTGGACCAAGACCTCCCAGCCCGAATAGAGCGAATATGGTACATCAATCCCTACGGGCAGGAAATGCTACCCCCGGCTAACCCACGAGTAATCTCGGCCATCAACCAATCCCAAGCTATTATATACTCTATCGGCTCCCTCTACACTTCAATTCTTCCGTCCATTGTCCTCAAAGGAGTCGGAGAGGCTCTGAGCACGACCCCTGCCCGACATAAGATTCTCATACTGAATGGATCCTTGGATCGCGAGACAGGCCCGAGTTCGGATCCTTTTTCTGCATTTGACTTCGTGGAGGCAATCGCCCGTGCTTGCGAACAGTCCCAGGGACGTCTACCGAGAACTAAGCTTCACACTTCGCGGTCAGCCGACACATTGAAGACGTCGGCGCCATCAAGTCCTGCAGCTGCACGACACGGTGAATTCCTTTTCCCCGGCACAACCCGCCCCTCGCGTGATGGTGCTCGAGACTCGATTTACCGCAAGTACGTGACCCATGTCATTCACCTGACTGGAGAAGGCACCCCACATGTCGACCGAGATCATCTCGCCTCTCTTGGGATCGACTGCTTGAAGCTTTATGGTCGTAAGGGCTCAAAAGGACAGATGTACTACGATCCGCAAGCCCTGGTAGGCGCGATCGAAGCAATCCTGGGCAAAAGGGGGGATGCTATGGCCCTGAGCAGAAGCCGGCGAAATACCGTTGATGCCAATGCCTTGTCTCAACTGCAGGAAGCAAGGACAAATGCTCGAATAGAGGCCCTGAAGACTCCGTGAGACGAATCCCGACTGTGAAGATCATAGCTTGCCGCTCCTGTTACGCAACCATGCGACAAATGGTAGCTTCCATTCAACTCTTCGAAGGCTGTCATGAAAGATATCGAAGTCCACTTTCTGCAGACGATCGAGCCACAACTGAGTGCTGACAGATGGACCCATTATTACACCGAAACCATTGCTGATCTCTTCCTTGGTCCTGTCGGCAGACATCTTGGCACCAACTTCGTGCTTGTCGTATTCATGACCTTCATCATGCATGTGTTCGAATTCGTGACCAGGATCTTGATTTTCCCGGATGCCTTTGAGCATGGCACGGACAGTTATGAGATGATCGGAGGCACGGGTGGCCACCGTGAAAACCGCATCGCGGAGGCCGGAAGCGTTTGCTCCATTTCGAAAAATATCTTCTTCCTGGACACCATTTTGGGACATGACATCCAAGGGTAGCATTATAACGCCCTGTCGTTCGCGGGTAGGAGCGCCGCCCATTCCGGGGGGGTTATTAGAATGCATGTTAGGTGGAGGGGGGAAAGCTAGCAATGGCACTCCACGGAGCACAGCCACTATCCCAGCTGCCTTCCCAATGTGAGAAGCCAAATGATCCACAGTCAGAGAATTCAGAGGAAACGCCGACAGAGTTAGATATAGAAGTGTCGAATAAGTTGATTCGGCATAGGACTCGAGCTCAGTCAAGTTGGTGAAGCCGGGATGCGTCAGTTTCCTATCTCGGGCAGTGATGATGCGATGAAACCAGGTTTTGTTGAGCCTATATCCTTGCTTTAGATACGAACCAAGCAATATGGCAACAGGTTCTGACGGAGGCGCAAGATTAAAAGTCTTGTCGATGGTGTCCCGCCAGAATTGCATCCTCATTGCTCCGATCTGTGGCATTGACACCACGTCAGGTATCCTGGCCAGTTCGATATTAAAGGCGCGGATAGCAAAATACGCTGGAAGCATGTGCGGTTGAATGAAATGAGCCAGAGTGTATGATGGCGAGTCATAGTTCCTGGTACATTCAATGAGCGACCGGCCCCAAAGTATTCTTAGTGTGTTTGAGCTTACCGAACAAGATTTGAGCAATAACCTTGAGCCTTTTTCACATCCGGCGAATCTGGATCGAGCGAAAGCGGCACCTTTGCACTTGCTGTGAACATGCGGTATTTCGGACTGGCTCCCGCACAAACTAGCCGTTGCGTTGACAACAATGCTCGGCCATGGTTCCTGGCAAGAAGCATGTCGAAGTTTTCCTGTATACTTTCTCCCACTGCTCGACTTCTGATATTGACTCTTCAGCTTAGGGTTGTGGCCATTTCACCGACCAAGAAATTTAAGGGAGACACAATCTGAGTCCCATGCCTAAAGGCTCTCCGTGTGAAAAAGCAAAGGCTTAAATGATTGTATTCACTGGACGAAACGATGATCTTACATAGAGCTTGTGGAGAAACAATAAATTGGCTTGTCATGACGTGAAACTAGGATTCGCATCACGTGCGGGCGCGTCAAATCAATTAACGCGTTTTGTTTCCACGTCGAACAGGATCTTCTCCCTCCGCCACTGATATTGGAAAACTGGACGCTCCCATGGACATTGATGTGCGCCCGCGAAAGAAGAGACGCTTCTTCGTCGATGATCCTGAGGCTCTCCGCGAACATGCTTCTTCATCCGTAAATGCGTCTAGCAGACCAACATCCGCCACCTCATCCGCCGGCCACGACTTCGAGTCCTGTCAAACGAACCCTACGGATGTCCAAACCCCCCCCGACAATGAGAAGCCTCAGGCCTTTGACATCGACGTATTCCGCGCGTTTGTCGGAGAAGATGTTTCTCAGGATATCGTGGACAAAGTTGAGGCTGCGTCTAATGGCAACCTCGAGCGAGCAATCAATATGTACTTGGACGGTTCGTGGAAAAGTGCGGTCGCGGTTCCGACAAGGACATCACTTCCTTCGAGAAGTGTAGATTCTTGGCTGAGTGCACCTACTTCCTCCAGCAGCCTTCCCACCGCAATACCACAGGCCACTTCGAAAGACGTCACCTCCAAGACAGTATCCATAGCCACGATGCCAACTGAACGGTATGTTGGGTCATTTGGTGTGGGAGCATGGATGACAAAAAGCGGCACACACCTGTTGGCACACGGTGAATCGGTAAGAATAGAGAGGTCAAAGATCGCTCCTAAGACAAAAATTGGAAGAGGAGGGAAATTGGTGGCGGTGATAGGCCGGAATCAAAAGGCAGACGTGATCACCCGATTTACAAACGCAAAAGGTGAAGAGCTAGGTCGTCTGCCCGAGGAGACGGCTTCTTGGGTATCGACTTTGCTGGACCAGAAGATTTGCCGCTTCGAGGGAACCTGCGTTTTCGCGCCAGATCGTGTTCGAGTCAACGATACAATCTACCTGCAACTTCGTGCATACCTCCTGAAAACAGCTTTTGAGGCAAACACCTTTGTCAAGCCAAAGGATGACAACCGCGCCACCGGGTTTTTCGAAGAGAAGGAGAGCAGCGACGAAAAAGATCTTCGATTACGGCAAGTGGCTCTCGTCAAACTATTTGAAGAAGTCAACCTCAATCCCACTACAAGCAGCGAGACAACTTCCAAGCACAAGAAGCAAGGTCTACTCAGAGCTGCTGAAATGGCAGAGCAGTACGACAGAGACAAGGAAGCGAAGATCAAGTCAGGCATATCCACTCCCATCTCTGAGGACGAGGAGGGTGAAGAGTTGGAGGAAGATCAACTCGATACACTCTACCGGAAAGCACAGTCGTTCGATTTCAACACCCCAGAAGCTGAGCCGGCACCAAGTTTCCAATTGGACCTACGTAAATATCAGAAACAGGCCTTGCATTGGATGCTTAGCAAAGAACGAGACGAGAAATCTGACAAGCAACAATCAATGCACCCTCTTTGGGAAGAGTATACTTGGCCCACCAAGGACGCAAACGACGAACTACTTCCCATTGTCGAAGGACAAGACAAGTTTTATGTCAATCTCTACTCCGGGGAAATCAGTCTCGACTTCCCCGTCCAGGAACAAAACTGTTTGGGCGGCATTTTAGCTGATGAAATGGGCCTAGGCAAGACAATCGAGATCTACAGCTTGATCCATTCCAATCGTTCACAAATCGACCTGGAAGCCGCTGGTCAAACCATGACATCCGTCAATCATCTTCCCAGACTGCCCCAGACATCCACATCAGTCGAAGCAGCACCCTTCACGACGTTGGTCGTGGCACCTATGTCCTTACTGGCACAGTGGGAGAGTGAAGCTGTCAAATGTTCGAGACCTGGCTCTCTAAGGACTATGGTCTACTATGGCAGCGAGAAGTCGGTCAATTTACAGACCCTGTGCTCTGCCACAAATGCTGCGTCTGCTCCAAATGTCATTATAACGAGTTACGGCACCGTACTCTCAGAGTTTGGACAAGTTTCAACTGCTGGAGGAGATCGCGCGTCTCATGGTGGCCTCTTCTCCGTGGACTTTCATCGGGTTATTCTTGACGAGGCCCACACGATCAAGAATAGGCAAGCCAAAACGTCCAAGGCGTGTTATGAGATTAAGGCGAAGCATCGATGGGTCTTGACTGGGACACCCATCGTCAATCGCCTGGAAGACTTGTTCAGCTTGGTTAGATTCCTCAAAGTTGAACCTTGGAGCAACTTCTCCTTCTGGAAGACATTCATCACAGTGCCCTTTGAGTCCAAGGAGATTGCACGAGCTCTCAATGTTGTTCAGACAGTCTTGGAGCCCCTGGTGTTGAGAAGAACAAAGGATATGAAGACACCCGAAGGCGAAGCGCTTGTGCCACTTCCTCCTAAGTCTGTCATTGTCGAAGAAGTCGAACTCTCGAAGACAGAACGGGAAGTATATGATCTGATATTTACGCGGGCAAAGCGCGCGTTCAATGAGTCCGTAGCGGCCGGTACTCTCTTAAAATCATACACGACAATTTTTGCACAGATCCTACGCCTGAGGCAGTCTTGCTGTCATCCTGTGCTGACTCGGAACAAGGATATTGTGGCAGATGAAGAGGATGCTGCAGTGGCGGCTGCGGCTGATGAGAACGGGTTTGCGGACGACATGGACTTACAAGATCTCATAGACCGTTTTACCAAAGACAGCGACCTTGCAGACAAGGAAAATCCCACATCGAAGGACCCGATCACCACGTTCACCACCAATGCTCTGCGCCAAATTCAGGAGGAATCAAGTGGAGAATGTCCATTGTGCTTTGAAGAGCCAATGATCAACCCCGCCGTCACTACTTGCTGGCACAGTGCCTGCAAAGAGTGTTTGGAGAAGTCAATCACGGTCCAGACGGACAAAGGAGAAGTCCCTCGCTGCTTTTCATGCAGAGAAGTTATCAATCCGAGAGACGTCTTTGAAGTTGTTAGGCACAACAGTCCGCCTGTGTCCTCCGATCCTGAAGCAGACATGTATGCAGCTGACGAGAATGTGACGAGACCTGGCAAGATTTCACTCCGTCGATTACATCCATATTCACCCTCTGCTTCAACATCAGCGAAGATAGCGGCGCTGCTGCATCACCTGTCCGCGCTACCCCGGGCTACCAAAGCGGTGGTGTTCTCGCAGTTCACGTCCTTTCTCGACCTTATCGCTCCACAACTTACCAAACACGGTTTCTCGCACCTGCGATTCGATGGCACCATGTCACAGAAGGTAAGAGCACAGGTCATTCGAGCGTTCAACGCAGAAAATGCATCCGATCCCAAAGCTCCTCGCATCTTGCTGCTCTCTCTCAGGGCAGGTGGAGTGGGTTTAAATCTTACGGCGGCGAGTCGGTGCTATATGATGGACCCGTGGTGGAGTTTTGCAGTTGAAGCACAGGCGATCGATCGGGTGCACCGCATGGGTCAGACACAAAAAGTGGAAGTGATCAGGTTTGTGACCAAGGAAAGCATTGAAGGAAGAATGCTTCGTGTGCAAGAGAGGAAGATGGCGGTCGCTGGAAGCCTGGGTGTCGGCCAATCAGGGGGAGGAGAAAATGAAGAGGAGAGGAAGAAGAGACGGATCGAGGAGCTGGAGATGTTGCTTGGCTGAGTTGAGAACCGGCCTTAGCCGTTTTGGAAGGCGCCTTTCCGATGTGATAGATGTTGACCTGACACCCACCTGACAATTGATGCAGGGTTAGTCATAGAGTGGACAGGCGAAAGGAGGTAAGGAGATAACCTGGTGCAATCTCCTTGTAGAAAGCAGTCTCTCTCGCGTCGCCGAACACAGGGCGTTTTGTGGTGTTAGTTCCGTGCAGCACCCGAGCGATATGTAAAGTGAGGACCAATTGTTACATGTGTGAGAGACGACACGTGACGAGAATCGACAGGAAAAGAGGCCGAATCTCTATGACATCATCTTCATTGTCCTTGTCCGGCACTCACGGTTACATTCTTCCGTTCACAGGTCAGACAGTCCGGGAGACTCAGTGCTACTGCAGGTACACGACGGCTTGGTCAGCAACAAACCGCCGAGGTCATTTAGGCAACGGCGAAGAAGTCCAGTTGGAAGGGCAGACGCGCCGCTTTGCACCGCCGACAATGGGGTTGAAGCGGCCGCATTCTGGAGACCACACAACCCACCCAGGGGTCGTTGAGGTCAAAGATCTGGTATCAATCAATCGCGACCCGGAAGGCATTTCTTCGGCTTGCACTTGCTTCATCATGCAAAGATGGAGTGGTGGGAGGTTTTCCGAAACGTCTCTTGGCCTGCCAGGTATAAAAACAGGAGGATGACCTTGCCGCGTTACCTTTTGAGATAATCAACATTCCCTTCCCAAACAAAACAGCCTCACAAATCCAGAAGACTCTCAAAACATATAGCACGAAAATGTCGGGCCTCAAACCTCTTGTTCTCCTGACCGGACCCAATGGGTTCGTCGGAGCTCATGTCCTCTCAACACTCATCGGCCACCAATATCGTGTCCGGGGCACCTTGCGCTCCCTTTCCAAATCCCGCTTCATCGCCGACAAATATCCCGAAGCCATCAAGTCGGGTGACCTTACCTTTGTTGAAGTGCCGGACATCCAAGCTCCCGGCGCGTTGGACGGCGCGGTTGAAGGAGTCGACTATATCTGTCACGTCGCCAGCCCCTATTTTACGTCTTCCACCGACCCGATCAAGGAGCTGGTGGAGCCGGCCGTCAACGGTACTCGAAATGTAGTGTCTTCGGCGTTGAAGTCCACGACACTGAAGAGGCTGACCATCATGAGCTCTTTCGCTAGCGTGGTGGATCTTTCCAAGAATCCACGACCGGGTTACAAGTACACCTCAGACGATTGGGATCCGGTCACTATGGAGGAAGCGGCAAAAGATGGATTTTACGGCTATCACGCTTCCAAGACCTTTGCTGAACGAGCAGCGTGGGACATGTGGCGAAGCGCAAGAGAGAAGGGCGAGATCACATGGGATCTGGTGACTTTCTGTCCGCCAATGGTTTATGGACCTCCGATCCAGGAGGTAAACGTTGCGAAAGGAATCGATGGTTTGAACACGAGCATCAAGAGGCTTGTCACTTCAATCCAGGGCAAGGACCCAAGCTTTGCGCCAAAGGTCGCAACCCCAGGGCTGCCTGCGTGGGTGGACGTGAGAGATGTGGCGGAAGCGCATTTGAGAGGTTTGCAGTTGGAGAAGGGTGTGAGTGAGAGGTTCCTTCTCTGTGGAGGAGTCAACTACTTTGAGGACGGGCTGGCTGGACTAAGGGCGAAAGGAGAGAAAGGCCTGGGAGAGGAAGGGGCACATTGCGATTCGCGAAACCATTTCAGCATCGACAGAAGCAAAGCAGAGCATGTGCTGGATCTGAAGTTTACGCCATTTCAGAATACGGTCGAGGATTCGTGGGAGGCTGTCAAGAAGCTGGGCCTGCTTTGAAGCATGGAAGCATTTGCAGCGGACGGGTTATTGACAATCCATTGGTATGGTTGACATGGCGTTATCAAGCCGGGGGTTGGTTCAGAAGCATTCAAGAATTGTCTTTCTATTAGCGATAGTGACCGCCATTCTCTTGGTGATCCTTTGGGCTGAGCAACGTTCGTATGCAGACACATTTCTCTTTGTCAGGCCCAGTGTCAAGTTGTTCAATTTCAGCAGCGAGTCAAAACTAGTCAGGAATGCGATGGTCGTCCGAAACTGGCGACATTCGACGATACAGGTTGCTGAGAAGAATCTCCTAAACGGGGATCATGCATGATTTGTCAGATGTCTGTGGGCCAGCGAGAGGAGGCACAGGGGTCTGGGAGGGTTGAGATTTCGCTTTCCGATTGGGATCGCTATCGAGATCTGCATCTGGACAAGGGCACGAGTTAGCTCGGAGGGGAGCGTGTAGAGATGTCCTCGTCGAGAGGACTATCGTGTACTCGTCGCGGGGTTGCGCAGAGAAATTGAGACAAAAAAAACCGGGGTAAAGGCTGAAGGTTGGAGGTTTGAAGGTGAGCGAGGAAAATAGTTGAGCCTCGCACGAGAAAACGATCTCGCGCGGGGATAATTGAATGACATATGATCTCCATGTCTGACAAGGAGAATTACTGCCTGCGCCCCTCGGTTGCCCGCCAGCTGTTGGTGGCCTGCGCCATAAAAATCGTCTGTCAGACATTAGTCTCTCCTCTTCCTCCTGCGGCCACTAACCCCGTTGGAGTCTTCGCGCGATCGACTTTCTCGCGGTTGATGACTTTATCCGGGAATATCTTCACCACCACCACCATGCACGATGAAATACCATCCTCTCCATCCCCGTTGCCCTCGTTGCCAACTTCCACGTTCTGCGTTAGCCTTGTATCACGCACCCCTCCGGCTACTGCTTCCGCATAGCTCCTGGTCCTCGATCTCGTCAGCAGTGCCCTCGTGTGGAACACAGAGCTCTAGGTCGAGGACCCGTGGTCGGCAAATGGTATGCTTAGCGGTCCCAGCTACACCCCAGGTATGATGTGTACCTGCAAAATGCATTGGAGGCGGGGTGCTAGGTACAGAAAGAGCTCCGATCCGCCGGCCTGATAGGTGGATAGGGACCTGTCGCACTGGGATGGCAGCGACTGAGCTGCCAATGGTAAAACCTTCACGGGATAGCGACCTACCTACGTAGTAGCTAGCCTCGTTGACACTCGCTGCTGAATACCATATATGAGACTGACGCCCCGAGGCCGAGTGCAACCAGCTTCTGTCCCACTCACCGACTGATAAGTTTTGCCCGGCCGCTCCGCTCGTTTTCTTGCTTGCTGCGCTTTTATCTACTCAACGTTCTTCCTGGGATCCTTCTCTCAGTCCCTCCTTCACACCAATTTCACGGTCGGGCACCGTTCTTACGACATATCCCATCCCACTCGGTGGCAACATCCACGATCTAGATATTTTCTGCGGCGTTCCTCTTCTCCAAGATGCATACTGACGTTCGGGCCAGAGAGCTGCATCACCCTATCCAGGTTGACCTTGCCTATTCCTCAGAATCGCAAAAATTGTCTCAAACTGACCATGATCTGTGTCCAGCCGGAAGATGAATGGAAACTCGAGCAAGGCCTTGCAGCCGCCGAGCTGCCCATCCGCGACCAGACTCTCCCTGAGGGTCAGTTTGTCGAAGACGTAGCACTCGACGAAGAGATCATCAAGGAGCTTGAGGAGGCTCGAGAATATCTCGAAAAGGAGGAGATTGATCCGAATCTGGTGTTCGCCGAAGAACGCGAGGGCTGGCACGGGTGAGCATCTGCATACTTCCGGTCCCCGACCAACCACCCCGGACTGACAGGCGAATGCCAGATACATCGAATGGGAACAGTACCCGGAGAAAAAGGCGCTTGCGCACAAGATCATGATCACCAACAAATTCCCTCCGCCGCCCGAGTTCCAGCTGGGTCCTATTCCGAACACAAACCCTGTTCTGGAAGGTGTTCGCTGGAAACAGTGGCACAAGGCCATTGGAGGGCCTCTGACCTCTGTCCCCGAAGAATCATGGCTGCGAGTGATCCAGGAGAAGCACCCCGAGATGCTGCATCTGTTGCAATTCCCCTACAACGGTGAACCCCCAAAGCGCCTGGTCACTGCCAAACCAGTCACCCCGAACCCGTTGCATTTCATCAGAAACCACGGTGGAATCCCTGACATTGATGCGGACGCATGGGAGCTCAAACTCGATGGCCTGGTCAAGCATCCCCGTACTTTTACTCTAAAGGATCTTCAGAACGAAGAAATCTTCCCGCGGATGGAGAAAATGGTGACCATCCAATGCTCTGGTACGCGCCGTATCGAGCAGATTCAGATGTACGCGGGTGAGGGTGACGAGATGATCAACGCACCCTGGGCAGAAGGAGCCATCGGCACGGCTCGCTATATGGGCGTCTCGCTCAAGAAGGTCATCAAGCAGTGTGGCGGTATGGCCGACGGCGGGAAACATCTCGAATTTCACGGGGCGGACACCTACTTCAAGCAGAACGAGGTCATGAATTACCTGGTCAGCGTGCCGTGGTCCAAAGTCAAGGCCAACGAGGTGATGCTCGCGTGGGAGATGAACGGTGAGCCTCTGCCCAAGATCCACGGTTACCCTGTGCGTCTAGTTGTCATGGGCTATATCGGCGCCCGCTCCGTGAAATGGGTCTACCGCATCCGCGCGCTCCCCCACCCGACCCGGGCCCCCGTCCAGAGCAAGGAGTACCTGTACTTCAACCAGCAGGTGGGCAAGCACAACCAGCTCCCGGTGATGGGAATTCAGATCCAGGAGATGCCCGTGTCCAGCGCCATCATGTCACCCTGGACCAAGCAGGTCGTGGTGCACGAAGGCAAGATCGCATGCAAGGGCTGGGCCTACTCGGGCGGCGGTCGATGGCCCGAGCGAGTTGAGCTCTCAGCCGACGGCGGCTTCTCGTGGTACTCTGTTCCGAACGAGAACCTCTCGACCAAACACAAATGGGCGTGGCGGACCTGGGAGTTCGACCTGCCCTGCGACGTGGAGGGGTGGATCGAGATTGTCGTGCGCTGCTGGGACAACAGCCTCAACACGCAGCCGCTCGAGGTGCGCAACTCGTGGAACTGGGGCCTGCATGTGACGTCGTCGTGCCACCGCGTCAAGATCTACAGCGTCAACAAGAGCCGGGAGCTGACGCGCAAGAGGATCGAGGATTTCGCAAAGAGAGGCGAGTCGCTCGTGCCCATCACCCGCCCGACAGAGTTCCAGACCATGACTCCGGACGAGTACGACGAGTGGTGGTCCAAACACGATCCTCGGGACGTGGACGAATGAGACCGCCACCCCTGGACAAGGGAAGTCTTATCTTGCGGCCACACGGTCTTGGACGTCACTACACTTGATCATAGATGCCTGTGCCGCGCGATAGGGATGGTACTTAGGAGTCACTGCTAGGACGGAGGAGATGAAAGGAAGAGAAAGCAGTGGGAACCACGATGGTGACGACTATGGAGACGAGGACGACAAGTAACCAAGCATAGATACTGTAGCATCCATCGTATTATGATATCAATACCGAATTCAAACTTATCATCTTATCATCGCGACAGAGAGAAAGACTGAGTGGAGAGGGAGAAGGAGGGTTGGGCGTGCTATTATTTAATTCTTCGCTAGGCGGACGAACGAACGGACAGTCCTCCTCGACCGGGTCTACACAGCCTTGAACCACGTTTCGCAATCACGAAGGAACAACGACAAAAAACATCAACTATTTCGAATCGATGAGGGCCTGCCTGCCAGCTAGCTATTAAGCTGCTGCTGCAGCCTCGTATCATTGCTCCATAAAAATAGAATACCCATGTACCTAGCTAGGTATGCCCTACGAAAGAAGTAAAAGCACCGGAGAATTTCTCTCGAGACTCAAGACACCAACAACAACATGACAAGGGAGTAGAGACACCGTTGACCGAATCCATAACGTTGACGACCCAAAATCCGCATACGCTTTTTCATGCTTCGGGTCCGTTTGTCCCCTCGTATCAAAAAAATGCTTCGCTGTCAAAGTTGAACCATGCTGGGGGGTATCATCAATACTTTCTGTGGTCGGAAACAAACAAAAAAACAAAGCAGGCCGCCCCTAAGCCGTACACCCTCAAGAGTGTCGGCAAAAGTGTTGAAAATCAAAATATGTTCGTGAATCGTATCGTTCCAGTTCGTGTTGTGGATCGAAGTGTGTGACGCACTCCAACGGGAATTAGCGAACGGATTGTAGCACAAATTCAATCCGCTACAGTCAGTTGCTTGCGAGACATCTTCATCCGCGTTGCGAGTTCGACGAGGTCCCTTCTCCATAATCTTCGGCAGGACCACTTTGCTCATCATTCCGAGACTCGCTCGTAGGTCGCAGCGCATATTGGGGCGGCTCTGCACCCAACTCGTCGTTCGTCATGCCACCCAAGTGCCGTCTAGGAGGACTCAATCTCCGCGACGATCCCTCGCCGTTTGAATTGTCTCTCGTCAAATGATGGGGTCGGTCACGCATGGGAAGGCCCGCGTTACTAGCCCGAGGTGATGATGGTGCATTGGAATGTTGAGAGTGCATCGTTTCCAGGTCTTCGTACTCGAGCTCTGGGCCGTGGTAATCTTCCATAATGGCGCCACCCCAGGCACCATCATTTCTATCCGAACTGCCATATCCTGGTGGGCTCGGGGGAACATCTTCGTAGACAGGCGGCATTTCTTCATCCCAGCTGATGCCCATACCTGCACGTTCGGTGACGATCAAGCCGAACTGCATTCTCAACACACGTGCAGCGCCGGTGGGAGTAATCAGAGAGGGGTTCTTATTCGGGCAGAACTCTTCCGCAACAATCAACTCGAGCACCAGGTTGTGCTTGACTTCGATCCCTGAAGCAGATTCGACATCGCAAGTAGCCCGGTGGCTCGATTTGGTGGCGAGAGACGCTTCGAATTCCATGGTGATTTCTCCGCCAATGGTATCGAAGTCAGTCTTCCAGCCGCCTTTCAGCTCATCATTCCCCAGCACTCTTGTTTCAGAGTGCTGGATTGACTTCCCTTCACTGACTTTGTGCGCATGTTTGGCGCAAGGCGTCGAGGTGACCTTGGAATGCTCTTCGATCCGCCAAGCCATTTTCCTCAGCCGCCATCGGACCTGGCTTTCGGCTCTCTTCTCCACGACGCCACTCATCGACATGGTGACAGGGAAGACCCCAATGGGATGGACGATGGGAGGCAGCTGAACCCGGCCAGTGAGATTTGTTGGTGGGAAAATTCGGATGCTGGACTTGTCGGGGCCGGGTTGAATGGCGCGAAGAAGGGTGAGCGGATGGTTCAGGACAATCTTCTCGCCATGAGAAGTGGTTGCGGTCGCCACGAGTGAGTATTGGATCGAGGCCAATTGAGACTGTGTGGAGGCAGGAAGTTGACCAGGAAACAAATAAGAGTAGGGGAATTGGTTGTCATTGCTCGCGTAAAAGGTCTTGGGTTCGGAAAGAAATTCCCACTTCTTAATGTCTTCGACTTTCTCGCTGCAATCTCTGCAATCTTTACCGACGGGCTTCTTGGTAGTAGTGGTTGCTCGCAGGACCATAGTGAACTTCTCTAATCGAAGCTCGCGCGCGGGGTCGTCAATGAGCAACTTCAGGCGACCCGAGAGCAAGGCTCCTGTAGATGTGCTCGGAGTTCCGTACAGTACTAGAGGAGGAGATTCGATGACCATTTCAAAACGACCCGGCTGAGTGGCAACGACTCTGGGCGAGTGACCCGAAGTTCTGTCCTTGGATTTGCTGGCATGACGACCGGTCAGCGACAGACGTTTCTGATTTCGTGAGTCACGATCTTTGAGTTCCTCATGTTTCTTGTCCTTCTTTGGATGGAGTAGGGATTCCATTGAGAAAGAGGGTCTTCTTGAGGATGGGTTGGAGGGAATTTCGAAGTGGTTGGCGGTCAATTTGCGATGTAGCGCATTGACGACGTCGTTGACAGTACTGGGTGCTTGTCGTGGAGAGGTGGCGGTACCGTGGTGAACTTGGATGCGCGATGGCATGATGCTCCCACTAAAAAAAATGGACGAGAACTAGAGTGGGTGACGCAACGCGCGCAGAGCGGGACACCAAATGCTCGCGAAACACGTAGGCGAGTTCGGAGAGAGGAAGGTGAGTGGGGGGCGTTAGGGCGATGAGGTAGCTGGGGACAAGGGCTTCAGTTGCCAGATACAGGGAAGACTCTGGAGAGGCAAGTGAGCCACATGTGCCCACGCCTTTGTCTGTGCCTGCGCGCGCCTGCGCCCGATGCCTCTAAAATTTCTTGTTGGCGCCAAAAAGTCCGGGGGATGTGCAGGTGGCTCGATGTCGTCTTCGACCTTCTCCGACTTGATCTGGTGATATTGAACTTGACAAGTTTTCTTGGATGAGAGAGCGGAAGAAGTTACCAAAGATTGAATGAGAGACTGTCGAAGAAAACTTTTTTTTTTCATCAAGTCATGAGCCATATGTGCCTGTCTTTGTATGTTCAGCCGTGTTGGGCGCTCAGTGACCAAAAGAGCAGGGCTATGAATAATGGAAACTCGATCAGGTCAAGATCAAGCGCAGCTACTGCAACCCGGAAACCATCAAGTCTCTTTGTTGTCCTCCTTTTTCCTCATGCCACTGCTGGTACGACCGTGGTCCACCGCCTGGATCTTTGCGCCATTCCTCCCAACTTCTCCGTGAAACCTGATGATAGATGAGCCAAAGCTGACATCACGGACATCGCGGACACCTTCTCTTTGGGAGATTTGTTCCGCCAAACAGTGAAGCGAGTTGGGTGAGTTTCATCGCCGATTGGGTCAGACTTGTCTCCGTCCACACGCAATTCAAGCGCCAACTGTTGACATCCGTGTGATTCACAGGGCAGCTGACTACTCTCTACGGTTTAGGTACTGGTGGAAGACCTTGTACGAGGCGTCGCCAACGAATCCCTGCTCTTCCTGCTCCCCCTGGCCACCGCCATCGCCTCAAGCAAACCGCTTCCAAGTACCCGGACTAGCAAAGAATCCAATAATGGCATCTAGAAAACGCCACTCTTGCTGTACCCCGCAAACTTGGACAAAACATGATTGATTTCTTTGCTGCCTCTACATCAACCCCTCTCTCGACCTTGGTTATAGAGTTTGAGATGTTCAAAATTTTCCGGCACGCGCGGATCAGGGCTTTCGACCAGCCTTTGGGCAGCAGCCAGGACCTGGCTCCCATTGTGTGTCGCAATGTCTGGATGACGGGGACGCGGTCGCTACTACCAGCGGGCTAAAAAGAGAAGTCAAAATACCTGTACCAGTAGGGTGACATTTGCGCGACTGACTCAGATCATGTCGCCATTTTGGCTCGTGCGCACACCGTGTTACAGAAAAATTTTCCATGTGTCGACGGAGAAGGTGTTCCGCTGGATCTCAATCTGCTGGTAACTTCGCCGTTATTACTCCATCATTACTCGATGGAATCCACCGCAAAATCCAATGCCGACGCCTTATGCGGCCCACGAGCCTCCCAACTGATTTTTGTTCGTACCACGGAAATTTTCACTGTTTCGCACCAGCAATAATACCATCGGGCTTCTCCGACCCCAGTCAGACCCGCGCAAATGGCCACTATGAGCGGCCCGAAGTCCAGACGCGGACTCGGCGGGAATGCTGGTACCAGCAGGTCGTCCATTTTTTCTGTCGTTTCGTCCCATGTCGTGATTCCGCTCCAATAACCAGGTGGATTCTAGAAGCAACTTAGCCCGCGATCTGACACTTCTCCTGCGCTACCTTGAGCACGTTCCAAGAATGGCATTCTCGGCAGGCTGCGTCCTTGTACGACCAGGCAGCCAGGCCAAGGCGCCTTTTCACAAGTGTTGGTCACACGGGAAAAGGGGTACATTTCTCAGCTTCTCCGCCATCTCCGGGGCACGGCCACGGACATGACTCTTGCAAATTTGAAAAACCCTGTCTAGTCGAAATGGCGACTACTAGCCTTTGCGTTGGTATTTGATTGCGTGCTCTTTGCAGTCGACCATCACAAAATCCCGTACCCGTACCACCAAGCATAAATCCCTGGCCCTGCCACTCCAGCCAGTGCTCCCAGTAATCCCATCTCAAGAACCGCCCAGACCCAGAGCGTGCCTACTCCTGGCGCGTCCTTCATGACTGCGTAGTACCCCTTGTCGTTGGTCAACTGGATCAAGTAACACCCCGCGACGTTCGCTGTGACCACGTAGATGATGGATCGAAGAAGGACAACCCAGTACTTCACCGAGGGCGGGACATTCGTGAGTGACGAGGGGAGGAGGTGACCGTGGAACAGAGCGATGAAGAAGGCGAGTGTGGGGAACGCGACGAAGACGGTCTGCATGATCAACGGCTGGAAGCGGACTTGTTCGGCGTACTGGTGCATAGCGAGCACGGAGAGGGTGAAGTGGACGGCGCTGAGCGACGACGCGAGCAGGAGCGTGTCGAGCCAGGGATATTCGCTTTCTAGCGACGACGACGACAACAGTGACGGTGGCACCTCTGACGAGTCCGACTCTGCAATGAGTTCTCCCCCCTTCCCGATCCTGACCTGCACAATGTTCTCCGGCTTGATTGCACCGCCAGCATCAACGCCCTTGGCGCCACCAGACCCGGAGGGCATCGTTGAGGCAAGTTGAGCCTGTCGTTCCGCGGCGATTTCGAGCAGCGTCTTTGTCTTGGCCTTTTTATTTTCTGGTGCCGTAGACCGATCTGGTTTTGAGAGCGGGATGTCATCCGCACTTTTGATCGCTTTGGCCGTCTCCTTGGCCCGCCGCTGCTTGCGGTTCATGGTGCCACGAAGTAGTAATCACAAGATTATAAGCAAAACGAGACGAAACCAAGAGTCCTCGCCGTCGTTGCAATGTGTGTCGGAACCCTTTTTTCGCACTGGGATTTTTGGAAGTGATATATGCTCTTCTCGAGGGTGTTTGAAGAGCAATCGCCGGCGGATCTATTGTGGGGTTACTTATGTTGGGAAAGGGAACACAGACCGTGTAGAGAGGTAGGTCCGGTGGTTCATTGTAGGGAGAGATGTGATGTCGTGAAATCGATGGGGTTGTCGTCTCTCACTGCCAAGAGATACGTACGCAGGTAGCCTTGCCCCTTTTACATGGTCCACAGCCTCGTCAACCTCGGGGGCAACATGGTTCTTCGTCCTCATATACGCAGACTCTGCCAATTGCGACACAAGTATTACAAACAGAAAACAATGGTCTGCTGGTAGTGACCGTCAACCAAAACTTCTGTTCTATCTGACCTTGCCTATCTATCCCTTCCGTCGTCGTGGCCGGGCATTCTTCTCCCTTCTCTTCTCCTTCAGCCTCCTCTCCTTGACCATGTGATCGACGCTTCTGATCTCCCTTTTGGCATTCCCGCCCGCTTGTTCTTCTCTCTCTTTCGCGCCCTTGGCCTTTTTCACTTGTTTCTCATAGTCCCCTCTCAGTCTATCCGGCTGTTTCGGTGCTCTTTGCGATTTATGCTGGAATTTCTTTCCCCTGCTACCAGCAAAACCCACTCCGCTCGCGCTAACGCCCGAGTTCTTCTCTTCCTCACCTACTCTTCCCAGCCTGTTGACTCGATTCGCCTTCATCCACCGGTCAAACCGCCCGCTTCTAAAACTCGCGGCAATTTTGGCTCCAGACTCTCCCTTCACAAGTCTCTTGCCTGTCTTAGATCCATCCTCGTCATTGTCGCGCCTCACATACTTTTTATGCCTCTTGTCCCACCGCATGATGGCTCTGTTCTCTCCAAAAGTCTTGGACGATTCATCTGCTGCAAGATCCATCGTGGCCGTGCGCGCAGATTCCACAAAGCTGGTGCCCAAATTTGTATTGGAACCGGAGTGGACGCCGTAGGCGCGGTCAGAAGTAAGGTCATGTGTGGTGGGCTGGTAAGACATGAAGTTCTCGGGATCGCGAAAGTCTCCATCCGTGCTGCGTAATCCAGACTTCGATGACTTTGGTGTTTGGGATTTCTTGGAGTATGGTTGAGAGAAGGTGATTTCCAGATCACTTAAGGAGGCTTCCGACATACCATCGACATCGTTGTCACCATCCACAAAACCTGACTCAACATTATCTTCTGCTGAGCCGAATGGATCGCTAGTTTGAGCAACTGCATCGTCTCCGACTTCTAGCCGCGTCTGGGAAGCATCCGCGCCCTTCTGCTTCCTACTATCGAAGCCAGACCGAATCTTGCGAATAGCGTCCACCGCATCCTCGTTGTTCTTTCGCCCGCCACGCCGAGCCCCAATTTCAAAGATGGATTCCTGAGGTCGGAAACCGCCCACACGTGCAAGCATTTTCTCTCTTTCAACTTCCATGTCATCTGTCGCATCGTTGAATAAGCAGTGCAGTTCTGACCAGCCTGGTGACGAGACAAATTGTTTCGATCGTTTCGCACTTTCTGAGGAGGCGGCGTTTCTGGTCCGTTGATATAGCTTCTCGCCCTTTGATGCCACATTTCGGAGAGCCGAGAGATCGGAATCGCTTTCTAATGATTTTGTCACCCATTCGCAACTGGTCTGGATTGCCTCTCGTCGAAAACTGCCAACCACAACATCCTGTGCGAAGTTGACAAGATCGCTGCTTGGTGCTCGACCAAGTACCAGTTTCCGGCCGAGGAAGAGCTGCAGATCCAGCAGATAGGGCGCATCGGAGTCTCTGACAAGACTATAACTCCAACCCCTCTGGCCCGCTCGTGCAGTCCGTCCCACACGATGGACAAATATTTTTGGTTGCGAGGGAAAATCGTAGTTGATGACATTTGCGAGCACCGGGATATCGATACCCCGGGCTGCGACATCGGTGACAACCAGGATGTTTGTCTGACCACTCCGAAAACCCTGGACCTGAGATTTTCTGGCGGTTTGGTCGAGCGAGCCATAGACGTAGGAGACTGCATAGCCTGCCAGACGTAGTAGGCTTGCGATGTACTCAACGTGGTGCTTCGTGGCGGTGAAGACTATGGTGGAAAATGGGTTGTGACCAAGTGTATTGCTGCCGTCTTCTTCAGTTGCCTCGCGTTTCCTCTTCTTACTGTTCGATCTCTCTGTTGTCGCAGAAGTCGTGATTGACGAGATCAACTGGGATCTTGTAGGCATTTTGATAATGTCTTGGAGGATATGGAGTAAAGCCCCTTCTTTCTCAGATGACTTCAAAGTGAAGAAGGCACTTTGTAAATCGGGGGATATTTTGCTGTCTGCATCAAGCCTGACCAACATGGGATCCTGTAATCCTGCCCGGGCGAACTCAACGAGTGACTTGGGTAGTGTAGCAGAAAACAGGAGAGTTTGCCGCGATGAGGGTAAGGCGTGTAGAATTTCTGTGAGCTGGGCTGCAAACCCCATTTCAAAGAGACGATCGGCCTCATCAAAGACAACATACTTGATGCTCAGAAGGTCCAGATTCATTTCGACCTTCAGGTGAAGGAATCTCCCTGGAGTAGCAATGATGATATCCGGGTTGTTAGACATGGCCGAAAACTGGTCCTCCAGGCTGTCACCTCCCACCAGAAGGATTGACCTGAGATCCGTGCCCTTGCCCAGCTCCTTAACCACATGTAATGTTTGCAAAGCCAACTCTCTAGACGGCGACAGAATCAGAGCTCTGGCACCGACTTTCGTGCTGTGTACCTTGAGCTTTTCGATCATAGGAATGACGAAAGCCGCCGTCTTTCCGGAACCAGTCCTTGCCATACCCACCACGTCCTTTTCGCCGAGGACGAGAGGTATTGTCTTGCGCTGAATCGGCGTGGGAACAGAAAATCCTTTCCTCGTTATCGCTTTCAGCAGATTGGCATTGAGACCCATGGCTTGAAAACCACCACCTTTTTTCACAGTGCGCCCTTTCAGATTTGCACCTTTGCGATTCGATGCCGCTTGTTGAGCGGCGATGAAGGCCTCTTCGTCAACCCCGGAGTCATCTTCCATGACATCCAAGTTGTCCCCTTGCAAATCCCCATTTTGTCCGTTTGGAGAGTCGTACGTAGTTTCAAGGTCCCCTCCGAACAATGCGCTGCCAATGTCAAATTCGTTCTCTGAGCGGGCGGGCGAGCCCGATCTGGGAGGCATCGTGGCGTGAGGATCGAGACCTGTGCTTCGGGAATCAGTCATGTATGCGCATGTCCCTGGCAAAATACGCCATTTTGGTGGTGGCATCCACGCAGATGCGGTGTAGATTTGCCTGCGAGGGACATTATTCTAAAAATTATTAAATTATAATTTGCGCCTGGTGCACTTATGATGGTCTGTAGAGGGGCTTTACGGTGGATCAAGAACTTGTCTGCGGTGAGTGGCGAGTGAGTGGAAACCACTTTACGCGTTGAGAACGCGTCGGTGTTGTGGGTTGTATTTTTTGGCCTTCGACTCTTCAACATCTCAACGCTTGAGCAGACCCCGAATGTGAGCACAATGAGTATGTACACCGGGCCCCTATGCATCGCAAAGCCCACTGACGCTGACAGATTACGGCTACGACAACCAATATACAACTTCATACGGTGCTCATGGAGCCGCAGACGGTGGCGGCTTCGTCGCTGGAGAGCCTCAGAGCAGCCCTGCTGCAGGAAGGGTACGTCGTTCGCTACGGGTCCTAGACTCAAAGATCATGGCTAACCTGTTGTCTGCAGGGAGGCTATGGAAAAGACACTGTCCGCCCGATGACGATTAAACAAATACTCGACGCAGAACAACCCCACCCAGACGCTGATTTTCGATCTGACGGAGAGCCATTCAGCCAGGTAAATCGATCGCATAGGAATCTGAATATTTATCGCCAACGCTACTATGTGCAGGTCACGTTCGTTGGCCAAATCCGCAGTATAAGCACTCAGCCGACAAACATCACGTATAAAATTGACGACGGGACGGGTCTCATTGAGGCAAAACAGTGGATTGACGGAGAGTCAAACAACGCAGAAAAGATGGACGTTGACTCAAACAAACCCAAGTTGGTGGAAGACGGCTACTGTCGAGTATGGGGCAGGTTAAAGGCGTTCAACAACAAGAGACATGTCGGGGCACATATCATTCGTCCTATCACGGATTACAACGAGATCAACTACCACTTGCTCGAAGCCACGGCTGTTCACCTGTTCTTCACGAGAGGACCGCCCCCGAATGCCCAGTCGAACGGACAGCAGAGAAATGCGCCAGCGAATGGGATGATGGGGAATGGAACACGCCAGGAATTTGCAGCTGATGCCCAACTGGCTCATTGCTCACCATTAGCACGGAGAATTTTCGCAACGCTCAAGAACACACCGCAAAGCAATGAGGGTTTGCACGTGCAGATGATTGCATCTGCAATGAGCCTCTCAACAAGCGACGTGTACAAGGGTGCCGAAGAACTTGTGGCTGCCGGTAAAATCTTCACAACTGTCGACGATAATACATGGGCGGTTCTGGACGGGTGAAATAGACAAGATTCGGCACTGGTGACGGTAGTTCCACGGGGACTTGGGTGATCGATTGCAGGGGAGCGTGAAGGGATTTTTCACCACGACGCTGTACGATCCAATGATAGGAGGCATGGCAACTCTAGGTGAAGGGTAAGAAGCCAGAGGAGTTAATGACTGCAAGCTGTTTTCCTTCCATGATCAATGTACGGATACATGTGAGCCGCCCATTGGGGTATGGCTTCAAGTTCGGAGAGATGGCCTTTGGAGTTAGAACTCCAAAATTGTAGGAAGCATGGAAGCCCATTATCGCCCCACGTATCCACTGACAACATTGCATTGTCTGCCTTTACGGCTAAATTCCAGCGTCTCCAGCATGTAAGAGCTCATGTCTGGGGCGCAACAATATGAGGCACGGGTAGGGAATGCAATACCGAGTGGTGCAACGTCATTTTGTAAGTGACATAGGTAGGATTCACTGCGATGCTGAGGCTTCTTTTATATGATCCAGGTACCCCCAGAGCCCTAGGGTCCTTCAGGTATTCCACACACGCGTACAGACAGCATCAATAGACCAGGTACGGCTACGTGCCTGAATTGAAAGCAGAACCTCGTTTCCCAATGCCATGGCTACTCCGAATTTGCCGCATTTCTTCACTTCCCTGAACAGCCCCTTGGTAACCCGATCCGACGTCGTGCAAGCCTGCAAATCACTATTGACCCCTCTGTTGCCTTTCTTTTCGCCTGGGAGGACGAGGTTACGTCTCGGGGCTACGGCAACCCGTTACGATGAAGCAGGTGCGCAGCTCGAAGGGTTCACACGACCCATGTGGGCGCTAGGTGCCTTGCTGGCCGGTGGTGAGTCGTTTGAAGGCTCCAGGCTCTGGCTGGAGGGGATAAGGAACGGCACGAATCCTGATCATCCGGAGTTCTGGGGTTGGTCGAAGGATATGGATCAGAGAATGGTGGAAATGTGTCCGCTCGGGTTCGCTCTCTGTGTTGCCCCAGAACACTTCTGGGAGCCGCTGAGTGAGAACGAGCGCGAGAATGTTCGCAGGTGGCTAGATATCAACAAGAAAGAGATGCCGAATACAAACTGGCTGTGGTTTCGTGTCTTTGCCAATCTCGCATTGATGAAGAATGGGGCAGGGTATGATGCTGAACGACTCGAAGCTGACCTCGACCACCTTGATACCTTCCACCTTTCTGGCGGCTGGAGCAACGACGGCCCACCTGACACCCTTCAGATGGACTATTACTCTGGCTCATTCGCAATTCAGTATCTTCAGTTGCTGTACGCAAAGCTGAATGGCGATCAGGATCCCAGAAGAGCAGGAGTGTACAAAGAACGGGCGAGGATGTACGCGAAGGATTTCCTCCACTACTTTGACGAGCAAGGTAAGTGCTCCCAGTGGAAATAGGATTTTGTTTCTGACTTTTCCAGGGCGAGCAATGACCTTTGGTCGGTCCCTTACCTATCGCTTCGCGATGGCCGGCTTCTGGGCGGCAGTCGCTTTTGCAGACCTCGACCTCGAGCCACCTCTCAGTTGGGGAGTGGTGAAAGGCATCCTCCTGCGAAACCTACGATACTGGTCTCAGCAAAAGGACATCCTCAATGGAGCCGGGATTTTGACCATTGGCTACGGGTATCCCAACCAATTTATCTCCGAGAACTACAACTCGCCCGGCTCGACCTACTGGTTCATGCTCTCGTTCGCCGCATTAGCCTTACCAGAGTCTCATGAATTTTGGCGATGCAAAGAAGAGCCATATCCCTCCGAATCGATACCGCAGGTTGTTGCACTAAAGCACCCCAAACACATCGTGGCAAGAACAGGAGGACATACCTTTCTACTGTCTTCAGGACAGATGTGCCACTACCCCATGAGAGCTGCAGAAAGCAAATACGGAAAATTTGCATACAGCACAGCATTTGGGTATTCCGTCCCTACTGGCGGCTACTTTGTTGAAGCCATAGGGGGTGATAACGTCCTTGCATTGTCCGACGATCAAGGCGAGACGTGGAAAGTCCGCAGGAAACCGCTCAACGCAAAGCTGGAGAGCATAGACGAAAGCCCGGTATTGTTTTCTGAATGGAAGCCATGGGCAGGTGTCAATATTGAGACATATCTGCTGCTCCCTAACGAGACTGCACCAAACTGGCATCTTCGGGTACATCATATCACGACAGGCAGCAGGAGCCTGAAGACGAGCGAAGGCGCGTTTGCACTAAATGGCGTGTCTCAAAAGGATGAACGAGAGTTACAACAGATGGATACAGACCTAACCGAAGGAAGACAGGCAGACAACGGCGAAGCAGTGGTGGTGACCAGAGGCGGCGCTGTTGGTATCATTGAGTTGCACCACCACGAAGGTCGTGCCGGCCGGGTATTGGACGAAGATGCGAACAGTAACTTGATGGAAAGCAGATCAGTCCTGCCTAGCCTGGCGATGGATATACCTGCGAATGCAGATCTTTGGATAGCGACTGGCGTTTTCGCTATGCCCTCAAGCGTTCCGGACTATCGCAAGAAATGGCAACAGAGCTGGATGCAGCGACCACATATCCCAGACTGGTTGAGGAGCAGAATGGTCTAGAAGGGCTCACCTGGATAGCTTGTGAGGACCCACAGCAGGCACGAGGTGAAGCTGGTTTTGTCAACAACCAAAAGGGGCTGGCAGTACGGAGCCTTCTTCATCCGACCAAGTGCAAGATTCTCCGTTACCTCTTGGTTCTCTGGCACTCCAGCTGGCATCATATGACTAGGGCACACAAGACTCCCGTCCATGGATCTATCTGTATACATCGACTCTCTGCTCCACCGTCAACCTGTTTGACGGCTGGCTCCCCAAGCTCAAGCGAGACGTCTGTGTCTTGTCAATAGCAAACATATTGGACTATATTCGGCAGAAGATTGTACCGAAGCCTGGTGGAGTTGATGGACAAGCATCCTCCTTTGCCCCAGTCATGGTTATTTATCCATCAATTTATCCATGATTTGCGGGCGGATCGCCGTCGTCCCGTACCCCAGGTGGAGTGTCAACCTCCAGGTCAGCATCTGCCTGGGCTCTGGGCTCTCCGCATCGCATCTGGTCTTACCTGATGCAGGATGCTACACAAAGGCATTCCCTCCAGCTCCCCAGCTTTCCCCATCTGCACCAAGCCTGATTTCAGGCTGAAAATACCTAGAGCTCTTGGAGACTGGCCCTACATATCCCCGCAGTTTGATGACACCAAGACACACCACCGCACCACCGAGAGTGGCGACAGAACGTTACAACAGAGCTGGCACCCTAGCAGGCTGCGTCCAATGCTTGTTGATGCTTGCACATCTTGTCTTCATGTAGACTGGTGCCAACGACCAAGTGGTTTTCCCATGGCTGAACTATTCGACATTTGGCAAATGTCCGGCCTCTACCATTCCATCTGGGCACGTTCGGTGTAAAGATCCGTTGAGCCTGCCCCATGTGCTATGAAGTCTCCAATAGTTCTCCTAGGAGGAGCTGGAGATCCGCTGACACGGCAGTAAACTGATAATACTGTCCCTGCGCTTGAGGAGCATCCTTGTCCAACATGTGGCCGTCTGAGAAGGCCGATGGGTGGTTGCATTTAATAAATCCGCCCACTTCACCACATCGCTCGTCTGGTCTTCTAGCATTGAGTGCTCAGCTACGCCGACTCTTCAGATTTCTCTCTACACTTGACCGATATGTCGTTCCTCAGAAGAATCGTGCACAATGATGCCGTCAAGCTGGACCCTCCAGAGGTCTACAACTGGAGAGTCTTCGCCTTAGCAGCAGCCGTGAGTCACGACAGCCTTGACCGGTGGAGGTGATTAGTACTAAGATCAAGCAGGCCTGTTTCGGAGGCACACTCTTTGGCATGGATATTGGTATCATTGGCGGTGTGTTGACATTGCCCGATTTCAAGGAGTATAGCCACCCGCTCTACCAATTGCTATGACGCTCATTGACCTGCTTCAAGTGAATTTGGAATCACACACAAGTCGAAAATTGCACAGTCCAACCTCTCTGCCAACCTGGTGTCGGTCATGCAAGCAGGCGCTATCGCTGGTGCACTGGCCGCCAATCCGTTGGCCGACAAATGGGGTCGGAAGATTACCATTTATGTTGTCGCAACCTTCGCTTTCATTGGGGGTCTCCTCCAGGCTCTGTCGTACGGCCATTTATCCTGCTTCTATATTGGACGGTAAGTGGAAAAATAGGAGGCCTTGAGGAATTATGGGAATTGACAGTACCAGGTTCGTCGAAGGACTGGGTCTAGGCGGAGCCACCATGGTCGCACCCACCTATGTTGCTGAGAACGCTCCCCGCGGCATTCGAGGTCTGCTGGTCGGGTTCTATCAGCTTTTCGAAACGATGGGTGCTATGGTTGCCTTTTTCATCAACTACGGCAGTCTGCTCCACTTGAAAGGCCATGCTACGTGGATCGTCCCGTTGTCGATGCAGTCCCTGCCGCCGTTCCTCCTCTTTGTTTCCATCTTGTTTTGTCCCGAAAGCCCTCGTTGGCTCGCTTCTCAAGACAATTGGGACGATGCCTCCAGAATTCTTGCCAAAGTTCGAAACCTACCGCCCACACACCCCTACGTGCAAGCCGAACTTCTCGAAATGCAAACACAGCTGGAAGCTGAGAGAGGCCGCGCTGGCGGTAACAGTTACTGGGCGTTGACAAAAGAGGCGTGGACAATTCCTGGAAATCGCAGACGAGCGATCATGGCGATCGCACTGATGACGGCGCAACAATGGACTGGAACCAATGCCATCGTGGGTGTTTTGCATCTTCCAGCGCGAGTGGTCTAGCTGACATGATTACAGAATTACTACGCACCGACTATCTTTACCGATCTCGGCGTTACCGGAAACACACAGAGCCTGTTCGCTACTGGTGTCTACGGCATCGTGAAGATGGGTTCCTGTGCTATCTTCATCACCTTCCTTGCCGACACTCTCGGGCGCAGATGGTCGTTGGTCTGGACTGGACTGTTCATGTGGTTCTGCATGTTCTATCTGGGCTTTTTCGTTCGATTCGACGCCCCCAAGCAAGGTGCTCCGATATCTGGTGCTGGGTACGCTGCATTAGTCATGGTGTATCTCTATGCCGCTGCCTTCCAATTTGGCTGGGGCCCTGTTTGTTGTATGTAATTTACCCATCATATGCCAGGTGATGCTAACTGTGTCGGCAGGGATCTATGCATCTGAAATCAGCACTCAAAGGCTCCGAGGCCTGATTGTGTCATATGCTGCCGCGACACAATGGGTTTTCAATCTGGCTGTTGCTCGAGCTACACCCGTTATGCTGGATACTGTGGGCGCAGGCGGCTATGGTACATACTTTATATACGGCTGCTTCTGCTTCACCATCGCCATCGGAGCCTACTTCCTAGTGCCTGAGACCAAGGGGGTAAGTTGAAACCTTCCAGCGATATCGTTTCTTAGCTGGCTGGGTACTAAATTTCTGATCAGATTTCCTTGGAGCGAATGGACGAACTGTTCGGAATGACCGACTTTAGTGGAATTGAGGATGTCGGAGTGGCTTCCCACAAACATGATGTCGAGGCCATCCACGTCGAGGTCAAGTGAGGTAGCGACAGGGACGGGTCGCAAAGCAGCGGTCGTCTATCGACCTAACACCAACGTGGACCTTGGAGTGAAAGTATCATCGCAATTCTCCAGTCTTTCGCTTTTCTCAGGATGCATCGAAGCTGCTGCAACTCTTCTCACACATAACCCTGCGACGTTTCGAGTCGACCAGATTGCTCAGTCGTTGACCACCACGTATCCCACCGTCAACCAGCTCTTTTAGTCAAGTCGTCGTCATGAACCATACACACGGATCGATAACAGGTAATTGGAAATGACATAGTTGCCAATATCTGTCATGACATCGGATGTTTGATGTCTGCAGCTTTCTCAACGTCAAGCCATTCTGGCCAAGATGATACTATATAAAGAGTATATACATACGAGGATAGCGGCGGACTATCAACGGATATATCTAATATTTGTTATGAAATGGCGGTTGTCTTATCTCTGACAGCAGCTGAGGGCTCCCGCTATCCCGCCTCTTGTCCTGGCTGGCCCGAACGGAACTGCGGCAAATGGGTCGAAGGTTTGATCAGCACTGGCATACTTCTCCTTTACGCCAATTTCTTAAGTCAAAGGGTCATATTATCCCTCCAGTCCCCCGAAAAAGCCTACAAGCACAGCTAAATGTGCTCGATTCAGGCAAAGCTTTGCCTTACCAACGCCCTGGCCAACAGCCCCGGCACAGCTCTCGACCTACGAGCACTTGGGACATAGTTGGTCACAAGGGCGGATGTGCGGAAAAGATCAACGTGCACAGATATCCCACGCAAGTTGACCACTCATGCCCTTGCACAAACTTCTCCCGGATCAAAAAGGAACGAGCAGATGATCCAATCATAGCCCCTTGATGCCCCCCAAGTTTCGCCTCACTCCGTCTGCAACCTATTTTCCTGCCTAAACCTCAACGAGCATGTCGATGCGTTGGACCCCGTGACCCTCTCCTCTCGCTCATGTCCTTTGTCCTCCACTCACTGATACGAGGGTGGAGCTGATACAAAGCACCGTACATGGTGCAGAGAGTGGCAGCCGAAGGAGAAGGAGAACCTGGACACCCGCCACTGCTGATGTGAAGGCTCTGGCTGCATTCCGGCGGACAATAGCGTGGGGATCGAGTCAACAGCAATCCAACGAGTCCGTGGGTTGCTTACTGAATTACGTCGGCCTCGAACCATGTCGTCCCACGGATACAAGCACTCATCCAACTCTGTCCTACCCTGGCGATTGCGATTGGCTTCTCACTACATCGTTTCCGCCAAGTGGCACCCAGGAACCTTGCCTCGCGTCTCCCCATCTTTGACAGGTTGATAAACTCCCGCCCGCCTTCCCAGCATATAGGAGACACCTCCGCCCTTCTTCTGCTTTCCTTCCAGCCTCGAGTCCTCGTACAAGATCACTGAACTGTCGATTTTCGACATATCAGCTGCCTGTGTCGCGACCTTGAAGACTCCACAACCGCTTGCACAGCTCCCACGCTCGATACTCAATTCGATACTCAAGTTCAACCCTCGAACCGTCGTGCCACACATCCAACCGCCTGCTGTGCAACCCGCGAGCTCAAAACGAACTATCTATACTGCCCTCCTAGCTCTTTGTCTCTGCATTGCTTCTTGCAAAGTTTGACCCCCTCAGACGTATCGTACGCTGATGTCGGTTGATATACGCAAATCTTGCCCTAGCCTCCGCTTCCCATTTAGAAGCGACACTGTCTCTACTGCTCAGCTCTGTTCCGAGCATACGGGCCATTCTACAAGACCCCTTGATCGAGGTTGATCAAAGAGTAGGTTGACCGACTATGTTTGACCTTTCGACTAAAGCCAAAGAAAGGACCCCAAAGAAGAGAAGAGTCCAAACAACTAGAAGCTGCTAAATCCAAACCCTTCCAGTATGGCTCTTCCTAGTGCTGCCGTCCCCATGCTTGACGCTGCAATCGTCCACGAGAAACCAAGCCCGACCGCTGTGGCAAAGGTCGCCCCCACCACCCCAAACCCGGATCAAGTCCGTGTTGTCGCTCCGCACGAGTACAAACAGGCTGCCGCATGCTTGGCTGAGGCGTTTCGCCTTGACAAGATTGTCCGCTACGCCATCGACACTCCGGATCGCATGGATATGACGGAAGAGGAGCGCTTCGAACTGCACAAAGCCTCCATGGAGTACGTCACCTATGCTCATTGTCTCCAGGGACTGGTCTTGACGGTTGGTGAGAACTTTGATTGCGTTGCTTTGTGGCTGCCACCGGGTAAGAACATCGACGACTGGTTCACCATCCTCCGCAGTGGCATGTGGCGACTGAGCTGGAAGCTTTCCAAGGAGGGCAAGGCGAGATTCTTCGATGAGTTCCTGCCCCTGTTGCATCATACTAAGCAGGAAATCTTGGGGGAAAGGGACAACAACTCCTGGTACTTGAACTATATCGGTACCAAGCCGGCGGCACGTGGTCGTGGTTATGCCCGAAAGCTGATTGAATATGTCACCAAGATGGTAATGTGGCACACACTAGAGATTGATTTTGCTGGTTGACAGGCTGACGGAGACAGGCCGATGCTGACGGGATCCCGTGTTACCTGGAGAGTTCACACGATATCAACATCATCATCTACGAGAAGTTGGGCTTTGAGCTGCGCAAGCACATCTATTTGCAACGCGCTGCGGGCATGGAGCTGAGGATGGATGTCATGGTTAGGGAGCCGGTGGATCCGGAAAAGAAGGATGAGAATGGCAACATGGGATAGTGAAGTTGGGCAGAGGATGAAGGGGTTTTCAATGCAAAGAGCATAGCGGCCTCATCGCAGGACTGCTGGAGCCAAAGGAGGGAATGAATGCTGGGGAATCATGAGACGCAAGATGGGAATGACGTGCGGTTATCCAACTATTATCACACTCGTTTAGACACACAAGATGCAATATCTGCTCTCTCACTTGCGCCTTTCACTGCTCTCATTCTTTGTTTAGTGATCAGTAGGCGAGAAGGTGGTAAGGCTGAGGAGGTAGCGTTGTGTATAAATGTACCACAACAAAGCCGCAAGGCTGAGGCGGAGCCTTGGGTACACGTCACTCAAACTGCGGTTTCTCAAAACTCCTTTCATTGTCAACACACCAACAACCAGTTCACATTAGTCGCATTCGCATTGTAACTATACAGAGTGGCTTCATCTATTCTTTGTACATTATAGATCCATGAGACTGCATCCTTGAACATTCCATTACCCCATTCCCACGCCGCCGCAACCATGGAGTCGACCACTTCGAGATGATCACTCGTCAACGACATTGGACTCGACCGCCTGAGTGATTGCACGCCAACGCAGCTCCTTCGTCTAGTACCGAGACACCTTTCTTCTCGTCCTCCTTTTTCTCCCATGCCCAGCTACTCGAGCCCTTCCTCCTCACCTCCCCCCACGCCGTCACGCCGCCGGATCCGCTCATGCGCCCGGACATGCGAGCGTACCTGCTGCGCCATTGCCACCTTCTTTCCGCTAGCTTTTGTGTATAGTATAACAACATGGGCAGTATGGGTGGTGGCATCGATCGGCTTCGGATCTCACAAATCAAAACATGTCTGGTGGTTGACACAAGCCATCTCGTCGTTGGGGATCATTCTCTACACGCTGGCCAATTGGTCATACACGGTTGCCGCCTTTACGGATCCCGGTTCACCTCTGAAGTCTCCCGACAAGTTATCAGATCGAAGTCAAGGGAGATACTCGATGCTTCCAACTCACGAGTCTCCCGCCGATGCGGGCCAGTTGCAGAGTATCACCGTTTCCTCCACAGGAGCGCCTAGATTCTGCAAAAAGTGCCATACCCCCAAGCCGGACCGGACACATCACTGCTCTACTTGCAAGAGATGTGTCTTAAAGATGGACCATCACTGCCCTTGGCTGTCGACCTGTCTCGGATTGCGGAACTATAAAGCATTTGTGCTCTTCCTCATCTACACATCTCTGTTCTGCTGGGTCTGCTTTGTCAATGCTGCATGGTGGATGTGGAAAGAACTTTTCGAGCAAAGTGGCTATCTGGACGAAGTGGCACCCATCAATATTATCCTTCTTTCCGTGATTGCCGGTATCATCGGCCTGGTCCTGAGTGCGTTCACTGGCTGGCATATACATCTCTGCATCAAGGGCCAAACTACCATCGAGAGACTCGAGAAGACGAGATACCTGAGCGGTGTGAGGACTCTTGTGGAGCGGAATCGCCAGGAGCATCAGTTGAATCACAGCAGACGCAGCTCCGAAGGCGTTGCAGGTAGACTACAGCGCGTGGGGGAGCAGTTTCTTGAGTGGAATGCCAATGCTGTTCCCGGCGCTTCACGGTACGAAGAAGGCGAAGAACACACCTCGCCCGTCCCAAGTGTCCGTAACACGACACAGCGTGATGCGCCGTATCCTCAAGGTTCAGATCAGTCGGCCAATCATCGTCCCCACCAACCCGACGTTTTCGACGACACCCCAGCCGTTCGTGCATTGCGAAATACTTATTCCCATATGGAGGCCGCGCGCGAGCGCGAGAGATACTCACAATACCTAGATGACCAGGAATCCGAAAAAATGCCCAATGCATTCGATCTTGGCTGGCGTCAGAATCTTAACCATTTATTCGGACCGAATCGGTTACTCTGGGCTTTTCCAATATGTAACACCACAGGTGATGGCTGGCGTTGGGAAGTCAGCCCAAAATGGGTTGCGGCGCAAGAAGAAGCGGCGAGAAAAAAAGAACAGAGGCTCGCGGCAATGATGGATCATGATCACTATGCAGGACCCATAAATGGAAGAGGCGGTCGTGGCTATGGGTATCAAGAGTACGAGAGCGACCGGGACCGCGATTACGTCGTCAACTTTGATGGACCCCACGAGAACACTGTCCCGCGGAATGCTGACGAGGATATGTACTCCCGCAGCGCCATGTCCATGAAGAATCTGCCTCCAAATCACAACAATGCGTCCTCCACGGCAGATCTGAGCAAGAGGAGACAGCGGAGGGACTTTGACCAGGACGAACCTTTTGAGGTCAGCAGCGGCGACGAATACGACAGCGACTCAGATATTGGATATGACAACAGAGACGACCAAGACGGTGCAGAGCGAGGCTGGATCAGGAGGAACCGTGCAGGACGAGGAAGATGATTGTTCGACGATTTCATCTTGTGTATCTTGTGCATGTCCATTCTATTGGGACTACCTGGTTGGGGGCCCACAACGGGTCCTTTGGATAAATACAAGTACAAACGACTCCTCACGGGTTTACATGGAACGGATCAGGCTCGGGCTTTATGTTATTATGCGGTCGCTCATGAGCGCAATGCAGGACTCTGGAGCGTTGGATATGGGATTGGATTGGATTGGATTGAACCGGATTGGATCACATGGGAACGGAATGCAATGGAATGGGATGGTATTGTATTTTGGGTACCAACGGACGTAGCTAGCTGTTCAAAGCCACAAAGGCGAGAATGAAAGGAAGGAGCCTGCTACATTGCTCTACCCCCTTAGTTTTGTATTGTACGTGTATCGTGTACTTGTACTTGTACTCTCACCTGTCTACCAGTAGCCAATCCTAGGTCCTCGGCTACATATGCAGGAAGTTGTCTCGCAATAGTTTTCCAGAGCTAACAGCCGAAGAAGACAAGAGCGAAAACCTATCTCCTTAGCAGCTGAAGTGGATATATCTATTATATATGCTCCGAACTGTGCCCTCGTCCATTACCGTTTTCGTTCAGGAAACAGAGCGAGGCCGCTTTAATCGAGCACGTGACGCAGCATTGAGGAGGCCCGGGCCGAGCCCAGGAGACCGACGTGTGAGCCACGGCACATGTCTGCCCTTGTCTGATTAAATCTTGAAAAGTCACTTTGGAGATTCCATGTGCTCGGACATCTTTCTCTAACACGCGCGCCCCGTGGGTAGGGGTAGACTGCGAGGCTTCCCTCCCTACAACATGGTAGCGTTGCCCAAGATCGCCTGACTACTCATTTCCACCAAAGCTCCCGGTACCAGCAGCTGTTTGACCACGACAGCGGTGACCAAGGGCCGGTTTGTGCCGCAGAAGTCGTCCATACACTTCACGTACGCCTCCGCTTGGCTTTGATTGTCTGCGGCATCTCCAGAAATGTACAACGTTGCCGAAAAGACCGCGCGCCAGCCCGCCGTCACTCCCGCCGCGTGGAGAGCTTTCTCCGTGTTGACAAACGCCAATCGGAGTTGCTGAGCAGCATCGTCGGGGTAGGAGCCATCGTTTTCACGACCGAGTTGCCCCACAATATGCACCACTTGGCCGTGGGCCGGGAGGACAGCGGCGTTGGAGAGATGCAATTGCTCCGCGATTTCTGTTTGCGGGCCAGCAGGGTTGAAGTAGCGGACGCCGTATTGATTGATGGGACATTTGTATTCGTTGGACATTTTTCCTTTGCGGTGTGTATCTTTTGGGACGCAGGATTTGTTTCACCGATTGGGGGGAGACGTTCGAGGATGCTTAGGGTGTCGGTGTGTTGGAAGGGGGGTTTCATATGAGGAGCCAGGACACAGGGAGGGCAAAGAAAGAGCCTTGCCTTACCTTTTTGTATCCGCCAGGGATTGATGCTTGCATCAGCACAAAAACTATACTCGGAGCAACAACACGCCGTCTGTCCCTCCTTCCCCCTTCTCTCTTCAATCGTCCCACGGTGTCGGCGTGAGTTACCTCGACGAAGAATCAAAAAAAGACTTGTGCCTCTTTCGTGTCTTTGTGCTAATTGACTTTACGATGGAGCAGTGGGGTTTCAAACATTGGGCCCACGGTCCGACCAAAGTGGTGCGTGATAAAGAACAAGCTGTGATGGACATTATACAATCTCGATGCCCCCACCTCGTGAATCGCTACGATTTACCCGTTTTGAGAGGAATTCACGCCCAAAGCAATTGGTCAACTACGCTTCTTCGCCGTTTACATACAAATCCTCTTGACTTTGGAAGGGCGCGCGAGGGATGTTCGCTCCCGTGGATCGCGCCAGGCTTCCCTCCTGGCCAGCAGTGGGAGCCGAGGGAGGGCAAAGGTTATATCAGGTGAAGAATGAGGCTCGAAAAACCGAAAGGATGATCCTACTTGGATGCCTCCAGATTGAAAAAGCAAGGAATGGCAACTTTATAGAGGGGACCTGCTAGATCCGGGTCAACTTTGGGTGACGAGGTGGCGACCGGAGGTCTTGTTCCACTGCTCTGGCAGCAATGATGCCACCCTCGATGGCGCCGTCAATAAATCCTCTCCACCCATCGGAATAATCACCGCTGGCGAACTTGACGTTTCCCACGGGCTCTTGCAGTGCTCCGAGATACTTGGACATGTAGTCTGGTTGGAAGACGCACCAGCCACCCTTGGAGAATGGGCTGTCGATGTAGTCGGCGAAGACCTACGCAAAGTTGGAATTAGCCAGACATGACTTTCGCGAATGCTTGGGGGCATGCTGCGTATACAATGAGACAAGCACAAAAACGGATGAGGACGCCGGTTGTTTTCTGTCGAGGAACGTCATAATTCCGAGGCAGATAGATGGGTCAAGGGAGGACAACTCACAAAGCGTTTGACCTTCATATCTGGATGGAGTCCCTCGAAGTACTTGACCAGCTCCTTGGCTTTGATTCTCGGGTCACCAATGTTTGCCCCATCATGGAAGGCGACCAAATTCGTGTCCTTCCCGGAGGGTGAGTGGGACTCGCCCATCACCATGAGCAACTCTTCCTCGGCGAATTTGGCACCCGCCCACGACTTCCATTGTTTTCCCTCAACCTGGACGTGAAGCTTCCTGATGAGGTTCGACTTGGCCTTCGCAATTGCTTCGGCCTTGAGTGGAGGGAGCTCCGGGAAGAAGCGGACAGATCTCAAGACGGTGAGCGGAATGGTGCAGACCACCTGACGGGCGCTGAACGTGCGGCCGTCGGCGCAAGTCACGGTCGCCCTCCGCGGATCCGAGCTGTTGATGGCCTGGAGGGAACTGGAAAAGCTGTACGAGAGCTTTCCGGTCGAGCGAGCATCGTCGAAAATACAACTGGCCAGTCCGGTTTGCCCACATTTGAGTTTGTACCGGACCATGTGGTTCATGTACTCCTCCTGCGTGGTCCCGCACAACAGCCATCTCTGCACCATGTCAAACAGGCTGATTTGAGCAAAGTCGATCCCTGCCAGGGCACCGAGGTTCGCCTTCGTGAAGGCCATCTCCTCTTCGGACAGGACGCCGTCGAGTTGGTCGAGACGGTCCTGAACCGACATTCGATCATACTTGACATAATCGGCACGATTATAGCTCGGATTGTGCGGGTAGGGAAGCCATTCCGTCGGATGTTTACCATCGATTGCGAAAAACGTGGCGGCCGACTTCTCTTGCATAGCAGTCTGGATGTGGCGATGGATTAGCCTCGCCTCTCTTGTCTGGCATCAAACGTTGATGATGGCAACGGTAGCCTTACTATTTCTGCCGGCGACCAGTCTTTCCTGGAGCCCCCCGTGTAGGTTGATTGTGGCGCTGACTCCGGGTAAATTTCCAGAGAATCCTTGATTTGGTTGTTCAGTCCATATCGTGTAACTTCCGTCCACAAATGAGGCTGGTGCCAGTGGATCCAAGTGCCGCCCATCTCATAAGCGTGCCCGTCGGTGTATGATGTCCATGTGCGGCCTCCGATGCGGTCCCGGCCTTCGATAAGAAGTACTTTGCGTCCTAGAGACACACTGTCAGCGTGTTGTTCCTGGAACAAGGAGAAAGGCATATATACCCTGAGATGTAAGGTCTCGGGCTGTTATGAGGCCCGCATAACCTGCTCCTATGACGATGGCATCGTAAGTCTCAGTCGTACTCGCATTCAGTTCATGAGGGTCTATGACTGCAGGGGTTGGCAGGCCCGCCTTTAGTCCCTCCGTTGGAGTATATTCGAAGCCTTCTGCACTGGACAACATAGCGGGGGAGTTAATCAATGAGGAGCACAGCTGAAGGCAAACTTGTCGGCCTGTCCGCATCTTTATATCCTTGTCCACGACTTGAGACAAAGCGACAATATGATCAACAGCTGATGTTGCGTACGCCGATACGTACGAGTCAGTCATTTCGGCGCAAATCAAGCATGATCCAGCACACCCTGCTCAACGTGTGGCTCATTGGAGGTGAAAAGTGAACTCAAGCCCTACGCTAAATAAGCCCTTCTTTGATCCTCTGCAGAATAGCTCGCTGTGAACATCCAATTCCGGTCTTCTCTATCCCCCCTCAATTTGCCTCTTAGCTGAACCAAGTAACTAGTCGTCTGAGAAACACAAGGCTCCCTGTGAAGGAGAAAAGGACCTTATTACACAGGCCTCGGATGAAACCGCGAAGAACACCATCCCAGGACCAGGACGGAGGTCGTGAAAACACCTACATTGGCGATGACCCATTTATAGAGGAAGCATCGGAGAGATATAAAACCACCATCGATATATTTTTGAGCTTCGGACTAACCAGGTTGGAAAATTACCAGCCTAGGCCCAACTAATTAGTGTTCCCATCTTGACACAGGGAGATGTTGAGAGGTTTGGACATCCTCAGGTCTAGATAGTCACCGGCGCGCCCGGGGCGAGAAGCAGTGATAGTTTCACGAAATGGATTCGCTGTATTCATGCATGACGTATCTGCTCCCCGTGGTCTACAACCTCGGTAAGGTAGGCATCTTCCATGTATCCTGGGGGATACTTTGCAGGATCGTCCGTGATCAGGAACTTGGGATTCTTGAAATCCACCCATCCTAGACTCGGATGGCTCAACCCAAATCCGGCCAGGCGTTGAATCTCAGCATCATACCGTTTGATGTGTTCGAGTTTGTTGGCTAGGAATTGATTTTCCTCCTAATGAACATCCTGATATCAGTTTACCGCAAAAAGTAAGAGAGGCTTTTTTTTTGGCCGCGGGCCTTACTGTGCGATTGATCCCCTTGGTCATGAAAGCACCATAAACAAGACGTTCTTCGTCGGCGGTAGTGTTGGCACTTCCCCCGTGAAAGCAACTACCCAGCATGATGAACCCATCACCCAAGTTCAACTCGGCGTAGACGGCTTCTTCCGGACATGGCCTTCGCTCCATGCCCCACAAATGCGACCGAGGGACAAACCTCGTAGCACCATTCGCCTTGGTCGTCTTGGTTCCAGCAATGAAAAAGTCGATTGTATGGTCGCGGCCAGGCTTGTATTCGGCCACGGTGATCTCTGGAAGAACGTTGTGATGAATCATGCAGTCCCGGTGAAGAGGTTGGTCTTTCGCACCCGGGCCGACAGAGAAACAAGTCGTCGCGTCAAGAATGGGTAGTGACTTCGAGGTGAGCTCAGCATCGCCCCACCAAGATTTGTGTACATTGGTCAGGTACTCTGTGCAGATATCTTGGTACAGCTTGTTGGCGACAATGTGTTTGACAAACGTTTCCGACTTTGCGATCAGACCATTGGCACGTCGCGTCTCCTTGGGGAAGGACCTCTCGTTGGCATAAGGCACGTCGGCGTCAAAAGACGGTCTCAGATCTCGCTCGATTTGGTCAAGCACGTCTTTTGGCAGGACGTTTCGAAGAATGACTCCCCCATCTCGGGCGAGGGTCTTGAGGCAGTCTTCCAGCTGAGTCTCAGAGTACTCATACTCCACGACCTTGATCTCCGGCGCGGGCTCGGCAATCATGGTGAGAGGAGCTAGTGAAAGAGTGTTGGGGAATTGAGAGCGGTCAGTTTTCTCAGATGGCCGATTTGAAAAACTTCCCAGACTAAGGAATCAAGTAGGGGTGTGATGGTTATTCCGAGGCTGTCAAGGAGCATGGGGGATCTCCTGCTCTCCTGAGTTCTCGTTCGGGACAAGGTAATTGAAGAAATAGATGATAGGCATGTATGTAGATTGATAAGACACAAAATCTCCACACAGCATCTGCCTCAAAGGAACGTCCACATGTAGTTCTGGCATGGCTGCACCTTTTCGCTCTCGCCGTCGGTGTCGTTTTCCTCTTTTGAAGGGGCTTCCATGGCTACATTTTCGCATTGTCACTGGCCTCGGCGCTTGTGAATCGTGTCGCTGATATGCACCTAATCTATCAGTGGGATGGGTCTGCAATCCGCTGATCCTCTAAATCTTGCTAATGACACCGAGCCAATCGCGAACGTGCAGGTAGGTCAAAAGACCTGAGACAAGCCCAGTTGAGAATACTGGAGTTTGATTGGCAGAACGACAACACGCTCTTCGTTACCGAACTATTACAAATTGCTTGACCATCAAGCTAGTTGCCCTGTACCCATTGTGCAGAGGCTGGGCATGGCTATATAACACTTGGTGGAAGCTATAACGGTATAATATCACACCCGCCCGGGCCGTTAACCAAGTCTTGCCAATGGAGGTCGGTACCTGGGGCGGACAATTCCCGTCGGTGCCATAAGTTCTTGACGAGATCAGCCATCGCGCCGAGATTCGCAAAGCCGGCTTTCTGCTTGCGCTTGAACCACTCTAGCATTTTCCTTTGCTGCGTAGCTTTGTGGCATTCGGCGGCCACAACCAGGGTCGGCCAGGCCACAACGATGCCCAGTGTATCCTGCTCTAAAGCCAGAATATGCTCGATATGTCCCAAAGCCTTGTCAACAAGATCCTGCAAGTCGTTGGTTGGCACGTGCCGGAAGACGCGACGGAAAAAGATGAGAATTGCAACGTAGAAGAAGCTGGCTGTGTGCTGTAGCCGTTGCCGCCCTGCCGCGTCCAAATCTCCCGTGGGAAGGTCGGAAGGAATGTGCAGATATAGCTGCAATTCGAGAGTGTCCAGTTCGTTGGTGCTCAGATGGGTTTTGGTCGAAGACATCGCATTCAATGCGACCAGAATTTTAAGCAAGCCCCTGGTGATTCCGTAATTGAGCTCGAGAAAATGGTCGTCGACGGGAAGCTCGTCGAGAAACGAGACCATTGTGTCGGGAACTGCCAGATTGCACATTGCCGCTAGAAAGAGGTAAGATTGGACTATCTTGGTAGTGATGGCTTGGTCTTTGAAATCACAATTGACCAGTGAGTGGTACTTCAGTCCACCCGCAAGGTGACTTCTCCATTGCTTCGTTCCCCCGGAGACCGCGTCCTTGATGGCATGGCAAATGATGGCGTATGCGAGAGCGGCATCGCCAGTTCCGCTGTGACTGGCGAGACAATGCTGCGTGTGACGCAATGCCAGATGATTATGCTGTAAAGAGAGAGACATGTAGTGATTGTCTTGGTGTCGCAGTTGATACAAATTCTGCGCCGACAATGAGCAGAGGGCATGAAATAGGGCTATGGATCCGTTCGACTCCCGAGAATTGCAATTGATTCCAACAAGAGCCATGGGCATCCACAGAGTGCGACACGGGTTGTCGATGCGGTCAACAGCAACCATGTTTCCGCCCAGGTACATCACCCAATGGTGCACCAGCTCGCGCTGACTGGCCGGAATTTGAAGAAAGTCGATGTGTCTATGAATCGGGGGATTCGCGGATCTATCTTGCCGTTGTTGGATCTTTTGCCATTGTCGTGACGAGGAGAAATTTCTGCCAAGGAGTGCCAGGAGGCCATCTTGCTCATCCAGCCAGTCAGCCACGTCAGGGGCGTCAGCGGAAATGGTGACAGCAAGGCGGTGAGATAAGGGCTCACAACTGTCAGGTCCAGCCAGATAGGAGTCATGTGACCGAGTGTTTTCGCTGCGCATCGCCGTCGGCGTGGTACAACTGAAAATACTATCCACGGGAGCCGGCTCCGTGAGCGGCCATGGCTCGGTTGCGGAGAATGAGAAATTGTCGAGACTGGAGAACGGGATCCTTCTACAAGGATCGGTCGACCCATCTTGCCCTGTCTGATCCGGGCTCAAGGTCGAGAGGCAACCCATCCAGGGCTGGTCCAGGGTGAGTGAGGAGCCAGGAATGTCAGCACCGCGGACTTGCTCTCCGTCGAGCTCATCCTCCAACTCATCGGGCGGGTCATCTTCCGAGACAAGAGCTCCGATGTGAAGGTCTGAAGAACCGGTAGCAGACCGGACGTCGGTGGAGGTCACAATAGGAGCGGTGGGAGCTGTGGAAAGCGCGGGAAACACAGAGAAAGGGCCCCGTGTTCGCGGCGTGAGAACCGTGTGTGATGACTCCTCGAGATCGGATAAAAAGGATGCCACTTGCTGAGAAGTAAATTGAGTGGTACTGGCAGTACGATAAGCCGTAGGCCCGACACATCGCTTCTTCGCGGCTGGTTGAACAACTGGTGTCTCAGCGAGCATGTCCAGATCCGAAGCGACGGTCAGGTTCACCCAAGCGAAGCGGGCGGCATAGCCCTGACAATCGACACCAAACTTTGCGCATCTCTGGCAGGTAGGCCTCCTCTCATCGCACTTCACATGGCGGTCGCGGCATGTCCAGCACCCAGAGAGGGTTTTGGTGCGTGTCTTGGAGATCTTCGGCCGCCCGCGATGGTAGAAGATCGAGGCTGGAGACATCGGTGATGCACTCTGTCCATCCATCGAGAGTTGAAGTCTGTGACAGCGACGTGAGAAAGGGTAAAAATGTGCAGAACAGGGAGGAAATCAAAGAGATATCTAAACGAGTTGGTGACAGCGAGCAACCATGATATCTCTGCAGCGCGGGCACGAATCAGGGGTGCTTCGGTGGGGCGGGCCTCCGGGCAGATGTCCGCTGGCGCGCTTTTAACTGGCGCGCCCTATCATTGAGGTCCCCTTAATCACTAGTTTAGTTGCGAGATGCTCCAGCCCAATGGCCCATTTTGTCGATGACCAAGGTCTCGCTCGGCCTATCCATCCCACCCAACTTGGTCATCGACAAAATGGGCCGAAAAGCATGTCAACTCCCAGAACGAGAGCCATGTTCCAGAGCTTATGTTCATCGCGCAGTGCAATGTAGGTATAAAATGTTGTCCTGAGTCCTCCGACGAAAGAGTCCTCGTAGAGAATCCTCGCTAGCTATTCTATTTCTTCCCTCTCCTTGGTCTCCCTTAACCAGTCCCGATGACATCGAAAACTATGCAGGTACCAGTAAGTATGGACAACAAGATCGCGCCCGCGCCCGCACCCCTCGAGGTGTTCATCGAGCCCACAATCTCGGTGCAGGAAGGCACTGTCGAGCTTGCCGAACTCAAGGAAAGATTCAATGTCTGGAGTACCATTGGCATGGCATATGCATTGATCGCCACTCCTTTGGGGATTGGCAGCTACTTGGTCTTTACGCTCGGCGTAGGCGGATCCCCTTACTTCATCTACGGCTATATCTTTGTCGCCATCATGCAACTAGCGGTGTGCTCCAGCCTGGCTGAGATTTCCGCCGTCTTCCCCCACGCTTCTGGTGAGGATGCCATGCTTGACCTCCAAGTTGACTTGCTCACGCAGTGGTTACCAGGTCAGATCTTCTGGGTTGCCGCGCTGGCCCCTCCTCGACTGTCGCGGGGCCTGAGCTACTGCAACGGTGCCTTCACCCTGCTGGCCTGGACATTTGCGACCACCGGTTGTTTCGTCTTTACCGGACAAATGTTCGTCGCCTTCGCCACCATCTTGAATGAACAGTATCAAATCCAGACCTATCAGGTATTTTTGCTTGCCATCGCTTCCGCTCTCCTCTCGCTGGTCTTCAACATCTGGCTTTTCAACTGGATTCCGGCCATCGCCAAATTCTTTGTCGTCTTCATCAACGCGGGCACGGTATACCTCTTCGTGGCTCTACTGGTTCGCGCACAGCCCAAGGCCACCGCCAGTGCCGTCTTCACCGAGGTTGTCAACGAAACCGGTTGGGCCTCAAAGGGACTTGTGTTTTGCCTCAACGTCCTGCCTGGAAGTGCTTCTGTCACGGTCTTCGACGCCGCCGCCCACATGGCGGAAGAGTTACCCCATCCAGAGAAGCAAGTTCCACAGGTCATGATCTTCACCAGCCTCCTGTGCGCATTGGGCGGGTTCATTATGATCATCGTCTACCTCTTCTGCACCACCAATCCAGCGGCGCTCCTGGAGCCCATTGGCGGTCAACCGATCTTTCAGCTCTTTCTCGATGCCTTCCGGTCGAAGCCACTACTGGTGATTGCGGCACTCATCTTCTGCGCCGTTTTCGTCTTCGCCAACATCTCGTTTGTGACAACCCTCAGTCGCGTTTTATGGTCCTTTGCCAAGCACCACGGCACGCCGTTCAGCGAGTTTCTTGGCCACGTCCACCCTAATTCACAGATTCCTGTCAACGCAGTCTGTGTCTGCACACTCGTGACAGGGTTGATTTGTTTATTGGACTTTGGGCCGGCTCTCATCCTGAATGCCTGCTTCGGCGCCAGCTCAATCTGTGGTGCCGTGTCGTATGGCATGCCGATTTGGTGTCTCATCTTCAAGGGTCGGGGCGATTTCCCTGAGAAGCGCCATTATTCAATGGGAAAGTTTGGGTTGCTCGTCAATCTTGTCGCCGTCCTGTGGCAAATCTTTCAAGTGATCTTTTTGACTTTTCCCTTATATTATCCGGTGACGTCCTCGAACATGAATTATGCGAGCGCTGTCATGGGCGTTGGGGCCATAGTGTTCGCCATCAACTGGGTTCTTCATTCTAGACGATGTTACGAACAACCCAAGCCTCTATTTGTGGCAGCACTGCACGGCAATTTGACTCGAAAGGACGCTTGAGGACGTACGCGAATGGAATCAAGTGAGCCTGAGCGGTGAGCGGTCGGGAAGATTGGGGTAGTATGCCCCTTCTGCCACTGGCGAGAGTTGGAGGGAACGAGCAATAGTAACCAGGAGGTTTGGGCAATGTTGTCTGTTAGCAAACTCTACTTTGACGCGTAGAACTGTGACGACTTACTGGCTGGGGTTGCATCCTGTAGCCACGGGGAATGCTTCGGGGCAGGTTGGCCGAAGCGGCATGACCAATGAAACCAGTGGGAGCTGACACCAAAGGGGAAAGTCACATGACCTCTGCTACGGATCTCTTATATAACGTGGTGCAATGTCTCACAGAAGTATGGAGAGCATTGGAAATCAATCCCTCTTGGGGTCCTCGCTACTTCAAGTCCCGTGAATATCTAGGTGAGAAATCTGTGTAGAACAATGATCAAATATAAGGAGACTGCCCGGAGAAGGCATGATGGTGCTGATTACATAATATCCGGTGCCAAATCGACTGTGGGGGAGATAGGACCAGAGCCCGAACGGAAGTCTCCCTAAGTAGTAGGCGAGGGAGTACGGGTAGGAGCTGGCTAAAGCCGTGAAGGGGTAGAAGAGAGCGGGCGAGGGAGCGATTCGACTAAATAGTCGTTAGCGTGAGAATAAAGCGGCGAGGGATAAGTCAACCAAAAAGTCGTGGGCGACGACTTGTTCGGGGATTAGATATATAGTATAATACGAGTGAGTACTGAGTACCGAGTATAGGTTTTGATAGGGGACCTATGGTATGATATATAATATATGTAGTATTTGACATGTAAACACTACAGTAGGTACTTGCAGGTATATCGGATATGTACCGAGTAAGTAATTATCCAGGTTATCGGTTAAATCGGTATACAAGTGTAGTAGTAATGGCACTATATAGAGGCTGCTTGAAGCCTTATTTTGAAACTCGACTCGACTCGGGAGAGCACTGCTCGCGCTCGCAAACTGTAGGCTGCTCTTCCCACACGCCGCCCCTATTCCGGTTCGTTGTGTGTATGCTTGTCTTGTACGCTTGTACGCTTTTTCAATCGCTTGGTCTTCCAGAAGAATAACCAAAAGACAAAGATAAAAATTGTGAGGTGGTTCGAGATGCGAACCCATTCCCTCTTTTGCCTGTATTTAACAGTCTCTAAACCTTCCCTACCTCCCTTCCATATCGCATAATATCTCATGATCGTCGCTCCGTTTCGCAAATCCAAAACCCCTGATTCCTGACTCCTGACAAATTCCAAAAGGCTCAGCCAGGCACCAGGTCTTCGAGAGCAAATGATGGCCCGCCACGTACACCCTATTCTCGCTGCAAGTAAAAGTCATCCACGCCATTATACCGGGTACCGGGCGTTCCGGCGGGGTAGAAGATCTTCTTCAGCACCATTAGACAAAGCGCGAGGAACACGCCCGCGATCGCCCGGTCGATGGTGATGGTATGTTCCCTATCCCTTCCCTGGCCCCGCTGGAGAGTCAGGGGCTGCGCGCTCTGTGCAATCGCCGCATTGGCCGCGGCTAACGGGGCATTGTGCAGCCCCGCGAAAAACGGTCGCCGATGATGAGTGTTAGTAGAAGAACCTGTGTTGGACGAAGCAGATTGAGCAAAGTCGCCCGGCGTGAGGACTGCCTCAGCAGAGGCCTGAGCTGCTTCCGCGGAGGGCGTAGGGACCATGGGGATGCATCGCTGGCTCGCGGGTCGGGTGAGGTTGGATGAGTTGGATCGTGATGAATGTGATGAGGACGACGGCGGAAGTTGAGGCTTGGAGGATGGTGGCACTGGTACCGATGCGGGTTGCGCAGGGGTATCGGGATCTGGATTTGTAGAAGGCTGTAGCAACCGCTCTTGTGGCACCGTTGTTGTCACCTTTGCATCTTCCTGTTCAGCAGCTCCTGTTGTTTGCGAAGGGACGCCAGGTTTTGCATTCGGGTCTCTCGCCTCCAGCGTCATGCCCTCCGGCAGGCTCTCTAATCCCAGATCCCCCTCTGCCGAGACGTTGACACCGGCCTCCCGACAGATATCCCACCACTCGCGCATAATGGTCTCATTCGTTTTGCGACAAGCCTCGCATTTCCAGCTCCGACTCTCCTTTGCCAGTCTCCTCCTCACGTCCGCAGGTGCTTCCAAGCCTCCAACTTGGCCAGCTGAACCCTTCTCGGCCATGAACGTCCGGAGCGCCGTCAACGCGGTCCGGACACCCCAGGCGGGCATCCACGTCTCTTCGTGGAACCCGGATATGCTCAGACAGATCTCGCGGTTGACCTCAAACCTCCCTGACGGCGTGAGAAACCTAAAGTTCGGCGGCTTCAGTGGGTATGTGGCCGGCAGCGTGATGCGCCCGTGGTACATGCCTCCAGCGTATGGGGAGGGGGAGGGAGGACCGAGTAGAGTGAAGTGCCACTCATGCAGGTCGGAGTCGGAGACAGGGCCTGCAAAGAAGGCGGGGTTGGGGTTCGAAGAGGGCGAGGAGAGCTCGGCAGTCTCCTTGAGAAGGCGCCGGATCGTAGGCGAGGGAGCCATGGTTGTCTGATACTGGTAGCAGAGGTCGAGGAAATCCGCAAGTTGAGGCTCAGGATGAGGTCATTGAGTGGGCAATAGGCTCCAGTAAAGATGCTGTTCGAACGCTGGTTTGGTGTATGAAGGAGTAGATGCAGGGCAGTATGAGGTTATGAGGTCGGTTCGGGCACAGATTCCCAGCGCAACATGAGGTTTCCCGCTCTCGTCGAGGAGGTCAAGGGATTGGCGCATGCGTTTGTAAGACAAGGCTGACCTGCGCCAACTTCTCAGCCTTGTGATTCTTGGAAGTGGCTGGCCGCTTTAAGGGGTTTCCTTCCAAGGCTGAGATGATGTTTCGTCTCTTTTCACTCTACAAAAGTCGTTTCGCAGAAGGGTTTCCAACAGAGATAAGACTTTAACGGAAATACCCTATTCAAGACACCTCAAGCATTGTTTGCAGCTTACAAGAGGTTTCTATCGATGCTGTCTAGCCTTACTTTCGACTGCTACACCACCACGCGGTGCACACCGGAGTCCACAAATCTCCACGATCTCCAATTATTGATTGAACCGTTCGATTGAGAGAGCCACTCGAGTTCTCACCGACAAAGAGGTCCACAGGAAGAAGGTGCCATGTTGTTTGCTCCCAAGAATAAAGCTGCCCCTTTCTTGATAAGGGCTGCGACTCGTCCCATGGCGCCGCATATCTAGGACCACTCTCAGGGATCCCCCCAGGGAACGAATCTTCTCTTCCCATCTCAACTGGGTAGTCGGGGGGTGAGAAGCGGGATGTGATGGACATGGCGATTGGTGGCAGCCTCGTCCTATGGCGTCGCAGAACAACCGCCTCGTCTCAACTTGGTCACAGCCTTGTCCATGCGAGGCAAGGGGCGCGTTTCACGCTGCTTCAGCCACGAACCCCCTTGGTCCCTTACCCTCATCACTCCGACCCTGGTGCATCTGAACGAGCAATATCACAAAAGTTTAAAAGCTAGGCAGGGACGTGTGATCTGGGAATGCAGTCTCGCAATATCTTCGCTTCCTTTTTTCTTTGAGGTCTACCACAAACACTTACATACAATCTGCCCTAGGCCTGAAAACCTTGCACAGAACATTCCCGTTAAGTACCGTGCCTGGCACCTATTGCTTCCGAGTATACATTCGAAAGGCAGAATTGTCAACCAAAGACTGCTAGAGAGGATGTGGTCACCCAGTCGCATCACTCGCACACCTTCTAGCCATTCCATCGCCGTGTCAGTAGCTTCCATGGCCACATCGACCATGAGCCAGAACTCTTCACAGCTGGGATCGAGTCCGGATACCAACTACAGCGATAACGACAATGACAGTATCCTGTCTTCATACCAGGGCGAGAAGCAGAATCATGATCCATCACTTCAACCGCAACTCCAGCATCAAGCCGTGCCGTTCGATCCGGAAGATATGCCTCTCTGGCAGCCCAAGAAACGAACACTCACCTTGAACTCGCACGAGCATTTCCTCGTCGCCGCCAAACAGCACCGCGAAGTGCATCAGAACTTGGAGATGCAAAGAAAGCGTAGTGAGTCTGTGGCGACAGACGACTCCCACGCCACACTGGCTGAGGATGATTCCACGACAGACCAGGCTGATATGGATCTCAAAACCCCAACTGTAGCTGGACTGAAACTTCCCAACGAGACAGAAGACCAACTTGTCAGTGATCCCAGCCCTTCGCTCGAGACGGCTGGTCCTATGTCCAACCTTCTCCGTTCCATCCTCCTCCGCGTCGTCGACGTTGAACGGTCTCACCCGACGATCATGTCCAACGATTATAACGAACTTCAAACCCGCCTCAACGAGCTTGAACGTGAGAATCAAACCATCCTCAGGCACCACGCTGATCTGCTGTCCCTACGCAATGAAGATCTCTCCAACCTGATTAGAGTGAGGGATATGCTGGCTGAAGAAAGACGAGGACATGCCGCTATGAAAAAATTGAGAGACGAAGACTTGGAAAACGTCTTGATGTTGAGAGGGAAGCTTGCCAAAGCAACCTGGGCTGGGAGATTGCAAACCTCGCAACCGCAGGACCGACGTTCCATCCTGGGAGGTGGATCCATCACACCCACGCTACAGAGGACCTCACGGCCCGAATCAGATGATCTTTGGCAACAAGCCCGTACTGCTGCAATGGAGCAACGTGTATTGGAGCTTGAGAAGGCAAATACCGAGTTGCGGACTCGTTCTATAACAGCGTCCAGCGTTGGTACCTTTCCAGTGGCCCGTGGTGCGACGGGAGGCGATTTGCCGTGGAGTCGAGTTGAAGCCATGTTCGAAGACAGCCTGAAACATCGCGAGAAGATGGCGACCAAGGTCCAGCAGTTACGGTCAGAGAAGGAAGCACTACAAAAAGAGGTGGCAACGCTGGAAGACCGGAACGCCGAGCTGGAAGCACTCGTCGAGAGGCTGAAGAGGGGGTTCAGTGCTGCGCATTGACACTGCGATGGTATAAGGTGTTTGGGATGAAAAAAGAGCAAGTGCAAGGGCGAAGGCAATCAGGTCCAGTAGAACCACGATAGAGGAGAAATGTGTTAACGAATACCCTTTTGACATCGAGAGGCCAACTCACTGTATTGTTGCAAATCGACTACCATGTCGTCCAGGAACCACGGAATGCCAAAACATGCTTCCACATCTTGACTCTCGCTTCTGCATAGCGCTGTTCCAGCAGTAGTCGCCCAAAGTTTTCCAAATGATACGAGCACATGCCTGAGGAATCCACGATATCTTCCCGACCCAGTCCAGGGAATGTGACATCTTGAATAAATTTCTTGGTGTGTCGGCTATGCGCCGGGTTCGGCTAGAAGCATAGATCCTGATCTTGGACTGCATCCGATGACACAGACCTGATCGACTCGACGTAATCGACGTACCGAAGAAGGTCCTGGTGATACATGCTTTTGTGGTGATGTCAAGTCGGACATACTTGCACCACTTGTGTAAGAGGAGTGGCGGTCTTGGTGTGCCAGCCATGTTTTTGGACAAAGTGTTGTTCAATCGGCTCGTCAGGGGTTTGGCAGCCAAGGCGGTCAAACAACTGGCTTCGCCATGCCCCTCTGGGGACAAATCCGGCCTCCCATTACCAGGGTCTCCTGGCATTCATTCGCACCTCTGCATGCCTTGGGTGTTTATTTTCGTCTTTTGAGACCACGCGTGTTAAAAACAAACATTGTCTGCCTTCCTTCTGGAAGGTTGCTCCTGAGCAGCGAGAACGATATCTTCGACGCGAAACAAATTAGCTGTACCCCTCCGAGCCCCTCGGTTCCTCAGATGTTGCAAACTTGGCGGTGCGAGATTGGGGCCTTAGCCAAGGAGACTTGTGGTTCCGTGGAGGTTCTCGAATCGCAGTGACTAAGGCACAAGGGGTTGGAATCCAGCAAACTTGATGACCGATGCAACACAAACGGAAATTGTCCCAAACCTCACAAGGAGCTTTCTCAATGTTCGAGTACAGTCTCCAAAAGAAAGTGGATGGGTGGGGAGCTAGGTAGCTTTGGCGGCTTGTGGGTATTCCGACGGGCGCGAAGGAGGCGGTGTCCGCTGTGGCTACTGGTGGTGCTGGGGCTCTGGAGCTTTGCCTTCCCTGGCTTAAAATGCGGCAAACTGCGCAGTGTCATGTCCCCATGTAACTTGGACCGACCACACGGAACAGCTCGAAGGCACAATTGGCGAGCAGCCGGCAGGTTTTGACTTTCAAAGGTCTTTAGCGGTCCAGGAGCAGAATGCGGCTGCCGGGGAAAGTGCTCCGGAAATGCATTGTTCGAAATGCTTTCACCGTCTCTTCTGATGCCACCAGTTAGATCGCCTGAGCATGCGAAATGGCGCGATAAGAGAGGGACACGAGAGAATAATACGAGACTGGCGGACCTCGTCAGGTGCTCGGTTTCGTCGTAGCTATTATGTACCAGCTCGTCCTCGTACGATTAGATTCTCAGGGAGGTGGAGGGGTGACCTCGCGGGGCTATGACTCGCCTCGCAGAGCAAGCGCTGATTGCTGTGCCGTTGACTTTGCAATAATGTGATTGCTTCAGTGCCACAAGGTTTTGGTTGTTCCAAACACGACTGTTTTTTTTTGTTTTTTTTCTTCGGGAGAGAGTAGGAGTAGATACATCTTCCAGAGCTCATGTACGACTTGTTATGAGCAGGTCGAGTCGTTCTTCTCTCGTCAGGAGAGCTGTTAATCTTTCTTTTTTGGGGGGCCGACCGATGCCGAGTTGCTTCTGCCAACAGCCCTTTGAATCCCACCATGTACCCACCCCAGGTCCACCAGACTGGGTTTGTCCACGAGGATGGGACTCGGGAGTCTGGGACATGCCTCGAACCAGGGCGCGGAAGGAGGGGTGATGCTTCCTAGCCCTTGACAAGTCCCGCCACGTCAGAGAAAGGGGATGCCCGTCTGACATTAACAATCTTGTCCGTTTCTCAGCTCTGAGTAGTGGTCAGACGGGTTTATCCTTGTAACAGACGTGGTTAGCGAGCTCCACGTCGTGATTGAAGCCCGCGTCCCCCCATGAGATCAAGGAGCTGCAACTTGCAAGGGAAAATGCAGGAACAAGAGCCAAGGCAAGATTCTAAGTGCTGACGATCCGACACTTTGTTTTCTTCCCACTTTTTTTACTTGGTGCCACGATTGATTTAATCTGCGCGGAGCAACAAATGCCAGTCGTTGATTCGATTAAGTGGCCACCTGTTCTCACCGTTGCGACCATCATAAGCAATTAATTGGTTCGCAAGTCAGTCCAATGGGAGAAGCTGCGTGGGTGTAGGAGGTGTTGTGACTGGGAGCATCGTTTTTTGGGCGTGACGCTGCATGGGCAACGGCACAAGCGTGGGTACGGACCGAAGCTTGTGGCCATGAGATTCGAGAGATGGCTGGTGAAGGTGAGGTGGCTGGGGGGCTTGGAGCAGAATCAGTCACCTCCCAAGCCCTGAGGAACATCAACCCATCCAGCAGGATGGCATTCGAGAGGTGTGATGAACGC